CTCAATTGTAAGTGTTTATGAGTCAGGTGGTAATCTTTTTAATGTCAATGATTTAAAATCAATATGTCATTTGGAAAAAGATGTGGTTGGTTTTACTCCTGGTTATTGTAAGTCTCTTTCTTTGGGGTCATACATTGCCTTACTTCGTAACCGAACGTCGTGCCTTGAAATTGAAGAAAATGACGTGACATTTGCCCAAGAACTTTTGGAGAACTGCTCTTCAGCATATTTTTCTAGAAAACTGGACAGTCAAAGCTCAACATTACAATGCAGAGAAAATAAAGAGTTTGTCAAAAATGTCTTTGATTTACTGGTTGACACCGACTACTTGCGTACATCAAAGTCCCTCACAACAACCCTTGCCTTATCCCCCAAGTATGACGTCAACGTAGCTCGTGATATCTACAAAAAACATCTTGAGGGTGGGAAAAAGCCACAATTAAATGGTGTCAAGTTGGTTGCATTTCACTTTGGTAATTTTAAATTTGATCATTTCAATTACAAGTTGATAATGGATGCAGTTTTTCCAGCTATTGGATTTGCTATGGTTGCATTAATATTGTTGTTGTATACACAATCCTTGGTTGTAATGGCAATGACGGTATTTTCTGTGATCACGTCCATTGTTGCTGCATACTTTATCTATCATCAAATATTTCGGCTAACCTTTTTCCCATTCCTCAACATACTGGCATTTGTGTTTCTCGTTGGCATCGCTGCTGATGACGCGTTTGTCTTTAATGATATTTGGGCCCAGGCCAAAACGGCACTTCCCAATGGCACTATAGTGGATTGGATTGAGTACACTTTGAGACACGCTGCCTTGGCAATGTTCGTCACCAGTTTTACAACATCTGCCGCATTTTATGCTAATGTTGTTTCGGATATTACTGCTATTCGACTGTTCGGCATTTTTTCTGGAACCACAATTCTCATCATGTATTTTTTAATGATCACATGGTTTCCAGCCGGTGTTGTTGCAATGGAGAAACGACGTCAGTTGCGAAACATTGGTGTGGATACCTCAAAAGGCGATGAAAATGCATCGTTTGAACTTAACTGCCATGATAAGTCTACGCATTCCAATAATGAGCCGATTGCTTCTCAAGGTCAGCAGTCAACATGTTCTCGGTTCTTTGAGTTTTGCATCAAATTGCGATGCAAATGCTCCTGTTTTTTGGGGAAAATTTTCAAAAGGTGGATTCCAGCCTGCTTGCGGGTGTATCCTGCATGGCTTATCGGGTTTCTTGCCTTAGGCATTGGCATGATATGTGCAGTAACGGTAAATCCTGGTCTACAAAGACCCAAATCATCCGATTTTCAAGTGTTTGCAAGCTCGCATATTTTAGAACAGTATGACTTAAAATACAAGAGCAAATTTCGTCTCAAACTTACCGAAGGGAACATTTTTCGTATTTACATGTTTTTTGGAATTAAAGATCAAGACAACGGAAATTATTTGGAACCAAAGAACTTTGGTAGTCTTGAATACGACACCACAATTGATATTTTTGACCTACAGGTCCAGAAATGGTTGTTTGAGGATCTCTGTCCCAAGATACGAAATCAAACTTTTTTCGAACAAGATTTCTCTTGGTCGTGCTATACGGAGGTAGGTATAGCTGTGAGTTAAAAATAAATGCGTTGAGCAAAGCATTGTTGTTTATCCTATCCTATTTTCTTTATAATAAATATTTTATACGCCATTAATATCAGCGTTCCTTGCGAGAAAACTGGGACAACTGTCTAACTTTCATTCACGACTTTTGTCTTCAGGCATTACGTCAAGCCTGTCCAGTCAATTGGCCGTTACCGTTGGACCAGGAACAATTGACGAAGTGCTTAATGAATCACACTTACAGTAATTGTGGTCCTTATAGCAACAATATCTTTCTTCACAAACAAAAGATAAAAGCACTTGGTTTGTGGTTTCCTACAAATATTCATTTTACAAACGATTACAACACTGTTAACAGAGTTTGGAAACATGTTAAAGAATTTTCACGTACTGTATTGGACAATGCACCGGAAGGTATAAGAAATGGATGGGCAACCTCCCGACTAAGATTTTATGCCTTACAAGAAAACCTGGGTAGCAGTACCATTACGTCACTTGCTGTCTCACTAAGCATCGCATTCTCTGTTATGTTAATCACTACTCTGAATTGGTTGATCAGTTTTTATGCCATCTTGACGATTGTTTTTGTCCTGTCATCGACCATTGGTTCTTTGGTTATCAACGGTTGGGAGTTAAACATACTCGAGTCAATTGTTATTTCTGTTGCTGTTGGTTTATCTGTTGACTTTACATTACATTATGGTGTGGCCTATAAAGTCTCTAATTGTAATGAAAGAATGGAGAGAGTCAAATGTACCCTCGAGCATATTGGACCAGCTGTAACACTAGCAGCCTTTACAACGTTTGTTGCAGGTGTGTAATTTCTAAAATTACGTCACAGGACACGTGGCCATAACCATAACGTCATGAGTATGTTCTCATAAAGAACTTTTCATAATTTTCTTATGTGGATGTATTTAGTTAATATGTTGTTTAGAGTAAATTAGTGATATCAGCGTTTTTTATGTCGTTAATCTTTAGTTGTATGAGGCAGTTGTTACATTAAAACAACTTTTATTCTGATGGAAATTGTTTTGCTGCAATGAGATGTGAACCGTCGTATAATATTTTCTCTTCACACAGGCGTTTTCATGATGCCTTCTGAAGTATTGGCTTATTTTCAACTTGGTCAGTTCCTTACCCTGGTGATGGCCATGAGTTGGTTATTTGCCACATTTTTCTTTATGTCATTGTGCTATTTTGCTGGACCTGTTGGATATTTTGGACAGATGACTTCGACCAAATGTCTCTCCTGCGAGGTCAGCTAGTTAATATCTGCTTGAAGTTGATAATGATTCTGAATTGTTTTCGATGTTAAATTTTTACTGAGTACGAAACTGTGGAACTGTTTCGCTTTTAAAATATTGTAATTATTTTAATGTTTTCGTCGTTGCTCTCTAACTTTATTGAAAAAACAAAAAGTATATTAAATTGTTCTAACTGGTTTCAGCTTTATCCTTGTCTACATGTTCTAGCAAAAGCAAAATTTGTTAATTGATATCATTCATTTCTATAAAGAATTATTCTATTTACACTAAGTGAAAGGAGAAAAATTTCATAGCATGACTATATATATGAGCGGTCTGTCTGCGTCACTGGATGTAGGTATGTAGAATAAAAATTTTGGCGTACTTCTCAATAGGTAGGGTTAGATGAGGATTGAACTTTTCATTTGTATATTTTATTCAATACGTGTGCAGGGGGAAATTACACCAAATTGCAGGAAAATGAAAAACCAGAAGGGATGGGAAAAAGAGGTCAGAACTCCTGTAAAACTGTGACAACTGTAATCTTCTGTAATGGACAAGTAGACACAAGTTTGATTGGCGCTATGCTACTATTTCTGTGTTCACGACAATAGATTTCTAAAGGAATACATCATCATCGGAAATTTATACGGCACAACCATATTGTTGTTTGAAACTTTAAACCTTCCTTGAGTCCCAAGTTTTGATTATGACTGGTATGTTTATTTACTAAATACTAGGAACTAACACAAAAGTTCGTTTTTTAAAAAAAACGAAGAAGTTAACAGAAACATTGCTTGGTTTATTTTATGAGAAGTAAAACAAAAAGATAAAATTCGAAAGCAAAAAACCCCGTTTTCGGGCCATGCTTCCCGATACCTTCTGATATTTAAGGCACTAGAACGCCGCATGTTAACGTTCCGGTAGGAGATTTCGGCCCCTCCACACTATCCTACTTGGGAGATGCAATAGCAAGCTTCCGTCCATCAGACCCCGAGGTCACCTGCGATAGGCTTTGCTCGGAGTACGCAGAGAGAGGCCCCTAAGCCACTGTGTGTGATATCGCACCCAGCTTCCACTGCTAGTTAACATCTACTATATGAAGTTTTAGCTTCATATATATATATACACAAATTCAAAGGCTTACGAAAGTTGTGGTATTATTAAAGTCACTACTGCGCATGCCCAGATTATTTCTTTGATAATTTGCGATTAAGTGAGCTAACTGCCACAAATGTAGTGCAAGTACATATAGTTAGTCGTTGCCATGACTATGAACAATTAGTCGAGTGGATTGCGCATGCTCAAGCGCAAGCGCAGATGATTTTTCTCTTAAATTGTTACTAAGCATGCTATTTACCTCAAAATCGGTGCTAGTAGATGCAATTGATCGTTGCCATGAGCATGAACTTGGGTAGCTGGTCAAGTCGACTGTGCACGCTCAAGCAGACTACGCATGCGCGGATGATTTATCTTAAAAATTTTGACTGAGCGAGCTAATCACCTCCTCTAATCTGTACTAGTATATACAGTTGGTTGTTGCCATAACCTTGGAGAGTTGATGGACCTGACTACAGGTGCTTAGATTAATTCTCAGTTAATTTTTCTTTGTGGTTTTGACAAATGCATAACAAACTCATCAGCATTTTGTTACACCACTCGTAATATTCTTGACAATGTTAGAGATGTTTTTATTTTTCTCTATAACTTTGTATCTGCATATTTTGTGCAACATCAACATTGTAATATATATGATAGATATTATAATTCGTGGATTGATATAGAAGAAATACTTGAAAATGAAACTTCCAACAGTGAAACAAAATCAAGTATGACAGAGGAAAAACAAAGACGTATTTGTAAAAAAATTACATTTAATTTTACATTTACACAAAAATTTTACGATTTTGAAAAGTTTTTACAGATACATATTGTTGAGAAAGATAAAGAAACCAAAGGTGCGGACGATCCTGTTGAATTTCTCAAGGGAAAATTCACGAGTGCTACAGTGGGCGCAACGGAAATTTAAACTGTTCTGAGCCGTCAGGCAGTCAGCAGTTTCTATATGTAGTGGGTGCGCAACAGATTTATTCGATTATGCGCATGCGTGTACTCCAAATCGATTTAGTATTTCTATCTTCATTTTGCAAATATTTTTGTTTTCTTCTCGATTTTTGAGTCGTTGTTTGTTTCAAAGGATCCCGTTTACTTTGCAAGCGTTTTCTGTTTGAAATTCTCTGCAATGTTGATGTAAGGAGTGCGTGGATTTGTCTTTGGTGTCTTATAAAAGCCATTTCAAAACCTTCATAATTACCTTAATACCATTTTTGTCTCTCGTCCTACTTGTCGTCTATTTAGCTTGAAAATCATGGATACTTATGGTCGTCTTGCATGAGAAATCAATGATACAGACAAGGCGATGGACCAATATGATGATCTTGATCCAGAAGGCAGTTGTTTTGCAGTAAGTTTACTTAAAACTTTATCGTGTTTATATCACTTATGACTAAAAATCTGTACTGACTGTACACCGCCTGTGTTTTGTTGTACATCTCAAATTGAGGATATCGTTTTCGACGAAGTGTTTCTTTACATTTGGCTTTGCTTGTTTTCTAGCAAATTCAAGCGCTGGTACAACCAGAGTTTAAAACAGGTAAATTGGCGTCGAAATCGGAAAAAGAAATTCGAAAGACAGGAGGACGAGCTGTTAACCATGACATATGTGATAGCTGTGGTGAAGGTGGGGATTTACTTTGTTGTGATCAATGTCCATGTGCATTTCATCTCACTTGTTGGTAAGTTGCTCGTTTCAATTTCTTCAAATTTTTTATAAGTTTGTTTTTAATGATTTTCATAATGATTTTCCAAAGAGGATCTTGTATACGTATAAACTTTTTTTATTTATGGCACTTCTATTTCTAGTGATCCTCCACTAAATGAGGATGAAATTCCATCTGGTGAGTGGCTCTGTAATGAATGCAAAGCCCAACCACACCAGGTACATATATGTACTATTTTAACTTTCTACTGCCTGTATATCTCTCAATGTTATTATGTGATTTAACTATCTACCACTTTTACACTGTATATATACTTTTATAAGATAACATGAATTTTTTCTACAAACATTAGCATCAACTTGCATCAATAATGATAATAACAACCTTTTTTCAGAATGGTATAAATGGAAAACAAAAAGTGAACAAACCACTACCACTGATCAAAGAAAGTTGAAACGAGATCAAGCTGAAAAGATTTCTGCACCATTTAAGGCTCTAGTGAAAATGAGCTCTGGAAAGAATCCTTCTACATTTACTTTACCACCTGAACTTACATGTCATACTTATTTTCCAGGTAATATTTACAAATGATATTTTGTCCATTTAGTTTTAGTGCAAAGTTGTTAGACAATGTTTTTATTATGAGAAGGGTACATACTATATCAAATTTTTTGTATCGGGTGTCCAGCGTTTTCCACAAATATTTGCTTTCAGATTATATCTTATACCAATATATGTTTTCAGATTTCAATCCTTTGCCTATGAAGCAGTCAGTTATAGATATTTTATGTGATCTAGTTATTTTATTGCTTTGTTACCTTCAGGAATGTAAATCATATTGTTTGTTAAATTTTATTTGCTTCCCCAATATCAACTTGATATTTTGATGACCTTAAAAAATTACAAGTCAAACGGCAATTTTATTTTTAAACTTTGTAGCTTTCATTGTAAATTGTTTATGTTTATTTCTTTGCTATTTTCTAGGAGATAGGAAAAGAAAACATGACAATGATGAAAAAGCATCAGTTGCAATAAATGATAAAAGGTGCCCTTTTATAATATATGTATTTCTCAAATATATTTGTAAATGCCAAATAAATATACTTTACTGCATACCTTTGTTATTGTGAATTTTTTATTTCAGGAATTTAGATTTTGATGACGGTAGTCATCTTGAAAAACTTTGTTTTGCCTGCTCAAGGTTTGTTGTTATGTTCTTCAGATTTTTCATCTTCCAACTTTATGCTTCTTCATCATACGTACCCTCCTCCTCCACAGAATTTTAATGCTTTTTTTCTTTTTCCTGTTGCCTCAGCTATCTTTCTCTACTCATCTTATTATTCAATTTGCTGTCACCTTTAGAACTGCTAATCATGAAAAGTTTGGAGATCTTGTACAATGTGATTTTTGTCCATTATCTTTCCATGCCAACTGTTTGCAACCTCCACTGACCAATAAACCATCTGGAATGTGGATGTGCCCAAATCATGCTGAACATGCCGAGGTAAAAACCAGGTTACTGACTTCTTCATTAATCCTTACTGTTTTCAGAGGTTCAGATCATAGTCAACTTGTTTTTCGCATTTTCAAAACTAATAATCTTACTCAGCGAGACTTGTCAAATAAGGTGATTTAGCAAATTTTATTCAAAATTTATTTTTCAGCCTGGTCTTAAGGATCCCAGGTTTAGTCGACGTCTCAAGGCCTATGATGATTTACACAACAATATATCAAAACATGCAATTAAAATGGATTTTCTAAATCGTGTTCACAGGTAATTCAACGGGATGAGTTTGGATAAATGAGATTTTACGTTGATGATGACTTTCATATTTTAGCATTTGTCATAAAGCCAAGTTGTATGTATTATCGTTTCATGTAGTAGCTTCATAACATATTCATTTTGTGTCGAAAAAAGCATACTATAGTTATTGAATAACATAATTTGTTATTTGACAAATACAAGGAACCAAAATCTTTTGCTGCACAAGTACTGTATTTTCTTTCATGAGTTTCTCTGGCTTCATTTCCAGAATACGCAACCATCCCGACTTTGAAAGAAGACAAGAAACATGGAAACGTAAACGACTTACTTTAGTAAGAATTATTTGAATTTCAACAAATCTTTAGCTCATGTTGTATATGTAGTGTGACAGTCTTAAACTAAAGTAAATACGTACGCAGTGGACACATTTTTACTAATGTTTAGCAATTTTGGTGATATCTGAATATTACAATACGTAAATAGTAATATGACTGCTTGTTTTTATATCAGATACCTGAGTCAATAAAGTGGCACTATAAAAATCCTCCCATTTTACAACTTCCACAACACATTCAAGATTCCTTCAAACCTTTACCATCCTATCGCTTACCTCTAACACCTCCTAAACCTTTTGAACAAGAAGAGGTTAGTTCATTTAAGTCAGTTCTTAGCCAAAGTTATCGTATGGATACATCGACTTCATGCATTTGCATTAATGTTAAATGCAAGTGATCCTATTGACTATGCAGACGTCATTGGTGACGTCATCAGGTCGTCAAAAAAAGTTCAAACTGTCTTTGCAAAGTGTTGTTGCGTTCATGTATTGGAAACGTCATTTTCAATAAAATGTTCCACGAAATATCATTCACATTTTGTATTGAGAATTGAGATATTTCATTTCTTTTTCACATTAATATTTTAGTGGCTGAAGTCAATTGTTTCTCTGCAATGTGATATTGCTAAACATTTGGCCTCAATTTCTGTTCCAAAATCTCAAGACGCTGTAAAGAAAATGGTGAAGTCAGTTTCACCCAGCGGAAATAGTCATTTCACAACCAACAACAAACTTTCCACAATATCGAAAGAAATCAAAACTCAGAAAAACTTAAATTCAAACGTCAGCTCCTTCACATCCGTCAAACCTGTGACCACAAGTAGTACGACTAAGACAATTGGTGTGACGTCTGCAGTGAAAACAGTAGCGTCCAGTACTTCCACGAACACAACTCATTCATCAGCGGTAACTTCATTTTCGCGTGTGGTCACCACGCACACAGTGACGTCTGGCGGCATAACTCTCACGAAACCAATTACAATACTGTACGCATCGCCCTCGAAGAATATCGCTCAGCAAAACGGCCTGGTGACTAGTTCCACGAAACCTTTGAATAACTGCATTGGCAAGCTCACAAACAATTCTGACACGAAACCGATTGCTAAGGTCGAAGGAACTGTGAAAAAGTCAGTAACTGATCAACAGCAAGCTGTTACCAAGACAACACTTCCAAACATTTTTTTGAAGACAACTTCTGTGCAAAGTACAAACTCGAAAAATTCTAAAACAAACATATTACATTCATCGAAAACAAAAAGTATTGGTGTTAATAATATATCAGAAAAACAAACTTGCCAGACTGAGGTTAAAACATTAACAAACGACTCCAAACTGCGAACCATTGGCGAATCGACAAAAGCGGTTAGCGTATCACCCCCCGGAACAAATACTCCTCGAAACGTAAGTGTTGTTGGAACTGTGACGTCAGGAACGAACGCTGGGGGCGGTTCTACCAAAGTAATCGTGTTGACCAACACCGGAAGTGGCAATATCATAAAAAATATTGCAACTTCTACCACAAATGTCCAAAGAACAGCGACAGGTGGTGGCGTTCATGGTAATACTATTACGTCATCAACTGTTAGCAGTCCCGGCATGCAAAGGATTGTTGTTCACTCTAGTCCTCAGAAGAGCATGTTAAATGGTAGTGTAGGGAGTGGTACTTCTAATTTACCACCCACTACCCAAGCGTCAAGTCCTGTTAGTGCTATTTGTGCTGTCTCTGGACTGGATAGCATTCAAGGTACGTTATTTGCGCTTTGCTTGAGCATTCATTGCCGTATTTAAACAGACGCATACACTACTTATTTAGATTTTTCAACCATGTCCTTTTCTCCGACAGCTGCATAGCTAAAATATTTCTTTTCAGTGTGCTTGTTTTTTTTTCAAAAACTTGCGTCATTTCTTGACATTGAATATTTTACTTATTATTACCGTCAATGTGAGACGTTTTAGTGCTTTATTTAGGGCATGCTTACGTAAGATAAGTCATAGTTCAATATAGTAATGTTGTTTTAATTATTTTACAGAGTCTGAACTAAGTAAACTTGATCCTCGACTTCTTCAAGTTTTGGCTCATCAAAGACTACAGCAGTTAATCAGTCAGACGGCAAGCAAGGTATTCAATTAGAACGTTTTGTCAGGTTGGTTTAATTTTTTTGGAGGTAACCAACATTGCTCGCTGCAGGTGAAACAAACGCCAAACTCCACTGTTGCCAGAAAAATTTCTTTCCCAACAAACAAAGACAATGCTATACATTCCTCTGAAGGTAAATTCAAACATGTAGTAATGGAATATCAAAAAAATGTTTCCAGTTTTATATTTTCTGAAAAGAGATATCCTCTGTGAGAAATTACTTTGCATGAGTGTTTGTTTTTGTAAAATTGTGTAAGTGTGTAAGTGTGTTATCAAGTGAAACTCCGACATAGTTCTGTTTGATATGTTGCCACAATAATTGATTGTTTTCCAGTTCCGAGTGGCAAAGCCATTGCTGTACTCTGTCCCATAAATGGGGAAGGAAGATCTTGTCCAATGATGTATAAAGTCCTTAACGTTGGTCAAGGTACGCATGTTGCGATGTCAGCAATTTTTAAAGTATTGATACACTGATATTTGTATAAATATGATAATCTAAGAATAAGATGTTGACGAAAAGCTAAAATATTTTCTAAGATGAAGAACTTTGTGCGCATCAAAGCTATTTTAAAACCTTTTCTCATCCATATTCATCTACTATAATGTTTGTAAAAAACTTGTCTAAAACTTTCTATCTTCAGGTCCAGATATGGATGTGTGTCTTCGAAATTACGGTTTTTGCAATTATCTATCCGACAAACATTGTTCTATATTCTTCGATGAGGTACGTCACTGTCGGTTTGTTTGTTGGGTTTTTTTTTTTGCCAAGATTGAACTCTAATTTTCTTCTATATGCGCAAAGTTTTTTTTCGTCTTTGCCAGTTTGCAAAGAAAACTCATACAATGAATGAATTTTATTTCTTGAATATTTTGGTGACTTTCGTGACGAAAACAAAATTCTTTTGGTTTTGTCTATTTCTATTTATTTTTAGCAAAATAATTTCTAAATTTATATTAGTTGTCGAGATTATTGGAGAAATTCTCTTTTTAAAGCTTTTTTTCATATCGTTTATGTGTTTCTTTATCCATTAAAAACATGTGTTAGGCAACGAAACAGTACGAGCTTTTAAACTACAGCGAACATGGTACTTACGTGGATAACGTTCTGTATTCATGTGATTTTTCTGATAAACCTAACCGAGGATGCATCACCTCCTCCCGGAGGTTGGACCCTACGAGATTGTCAAAAGAACGACTACTCGAGAAACAAAAAAAAGGTGGAAAAGTATCTTCTTTGGCGCGAAGGACAGCGGGTTTGGGAATTCAAGTTGTTACCAGGCCATGCAGTTGCTCGGCAAGCAGCTCGACTTTAATTGGTGGCAGTGGTGCAGGGTGGGAAGGCACGGCTACATTGCATCATGGTAGTTACGTAAAAATAGGATGCTTACAATTTGTGTTTAGTGTTGTCAACAAAGCAGAAAAAATGGAAGTTGATAATAGAACTACAAAAAATGTCAAAAATGAGTTAGTTTGAATTTGGGAAAGTTTGTTTTTCAAAAGCATTCTGATTCTAAACTAATAAAAAATGTCTATTTTTAAAACTTGAACAAAATGAAAAATAAGAAGATATTGTACAATTAGCAATCAAAATTGATGGAGCCTTTATGAGATGAAATGTATTTATAGTAATGTGTATAAAATGTAAAGATAAAACATACCTCGATGTACATAGATATACATACTTCTATATACATAGATATACGCTAACAAACATTTGCTTTCTTTGCACTTTTATTGCCTTTAACGAACTAGAAGTTGCTTTTACGGCCTGGCAATTTTCTATTATCTTGAACAATATCATGATTGATTTTGAAAAACCTGTTTTTTTAAATTTCAAAATCACATCAATTTCTCGACATTATAGGTTTTTTTTTTCATAAATATATGTTAAAAACTAAACACACATTTGAGTCTATATAGTATTTATAGTTTTTAGATGACCCTACATTTGTACAACATATATTACATAAGATAAGTTAACCAATGAAGATTATTCATTGCAAAATCTGACCAACGAAAGAATTAGCATTTCGTGCAGATGATTCTTTTTGTGTGGTTTCTGTTCATTTTGTTCAAATGAACCTTTGTTCAAACGAACCTTTTAGGTGTTCATTTTCCGGTAGATACGTCATTTTTCTTCCTCGTGTCTGTTCGCCTCGAGCTCGTTATTATCATTGTCCTCGTTACCAATTTTACTCTCCTTTTTATGTTTCATTCTACGGTTTTGAAACCATGTCTTGATCTGTGTCTCATTGAGCGCGAGACTTTGTGCAAGTGTTGCGCGACTGGTCGTGTCTAGGTAGCGTTGTTCAGCAAATGTTTTCTCCAGAACTTTAAGCTGCATTTCCGTGAATACAGTGCGAGATTTCCGACAGCGTTTGCCACTTGGAGTGCGCAGAGTAGGCTTTACTCGAAAATACACTGGCAGCGCATTCAAAACCTCGGGACTGGGATCTACAACGGAAAAACACTGAATTTACTGCGTACTTGTAGTGGTGGGAAATAATTAGATGATCTATCTTTCAAAAAATAGCGTATTTGATTGGTTGAACTGCCTTTGTAGCGATGAATAGTCTTCGCGATTTTATGAACTGCCTTTGTAACGATGAATAGTCTTTACGATTGGTTGGACTACGTTTGTCATAGAGAAATATCCTCTGTTTCCTTCAGTAGAATCACTTTTGCCAAGAGGAAGAAGAGTTACGACAAACATTTTTGTTTGTACATCACCCCTATCGCAATCTCAACACTGTAAAATTTTTTCAATCTTTTCGAACCCTTGAAGATTTTTAGTTTTATTCTTCTCCAATGTATATTATACAATCAACTCCAAACAAAAAAATTTTTTCATATTTATTAATGTGTACAACTTTAACGCTCCCAGGAAATCATTCTTGAATTGTCAAAAACATTTACTTTGATCATTATCTTATGGTTTGAAATACGTATGAATGGCAGCACAATGTCGCCTTGTCTATAGTTTTCTTTTTCCATCTAAAAACGCGTGTGTCTGGCCTTAAGAGCTTCTTGTTTACCTTTACGATAAGATCTTGCACTTTCGCTACTAATTGTAGATGAAAAATATCCACTTTGTTGTGATTATTTAAATGATTTTGTACTAATTTTGATTGTTTTGCCATTTATTTTGTCGCAGTTGCCGTAAATTACTAACATATTCTGGCCCATCAAGTGTTTTATCCTTGTGTTTTCTCTTTGTTTGAGAAAAATATTGATTCGGCTTATAAGATTTTTCCAAATTTTCGAATTGTAACGAAAATGTTACGTACATATACTTGAAATTAGATAACTTTGTATAAAAATTTGTTTGACAGTAGGTGGGCATATATTATGTACTAGTCGATGATGTGCCATTTCAGTTTTAGTGACCAGTGTTTAGCTTTTGTGTCAACGTATTTCTCAACAGAGCTAACGTTTATATAATTCACTGTTCCTATGAAATTGCTTAAACATTTCAGCTTGAAGAAATACTTTTGGTTCAAATTGTAATATATCATTCATGAGCAACTTATCAAGCAGAAATCACCGCTTTTTGGCTTAAGTTGCAGAGGCGAATTAATTTTGTAAGGGCAATTATTTTCCTACGGATGTCAGGCCATTGCCAGGCAAAACAACTTACCGGATCCATTTATCTATGCATAAACCCACAGACACCAAAAATATTGTGTGTAGCTTTTGTTTCCTTCGGTATTATGTTGAATACAAGTTAAGAAACTTTTAATGGCTGATATCATAGAGTATATGTGAAGAAAGTTGTGAGAAAAGCAGACACTTAATGTCTATGAGGCAATTCTTTAAACAGTAAAAAACTTTTGTTTTGGAATTGAAAATTAGAGCCAACAGATTATTTTTTGTTCAGTTTTCATTGAATAATGGTTTTCATATATTGTGAAACGACAGCATGCATCTCTCTCGATGACAACTTTCTATTTGAATCAGTACGTTCAATGATCTTTCATATTATTAATCCTAAGCTTCATATTGTACATAGAAATCAGAGAAGTAAACTTCTCTTTAAAAAGAAACCAGTGATGGGCTTAAACTCATCCACCGATTTTCTTAAAATCGTGAATTGACTGTCCTGCATCGATGACAAGACTTAGTTTTTAATCCATACATTTGCTGGCAAATTATGTTGACACGCATGCTGTACAATGTGTGATTGTGATATATCTTGCATTCTTTTTACTGTTAACATGAATGAAATGCCTTTTGTGTCACAACATTCACTCTGATACACTTCATAATTATGGAGAATCTTTGTTTCAACGCCTTATCAAAATTAATCTTCACTGCAAGTGTTGCTTACCTTGATACACAAAAGATTCTTCGAGCCTCGAGGGTGAAGCGATTCCTCCAATGCTTAAGCTGAGTGGAGCTTTTGCGCAAGCTGAACTTGAATACTCGATAGGCGTGGAATGAGAACGCGTTCTTCTTGCCGGGAACATTGCTTGGTTTTGAAAGTAGCATGCTTGACGCTGTGGCATAGCAAGAAGATCGTATTGAAATGGTCTGCTTGCAGGCGATGGAGAAATGAACGCTGTTTGATGGTGAAGAGCAGACGTAGGCGACCAACAATACATAATTATTGGATTTCTGTATCTTTACAAGTATGCTGTCATGTGTCTTCGTCGACGACTCTGAGTCTTTTTAATGTTTGCATGTCATTGAGACAAGTTTTAATCGATTCCGTGCGCAACAGATTGTCTACTCAGGCTGTAGCTTTGATTGACGTGAGGGAACGCAATGTTTGATCAGTTGAAACTCACTTTATTAATGCTAAAACAAAGAAAATGAAAGGCTTTATGCTTGAGCCAACATTATGAGATATGACACACGTTAGCAAATACTCCGCCTTCTCACAAAAGCGTTGCTCCATTAGGATAAAGAACAAACTAGCAACTTTTTTCTTATTTTTCTCTTAGATGTACGCTTTGCTGCCATAAAACCGCAACAATTAATGCGCGCTTAATCAACTAATAAACTCAACAAAAACATCTTAACAGTTCATTATAATCGCTTAACAATTGAATGCATATGAACAAAAGTTTAAGGCTAAGTTGAACAGATGTTTTTTCTGGTTTTGTGAATGCGTGATACATGATTTCTTAAAACTATTTGTCCATAATTCTTTTGATCGAATTTACCTTTGACAAAGTCGTTTCAATTCGTTTATAGCCATTGATTTTTAAATTATGGAAACGCGCTTAGATTGGTAATTGAGTTCAAAATCAGCGCACAATCTTCCATGAATGTATTCTATTTTTTTCAAATGAAGAACTCTTAATTGAAGTTTGAAATCATCGCATTGTCAGGACATAAAATTGATCTCTCTCTAAAACAACACATGAACATTTGAAAATAATTGAATTCCAAAGAGATAACCATTTTATGGTCATCAAAAAAACTCGACACCTTTTCAGCGATCCATAAACTACAAAGGTTAACTGTAGGTTAACGTGGCTTACTGTTGCATATAACTGCGTCATGTTCATGTTCTATGACAAAAATTTACTTGTAGAACTGGTTTTCACTGTGTTAAGAGTTAATGATTGCAGTTCTTATGAAGAGAAAAGCTATTTGCATGTGGTAAATGAAGTTAGCAGTAAATATTGTGGATGAATACTTGAACAATGGCTGAAACGATGAACATCTTCAGCAAGACAAAAACCTTGAAGAAGAAAACGAGAACGTTTGGAGGATCCTGTTTGTATGGGTATTGGAGACGGAATACTGTTGACAAATTACGAAGAGGATATCATTCCTATTTGATTGAAAAAAAAAGAAAGACACGAGTACTGTGGTATTGAAAACTTTGTATCGACCACCCTGAAGAAATGGACCTGTGACCCAGGAAATAGTGACGACCCACCTTCTGTCATCAGCTTGATTGAATGAAATCTGATAGCTAATGACTTTACCAACTGTGAAATATTTCTTAATTTTAATGGCGTGAAAAAAATGGATTTTTTTCATACTTTCTCAACAAAGATTTTATCAATATGAAGGTGTGCCCGACAATCAGACAAGAGCACTCGTAAATCGGTAAGTTTTTAAGTGGGAATCAAGATAGTGCAAGTACGTCTCGCGTTTTAAATTTTTTAGTTTTTAAACAGGCAGGTTTGTTTTCAAATACAAGTTAATGGCGAGCATAATTGATCGTATTATAAATGTATATCAACGTCACTTAAAAGCATGGGCTCGCGTCCAAAAAATGCAAATTACTATCACGTCAAGTGATAAAAGCATTTGGATCCTTGAGTGCGTTCAACAAATGATTGTTTATAAAGTTGCTAATTTTTATAATTTAACAAGATGTGACATAAAGAATTGTTGAAATTGTAGCCGGATTTTCGTTCCCAAACTTGTAACAATCATTAAGGCTGGCTTCCTGTGTAAATAGAAACTGATGCTTTAGTCTGTGTACTGCGTACTGATTGCTAGGAAAATTATCCATTATTGTTTAGCAGTTAGAGATGAAAATCTTCTTTTTTTCTATTTGTACGTATTATTAACATGAAGATGGACTAGACATTGGGTGATTCCTTAATTTCAAATTGTGAAGTGTCTTGGAGTAAGTTTGAAAATATTGAAGTTGGTGAATTCATTTCTATTGGACTGTTTGTATAGTGAGATTATGACAAAAATGAATTCTGTGAAATGATTTATATTTGTGATCATTTGTTTATACAAGACGAATGCTGTGGGTGGGTTTTATTTTCTTCAACACACATTAATCTGAAAGCACATTAAGAAATTAACGTATTTTTAGAAGGATGAAAGCCATTACGTCTGTCGACAGCTGCTGAAATCTTCTTAAAGGCAAACGGACTCTTAAAAGCTCCCTTGATGATTTAAGAACAATAGTTATACGAGTTAACTTTGACATGTGAGGATATATGATTTTTGCAGGTGTGTTTATGTAGTTTACTAAGCTTAACATATTCACTAAAGATTTGAGCAAAATAATCCACAAACTTCCTGAAAGAGTTCTCGTATATATTGAAAATACGATTTTCTAATAATCAGTTAATTATATGTAACAAATCTCAAGGCATAGTTGATAGTGTTCTCCCGCAGTCATAACTTTATCTTTTATGATATTTTCTTTTAATTTTATTTAATTAACGACTTGAATATATCACTCACAATGACTAATTGTTCAATAATTGAGTTAAAATTTAGATATAAAGTGTTTTCTATCATTGCAGTTTTACTCGTTTTGTTAAAATATTTTGCCTGTTTTTGTTACATAATTAATTGAAAACTATGGAAGATGTGTACTTTTTACGTAAATGTAATCATGTTTTAGTCTTTCGTTTCATTTTGTTTTCTCCATCTGGCGAACAAATGCCATGCTATAGAGATAACGTTATTTGTTAGCACATTTGCGTCTTTGTCGCCTTTCAAATCAACATACTTTAGCTAATTTATGAAAACTATTTCATTAGCAGTCATGGAAAGATTTTTCCTCTGTGGCAATAATAAAAATTGAAGAAATCAATTGAAATTTTCATTTTTTAGTCTTTTTGGAAAGTAGAATCCTTTTTAGTGTTATGAATTTAGTTATTTGTTTTCATTAAAGGTGTCAATCAATACACTCCACATTTTTTGTCCAATTTTGTAGAAGTACTACTAGGTAAGTAGGAAAAAATTTTTGTAAAAGAAGTCAGTCTGTGAGGAAATTTTACGTAAAAGACAGCAGTGAGAAATGACAAACTTTGTGTTTTAAAAAAAAGTACCATATGGAAAAAATAAAGCGGGCATCGTTTTCATTGTTACAACTTTGACTCTGCGTTTAATGTGTGAATGAGATTGTATTTAAACAGCTTTATAAAGAAGCGTTTGAGTTTCGAAGTGTGTAATAAGTGCATTTTTAAGGCTATAGTTGTTTTCAGTTTGAAAAAAGCCACTAGCCGTTCTTAATATCTGTGGATGAAAAGCTGACAGTAAATAATAAGACTTTTTTATTACTATAATCGTCATCTTCACTAACGTCTCATTGAATGTGAAAAACCGTTCTCCTTTATTTGTTCATCGTTATATATTTAAGGTAATATAAACGCACGTTATCATTGTTCTTAAATATTTTAGATTATCTCATTTATGTAATTTTGATGCAGAAGCTACTAGAAGACTGTCGTTGTTCCTTACGATACAGTCCGCTGAGACATTATACATTTTACTTTATCCTATCTGTGTCTTGCTTGGCCTTCAGTCCTGTATTTAATAAACAATAACTGTTACTAATAATATTGTCATGGACAAGGTATTGTATTTCACTGAGAATGTTTGTTTATAGCACATGCAACCTACAGTGACGGACTGTTGAATCTGGTTGACGTAGATTACTTTACCTTATAGCTATACATGACTACGTTGGTTAATCTGTCATTCACTTGCACTATAAGCGATTGCCCATTAGCACGTAAAATGTCTTGGTTATCCTTCGATCAACATAATAATCCATCGTCCATATCTTTGCTTGTGTGGGTCTTTGTTTCCGTCTTGCTTTCATAATTCAATTAACGATGATTTATGACGATGCAGATTTGAAAGTACAACTCGTAAAACAGATTAATCTATGTCAATTTGTCGTGTTTTAATGGAGCTTAGTTAACCATGCCTTTCTCTAAGAACATAATAGTTTTCTAAGCTCATTGCAAATCGTGGTCCGTTTAGTCAACATTCACAAACACATCATATTTAGCAGACTTTTGTTTGGGACATATGAGGCGATTCCGTCAAAAACTTTAGTTCATCATATTTCATCATCTTTCAACGAACAAACTGGTGTATATTAACTTCTTTTAAAAAGCGTAACTACATTAAAAATTCTTTCAAAATGTTTTCGCTACATGGTGTGCAAGAGTTGGCCATGTACATAGTCAGTACACTGCCCATTAGTTTCAGCTAGAGGGGTGAAATGAATCAATATCGATGTGAAATATAAAAATAGGAGAATGACTTTCCACAACTTATGGCAGCTGCAGCTTGGAAAACAACTCTATCTTTGTCAATAAAACCAATGCTTTTCTGCTTTATACACTGATTTAGACATCGAATCATTTTATTTTGATCAATTGATGTGTTTCCATTTCTATTGTCAACCAGTCATTTTTCTTAAGAGTCTATATTATGTTGAATGAAACAATTACTGGGATTTAAAGGAGTTGTTTGCCAATCATATTTGTTTCATCATTTGTGCTGAGCCGCAGTTGAACACAAAAAGAGATTTTTGGCACATGTTTCTCTGTTATCATTTTTGATAACAATTACGCGTTTTACGGTAATTAACGCTTTTTGCTTATCAAGATTTATCTGGCCGTACAACGTGTGAAAACCACGTTATTGTATAAAGTGAAACTAATGATAAAATTATCTTAAGCTATCTTTGTGGAGCGTTCATGTTATAATGATATGGCAAATCTAATTATTTATAGTCTTTGTAATAATCAAATTAAAATGAAATTGTGGAAGCGAGTTTTAAAAATGAAGTGATCAATATTAGTCAGTAAAGATTCTATAATAGCGAATAGAGTTTAAAACATGTCCATTGGTGAGAGCTCCAATAACTTTCCTCTGTCACTACGAAGTGAGGGGGGGGAGGGAGGGGGGGTGTACTTCGAGTTTGAACACCAAAGTAATTTAACTTGCTAGTGAATTATTGAATATAAGTGGGATATTTTCCATGTTGATTGTTCTTCCCACCTTGCTTTAGTTTCTCATCGACGGAATTAGCCGGTTTTCCAACAATTTTCCACGTTTTACTGGCGAACAAAGAAAAAAAGTTGAGGGTTTAAAATACCACACATTCTCCCCTTCATACATTCCTAGTAAGGTTTTCTAGCTGGTTATAGCATATTATGAAATTTTCAAAAAATGTTCATCTCTGAACCACCCTGAACCTTTGGGAGTGGCTAGTATTCTTGTCATTTTAGCGTATGGAAAGAAGTTTGATTTATTCATTTTGAGTATGTGTTTCTGACTGCTGCTAATCCTGCCAGCTGAAGTTCGAAGAAAAAATAGGTATAATTGAACGTTTCCACGACGAAAATGGGTCATGGAAATAGCAAGGCTTATACCGAAGCTATAAAAAAGCTCAGCTCGTTGGAATTAAGTAATATTGTGGCCGTTTTTAACGAACTTTCCACAGAACACCAAGATGGAACTCGGGCAATACCTGAACCCAACATGGCAACTAGACGTGTATTTGCTGATAGGTTTTCCCTCCCAGGGCTAATAGGGGAGAGATTATTCCACGCTTTCGATAGAGACAACAGTGGTGCAATAAATCTCGAGGAATTTGTTGGCGGTGTTGCCCTGTGCTTACATGGTTCAGCTCAAGCTAAATGTGAACTTCTTTTTAAGGTAAGATTGTAATCTTGTAATGTTCATAAAAAAAACTTTCCTTTGTTGACATGACTAAAAATATTTGTCCTATTTGAAGAACAGATCACCTAGACATTAGAATTGTAATTTTACAGGATAATGTGTGTTAACCATTGGTATCATTTGACCAATGGGGTTATTGTTTCTGTTTAATACCAAGTATTGAATTGTATAATTATTGTTTAATTTTTACGCCTATTCATGATTAGAAACGGTGTTTTTTATAATTGTCAATTATCGCTTACAACTTGTCTTTGTTTATAGACCAACAAAACTTTTATGATCTCCAAATTTTTTGTTTTTGTATCTTAATTTTGTTTGTAGGTATTCAACTTTAGTGATGATGACAATGCAGTTACCGAAGATGAACTTAAGACAATTTTACTCAGTTCACTTCAGTCAGCCAGTGTGATCTTAGACAGTGTTGGTGAAGTAGAAACATCTGATACTGAGAATTGTACTGAAATATCATTAATGGATACTGTGGCTAAAATAGTTCAAAATGCATTCAAAACATCAAATAAGTCAAAAAGTGGAAAGCTTTCTGCAAAAGAGTTTAGTAATTGGCTTCATAAAAATCCTCAGATAATGGATAATGTATTTGGTTGGCAATGTCCCAAACCTGAGCTTGGTAAATGGACAAATGAGACAGGTCAGGAAAGTTACAATGCCTTGCAAGATTTATTTAATGGAGAAACTACGTCTTCAGGAGATGCCTTTTTCAATGCCTTGGCAAATAAGATTGATAAAAACAGTGGTGAGAAAGATCAGAAGAAATCTACAAGCTCTTCATCTGCACCATTATCACTTAAACACGAAGATGAAACAACTGATCCCTTTGTGTCCCAACATGAAAACCTCTCAACTACAGCTTCAGAAAATAAAGATGTGAACACACCTTCATCAGTTAAAACAAAACCTCGCCTTTCAGAGAGCGAAGAACCGTTCATTGAATTGTATGATTATTATTCTTCCATGTGGCTTCCTTCAAATGAAACTAATTCTGTACTAGAAGGCATTCGAAGTGGAACATTAAACCCAGAAAATATGGAACTTCACCCTATTAAAGTGCCTTCTGTTCAATTCACTGCATCTCAAAATGATCCTGTGAAAGAACTTCTTTTAAAATATCCAGGAGACAGCGAGGCAGCACCGAGAACTGTGTTAACTGAAGATATGGTACCCACGGATACTTCTGGTTTGAAACAGTTATTGAAAGCTGAGTGTTGGAGATCAGCTCTTAATCTAACTGTGAAACTCTTGGAGGAGAACACAAAAGATGTTTTACTTACTCTCAAAAAATCATGGAGATATGGTTTTGCCGAATTGCGTTGCTGTACGAGTTGAAAATGTACAGTGCTGCCGACATAGAACTTGAAGCATTTGGAAATTTTGACTCTGCAATGTTTTTTTATGAATATTATCCTCAAATTTATTCAACAAAACAAGGATCCATGGTGCCGTTCTGTTTTCGAATTTTAGCGGCCATTTTGCCTCAGTATCTTGAAAGACCTAAGGAAGCTTTGGATAAACTCTTTCACGTGCACAACGTTTGTCTTCACGTGTTAAGCGATCTCTCTTCCAGGTCATGTGACAGTAATTCAGAAGAGGGAAAGTCATTACAAAAAGGAAGAGATTTATGGAAAGAAAGGTTATTAAAAGTTCTTTATTGTATCGGCAACACTTTTCTCTCACAAAAGAGTACGGTCTGGCTGTATCCATTTTTAAACAGATTGCCGAGAGAGATCCAAGAAATGTTCGTGCCGTTTTATCTGGATTAGGAAGGATTAGCTTGCAATCAGGAGACATCGAGAGCGCCCAGGAGTATTTTAAACGTGTCGAGGAGACTGGACCCGACAATGATGACGTAGCTAAGTCCGAAGTGCACGTGAATCGTGGTCTTCTCGCTTTGACCCTCGACGCGTATGAAGAATCGTACAAACATTTTATTGCTGCGAAAAATTTATGTCCCTCTAACGTTGTTGCGATAAACAATGCTGCAGTTAGTTTACTGTTTCAGGGACGAAGAAAGGAAGCTCTACAGTTGCTTGAAGGTGTCGTGTTTGAAAATCCCGAGAAAAATTTAATTAAAGGAATCCTGTTTAACATCGGTAAAATGTACGATCTTGAAAATTCGCGTAATCTGCATCAAAAACAAAAACTCCTTGAGTTGATTGGCCAACATCGAGGAGATGGCTTTGACGTGTCGTGTTTGAGTTTCCCTAAGCTTGAATAATGTCTTTCTTGATCGTAAGAAACAAAAAAAGTGAGTTGTAATATTCTCATAAACTTTTTTTTACTAATAAAAGTCTTTTTGTGATTTTGTATTATTTAATCTTTAAAGATAAAAATGTATAAGAAATAAGATATTATTATGTTACTGTTTTTTGCGATGGTATTAACAGGGCGCTGAAGGAAAAATTACGAACATGAAAGTTCCATAATTTATCTTATTTATACGTATTCTTTATTGTTTCCCCCCCGAAACATGACTAATCATACACTAGCAAGTGTACGAGGCACTTTTTGTTTGCCAAATTGATGGCTTAATTAACTTGAAGACCTTCAATCAGCACTGAATGAGAAACGCCCGCCCTGTACGATAAAGGGGACTGAGACTGAGCTACTTCCTTGACTACCGACTGCCTAGGATTATGGGACATACACGTGTGGACGAACAACATGGCGTTGAATTGTGCAAGTAAGTTGAGTTCTTTGAATTTCATGAATTTGACAGCTTTTGCGTGCACATTTAGTTGTCTTGATTTTTAATGCCAATGAAGTGATATGTCAAGTTTTAGTGTCTGAAGTCTTGATAAAAAGCTTGCTACAAATGTTTATTTGTAAGGCTGGCTAATGTTGTATTTGTGTGAAGTTACAACGTTAATCCATACCACCTAAAATTGTGATTTCTTCTTAGAATAAGCGGAAGAAATTATATTTATGGAAATGTTTACTTACCAGTGATGAAATTACACTGTCAAAGCCTAGACATGTTATTTCTACTCCTGTTTTATGTTTCAGTTCTGTGTTCTTAGTGCAAACTTTATATGATTAAGACATAAGAAAAGTTTCACAAACAGTTATGTTTTTGATTAAGGTCATGAATCACTGATCTTTCTTGACTGTCTATTAGATGGAAAACAAATGGTTATATTGTATATTTCAGTTAGCAATGAGGTTCCCGAGCATCCTTGTGTTTCTCCAGTCTCAAGTTGTGTGTTTGAGAGGAGGCTAATAGAAAAATACATTGCTGAGAATGGTGTTGATCCTATTACTAATGAGGTTTTAACAGAAGAGCAGCTTATTGACATTAAAGGTAGCTGTGAAAAGTACATTGTACACAGACTCATTTTTATAAGATTATTATTGTTCAAATTTACAATTTATTACAATATGTTATTAAAGCTATTTTAAAGCAGTGGGGTTTGAAGAAAGTAGGACATCTCAATGTACTTGCATTACTACTTGAATAAATGTTGTAATTCTAGCAAGTCCACTGGTGAAGCCTAAACCTCCATCTGCCACAAGCATTCCTGCCATTTTGAAGTCATTGCAAGATGAATGGGTGCGTTTTATTAAACTTGATTCATAATGAAATTAGCATTCAAAACAAGAGCTGGTTAATGGACACTGTTTGGTAATAACGAGCATTTGTGTGTTCAAATGTTTTGTGTGATCAGTCATGATTGGCCATTTTTGTTGAATTTGGCAAATGAAACGTTTTGTTCAAATGTATAAACATTTGCTGACCTGTCATTTTTAAATGTAGTCTTTATGTCACCAGAATGTTTTGAATACTGAACACTGTAAACTACAGTATAAACTGGAATGCTAACCTTACTGCCATCTTTAAGGCTATAATTGAAGAAGTTTTTCTGAGTTTTTAAAAGTTTCCTGATGTTGTATTATTTTCAAAATTTAAATAACAATATACATAAAATACAATAATTTAATGAATAACAATATACATTATAAAATATTGGATTAAATATAAACTTCATCACAAGCAATAAAACTTTTGACTAAATATTGATGTATTGTGAAAGATAACTTGATATTGACTGTGACATTGATGGTTTTAGGATGCAACAATGCTTCACAGTTTTAGCCTTAGGCAGCAGCTTCAAACAGCAAGACAAGGTTGTTTGATTGTTGCTCTTTTAAAAAGATGCCACAAAGCATTTCATTTTGTGACTAAATATGTTTGTTTTTAGAACTTTCCCATGCATTGTACCAGCATGATGCTGCATGTCGGGTCATTGCCCGTCTTACCAAGGAAGTTACAGCTGCCAGAGAAGGTAGTTGATGACTTTAAAATTACCTTTTCACAGCTTAATTACTAAATTATTTCATTAATTTGTAGCTCTGGCCACCCTGAAACCTCAAGCTGGCATTGTTGCCATGGCGCCAACACCTGTTGCTCCAGCAGTACCAAATGTCAATGTATGTACACTTTTTTTTTAAGTTTTGCAGTTGATGATGACTCAATTGACCAACAATATTCAGAATCAAAAAAAAACAATTTTTGCTGTGTCATGACAACATTCTATAGCATTTCTATTATTTTGTTAAGTTAAATTGTAGACTGCATGTTTTGCAATATTTATCTTATTGTTTTGACTTTACAGAATGACGAGCCAATGGAAGTCAAGGTTTGTTTTCAGCCATTCATATTTTGTTGTCTAGATTGAAAAATCCTAAGAAAGTAATTTTGTTTACTTTAGGTTGGTGAAGAAAGTGGAATGACAGATGACGTTCTGCAGAAGGTAATCTTTTCTTAAAGCATACTTTGCATTATTTGTTAATCTTTTACATTGTAAAAATGTTAACGTAAACAAAAATTTCTTTGTGGTATGATTAGTTGCAAGATAAAGCTACAACTCTTACGGCTGAAAGGAAAAAGGTAAAATCTATTTTGTTTTAGAAAGTTATGCAGTGCATTTTTTGTACATTATGGAAATCTATTTTCTTGAATTCAGAGAGGAAAGAAAATACCAGAAAGTCTGGCAACAGTTGATGAACTTCGCTCTTATAAACAAATATCATCACACCTTGTATGTTTTATTGTGATAAAGATGAATTTTTAATGGAAATAAATTGTGTTAAACATTGTTTTTATTCCTTTTATAAGGGTCTACACAGTGCTAGTAACCCTGGAATCTTAGCTTTGGATCTCCATGCTGCTGATACTTCTCGTGTTCTTACAGGTTAGAGTTTCCATTGTTATTAGTTCAGCCAATTGTACACTTTGCTCATGTGGTGTTAAGCCAATCATAGACTTCTTTGTGTGGTGTTAAGCCAATCATAGACTTCTTTGTGTTGTTGTTAAGCCAATCAAACATATGCTTGTGTGTTGTTAGTCATGTATCAATTGCCATATTTTCATCATTTAAGGTGGTTTGGATAAGAATGCAGTGGTTTTCCATCGAGAAACTGAACAGGTAAACAACTGTGAATCATGTCATTTATAAAAATGCTTGCATATTTACATGTCCATTGAATTGCTGAACACTTGGTTTATGTTTTGTTTAGGTTGTAGCAACCCTTAAAGGTCATTCCAAGAAAGTTACGAGTGTGGTTTATCATCCAACAGAGGTTGAAAAAAACTTTTTTTTTTGCTCATATTCCATATATGTAAAAATATATTTTAAAAAAATAATATCTTTTGAATTTATTCTATAGGACATTGTGTTCACTGCATCACCTGACACAACAATACGCGTTTGGTCTGTTTCAAACTCAAGTTGTACAGAAATTGTCAAGGTTTGTAAAGACATGTTATTATAGATGAATTCCGTATTTGAAAAGGCCCAAAATTACTCCTATTTAAGAAAGAACACTTAAAAAAAAAGAACGAGATGCAGCTTTCATTAGCGCTACCTACGTGTTTAGTTGATATTGTTTTATTTTTGAGTGAGAAAAGCAGTTTTATGTTGAGTCAATTACTGTTGTATACATTCAACTTCTCAGGCACACGATGCTCCTGTGACAGGCATTAGTTTACATGCTACTGGTATGTATTTTGTATTTGATTATTGTTACTTGTAGTTTTCCTTATAACTAGATTGTCAATATTTAGTTCTCATTAACTATTATTTAGGTGACTATCTCCTAAGTTGCTCCTTAGATCAGGTATTTATTTTTCTACAATGTGATGACCCTTTTTCCTAATTATTTTTTTCTAAACGTGAAACTTTTATATAACGTCATGGATAAAATTTTTATTGTGTATAACGTTTGTCTTTAACTTACGATAAGTTACTCTTATTGGCAATTTTATTTATTGTCTTGTTAAAAGTTTTTTGTTGAATTGTTGTATTTATTCTAAGAGTTCATGTCTTACATACATTGATGTTTTACTCTAAGCTCTGGCAGTAAATCATATGTACATAAAAATTGGTTTTTACGATTGCTGAAACTCGTATTCTGTCAGCTTTGTTCATTCGAAACTTTATTTGTTTGAAACTGTAGCATTGGGCTTTCTCTGACATACGAACCGGTCGCGTTTTAACAAAATGTATTTCTGACGTATCATCAAGTCAGTGTAAGTTTGAGATAAGATTGTTTTTTTGAATACATTCATTGCCTTATGTTCAGTTGAACTTTAGCTTTGACCTGTGCACAATTTCATCCTGATGGTTTAATCTTTGGAACTGGGACAACTGACAGGTAAATATTTTTATATATTGTTATATTTTGACCTAAAAATCCATAGGATATCATATAAACATTTGAACTTATTTGAATTGGTGTTTTAAAATCATCATTTATTGGTGATGATGTATTTAAACTTTTTTTTCAGTGTAATAAAAATATGGGATTTAAAAGAACGAGCAAACGTTGCCAATTTCCCTGGACATTCTGGTCCAGTAACTAGTATTTCATTTTCTGAAAACGGGTACGTTTGTCAAAAAATTTGTCAATGCATATTCTAGTCAATGTTTTTTAGTCAATTTTAATTTAAATCATATGAATGTTTACATTTAGATATTATTTGGCAACATCCGCCGATGATTCTGTTGTCAAGCTTTGGGATTTAAGGAAACTAAAAAATTTCAAAACTATTGCTTTGGAAGATCGTTATGAGGTATTTCATTGGATAATTTTACAACATGAACTCTCTGTGGATGATCACTATTTGGTTTGCGCTTTTGTTTTATTTCTACAGGTGAAATCTTTGGGATTTGACCAAAGTGGTGTATATTTAGCTGTTGCTGGTTCAGATGTGCAGTAAGTAAAGTTAAACTTGCTTCTTCATACATGTATATATATAACAGAAATTAATTTATGGGAGGCTCGTGAGTCACAGGAGGGGTGGGACTTCCCCTACAAAGTACTAATATACAAGATGAAGCACTTGTAATTTGCGTTAAATGGAGCACACTTTCAAAAATCTCCTTATGTTAATAAAACGGTAAATACAACTAAAATGTCTGACATGGTAAGGCAGCGAGAAGCCAGCGAAATCTTGTCCCATTTAAAGCAACCCTTCAAAAATAGAATATCGTCGATCAATCACTTTGCATTGGTATTTATGAGTTTCCCAGCAGTTTGTAAATACCCGTTTTGTGGCTCTGTTCTGATTATTAAAAGATTCTGCATGGAGTATAGTTTATTTTCTCTTTCTTTTTCTAGAATATACATGGTTAAGCAATGGGAGCTGTTAAAAACATTTACTGGTTCGTATAACAATCTCTCTAATGACATCTCTCGTAAAACATACCATCATACATCTGTCCTATGGCATACCATCATACATCTCTTGTAAAACATACCATCATACATCTGTCCTATGGCATACCATCATACATCTCTTGTAAAACATACCATCATACATCTGTCCTATGGCATACCATCATACATCTCTTGTAAAACATACCATCATACATCTCTTGTAAAACATACCATCATACATCTCTCGTAAAACATACCATAATACATCTCTTGTAAAACATACCATCATACATCTCTTGTAAAACATACCATATACATCTCTCGTAAAACATACCATCATACATCTTTCCTATAGGGTACCACCATAATTCTATCTTATAGCATATCATCAAAAATCCCTCCTATAGCATACCACCATTTTTTTCTATACTTTTTAACGACTGGCCGTATATTTTGATGAAAGAAAAAGCCAAATGTTAGTTAAAACACGTTCATTGAAGGTTATTTATTTTTGTTATATATTTTAGCTAATTCCTGAAAAATCTTTACGTTTGCTACTCAAATTTTTATTTTGGCAAATTTCCAGTCTAAACAATTACATAATGCTAAATTTCAATTCTCGATAATTTTTTAATGTTATGAACTTCTTCTAGATCATTCGGGTGTTGCAACTGGTGTGAAATTTGGTAAAAATGCTAGTTTCATTGCATCCACTGGAATGGATCGAAATCTAAAGTTCTACGCTTGATTTTGTTTCTCCCATTTTATTCTGGTTCTACCTACGTACCTGTATATTTGTATACAGCACAGAACAAGTTTTGTGCATTATTTCTATGGCTAGACTGTGACAACTGGCGGAACTAGACTTCATGAAATGTTTTGGGTCTAAGTTTCGTATTTTAGTTTTAATTATGTAAAAATTCATTTAATCCATTACTCGTTCAATAATGTTCAATGTTTTAACAAAAAACTGTTTGGTTAGTATTTGATACTTCTCTAAAGATGAAAATACTCTTTATGCAACGTTTATTTTTCTCCACGAACAGACAAGCATGCATGCATAAATGTATCATCAAAAGAGAGAACATTTGTTGTTAATGTGTGAAAATATAGATACAGATACATGCTGAATGCAAAAATCATTGTATGTCCTCATTTTTCACCACGCCATTACTACCTTCTCATTTGGAGTCCTTGCATTTCTTTGCTTAACTCAAATCCCAATGACGTGATTATTACGTTGTCTAACATGTGGGTAAGAGATTAAATTTTTCAACGTAGCTTCACGAGCTCTGTAGTAAATCTTGTGAATTTCATCTTGTGTAAAAATTCAAGTGATAATTGTATACAATGTGTATGATGTTGCTTTTTTTCTTCAGTTCTATAAAAAATATTTTCTGTTCAGTCGATGTCGCGATGTTCTCATATTTCAACGAAAAGACATGAAGTATCGATAGTATTTTAGACTATTATCAACTAAACTTGTTGATTGTCAATATATTCTTCAAAATTTGGAGATGTCAATGGGAAAAAATGAAACAACGCTAAAGAAAAAAAATATCTAATTTCCAAAATGCTTTAAAATACACTGTAATTACACGCAAATGAAATACCCTAATTATTGTTTTACGTTAAATTACAAAATTGTCGTTAGCAAAACGTCGTTATATGACTATTATATTTCCTAAATTTTAAGTTTAAGCTTTTTTTGCGATAAATGTACAAATAAATATTCTTCATATTTGTAAAAATTTGCTTTTCTTCCTTATCATTTGTATCATTTGAAATACCACCGGTGAGCTTTGTGATGTTTTTGTTTTATTCAGGAGAACTCCTCGAGGCATTTTATTACCTTCGGCGATGAGCAATAATTGATTCTAAAAACAGGAAAAAGTTACAAATGTTATGATACATATGGTATATATTTTCAAAAACATATGGACGATTATGATGCCGAAAGCTCTGATGTTTTTATTGTTTTTCTTACTTATACAATCAGCTCTGTTGGTAACTTTGTTTCTTTTCCTGATATTTCCGTAGAAATCAACACAAATCCTATTTCCTTTTTCTTGTTTTTGCAGTGGTTTGAAATATCCATATTTGTCACACCGTATCCATTTGTGTTCCTTCAGTCCACCAAATTCATGGTGTTTTTGTCGAAGACATTGCTTTAGCATTCTGCATGGTCCGTTGCCTGAAGGAGGTTGAAAATTTTATATTTATTACCATTGGTGCATGACGTTGTATCTTTATTTGTAACTTCTTATCTTTTTTATCTTTAGACTGTTCTCGTTCGCTGTTTTTTATTAGTTCATCAACAATTATTGTGACGTAAGTTATTTTCATATTTGTTGTTTATATTGAGTTTACTTTGTTCATCATCAATAACCACAATGATTAATAAGATCTTATTGTTATACATGTTTTTACATTTTACAGATACATTTACCTGGGTATCTTTGTACATAATCAACTCCCATTGGAAAGTAACATTCCAGTTTCATGTTAAATGTTTGTAATGGTTTAAAGTTTCCGTTTTTTTTGCATCTCGCTTCCGTTCCAAAATGCAGTCGCAAAGGATTGTTTTCTAACTGATGGCATGGTCCTGGTGAGTAAAATTGACGTATTTTACTTCATTTCCCCTATAGTAGAGCTAACCTCTGTCTCCCCTCCCTCCGTACCGTTAATATTAAATAAAAGTGACATTATTTGCCTTTGGAATTTTTGTCATTTCATTTATGCATGTTAATTTTTGCCCTTTTGCTCCATGGGGGAGATTGTTTTATCCTTTTTTGGTGTGAAAATCTCTTTGTGCTATTATTGTAAATTGAATAATGTTTTGATGTGTATTTCTGCACAAATTGTATCACGATATGTCTGTTTGTGTTGATCCAAGACATCAGAAATAATTCCATAAAAATATCATCGTATTGCAAAATGTTAGTCATAACAAAGTTACATAAAAATTTATCTTGACAGGTAGAGTTACCCATGCAAAGAAATGATGGAACTTAAGCTCGATATTCTTATGCATTGGTGAAAATTGAAAAATGTTTTTCGTTTTTCTCTTAAATATGTATACTTTTACGGATGGAATTTTAGAAAATTTGTTTCATTCATAAGTTATTTTTTCTGAAAAGAGTATAAATCAATTTTTCATGAACATTACATGTTATATTGCTAATGAAAATGTTATTACAGTCTTGTGAAAATGTATAAAAATGGCTTTTAGTTTATCTATCAACACCAAACATATGATGTAAAACTACTTTCATTCATAAAATTAACGTTATTTTGTACAAACTGAGCGTAGTTTTTGTCGTAGTAAATTGATTGGCATACCGTAATTAGTTGTTTCAACTTGAATTACAGCTCCGGAACAAATTCCGGACAAATAGATGACGAATATCCCTGGTATCAAAGCAATTGGCTCCATTTTCAGTCTTGCTTTTGAAGTATCTCTCGATTTGTTGATGTTTGAACAGTGTACGACTGTACGCAAATCTTGACCTTTTCTTATACATGCGGTCTTCTTTTATAGAGATAAGGACTTTTTTATTAGCCAATCATAGCGGTGTTTTTGGGTGAGGAGACTGAAGAAAGAAGTGTAATTTAATTATTAACGTCATTTATAATTTTGGCATAAAGGGAACACGGAAAGGTCCGAAGGAAATACATCACATTTTTTAAATATTTTTTATCCAGGTATTTATCTTATCATAATTGAACGCCTACACGTAGTATCAAAGGAATGAAATGTATTTTTTACCAAATGTAATTTTGTAAACATTTTCCAAATTTTTCCATTTTTTTCATGGGATGGAATTTCATCGTGGGAGACTGTGTCTTCCATTACATCAATTTTAAATGTTATCTGTCGATGGTTCAACTTTTTTGGGTCTGACTCATCAAAAGTGTCAGTCTGAATATTTTCGACAATGCTAGCATAGTTTTACTTTTTTTGAACATATGTGGACATTGTTAGCGTCATTTGTATTGACTATTGCATATGTAGCTCTTCAAGTTGTAAAGTATTTTGTCATTTGCCTTTACTTGATCAAGTTTATGTCTCAAAAACTAAAACATTCTAATTAGGTTCAAAATCAGATTTCGTTTTCCAAAACATGCACGAGAGAAATTTCAAAATATTAATTCCTAATTTGCTTAGTGTGTTGTACATCACAGGAAACGGCTGCAATTATTGATAGCTGTTCTCTTAGGTCATAATTCCAAAGTAATTTGGTGGAACGGACGCAAGTCCTTCAAAGACCTGTGCATCGTATTTTATGAAATACTTTCTCTTTATAGAACATCGAACACTTAAATGGCATAAAATATCGTCCACAACCAAATTTGGTCTGATGATTCATTTTTCAAAGAAGAGGAGAATGCACAAAAAGAAAGCAATTTTGTTTTATTACCCAATCATATAGTTAAGGTAAAAGTCCATGACACACAACCGCTTTTGCTTTGAATGATGAACATTGATCGTTTCCATAGTTTCTGGTTTGCCCACTCGACATCACTATTTCTTTTTAGATTGACCATTAACGATAGAAATATGTCTTTGTGAGATTCAGTCTTCTGCTTTTAAATGTAAGATGATTTTTCCTTAAAAGTTAAATATAGTTTGCAATCTTACTGTCAAATAAATAATCATTGAAAGACTTTTAATGCTTGGTTGTCTATATATGTTGAAGTATTTACTGTTCATTCATAACGAAATATTGTATCAGTATAACGCAAGCTTCTTAACTTTAGTGAAAAAACCTATTTCGAAAAATTAGCTTATGTCTGACGTTAGTTTGTCAAATATGAAACATTGGCTTGTCTATAAGTTTGTGCAATGCAATGTGAGATCTCGCTCTTTTGCATGGAAATACCGTATAGGTTGTTAATCTCTCATCAGCTTGCTATTGTTCTTGTGACGTTTAATTCATTGTTGGTCATAAATGTAAACAGACTTTGTGATGATAATATAACTAAAGACAAAATCTAATCGAATACTTGACATTAAACCGCATATTCTAAAATGTTCGGTGTTTGCTGCTTTTGTTCCCTAATTGTAATGCTGTTTGCAAATAAAAACGTATCTAGTCAATCGTTATTAGGTAAAATAACTTATGCGGACGGACGCCAGAGAGAAACGAAAGCAAGTCTTGATGCTGTTCAAAATGGAATGCTTTTTCCTCGTGAGTCAGAAAGTCGTCAAATCAAAAATCTCGGAGGGATTTGGTCCTTTCGTGCAGACATGTCTTCAAGTCGAAATGAAGGTTTTGATAAGAAATGGTATCAACAAGACTTATACAAGGTATGTTCAAATGATATTGTCGCAATGATCATTTTACGTATATATATTTGACCTTAACTGACCATGCTTTTATGGTCATGTTCTGTAAAAGACATTGACTTGAGGTGAAATGACTGAAATCAAGTTTTTTTTCATAAGATGACGAAGAATGGTGTTTTTCTTTATATTTACAGACAGGTCCAGTAATCAAGATGGCAGTTCCCTCAAGTTTTAATGACGTCACACAAGATGATGCACTGAGAAAGTTTGTTGGTTGGGTCTGGTACGATCGTATTGTGTATCCGCCTAAATCTTGGCAGACTGAAAATTTACGGGTGGTTTTAAGATTCGAAAGTGTCCACTATAATGCCATTGTGGTATGTTCAGTCTGTACCATGCTTCCGTTTTATTCATTTCCCCTTTTTATCACAAAAATTAATTTAAAAATTATCAATTTGCTATGAAATGCAACAAGGAAAAAATGTTATTTGCATCTCGTTATTGGACAATGAAATTATGTAGAGTTATGGGGACTTGTGCATAAAAACCTTGGGGATTTGGAATGGGTTTTTTTCAAGACCTTGGTAACAGTTAACAATAGAGTTTGGAAAAATTGATATACAAAAATTCTTTCTCTTCAGTGGTTGAATGGTGAAGAAGCAATAAGTCATTGTGGTGGCCATCTTCCTTTTGAAGCTGACGTTAACAAACTTCTAAAGTTTGGTGAAGAAAACAGAATAACAGTTGCCGTAAATAATACACTGAATACAACGACATTACCTCCAGGAACAATTGAGTACAAGCATGGTCCAAGGTTGTTGTTTTTGCAGGATCTTTACTACAAACAAAATATTGAGATCAGTGCGAACGCAAAATAAAAACAATGAAAAATAACTCTGAAAAAAAAACAGTCAGCTGTTACCTGGGTTTTATCGTTCATTTTATAGAAAAATATCTTGCTTGAAGATCTTAAAATTTAAGAGCCAGAAATTATTTATAACTTAAACACAAAAAGTGAAACATTTATTCCAATTGCCAACATGCAAGATAACGCAATAATTTTTGCATGTTTAAGACATCGTTTGAGTATGTTCATTGTAAACGAGCTCAATCACCTGGAGATTTTTTGCACCAAATATATGATAGTTGATATGACTGGCGGGCGATGAATTGTTCGATGTAATGACTATTTCAGTGATGAGATGTAATAAGATATGTGTCTTTTTTTCTGCAGATATCCCAAAGGATATTTTGTACAGGATTATGCATTTGATTTCTTCAATTATGCTGGAATACATCGTTTGGTTCGTTTTTACACGACACCTCAAGTCTTCATCTCGGATATCACTGTCGTTACTGATCTAACCTCTGATAATGCAAATGGAACACTTCGTTTCAAAACTCTTGTCCTAGGTTCTCAATCTTTACACGATTCTTTTCATGTGTCGTACAAACTCTTCGATGCTGCTGGAAAATCTGTTGCAAATATCTCTGGATTTAAACTGTTAATTGGAAAATTAGAAGTACATAATGTTCAACCATGGTGGCCTATTGGAATGAATGATAATCCTGGTTATCTTTACTATTTGAAGGTACTTATAAACATCTGTTAAATCCAGCATATACAACTAAAGGAAGACGTTGATCATTAAATGAAATCATCGTTATTTCTCATTAAGATCATTGTCACTAGCGGTGATTTGATGGATGTTTATCGTTTGCCAGTTGGATTTCGTACTGTTAAAGTGGAGAAAACAAAATTTCTTATCAATCATAAACCGTTCTATTTTAAAGGATTTGGCATGCACGAAGATTCTGATGTAAGCAATGTTGACTAGTCTTTGTGTTTTGTTTGTATTTTTCTGTGTACTGTTGTGAATCAATGAGATAATATTTTATTTCAGATACGTGGTAAAGGTTTGGACTTTCCTCTAATTGTGAAAAATTTTAATCTTTTTACTTGGCTTGGAGGCAATGCCTTTCGTACCAGCCACTATCCATACGCGGAAGAAATCATGGATATGGCTGATCAGTTAGGGATAGTTGTGATCGACGAGTGTCCTGGGGTTGGCATTGAGAAGTATGGACAATTACGTTATAAATATGATTTGTTAATATTTTCATGCACAAATTTTCTTGTTAAAACATAAATTCAATTTTTTCTCGTGTAAAATGTGTTTGATAGTGTCCGTCTTTAAATTGCAATCTTCTAAATCACATCACTTCAGATAAAAACACTTTATCGTCTTTTCTAGAGTAACTATGCTGTCTTACTTTCATGTTTTCATAGTCTAAATTTTGGTGCCCAGTCTCTTTCGCATCATCTTGAGGTGATGAATGAGTTCGTAAGACGGGACAAGAATCGTCCTTCAGTAGTCATGTGGTCTGTTGCCAACGAACCAAGCTCAAATGTTCATGCTGCTGAGGCATACTTCAAGTAAGCATTTTGTAGAGAAATGTCCGATAACAACCTCTTGACATTAATGTGTTTTTTTTCAGAAGTGTTATTGAACACACAAGGTTTCTGGATCCTACAAGACCAGTCACGTTCGTTTCTGACAAGTCTCCTGATGATGACCTTGTGGTGAGTGTTGAGGTTTTTCTTGCTTAAATTTTCAAACTCCATAAGAACACTAAATACTTGACGAGTCAAATCAGGGTTGGTCGTTGTATAACAGCCTTAAAAATAAGTAACTTGTTAATCTTTCAAGAAACTTTCTCATTGTCCTTCATTCTACGAAAAATGAACGCTTATGCATGTATAGCCTTTATGATGTGTTGTGTCATTTCAAGGTTCAATTTGTGGACGTGATCTGTCACAATCATTATTATGCCTGGTACCAAGATCCGGGACATTTAGAGCTCATTCAGTTACAGCTTGAATATGACTTACGTCAGTGGTTTGAAAAGTTTCAAAAACCTGTCATCCAATCAGAATACGGCGCAGGAGCGGTTGCCGGCATTCATACTGTGAGTGATGGAAATTTAGCTTTTTAACGGAGATTATGACGTTCAATGAAATGTATTTGATTCATATTGCATGAAAAATGCATGAACGAGATGTAAAGTTGTTTTTTTTGCACTCTCGTAGCATTAGCTTTGCACATGTTTACTTATAATTTTTTTCTTTCTTGACAACGAAACGTTTTCTAATGTGAAATTAACGAACCTGCATTCTGTCTCATGGAGTGATTGCATGTTATCGAAGAAACTTTTCAATTATAAAACAAAATACGTGATTTATCAAGGTTAGCAATCTGTTTGAAAAGAATGGCAACAAAAATGATTCAAGCATATTCTTAAAAAGACTATCAACCAATGATCATGTCGTATAATTCATTTGATCAAAATTTTCAGTGTTTTTTTGTCCCGTGAGAAAGACGTTCAAAATTTACAAATAATTTTGTTTTGATCCATTTAGTTTCCTTCTGTAATGTTCACTGAAGATTATCAGGTATTCAGATGCAACTCTGAATTTACGTTTTGCAAGATTAGAATCTCTAAAATAATATTTTAGGTGGCCACCATTGAGCAGTATTTCCCTGTCTTTGATAAACTGAAGGAAGAATTCTTAGTAGGTGAACTGATCTGGAATTTTGCTGACTTTATGACAAAGCAAGGTATGTGTACTCAGGTTTGGAGGGAAGTGTGAGGGAAGCAGCAAGCAGCCCTTCTACCTTCCACTTTTGACAAACAATGTTGGTTCGATAGTTTCCCATTGACACTTAAGCAAATGGCTGTCTTGCGGTTAAGCACTTTTGCAGCAGTCATGAAAATCATCGACCATCCCCCATTGAAAATCTTTACTGGTGTGCTTTTATGCATGATTACGACAGATAATACGATAATTTAAGACACAAGTTTTAATCTTATGAAAAATATCTTTTTTGCACGCTTTACACTTCGGAATGCTCTGTAACATTTGCTTCGTTATTTTTAGGTTTTCACGCGAACATTTACCAATTCATGGTTAAATGTATGAATATCTTGTTGATGATGGTACAATGCATGCTTTGTAACGTCATCAACACATTTGCTAAAACTCAAAGAGTTTTAAAGAGAATGAAGCCATGTGTTACTGTATATTTTCTTACTGTATTATTGCACCAATCTTCTTATCATCAATCTTTAGGCGTTAAGAGAGTTCAAGGAAACAAGAAAGGAATTTTGACTCGACAACGTCAACCAAAACAAGCCGCCTACGTCCTGAGAAACCGTTATCTCAATCTCACTGTAAACTCAATTTTGCCTGTCGACAGAGAAAACGCAATCTGTTTTCGTTAGGATAGTAACATTTTCGTTTTGGTCCAAATAAGCACAAAAAAATCAAATAGGTCAAATTTGTAGTGACTTTCCAATAAAGTCACTTAATTTTGTACGGAAAGAATAACAAAATCAATTTAAAATAAAAATGTCGATGCCAGTTTTTTCAAAGATATATTGAATTATCAACCTGAGCTCTAAAAGACAATACACGTATATTTTCAATTTCGAAAATCTTGTTAAAAAAAAAATAAAAAAATCAATCACCAGAAAAACAAATGACCTTGTGACATATGAACCCCATGAAGTCTATTCTGTCTATCTAGTATTACAAACTTGATGTGATAATGCTAGCTGTTGGTTAAGAACAATAAAAAAATATAGCTCACACTACAATAGATGTAGAAAATGGTCTGTATTATCTTTTTTCGACCTATTTTAATGGGATTGCTGTTTGCTGAGAATTTCGTTCTTACCTGCGCTTCTGTCGATAAAGATCTCTATGTGTATGAAAGTGACAACAAAGCAGAATCAAATCTTAATGCTCTCCAACATGGCATGCTTTTTCCTCGTGAGTCAGAGAGTCGACAAATCAAAAATCTTGAAGGGATTTGGTCCTTTCGTGCGGACATGTCTTCAAGTCGAAATGAAGGATTTGATAAGAAATGGTATCAACAAGACTTATACAAAGTATGTTCGATTAAATGATTTTGTTTATGTTTTGTTGTAAGACATGTGAATTTTATGTTCGACTAATGACCTCGTATCGTTTAACATTTATAAATGGAAATCAAGTTGTGGCGATTTTCGTCATATTTACAGACAGGTCCAGTGATCAAGATGGCAGTTCCCTCAAGTTTTAATGACGTCACACAAGATGATGCACTAAGAAAGTTTGTTGGTTGGGTCTGGTACGACCGTATTGTGTATCCGCCTAAATCTTGGCAGACTGACAATTTACGGGTGGTTTTAAGATTCGAAAGTGTCCACTATAATGCCATTGTTGTAAGTGTTGAAACATAAATGCTTTCAAATCTTTTCTTGTTGGTCAATCAGACGCAGACTTAACATTTTATTTACGATGACGCGGGTGTTCCCCAGCCCCGGCAATTTGCAACCAAATAAAATATCGCCATCTTTTATGTGAATAAATGAAACAACATTTGTTTACTTAACCCCATGTGTTTACTTATTTATTATAAATGTTCAATCCAATGAAAAGCCATGACACTTTATTAATGAAATATGACTCAGAAGAATATTCCACTGAATTTTTTTATCTCTTTGAAATTATTAAGTAATAAATTGACCACAATATGTTTCTTTTCAGTGGTTGAATGGTGAAGAAGCAATAAGACATTATGGTGGCCATCTTCCTTTTGAAGCTCACGTTAACAAACTTCTAAAGTTTGGTGAAGAAAACAGAATAACAGTTGCCGTAAATAATACATTGAATTCAACGACATTACCTCCAGGAACAATTGAGTACAAGCATGGTCCAAGGTATTTGATGGAAACTTTTGTTTCACTTTTTTGTAACGTGATCACATGATCCATTCGTCATTATTGTCCATTTCACATTGATGAATGATGATCACAATTTTAGATATCCCAAAGGATATTTTGTACAGGATTATGCATTTGATTTCTTCAATTATGCTGGAATACATCGTTTGGTTCGTTTTTACACGACACCTCAAGTCTTCATCTCGGATATCACTGTCGTTACTGATCTAACTTCTGATAATACAAATGGAACACTTCGTTTCAAAACTCTTGTCCTAGGTTCTCAATCTTTACACGATTCTTTTCATGTGTCGTACAAACTCTTCGATGCTGCTGGAAAATCTGTTGCAAATATCTCTGGATTTAAACTGTTAATTGGAAAATTAGAAGTACATAATGTTCAACCATGGTGGCCTATTGGAATGAATGATAATCCTGGTTATCTTTACTATTTGAAGGTACTTATAAACATCTGTTAAATCCAGCATATACAACTAAAGGAAGACGTTGATCATTAAATGAAATCATCATTATTTCTCATTAAGATCATTGTCACTAGCGGTGATTTGATGGATGTTTATCGTTTGCCCGTTGGATTTCGTACTGTTAAAGTGGAGAAAACAAAATTTCTTATTAATCATAAACCGTTCTATTTCAAAGGATTCAATATGCACGAAGATTCTGATGTAAGCAATGTTGACTAGTCTTTGTGTTTTGTTTGTATTTTTCTGTGTACTGTTGTGAATCAATGAGATAATATTTTATTTCAGATACGTGGTAAAGGTTTGGACTTTCCTCTAATTGTGAAAAACTTTAATCTTTTTACTTGGCTTGGAGGCAATGCCTTTCGTACCAGCCACTATCCTTACGCGGAAGAAATCATGGATATGGCTGATCAGTTAGGGATAGTTGTGATCGACGAGTGTCCCGGGATCGGGATTCGAGCGTAAGAGTCCACATCAAATATGTTTATTTCGTAATATAATTATTAATGTTATAATGTATTACTTTTGTCAGACCAAATTTTGGTGCCCAGTCTCTATCACATCATCTTGAGGTGATGAATGAGTTAGTGCGACGAGACAAGAATCGTCCTTCAGTAGTCATGTGGTCTGTTGCCAACGAACCAAGCTCAAACCTTCCTGCTGCCGAATTATACTTCAAGTAAGCATTTTGCGGGTTGTCCGTAAGCAATGTCTATTTTCTAATAGAAATTGTTTTGTTATAGAACTGTTATCAATCATACAAGGTTTCTTGATACAACACGACCAGTCACATTCGTTACTAATAAATCATCAGGCGATGATCGTGCTGTGAGTGCCTGCTTTTGTTTTTTCTATGATTTGCCATTTTTTGTTCTAAAAAGAGCAATAAAATTAAAAATGTTGACCATACTCTTGATTTGCTGTCTTGAAGAATTTGTCAGTGAAAAAATCATGAAATATTCTTGAAACTTTTTTATTTATTTTTCTTTACTCATAAAGGATTGCAAGAAAACACATTTTTTTGAGAAAACTTTTTAAAGCTTTCTTTATTAAAACATTTTAAAATTTTCCAATTAAGGTTCAATTTGTGGACGTAATCTGTCACAATCATTATTATGCCTGGTACCATGATCCGGGACATTTGGAACTCATTCAGTTACAACTCGAATATGATTTACGTCAGTGGTTTGAAAAGTTTCAAAAACCTGTCATCCAATCAGAATACGGTGCCGGTACTGTTTCTGGTCTTCATATGGTAAGTCAGTCGTTTAAAATTTGGCTTTTGATTTTTTTAATCTTTCTTTTATAAAAGTTTTCTCTCTAGCTGAAATGATCAGATTTATTATTGGGTTGACGTTGTGTAATTTCTTAAATTTATTGACTAAAATCTCCTTAGCCAATGTAGTGTTTGCACGTGACGTCAAAGCGGCCATGTTTGGGGAGTACATCAGAGTACATCAGAGCTATGGCTGTGATCAGAGCAGCAGAGTGTTCTTGCTCAACAGACCAAGAAATTAACATACATTCTTTTCACAATATACGATTTCTCCCCAACCAACATGTGACTGATAAAAACACTCTATAAGTCAAATTTTTAAATGAAGTGTTATTCTTGCTAAGAACTTTCGTGAAACTGACTCATGTATTTCAATGTAGTTAATTCTGTTGACGTCGTTTCAAGTTTTCAGCCAAATTTAACTGAAAATTTGTAAACTTACAAAGAAAATGTAACCTGTCAATAAAATTAATGTTTATGCATTGAAATTTCCAGTTTCCTCCCGTCATGTATACTGAAGATTATCAGGTAAGGATAAAGACATTCTGAAAACATCTTGTGGATCTTAAACCTGGAATTGGAACAGCAATATTATTGTTGTTTTTAGGTGGCCACCATTGAGCAATATTTCCCTGTCTTTGATAAACTGAGGGAAGAGTTCTTCGTTGGTGAACTGATCTGGAATTTTGCTGACTTTATGACAAAACAATGTTTGTAACAAGTTTCTTCTTTATAAAACACATGATGATTGAAAATTGCTTCTGCTATATTACAGTAGACACCCTTACTAACTTCATCATATTTTTTACAGACTGATTTACAATAACTCAATTCTAATGATAAAAATACCCATCTGGCCATCACACCGAGAGCTACAATTATTTGCTTAATATCAAACATAATATATAGTATATAGTATTAAATGTGAATAAAATTTGTAGGCTTTTTAGGGAACTTTGTCTTCCTTCATGTATTCGTTAAATGTTGATGATGTTCATTATGTTTCTTCTTTTTATTTTTTATGCTGTCTTTCTCAGAATGTGTTTTATATATTTGTTTCTAGATGTTAAGAGAGTTCAAGGAAATAAGAAAGGAATTTTAACTCGACAACGTCAACCAAAGGAAGCTGCCTACGTTCTGAGAAACCGTTATCTCAATCTCAATATCTCCATGGGGTCAACCAAACGAGACGAGTATAAGAATGGAAAATGCACTTGTTAATAAATTGAAAAGGGTGTCCAACAATCTCTTAAATTAAAAGATCTAAACCACTGTAAATAAGTGATATTTTGTTATGAAATGATATCCCAGCTTAGCCAAGCCGCTTTCTTTTATCTTAAAATCAATCTTGGCTGCACCTTCGAAAACAATTTCTCTTATTTCCCTCCTTTAACTAAGGAATCGAATTTTTGGCATAGAAAACAATTAGTTCATTATCTTGTTCCCAAAGCAAGCCTCGCCGGTGATTTGAAAGGTCGTGACCCTAAAAGTATAGCAACAATGAAGCGAATGAACAACGAACTACGGTCCACTGGACTTTCTTCACAAAGTCTGCGCGTTCATTCAGGAATGTTCTGTCGCCATTTCCGGTGAAATAAACACATCCGGATGTGTGCGTAGCAATTAATGAATGTCGAAATACGATAAGTTTTAAGTTTACGTTCTTATCAACTTCATTTTAAAAAGACAACCAAGCAAATTGCTTCTGTGCGATTAGATTTGTCATTTTAACGTCAGTTTACTTTTCAAAGTAAGTCAGGAGAAGGTGAACGCTGTGCTCTTACTGTTGCGAAGCGCTTGTTCAAAACATCTTAATTCTTATACATTCTGATAAACACAGAATTGGAAGACTCATGTCGGAGGACTTTGTGTGAAAAGGATAAAGAAGTTGCGAGTTTGGTTTTGTTTTCTTTGTTTGGCGACAGTGCTGTCTTTTTTTTTATGATTGTAATGTTAGCAGCAGGTCTGGTTTCTTGACAAAGTCAGCTTACTGGTACTAGAGTCATTTTAAATGCTGATTCGAGTTGATTTTCGAATTAAACATAATTATTTTTGTGGATGAATAATGAGTGTTATCACTGAGTATGTGTCGGCATTGAACGGGCACAAATGGCAGATTTCTTGCCTTGAGTTCTATTCTAGTGAAAGTACTGTATATTTGGCGTCTGGCTCATGGGATAAAACTGTGAAAATTTGGGATTTAAGCGAATGTGACGCTTGTACCAAACTTAAAGGCCTGCACAGAGGAGCAGTAACAAGTTTAGCTTGGTGTAAAAAATCACACGACTACAATATTTTAGCAACTACATCATCAGACAAAACGGCATGTTTGTGGAACAGTGATACGGGTAAAAGTTTGGCTCAACTTAAAGATCACGAAGGTTGGGTTCTTGACTGTTCATTCTCCGCAGATAGTCGCACATTGGCGACGTCGAGTTGGGATTCAAACGTTAAACTTTGGGATGTAGAAACGAAGAAATGTGTACGATCTTTAAACGACCATGAAAGTGGAGTATGGACTTGTAAGTACCATAGCGAAAATCCTAATATTGTTTGTTCTGGATCTGAAGACGGCTCATTGCGTGTATGGGATGCAAGAGCAACGACATCGAGATATTTTGGTGGGCACGATGATAGTATAAGAGTTTGCTCATGGTCACCAAATGGAGGCGACTACATAGTCTCTGGTAGTGCTGATACTACGGTAATTAGTTTTTTCAATTTAATAATAATCCTTGTGTAACTTTACGGTATTCAGGTTCGGACATATATACAAATCATAAGTTATCACAAATGTTCAGCGACCAACTGAGAGAAAAAATATTGTTTATGTTCTTGCGTATATCAACTATATCTTAAATTTCAATTGTGTGGCAGCTAATGATAAATTTCTCAAATATCATAATATTGTGTTGGTGTTCGAATAAATCGCTTGATTATTTAGCTATATCGTTTTGTAAAAGCTTTTTAATAATAAGGCCGGTATTGATCAGAAAAAATCCTTAAAATGTTCTAAATGATTTAAAATTAAAATTGTAAAAAATGTAGTTAATTAAAAATTGCACTGTAACTATTCTCAGTCTGTTCTAGTTTGTTCGATATGTGGCGCATTGTATGCACGCACATGGAAAGAAATTAATTCTTAATCAAAGTATTCTAACTATTTCTTTTATTTATATTTCTAATAAGCATAGCTTTACTTATTTGAAGAAATGCACTTCATGCGTTCTTATAATCAACTCACTTTAGTGACTTTCCCAAGAAATGTTTTGCTTAGTTTTGGACAATACATCGAAGGATGAATAGATTTTAACATCGTAATTAAATTTTTTATATCTTATGTTTATAGTATAATCGTTAATGAATTAATAACTCTTAAAAAATAACACAAAAACATAATAACATAGCTTGCTTGTTGGAATTCTGTCAAAAAAATCTACGTCCGTCTGTCTGGGATTGACAATTAAATCTGCTTAATTTAAGCGCGCAATTTGATATTCAACGTGGAGTGAAATAGACTTGTGAATTTAATCGACTTTCCTGCACAATCTTCTTATTTTTTGACCATTCTCTCTTTAAAGATGTTTGTATGATCAAACTAGAATAATCATTTTACTTGTGTTGCTACGTAAGTCTTATATCACAATATACGTTAGTCTTGTATCACAAAAACACTTCACACAAAAGTACGTATATCCTGTCGTCTCGAGAAGCCACCAACACTTCCCACGAGTATTTTTTATGTGTTACAAGTGAGATTCACCATCTTTATGTTTTTAGATAATACTTTGGGATTTCAGACAGAACGTTGCCCTCACAAAATGTTCTGGACACGAGGCTCCCGTTACCGATGTGAAATTTTACCCTTTGGTCGGGAAAGAGCGATACCCTATAGTTCTATCCTGTGGCGATTATTCAGTTCGAGTCTGGAATCCGCTGGCAAGCTCGAAAGAACTTTTGAAACTGAAACAGCATAATTTTGGTTGCGAGGTAAGTTTTAAAAAATAGGTACATTGATTTCTTATGTTCCATCCTCACTATGACATAAGTATAAAGAGATCAAGGACAGTGATTTCTATATACCATCCTTACTATGACATAAGTATAAGTAGATCAAGTATATTGTTTTTATGAATTTGGACCATCTTTATTATAAAGTAAATTCAAAGACATTGATTATATTCATTACAGGTTGAAGCGATAGCAGTATCAGACGATGGTACATTGTTAGCATCAGGAGGATTGGACAATAAAATCATTCTTACGGCAATGGATGTTCCTGTGGACAAGCTTCAAGACATGCCTGTGAATCTATCAAACGAGCTATGGACTCGACATAAATCACAAGAAAGAAAAACAACAGATAGTAAGTTTTTACAAAGTCGGTGGCTGGGTTAGTGGAGTATGTCACATGATTGATTTGTATGTCCTTCAAGTCAATTGAAAATTCAGCTTTTTACGTTCCATTCATTGTTGTTTTTCAAATCTTTATTTTATCAACGCAGATGTAGACGATTGCGATGGATTACCACATAGGGATAAGGAGTTTGAAAAACTTCTCGAAGAAATGCAGCATCATAACAAGAAAGACCATCTTATCATACCACCTGTTTCTTCAGCAGCAAGTCTTTTTGAAGGCGCTCTAGAAAGAAAAGATAACAAAAATCTCGTTAGTCGGTCATCATCCAATGACCACGTAGGTAGGAAAACCTCAAAATCAAAGAAAAAAGGATCAAAAAGACATAGACCCCGCTCTTATGTTCTGTCTGATGGCGATGCACCGTCATTATTGCTTAATGCAGAATTGACCAAGAAACTAGCAACATTGAAAAACGGAAAAAACTCTTCTGATCACACGGCAAACCCATTGAGTATGTTTTAATAACTTTTTTTTTATTTTAATGATCGTCTTTGTGTTCTGCATCTAGAGTCCTGGATTTCTTTGCTTACCTCATTCACATGAAGATTTCATGTCTTGTCTTTGTTATGAGTGATCTTGATCCTACTTTTTTATTAAGTTCTAACGTTTATTTTTGGCTTTACTTTTCAGCAAACGGTGCTAAGGATGGCAATGTAATGGAAAATGGATGTTTACATAGAGAAAGGCAGGAAATTGAAGAAATCAGCAATGAAATGGTAAATCTGGCAAGAGAAATGGAGAAAACGTGAAAAGTGTAAACCTCATTGTGACCTTCGCAGACTTAAGTGCCTAAATTACAGTTTTTAAAACAAGAATATATTGTTGCATTAGCTGCTATTATAGTGACTCCAATGTTTTAATTGAATTATGACTCAGATCTTCACCAGTTTTTATCTATCATCATCAATTCAGTCTTATTGACTGCCAATTCATCAGTAGAGAACAATCGTCTTATCTGTATAATTCTACTTGTATGTAAATTATTCGTAATTTTTTACCATAGATATAAATTCATCATAGTATTATGTACATTTTGCAATCAATGAATGCGAAGTACTACCAAAGTCGGTCGTTAAAACATGGGCTATCCTACCCCAGGGCTATTATAACTTTGCTGGTAATTGTTTAATGTAACTTTAAACGTTGATCGAAACGTTTTTGCTTCAAATATTTCTTTATATTGGGCAGTTGGAAAGAAACAAAGCATTGTTCAAAATGTAAGCATTGGCTTAAGCATTTACTACTTATGTTTAAAAGACAAACAGATTTAAACAAAAAATTTATTACTACGGTTTTTAAACACTTTCGTAAATTAGTTGCCCAAAGTAATAAACTTTAAAATGGCTTATCTATGACTTTATAAAGTTGTGTATTGAGATCGATATTTTCAACTATAGTGCCAAATACCATTGACAATGAATCCTTCCTTTATCATGTACCCACTTAGTGTAATGTGCAAAGAATATGGAATGACAACTAACAATATTTCGGATAAGTAGCAACAATGGGTTGGTGTCAACATTTCAAGTCTGTCACGTACAACTCGTTTGTTCTTGTGTTACAATGAGCATATTGATAAATAATATCCTGATGTTACTGTAAACTTTGGTTTAATACTGTAAACATTTCGCGTGCATGGTACAATGTGATACCAAGTCAAAGTTTATTTTTGCATAAATTGCAATTGGCCAAATTTGCGTAAACGGTACTTTGGTCTTGTTAATTTTGTTACTAGTGAATTCAACTAAAAAGCCAATCGATTTTCACAAATTTTCTTACTCACACATGCACAGCCGGTGGCTGACGAAGCAGCTTAAAAATTTATTGTCATCAACATACCGCTTACCTTACTAAGTGACGGCTCATTTCAGCTGGAGCGAAGGCAGATCACTGGTTGGGTTTTGGTTTGGTTTTGTAATATTTTGGAGTTCTATCATACTATTTTTTTTGAAGACCTTTCATAATATCACCACCTCACCAGCACATTTATCTGTCACGATCTTTAACGTCATGACTACTGCAATAAAAGAGCTGACCACTTTGGAAGAGTGGGAGGCCGAATGGGACGCTTTGTCAGACGAAATAAAGACTTACAAAGTAAGCGGTCATTTCTTGTTGATGAAGGTCGCTTTCAATTTTTTCTGTAGTGCATGTCATTGGACAGCTAGTTTAAGAAATGAGTGTGGTATTTGATGTTGAAAGTTGCCGGTATGTATGAATAATTAATGCGCAATTTGTGCATATATATTTGCCCTTGATTGCCCTGTTCCGTATCAGTTTATTTAAATTTGCATTTAATCATGTTGTGGGGAAATTATGCCATAAAATGCCTGTTCATTGAGGTTGTTTGGTTAGTTTCTTTTGTGAATTTGTTTGGTCAGATGACAACTACTTATCAATGCAAATTGCAAAGAAAATTGCAAAAATTACTATTGGGTTTAAATTAATGCACTTAGAGTGGCAGGGCAACTTGTGGTCAAGTATGAAAAATAAGACAGCTGTAATGTAAATACTCTCTGTATTCTAATATCAACTGTTGTTTGACTAGCAAACTAAAGTGACAGAATACAACGACCTAATGGCAAAATGGGAAACTGCTCAAGCCAGCTGTATGAAAGTAATTGCAATGCATAAAAAAAAAGTTGATGCATTTAAACACTCTCTCAAGAAGTAAGTTTAATTTGTCAATGTTCTATAATGAAGTATAATTTTTTGCTTTCTTTCAATAAGTTATCACATTGAATGCAATTTATATATGAGTTATAATCTGATACTTGTGCATAATATATTCCAAACTTGTGCACATATCAAAAAATTTCAAAGTTGCTTATTCTTTGATAATTATGGATGTATTTTATTATATTATAAAAATGGATATTAATCTTTAGGTTTTAAAATTTTACTTTTTTCCTAAGAGTTTCAAAAGCTTGCAAGGATGAAGAAAAACTACAGGTGTTTTATAAGCAAATTGAAGAAAATGAAAAGCAAATACAAGAAATGAAGAGAAACCTTCCAGTTAGTATAGGGTAATGGATGACTGCTTAGCTTTAAGATTTTTTACTCATGGAATTAATGCATGATTGTTACACAAACGTAACATTTTATTGCTGTTTTTTTCTAGATTATTCTTACGATGTTGTTTGGGAGACATTGACCTATCGCTGTATAGTAAAAAGTTGGTTAATATTGTTTTTAGGTTTTGTATCAATTAGTAATAAATTGTGCAAAAAAGTTATTATATATTTCAAAAGAACAAATTCAAATTTGAAAACTCTGCTTTTTGGTGTAGATATAAAATGTTATAACTGTACATAAGTCTCTGAATTTCTTGTATTCTTAATCCTTTTTGAAACTTAAAGTCAAGAGGAACATTGACCCGTATTTCAAGTTGAATGAGGAATGACACATAAAATTGTTTTTAGTTAACAGTTCTTCACAAACATTTCTTTTCCAATTTTATTTCTTAGTTGAATTATTTTGTTTCAAATGCCCCTCTAAAAATATGTTGAAAAGCAGGCTGTTAAAGTACATACTTAACTTTATATGGCATTATATTGTTGTCAAAATGTTTCTCTTACAGCTTTATAATCTTTGTATGTATGCCTTGTTTTGTAGACTTAACTACAAGAACAAATATGAAAAATTCAAGTTGATTATGACTTTAATCTCTTTCTTTATCTCCATCTTGAATTTGCTTGTGTTTAACCACAGGTATTTTTTTTCTCATTACATGGCATAATAACTCCTGTTCACAAAACCAACTCTTCTTAACTTTGACCATCAACTTACATGGTAACTTTGAATAAACTGTTTTCTGTTTTTATAGATTTACAGATGCTTTGTTTCATGCTGTTTTGCTTTGGTACTACAGTTCTTTAACATTACAAGAGCACATTCTATTGGTCAATGGGTCCCGGTAACTCGTAAAAAATTCAATTTAGTCAAGTGTTCAGGAAATGAAATTTGCTCATGACCTTGTGATCAATCAAAATTACAACAGCTCATACGGAGAAATGTTATACTGTTTTAGGATAAAAAACTGGTGGATTTTGCATCACTACTTGTCCATTCTGTTATCTGGATTTTTACTGATATGGTGAACGTTTGATTTAATTATTTAAATCACATTTAGTGCAAAGTTGTGCATCTTCTATCGTAAATATATTGTTTTTTTTAGGCCAGATGGAAAAATATATCAACTGTACCGAAATAAATTCTTTTATTTCTCCATTTATTTAAGTACGTTCTCATTTATTACTTCTAAATTAACAGTTTCATTTTTTTGTTATTGATCATAAGAAATCATTTTATGCTTGTTTGTATTTCAGTTTAACCTAGAGTCTAACAGCAAATTTGACCAATTTAGGTTTTGTTCAATTTCTACAATACAATTATCAGCGAGGAGTCCTTTATCGATTGAGAGCTTTAGGGGCCAGTCGTACTATGGACATAACTGTAGGTAAGTGTTGTGTGGGTGGGGAGCTAGTCATACGATGGACATAACTGTAAGTAAGTGACTTAACCGTAAGTAAATGCTGTGGGGGTGGGGGTTAGTTGTACTATAGACATAACTCTAGTTAAGTGTTGTGGGTTTGGGGGCTAGTCCTACTATGGACATAACTCTAGGTAAGTGTTGTGGGGTTGGGGGTTAGTCACACTATGGATGTAACTGTTGGTAAGTGGGAATGTTTCTGTGTTACAAAGCAATGACCAATAATGAATGGGCAAATGGTTTGACCAAATGCACAGTTGCTTTGTTGATTTTTATCGCTCTTAAGTATTGGTTCCGTTGTTTCATACAATGGCATTGGTTAAAGTTTATGATGATATTTTCTTTTACGTCTCATTTCAGAGGGAGTCGATACGAAGCGTTCTAATGGTCTTGGATTTATCGTTCCGTTTTTATGTGTGGGTTATGTGAGTAAAATGATTTTAATTTGAGCATTTTATTCAAACAAATTTTACATGTATTCTTTTTTTTGTGTTATTAGTTTCTCCAATTCTATAATGCCTATCTTCTTTTTGATCTGTCATTTTATAATGATTGTGATATGTGGCAGGTAATGTCAAAAGTAGACAGTATGTACCTACATTGAAATGTCATTTACTATGTCTTATTACGTGTACATTGAAACACTGTTTGTTTTATGCGGGAAATTTATGTTGTTCCTATGTAATTTCACGCAACAAAACTCGTAATAAAACTGGCAGCAAAACAAGCAAACAAACTAAAAGTTTAAAATAATGGAAGAACTTTCATTTCCATTCATGACATTCGTCCTCGTGTACATGTTTTATTGTCACTTGTCAGGTTCCATGTTGCGCCATGCTTTTCCTTGTCTTGGGCAGCGGTAATCTAATCACACTACTCTACGTCATAGGACAGAAGAACAAGATGCACCTTAAATCCTCATAGTTCCCGATAAGTACACGATTGTACAGTGCGAACTGTGGATTATCATGGTTTAATTTATACTTAAACCACGCGCACAAATTTATACGATTTAATTCGGGCACGATTCAATGGGTAAATTTATAGATACACACATTTAAAATATGAATTACCAAGACACCATAACTGTTTATAAGTTTTAATTAGCCATTGTCACCAAGCAATTTACAAATTATTAAAGTAAGTTAATTGTTAAATAAATAAGAAGTTCTTAAAAAGGAATTATCTTTTAAAATAAATCAAGACGTTTGTTCTCATTTTCAAACACGAAATGTGTGTCAGCACCTGGATATGACCATCCATCATCCATCATGGTCTTTATTGTGCTTCCAACCAAAGTGTTGTGTTATTGTTGTCATCTCCTCCATTATGAAATCAACAGATCTGTAAAATTGACATTAAAGGATAGACATTTTGCATTTCAAATAATGTTTTTGATTAGTTGAGTTGACCATGTATGTGAAAGGTCTAATAATAAGATGAAAATGGTATCTTTCCCTAAAAATTTCAATGTCAATGTAAAAGTTAAGGAAAGATGTTTCATAAACCTCTTTCTAACATAGAATATTACCGATCAATAGGTTTAATAATGAAAGGTATAGCGACCAAACCAACTGCTGTAGTTATCCACGCGCGTTTCGCGAGCGGAATATGAGATACATAACAGCTCAAGAATATTCCAGTTGCAACACAGATTCTGTTTATTGTAAAACCGGGAATTGCTACTGATGCCAAACTTTGCCATGTTAATGCTTTCACAAACGCTTCGGTACTTGAACGCCATCTCACTTCATTTGAAAAATTTTCCGTCGTCTAGTACAAAGATGATAAGTAGTTTTAACAAATCTATGTATTACTTGTTTTTACTACAAACTCACACCTTTTTCATTGCCATTGTTTTTGAAATTGCATCGCCAAAGGCGTAGCAGGATGCGACCAAATAACAGCCAAGATAACTAGCTTTTGGAATATGAGATTTAAAGGCTTCGCCTATCTCATTGGCGTAACCTAAATGCAAATATTTTGACCTTATTTAAATATTTAATAATAGAGAATCATATAAAAGTTGAACGTATAAATGGAGTCTATAGCTTGCAAAATTAATATATTTATGTGAAATACCATTGTACATACTAGTACAACCACTACCGCCTGTAGGCCAGACTGAAAAATTTGCCCGTATAGGAGCAACTTTGCACAAAGTTTTCAGTCTGGTCAGAACCTTTAGGCTCTTAGCTTAGCAAGTGCCAAGACCTAGACCGACACCAAGAGTCATTCAATCATTAATCATTATATTTATATATTATAGTCAAGACATTAATTTCTTGTCACCGTATCAACCAATTTTTTTGTATCATTTAAATATATAGTATAAAAATTGGAATAATGCAAAAGACAAAATGTGATGCATGAAGTAGAAACGATTTTACCTAAATATCGCATCCATGTATCACGAAACAAGTCAACAGCTTCTTCTCCTTTGTCAGCCATATTGGATTTCATAAACCAATCAACGATTTAAATGACGTGTGTAAAATTGTTTGTCGTTGCTAGGCAAAAGTAAACGGAAAGTACATATTTATTTGTACAATTTTTTACAAACCACATCGCCCTTTTTTAGCCAAATATATGATTATTATTAATGGTAGGTATTGTTCAAATACTATTGATAAAAATATGTTACATTATTTTGGGATATTAATGTAAACGGTCATAGTAACTGTGAAATATGAACACCAAACACACAATTAAACTTAGGATTTTCCTTCTAAGGACCCCTTAGCACTATTGGGCAAATTTTTAATCATTGTTATGAAATATAGAGATGGAGAAACAGTCAACCTCTTTATCGGTGACGTTCAATATTGGAATGGATGATGAGGTACGCAGAAAGGAGCCTCGCAGAATAAAATTGATGAAAAAGAAACATAATGAAAAGAAACGACCGACGGCCGATGAAATTGAACAAAAACAAAAGCTAGCCCATGCAAGGCGACAGGTAAAAAATTATGATAAATATATAGTCTAATGTGAGTGGTTATAGACATTATTCCAGCATTTTTTGAATTAGGAAAGAATTAAAACAGATTAATGAGAATACATGAACGTGAGGAGGCAACTAGAAAACTTGTATATAATGTTGAAATACTACTTAAACAGCAGTCTTTAAAACAAAAGCAGTTACAAAATCCTCACCAAGACATCAACTTATTGACTAATCAAGAGATTCTTCGCACAGCTTATAATGTTGCAAAAGAATTTAAGCAATTGAAACAGCAGCTTGTCAATATTGATCTTAAAGTTGATGAGAAACAGCACAAACCCATGCAACAAACAGATACAAAGTTGAAACAGACCATACAAAATGACATTATCAAGCCAAAAGAGACAGTGGATGAAAAACTACAAAGAAAGCAACAAGCTGGTATCTACTTTGAGATTTCATGTGACAATTTAAAAAAGAATAAATCATGCAAAGATACAATAACAAGTTTTAAGAATGTTGTGAGAAATGGTAAAGAAATTACTGATGTTCAACTAAAAGAAAAGCAAAGAAAGGCAGCAAAATCTAGAGAGGTATAATATTTTGCTAATAAAACTGTTGTCACTCCATGAAAGCATTAGTTTTAACTTTAATACTCAGGCCTTTCAAGTATTCTATTATTCAACTTAAAATTGTGCCTAGAGAAGACTGGAAACTAGAGTGAGAAGGTGCCGCGAGAGCAGGGAAGCATTAATGAAGCTACAAACCAAAGTAAATACTTACCAACAATATGAAGAAGCTCTTCAAGACAAGATAGGATCTTGTGTGAAGTTAAGTAATTCAGAAGCAGCTTCCCTTGCCAATGATATTGCTAATGGATTTAGTATATTACATAGAAAGTATGAAAAGGATCTAAAAATGGCAGAAGACTTTGTATGGTTTTATAATGATTGATGATGTTAAATTTGCAATTCACTGTGGAAAAGTCAGCCTGATTTTTTCCATCCCAATATTGCAAATCTTTTATCAGTTCACTTCTTTAGAAAATTATTTTCATTATTTCATTGTTTTCCAGTGAACAAAAACAAAAAATATTTTGTCAAAGTAAAAGAAAAGGCTGGCTTTAAACTTGTTTGTATATTACATCTTTTTTTTCGTCGTTTATTTAAAATGTCTGATGTAAAAATTATTATGTTGTCATCTTGTGCAGGAATAAACTAAAATAAGTTTTTAAAATACATATCATGTAATAGGATATTTTAAATAATACAAAAATGCGACCACATTTTGAAGAACACTAATGCTTTGCAGATTTATCTCTTTGTTTTAAAAACTTTGGCATCTTATGGTGATATTTCAATGTAAATGGTCCAGCAGATTGCGTAGGTGTTGATGTTTTTTCATTTCTTATATCATCATATACAGTTGATATAATTACTTCCTTATCAGCACGAGGTCTTTTACAATGATGCTGTAATTTTTCTCCATAGTAGCCAAGTCCTGTTTTACAATAAGGTAGCTGTCCATCAACAGGTATAGGCTCTGTTATACCTGCTTGAGAGCTACCTAAACTTGAGCCAACTGTCCACCCTTGATTTTTCATCAATTTGCTACCAAAACCTTTTGTGTGTTTTTCAAAGTATCCAATTTCTTTACAATCCTGATCATCATCTTTGTCAAAGTTACGTTGCTCTGCTCTTCTAATATCCATTAAGTCATTAGCGGTTCTATCCCCATAACCTGTGAAAGTGAATATTTTTTGGCTTGTTTGTTTAAACCAGTAATAAAACTTCGAAGATGATAGTGCAAAAACTCACCATTTTTTTCATAAATATTCACATCAATATCCCAGTCATCTGCTGTTTGTTCATCAAAATCTCCATTCAAGCTATCCCAATACGCAGCATCAGTATAAAACACAAGTCCACTGCCACCTTTTTCCCATTTTAACTCAATCTTATTCTCAAACAATCTCTCCTTTATACGACCTTGGCAGTCAACGTCATCATGTAATGCTTCATGTCGTTCCCATTCTTCTTCAGCTTCTGATTCAGTGTCAGAAATCAACTCATCTGGGCCTTCATTTGTAGTGTCACTGGCACATGTAATCTTTTCAAAAGTAGAAACATTTTTGTCATTAACTTTTGATAAAGTCCTCGATGAAGTATATTTGTGTGATGTCATGCCGGTATCAGCTAATTCTGACTTACAATCTTGGTTTGTTTCCCTAACCAAATTCTTACTTAACGAAACACCCGATTCATTTGCTTCATCACAATAATCAAATCTGACATTTCCATAACAATGCTTGCTTCTCCCAGTTGGAAAACTCAGTCCTAGCTTTTTAATCACATTTGGTGGCAATTGACATGATCTTATTAAGCTCATGAATGATTTTAAGCTTGTACCAACATTTCCATTGGGCATAAACGATGGAGGGTGAAGTTCTGATAGTTTTAACAAGTCTTTTTTACAGAATTCAACATTTTTTCGTTTAATATTTTTCACTTCTTTTCTGGTTTGAAACGTTTCAATAGCTATAAAAGAAATTAAATTGGTATTTTTAACTTTTAAATCAGTGACTTGTATTGGAAGTAAAAACAGCTTACACGTATTATTATTTTGAATCAAAACGGTAGAAATAACTGCTTTTTGCGTCAAAAGTTTCCCACTCCTACCAATCCAATTTTCGCCATCATATTTTGTGAGAAATTTTTCAATATTTTCAGTCCTCATACAAACAATACAACATGTTGTTTTGCCTTTAATTGTCCTCTCGTTTTCAGATTGTCGCAAGTCACCCAACAAGTCCTTTTGCCTTTTCAAAACCTCTGGTCTGTGACGAAAATGAAAGCATTGAAACTGCTCAGTTTCTACAAACTCTGAGAAAAACGATCGAAGATCCACCGAGTGGAATTTTGAAGGAATATTACCGACCAAAACATAATCGAATTCTTGCTTTTCGTCTGACATTGTTTTTAATTTAAAAAAGATAAACATAATATTTTCAGGTATTTGTAACCTGTCAATTTTAGGGTATTAGCAAATGTTGTACAATTCATGATCAGATTTTACAACATATTGTTTTCTTTTTCAATAAATATTTCTTTGCGCAGTTCATCGTTCGCAATATTTTCAAAGTAGTTATGTTTGGATTTGTGGAGAAAATCAAAAACATTCCTGTTCATATGGTAAGATGTGGCGTCATTAAAATGAACAAACATTCAACAATTTCTTCCTAATTTTATGAAAAAATAAAAATTACAATATGTATTACCTCATGGTAAAGACATTTTAACGACATTATAGAAGTTATTTATTTTTTAAAGGACTATAAAGGACAACAGTATGCAGAGAAAATATTCAATTACATCTTGACATTGTTTGGGGTAATCTCACATCCTTAGTAAAATTGTTTAACTTAACTAGTCCTGTATTTTACTTTTGTCGTGTTTATTACTTTAAAACTTCACTTGTCCAGGTTTGTGGATTCTTATGGGGTTATTACAAGCAGCAGTTTCAACTCACAGTTTTAATATTACTTGTTGGCTTTGTGCTCAGTTGTGTGGTAGGTTGATCATGATAGTTAATTACTCGAAGTTAATGAAATAATTTTGACTATAAACTCTTTCTTGCCAACTTTAGATTGTTTTACCACCATGGCCATGCTTCAGGCGTCACCCATTGTCTTGGCAAAAGCCCAAAGAAAATTCAGAGAAGAGTGACGTTAAAAAAGATACCAAAAGAAAAACAAAATCAAATTGAACTGGTGTAAATATTTATTTGATGATTAAAAACTTAAGCAATCTTCATGTGAAGTTTTCCCAGGTTATTTATTCACTCATGTGGCATTGCAAAAGTTGTATATAAACATGAAGTAGAGCAGACCATTGTAGATACCGCTGAACAGAAGTAGCGGAGGTTTTTTGTTGTTATAGCAACATGGCATTACAAGCAAAACGACAAAATGTCAATGTGAAATGAAATGTTGCAAGATCCATGGTAAGATCTGCATTATAAATCGAGATTTTTTGAAAAATGCCTTTAACGAAGATCCCAAAGACTCGGGAACCTTTATGGAAAGAATGGAACATTAAAGCTGATAAAAGCGGTGTTAGAAATACAGTATATTCTGTGAACGGCGATCAGTATACAGGGGAATGGAAAAATAACAAAAAAAATGGCAAGTTTCGATTGTAATGATAAAGACGAGCGCGCCAGCGATCAATGCTCAAATAAGTTTTGCGTCTACATAACGATAAAACTATTGCTACTATCGCTATTACAACAAATTAACTGATTGCTTTCACCTTTCTACAGGTAAAGGAACGCAAATTTGGAAAAAAACTTGTCTTGTGTACGATGGTGACTGGAAGGATAACAAAAGATGTGGTTTTGGAACCTTAAGTTTTCGTAGTAAGGACAAATTTAGAAAAATTTACTCAGGAGGATGGAAAAATGACAAGCGACATGTAATTAATGTGATGGTTTGCTTTCCATTTAAAGGGAATTTATATTTCTGTACAAATTATTACAATTACAACAGGGCTATGGCACTAACTTCTACACTAACACAGAATACTATGAGGGGGAATGGTACGGAGATAAAAGAAGTGGATGGGGTCGAATGTACTATGATGATGGTTCTGTTTATGAGGGTGAATGGTTTAATGATATGAAAAATGGTCAGGGAATGTTACGCTTAGGTAATGATTGTTATATCTTGGACACATTTCTTACTATAATAAAGTCAACTTATTTCAATGTCTATTCTGTCATCTTTAGCCAATGAAAACAGATATGAGGGACTTTGGAAGGATGGTAAAAAACATGGTGAAGGAAAATTTTTCTTTCTAGACAAAGGACAGTTGTACAAAGGTGTTTGGGTAAACAATATTGCTAAATGTGGCACAATGGAGGATTGCGGTCGAGAAGATGCCCAACAGCAAACACTATATCCCATACCAAAGGCAAGTATTATGTGGATATAGTGTAATTGTTCTGATATTCTGCTTATTCTTTATATATTATTACTTCTTACAGTGCAAGTTGCTTGATAAAGATGCAGTGGTCAAAAATGCTGAAGATTATTTCTTGGCACAGTGTGATAATCAGTAGGCTTGTCGTATCTGCCAGCAAAATCAATTTTTTGCAAAAGGTCAATTATCTATCTGTTTCATAAGCTGAAGAAAACAAAACACAATCTTTATCAATACTATATTGTATGAATATCTGCTGGTTGCAATTTCTGTACATAAAGTTGAAGTTCTTCGAGACCTTGTGAAGACTGTTTATATTTATGTTTAACAAGTATTTTATAGAAATGAAATGCAAACCAAACAAATACAATGCTAACTGGCAAAAGAACAGCTGTGGAAGCTATTGCAGCTGCCTTGCTATTATTATAGAACTGAACCCAAGCAATTATGGCAACCTCTGCAAGAAACAGGAGTGTGCCAAGGCCAGTAGAGAAAAGCCATGCCGTCTCTATATAATAATGCATCTCCTCATGAAGTGAGTTGTCAACATTCTTATTGTTGACGTTGTAACTGCTAGCAAAACTGTCCAGGTTAGGCAAGATACACACAGATATCATTAAGGCAAATACATGAATAGATATAAGCAATGTTGTCAATACACTGAAGGCTATAACCAAACCAGATGGTACATTATCTTTAAACTGTATTTCAACCATCGCAACCTAAAAATATATACATTTAAAAAATGAATGAGAAACATTGATAAAGGATTTTTCAATCATGAAAATGGATGTGGCTAACTTTCACAAGTCATTACTTTTTCACACATATTAACTTGTTGTTTTGGTCCATCCTCACAGGCTGGGGTCTGTTTGAGTGATAACTTTAAAAAGGAAATATCATTATCCACGTGGATAATAATATTAAATATCACCATATTTCTACAATTATACAAAAACATATTTACCATTGCAAAACCAGACATAAGGGCAGACGTTCTGCTCGAAGCGCGTAGTTTACCCTTTCGCAAAAAAAGTTTTCTCCATAAAAGGTCTTGGGCGAGGCTGTCGTCAGCCGGTGCACTACAATTATAAGGAAATTAAGACTGTATAGTAAGTGTAAACGTATCACAGGCACAAACAGCAATCACACAAGACGGAAAATACCATTTCTTGCAAAGGCTTTGTCGACACAAGATCGACAAGATTTTCAGAATCGTTGCGTGTGTAACATAATAATGTATGAATCATCGAAAATGCTTTACCTGTTGTAGTGTGTTTCGTTTAACGGTTGAACATCATCTGGTTTCGTCGCCATATTTACTACGGATGTTGCAATTGCAACTTGCATTGTTTATTTTCTACTTTTCGGCATGAAATCGGGAACGTACGGACTTAGACGTTTCCTCACCATAGTTACTCATCATAACAACAATAAATTGCTCAATGTTTTTCGTCGTCATAACAACAAATTCCCTCGACCAATTAACTTGCGAGATTTGTAAGAGCAGGTGAAAATATAATTTCAAATTTCGCTATAACTTCTTCAGTTCAACTTGAAGATACTATAAAACGAGCATTTATAAATTAATCCTTGCACTTTATTGTTGAACTTATAACAACATTCAAGGTAAGATTATTCAAGCAAGATGTATTTTTTGTCAGTCTTTGGATACTTTCATTTCAATAGAAGATGTAAATGAACGTTGGCGATGTTTTGAACTTGAATGCAAAAAAACAAAAAGCAATGTTTTATATTCAAATGCTGAGAACAGTTTTGATTATTTGATTAAATGGTTATGAAAGTATTTTATAACTACATCAATCACTTTAGTTCAAAACAAAATGCTCAATTCTTTCAACATCAAATTGTCATAGAATGGATATTCCTAAATCTGTGTCGAGGCCCAAGAGATGGAGTGCAGAAGTTGAAGATGCATACAGATTTCAGTTAGCTGGCTATAGAGATGAGAACGAATACACTCAAGTACAAAAAGTTGAAGAGGTACAAGTTTTTATCCCCACATATCTCAGCTCACCTTTGATGCACTTCACTTGAAAATGTTGTTTTCAATAGAAATTGCAAATATTTTATTTAAATTTGATTCATACGCAGTTCAAGTATGAAAAACGATTCTTCAAGCATCTCTGAAAGAAGAGTTTTCAGTGGAGGCTTTTTTGACCCATCATCTTTTTTATTTATATTTACTTGTTCTTAGGTTGATAGATGGCCCCCTAATGGCTATGTGAAAAAGCTTAAGAGACGCGATGGAAGTTACTACTATTTTAATAAGGGACGTGAATGCAGTGACAGTGATGTACACAGAACAAAAATTTACGCTTATTAATCTCCCAAAACTATTTGTTGCGTAGTAAATCATTGGTATTGGTATACATGTTACATAAATACTTTTTAATCACTCCTTTGAACAGTTTAAAAATAAAAGAAGCTTTTAATGCTGTTTGCGAACTTACGATCTTCCAAAGAAGTTGTTTGTTTTGTTTTGAAAATCCATAATATCTTTACGACTCATAAAATTCCATCATTAACGTACGTTCGCGTCACACGGAAAAGAATGGTAACGAGTTTCAGACGTGTCGTTTCCTCTTTAGACCTTTGAATAGAATTTGTAATATCGTATTACGGTAGTTTGCTATTTTAACCGATATATCCGTCGATTTTGACGAGAATTGCCTTCGTCATGTGTTAAACGTTTGATTTTTTATCAAACCTAAAATGGATGGAGATAGTGGACGAAATTTGGTAAAGTATATCTCGATTCTTTACTTTCTTAACACGTTGCTTGTAATTAGGATAGCAAATTTGTGTTCTGCTTTCTTATACGCTTGCTTGTGTATCCTCTGACAGAGAACGTATACCCGAAAGAACTACGACGACAATTTAGATGATGAGATAGAAGGGAAAAGGACATTCAGTGTTCAAGAGAAACTTGCAAATGCAAAATTTCGTGAAGGGAATTTTGTTGAAATATTACCAAATGCAAATGGTGAGTTGAGCCAGGTTGCGAAGCTGTTGTTAAATGAGTTCATATGCTTTTGTTTGTAAATTTACTCACTAATTCAAAATTACAAGGCAAGTTTTTTTTTATTTAGATATTAACTTGAAATATATTCAAGAACATGGTTTTGATTCGCCCTTCTTATTTCAATCGCACGAAGGTTTAGGCATGAGGTCAGTTTTGCGTACTACTTTTAATGTGAAAACTTGTGAACACTCTAACTTTTGCAAGCGTTTGTTCTTTGCGGTGAAAACATCCTCATTTTTTTTTATTTCTTTGCTTCAACAGTGTTCACTTCATTTTAGAATGCCACCTTCAGAGTTTACTGTCGAAGACGTAAAGAATTATGTAGGTAAGAAAAAAATAGTCTTTGACCGGCCACTAGACTACATGCCAACTCCCAATAGCAAGAAAAAATTTATACTACATGGATATATTGTTGTTATGATGAGCGTCAGAACTGTAAGGCAGCTTTGAGCTATCTGATTTTATTTAGTTTAACTGTTGAGGTTGACGAATTTTTTGTGTACAATTAATCAATTGGTTTCGCTGTTGCCTCTTGTATTAACGCCAATTTTCATCTTTAAACATGACGAGAAATAAAAACGAATAACATAGCCATGAATAAGAACTTGGATAAAATAGATTTCCAAAAATTTTGACATCTATCAAGGTTTTTAACGAAATGAGCATCTCGAGATTCAAATTTGGATATATTTTATCATCTCTTGAGCCCATCCCTTTACTAGCATTTTATGAACAATTTTACCAAATGTCCAAGATTCATTACCAATAATGTTTTACCATACGCTTTTTATAATTTTCAGCTTTTATTTGAGTAACTTTGCAGCTCTTTACACAAAACATTTTGGTCATAAGTTTATCACCACGCATTTTGCGTGATTGAGCAAATTAACAATTGATATTGTATTGTTTGAGTTGTGGTTATAATGCTACGATTATGTCGTACAAATTTATATTTGTCTTTTCTGAATTATATAAAAAATAATTTTATATTTAGGTGCTCGAAGAGTTGTGGATGTCATTGATGTTAATACCCAACAACAGATTGAAATGAGTATGGCACAATTTGCTAAATACTACGTTAACCCGGATCGAGAAAAAATCTATAATGTTATCAGTCTTGAATTTAGTCATACAAGACTTGAAAATCTCGTACAAACACCGTTATTGGTATGTAGTTCCATGAAACTTCATGAAAAATATGAGTTTGTATTTTTGAAATTTTGGATGTCCTGCGGGTTAATGCAACTGGCGTTATTATTTCAGTAAATATATATTTGCAGTTATTTGACAAAATTATCACAAAATAATTGTAGCATTTTTGTGAAAAATTGAATGATTTACGGCGTGAAAATAAGGTTAATGTAATATTGTATCAATATGTAGTTTGATGGAAATATTATTGAAACATTTTGGCAGTATTATATAGCTGCTTATGAAATATAGCTAGAATATGTTGGTGAAAACGTACATTTTATACTCAAAAATTTACTGTGGAAATTAGTAGTATTAGTTTTATCTTTCGTCGTTATTGTCGTTTCTATTCTTTTTATTCAAAAGTTTGCTCTCTGAGTAAAATTTTGTTCTAACGCAGGTGCGTCAACTGGATTGGGTTGACAACGTTTGGCCGAAAGAACTCATTAGACAGCAAAGAGACTCTACTAATAACATGGACGATATGAAATATCCCAAAGTTCGCAAGTGAGTTTAATGTGCCGTTTTTTGAATTATTACATTTTACAATCGTCAAAAGACGCGTGTTTCTAGTGTGATTTTTGTATGAACTTTTTTATTGTCTGAAGAACTTAAACAAATGCAAGAAATTAATTTAATTAATGTTCTCTTGAATGTATTTTAAGATTAATGGAATAAAATATATGGGGGTTTTTTCACGTTCTGTGTAACTAGCTTTATTTTGAAAAAAAAATAATGAAAATATTATATCCTGTGTGTAGCTATTTACTGTTATTTTCTATCAAATTTTTATTGAATATTTCTATTTAGATATGTATTAATGAGTGTTCGCGATAGTTATACAGATTTTCATATTGATTTCTGTGGTTCTTCTGTTTGGTATCACATTGTACGTGGAAAGAAGGTATACAGCCATCCTTGGTTATGACATACTTTTAAACAAAAACAAAAAAAACTACTTTGACGTGCGAAATCTTGGTAAGATCTTTACTTTATTTATTTAATGTCACTTTGGCAAAAAATTTTTTGAAAATCATGCAATATTTGTTATGGGTGTACAGGATAATTCTTCATGTTATAAAAATGGATTTTATGTTCATAATTTTTTCTGGCTTATAGCTACGCTTGGGTAGGGAAGAACGTATTATTCAATTTTAAACTACGTAGAATTTTAAAACATTTCCTTTAAACGATTACTTTCTTTTATTTCTATTTCATGTAAAAGTAAAACAAAAATTCAACTTTAATAAATATAAGCGATGGACAGAAATTATACTTTTACTGAACCGTTAACTATAATTTAATAAATTTATTCAAACAACGACAAGCTGTCACTTTAATATTTTAAAGTAGTGCGTATTTAATATTTGCTTTGCAATGGGTTATCTAAAAGTATCCATTCTTAGTCATGTTTAGTGCATGTGCCTGTTGAAGTGTGTCAGGCTAAACCCGAAAAGCATCAAAGCATCTGCGCGCGTTTAGTTCTACCTTATGTGTTATAATTAGCTTAGCTATTTCCTTATGATGTGTTAAGGTGTTTTGGCTGATTCCCCCCACCGAAAAGAATCTTTCAATTTATGAAAACTGGGTGCTGTCTGGTAAACAACAAGACGTCTTTCTTGGTGACCAAGTTGAGAAATGTTTTCTTGTAGAAATGACGGCTGGTAACACATTTCTTATGCCTTCAGGTAAATATTGTATATTTAACTTTTTATATTCCTTGGATTTTACGCTTTTTATTCACCTAAAACCAATGACGAAAACACAAACAAGTTCCAGTCCTTTTTCTCGTCTTTCGCCTGACCACAACGCGTTCCTTTCATTTTGGTAAATCAGCCTTTGATATACAAATATTTGTCCATTTCTTATGTTATTAAATCGTTTACTTTCTGTATATTTATTGAGGATAAACGGTTTTATGTTTCATAATTTGGTAGAAAATAGCGTTTCAAACTTTCAGTTATAAATCACGCCTGTCTTTTAACGACAAAATATATGTAGAGTTATATCTTTTTTGTATGATCGTAAATTCATATTTCTCATGATGTTCATTAAGTAGACAACCAACTTGCAGGCAACAAATTTTGCAACGCATCTTTATTTTGACGATCAGGTTGGATTCATGCTGTTTATACACCAGAGGACAGTTTGGTGTTTGGCGGAAATTTCATTCATTGTTTCAATATTGAAAGACAGTTCAAAATTTGTGACATCGAAGAAAGAACGAGGGTAAAAACCGTCATTTAAAACGATGCAATTTTGGATTTCAGCGTATGTTTTTTTTAGTATTTTGTTTCGTCACTCCATTAAATTCAATTTTAAAATATCTTTCTTAGGTACCAAAGAAATTTCGCTATCCACTACACACCGAGATTATGTGGTATTTGGTAAAACAATACGTTGCATTATTGGAGCGCGACCTGCAAGAACACGGAAAGAAGCCTGGTTCTAGTGATGACGTCATCGTAAATGGGTCAACGAGGGACAGCGAGGAAAGACAACGACGTTCGTTGAGGGATTCCCACAAAGTGAGTGATGAAAATAAAGAAAATGCATTTAAAGGACAATAAAGCCGACAAAATGGTGAAGAAGTTAATCATGTAGCTTCAACGTTGGTCAAAAAACCCTGGGTCCCTGTATATCTTACGTCACACGAAGTGAAAGGCCTGATGCTTGTGGTCTCCCGAATGAAGAGTTGGTCAACAACAAATGTCCCTGATGATTTGAAAACCCAAGTCAACTTCTTGATAGATTGGGGGTAAGGCATTTTTGTATTTATGAACGATGAATAAAGATGAAGGAAGTGCAGAAGAGAGGTTTTATATTGTATGTAGAAGAAAGGATTAAAGATATATGTTGAAGAAAAGATTAAAGATGTGTGTACAAGAATGGATTAAGGATGTGTGTATAAGAATGGATTAAGGATGTGTGTATAAGAATGGATTAAGGATGTGTGTATAAGAATGGATTAAGGATGTGTGTATAAGAATGGATTGAGGATGTGTGTATAAGAATGGATTGAGGATGTGTTTATAAGAATGGATTGAGGATGTGTATAAGAAAGGATTGAGGATGTGTATAATTGAGGATGTGTGTATAAGAATGGATTGAGGATGTGTGTATAAGAATGGATTGAGGATGTGTGTATAAGAAAGGATTGAGGATGTGTGTATAAGAAAGGATTGAGGATGTGTGTATAAGAATGGATTGAGGATGTGTGTATAAGAAAGGATTGAGGATGTGTGTATAAGAAAAGATTGGGATTGTGGGTAGAAGGATTAAGAACTTTCATATTTTTTATTAAAGGAATTGTTAAAATCTCAGAAAGATAATAATCCTACGTTGGCCATTACAGGCATACATTACATGAAACAAATGTTTCCAAATGAGGAAATTGATGGAGTAAGTTTAAATCTTCTTTATTTACATGATTACCTTCACTCATCTATTTCATCTACATTTAGGAAATGTTTATTAAAACTGTTTTTAATTGGGCATATGTTTATTAAGATCATCTCTGTAGCTACGTTGTGTATTCACCTTTATCCCAGATATCTTGCCTTGGGGTAGGGGGGAGAGGAAGGGGGGCACATCTAGAATGCTAGACAGCATGCTAGACATAGCTGAGGATCTCTAGACACCATATTTACCTTTATCATAACTTGTTTGTAGAAAATGTTTTTTGTTATTGCTGACATTGTTTATAAATCTTTGCATAGGAAAGACGAACGAAGTCATTGCGCATGCCTCGTAAACCCAACTCCTCATTGCGTCGTCGTCGTGTTAGATGTCGAACTTGTGATGCGTGTACTCGTGAGGATTGCGAGCAATGTAGATATTGTAAAGATATGAAGAAATATGGTGGACCTGGCGTACTTAAACAATCATGTATGATGAGACAATGTCAGGACGTAAGTTGTTGTCAACGCTATCACGAATTTGAAGTTTGTTTATGCAAATTACGGGAGTATTTTCTATTTTTTTTCTATTTAGCCGACACTTCCTGCCAAGGCGACATGTTCAATATGTGAAACAAGTTATCCCGATGATTCTGATACCCTTATGGAGTGTGGATCATGTGGAAAAATCGTGCATCCCACGTGTATGCCACCTAAAGGTTATTTCGTCATTGTTCCGGATCTCAATAATTGCTGGAAGTGTCCTGAATGCTGTGATAGACACACTGTACGTATACAACAAATTATGAGATCATGGAGAAGTTGAGTTTTGATGCTGTGTTGTGAAGCATATTTTATGATGTTTTGATTTTAGGGCGAACCTTTCAATGGACAGAAATTGAAAGCTAGAAGATCCATAGCTGAACTCAAAGTAATTTTTAAAACGCATAAAATTTCACTTTGTAACTGCTATTTTCTTTAAACTGTGTGTTTGTTGTGTTTTTTTTTATATAGGATGCACAATTGTCGTCAAAAGTATCTTCATCTGTAAGCTTGAAATTCTCACGCTCAAATATATTTTTCTTTTCCCACTGAAGCAATAGACTTTACTTAACTTAATTAATAAAGCACTTGAACTTTATTAATGATCTGCTTAATGATCTGCTTAGTGATCTGCTTAATGATCTGCTTTAGTTAATGATCTGCTTCAACATATTTTACATCGCCAGATTTAATCGAGCTTTTAAGTAGCCAATAATAATTAACCTTGAGTTCAGATTTTTGGACTTATTCACATTTAATCCGATTTTTTCGACAAAATCTTGATAAATTATTGTGAAATTGTATTTTTTAGGTCTTCAAAGTCGATAAAGCTTCGAAACGTAAGGTGAGAAAACGTGCAGGTTGAGAAACAGGTGTAAAGGCCTGCGATAAATACTATACATTTATTATCTTTATAGTGTTTTAAGGAAAGCTATTGAACAACTTGCTATTAACGTTACAAAATTACAAAAAATCTGAATATTTCGAAATAAGAATATTCTTTTGCTATAATACTTAGAGAGAGCGCGAAGCATCGAGCTCCTCGTTAGATGCTGATGACGACACGGAAACCAGTGAAGAGAGCTCTGATGATGACAACAAATATGATGAAACAGCTCCATTGGCAAACTTGGCAAAGAAACGTCGTCTCAACTCACCAGTTAAAGTTCCTTTCGTTCCTCCACAGGAGATATCTCCAACACATGTCCTGCGACCTCGTCCCAGTTCCCCACTTCCAGAAACATTTGATGCAGAGTCTGGTGATGTGCACGTGTTGCGTCGTGATTTATGGTTGAAAATATTCGAGCATCTCTCACACGAAGAGTTATGCACGTGTATGGCAGTGTCTCGAACATGGAACAGATGGTGCATGGATCGAAGATTTTGGATCAATGTCAAATTAGCCGTTGGCAAACCTATTACGGCTTCGGCACTTTCCGGTGTCGTACGTAGGCAGCCGCTTTCTCTGGATGTTAGTCACACAAACATTACACATAAGCAATTGGTGTGGTTTCTAGGCAGGTTACCAAGGCTAAAAGATCTTAGGTTACATGCGACCACATTCGCAACGGTCAGCGCTTTTACCAGAGTCACTTGTCCCCCTCTTAAGGTGTTAGACTTGAGTTGGTCAGAGAAGATAACGGACCAAGTTATAGAAGTTTTACTCAAACCACCGAGTAACGGACGACGTGAGAAACCTCCTGGACCTGGGGAAAATACTAGTCGACTACGTTACCTGACTGACTTAGTGTTGGCAGGTTGTGAGATAAGTGACGTTGGAATAAGAAGTATAAAACGTTATCTCACATGCTTGAAAAGATTAGATGTGAGTTATAACGTTCTTATTACCGATGAAGGGATCACATCGTTGTTGGAAAACGACTGCAACTCAAGCAAAAACATACAGGAAGTGAATCTTACTGGCTGTAATCAACTCAGCGATTCCTGTTTACAAACCGTAAAGAAAGATTACCGTGTTGTCGTGTAAAGAAAATTATCCTTGAAAAAGAACATCTTATGTCACTTTTTATTGTCAACATCGACTTTCCACTTATCCACAGTATTGAAGTCAGTCAATGCTTTGAAACTTCGCCCATGGTCGTGTTCAATGTGTGTAAAATTTCGTTTTCAATTTCAAAATCACGGAATTATTTGGTTAGCTTACTATTTAAATGGTGAAATTTTTGTTAAGTGTGTTCTTCTTATTGTCCAGTACATGATTTCATACGTTGTTTAAAACAATTTCAGCTGCAAGAAGTAAAAAGTTTCTGAGTCGTTTTTAACACCATCTCTAAAATTGGTTGCTTTTTTTATTTAGTTAAAAAAATCAAACTTTACCATGGATTTTTATCGACTACCATAACCTTATACACAACGTCTTCGTTCACTTCACCATAGCAATGGTTAATCATTTAGATTTGAAAAAATCACTTTTTATTACTAAAAGTCATGGAACGTTCTCCTGATTTCATGAATACTTTAGAGGCAAACTTCTTCCCTTTCTCGCCCAATTTCTGATATGGATTGAATATTTTCTCGTTCAAACTTCGTACATTTCCTTCATTAGCAAAGTCAATTTGTGCGTTTTTATAATCGAAAGGCTGTATGTTAGACGAGGCGTCTTCTTTTGGTAATTCTGTATTGTTGTTCCTTTTGGACTTTTTCTTCGATTTTTTCTTCTGTTTTTTAACTCGCAACGTCGGATTGTATTCCTCTAAGTTTTCCGATTTTCGCTTTTTGTTTTTTTTCGAGTGGCCGCGTACTTCTGTCATCTTTGTATAGCGTTCTTTTTTGTCAGTATACCGATGGCTAATTTCGACAACGTCCTCATCTGAATCACCAATTTTAGTATCAAGTACACTTGTGACTTCAGAGTTGTTTCCACGAGTAATTTCATTTAATTTCTTTGGTGGAAGGAATTTTAGAAAGGGATTCTGAAATGAATCCTTGATTTTTTTGGCCATGATTTCACCCTGACTGTATTCTTCCGTTTCGTTGGCAATAAACAAGGTAATCATAGGTTGTGATAGATCAATACTCGGACCAGTGATTGGATAATCCTTAAAAGGCACACTTGGGTCTTGTTTAATGTTTTGATCTATCATTAAAAATACACAAATGCTTGGTTAAGAAATGGGAACATTTTAATCCTCATTAATCCAATGAAAAACCTCATTGCAACTCAACTAGGGTTGTTGATGTATTCAGAAGCATTATTCAATATTAGTTAATTTTCTCAAAATAATCAAACATATTGCATATTTCACTACTTGCCTTGTACTTGCACTTTCTCCTTCACCAGTAAAGAATCTTCATTGACTTGCGTTAAGTTACTAGATGCTTCATCATAAGCAAAAGACCTTAAATTTTCATCAACTGGAGGTTCCAGAGAAGGTTTACTTTCTCGAGCTTGACTAATAAGTCGATGAAGCTCATTTATATTCTGTCTTACTAAGCTTGGTACAGGATTACAACAGGCAATAATTCCTTGTGGTTCTTTAGGCAAAGTTTCTGCAAGGCCAAATAGCATGTGGTTTGGCAGAACATATGCACAACTTTCGTCTTCAACACGTGCCACGCTGTCACGCCATGCATATAACAGACGAAATGCTTCCAATTGGTTTGAGTTGAATGCTTTCTTATGTTTATGATATAAACCTAAATATGACTTGTTTGTGAACATTGGTTTTTCATAAACCTTCAAGCAAATAAGCTTGCTTCTTTTATACACTGACTCTAGGAGGTTATTGTTTATGTTTCCCTTGGCAACAAGTTCATTTCGAAGCTGCTGATAAATGTACAAAAGATAGTGGGTATCCTCTCTGGCATATAGCTCAAGCTCAGTAGGCAGTGGTCGTATTCTCCAATCAGCAAGTTGGAACTGTTTGTTGGCTGTCACATCACAAAATTTCTTAAGGAGATATGCAAGGGAGAAACGAGGATACTCAAGAACTCTGGTGGCTTGGCCAGTATCGAACATGTTCACAACATAAATCCCAAAATCCCTTTGAAGCCATCCAATATCCATATCAGCTCCATGCATCACCTAACAAACCATGGTTTCAAAGTGTATGTTAACAAAAAAGTATAAAAGATGTGAAAGTGCTATAGATATTTCATCATGAATTCAATACCATACCTTTAAGATCTGAGGATCGGTGAAGACAACATTAAGACAATAAAGTTCACTGCGTAATTCCAGCGTGTCAACAAGATAATCTTGCTCATTAGTTGATATTTGCATAAGACATGTAATTCCTTGGAAAGATCTAAATGAATGTGCTTCCATATCTACAGCAAACATAGAAACGCTCTTCAAAGTTTCAACCAACATCTTCAATGTCTCGATAGTATTGACAAAAATAAGCTCTGTATCCTTGAGTGGTTTATACATAATAACCTCAACTGATTTCACATCATCAACATCAGGCTCAAACTGCTCTAATTCAAACTTATATGGATGTTCATTCAAAGTATTTGACATTCCAAAGCGTTGCTTGTGGATGAAGTTATCCAAAGCATCTGGAATATCAGTTTGATTTGATTGTAGATCATCCTTTTGGTATTCTAACGTTCTCAGTGAGTTAGGCTTTTCCTTGATAATAGGAACAAATGGAAAATTGCTATTGTCCACCTTTTCTTTAAATTTCAACTGAGGACGCAGTATGTTCTTGGCATAGAGAAAACGCACTTTGGCATTCTGGTCTTGTACGTTAGCTTTGTTCCAGCTTGACATAACTGGTAGCCCAGGTTCCATGAACTTTGGCAGAACTGGCCTCTTATTTTTACTTAAGCCATTTGCCTCATCCACAAACAAGTCAATGCGTTCAAGCATGATGTCATTAGAGTCAACAACAGATTCAAATATGTCATCTAAATCCATACTAAACGAAAAGATAAATCATTTAACTGTGAAACGTTCTCTGGTTATATTTTTTACAGCACAGAAGCATTTGAATGGAAGAAATGTTACCTGCAATGGTATTTCATAAATGCGAAAACTTACCCATTAGCTGAAGTCCAAGCGCGATTAATGCCTTGATATTTCAACATTTTACCAGCATTTTTCAGCACTTTCTCGCCTTCCATGGAGCAAAACTCGCGAAACTCTGGAAAACTGCTGTAAAACTCATAGTCGTTGCCTGGATTTGGTAATCGATGAGCCATTTGTGTCGCCTTCACAAATTTCCCGAAACAAAATTGGGTAAACGAACCAACATCTTTGTAACCCGGTAAAAAATCTTCTTTATCAGAGGATTCGCGTTGCGCATTATCGGCCATCTTCGCGTAGATATTAATCCTAAAGTTAATTCCCTTTAACTGAACTGAAGATGAATGCACATGGAGATGATTGTTTAAGGGGGGGGGGAGGAGAAGTTAAAAATAAATAAATTTTACCATTTGAACTTTGAACATCTTACATTGAAATTATTCCTGCCAGTGCGTTATTGGTATTCACCTGCTCTAATTTTGAAATAGTATTTTTTTCATATTTTCTAACTGATGAATTATTCTTCTATCATTTGTTTAAATTATGATGTGAAAACGTCAACGTGATAAACGGAGAACAGTTTCACAATACACCCCTCCGTCCCTTCGTCTCTTACTGATTCAATTCAACATGGAGTCATGGACATTGTCAACATGGTGTTTTAGTGTTGGTTTTTTTCTGATCAACTTTGAAAGACTTTAAGAAAGAATTATTGAAGTATAGGTCAATGGCTGCGAGTTTCATTGCAAAAGCAAAACTATTCAACGTGCTGGAAACAAAGCTACATTCTCATGTTTTAAAATTTTCACGATACATCACCGTTGCTTCTAAATGTGAGATGTTACCAAGAAGACGAACGGTTTTGAGTATTAATCGCATCTCTCATTACAGTTTTCCCACAGCTATTCCAAATTACAGTCAAGTATGAAACTATGCTTTGTTTTCAATTCCTTTTGCTTGGAATCTGTTATAGCTGCATGTGTGTACCTTGGTTTTCTATAGAAGTTCAAAATAACTACTAAAACCTTGCACTGATGAAGAAATACATTTGACCTTCTTAGTCAGCGCTTTTTAACAGATTCCTTTCCATTACCTTCAAGCTGTATTCCATTCTCTTTGTAATTGACATGACATTGTTTGATGAATTTTCTAGGTAAAACAACAGAATATTTCATCAGGTGACAATTTCTCAAGTATTCTTGCATCCATTTATGAATGCTTCGATAAATATCACGTGAATCTTTTTTCTTTCATATTTAGTTTCCAAAGAGGCCTTGTCAAATTTTGCTACCAAAATAAACTGGTCAATATCAAGTGAAGAGATTTTGATTTGCGCTTTTACGCATAAATCTTATTTAATATCTGACACAGAGGAAAATCTCATTGGCAAATCATTGGCTCATAATGAACGTCTGATATATCTAGGTAAAATTTCATGATATGAGAACATTGTTGTGAGCTTCTGTTTGATATTTATTCAATTTTCTAATTTTTAGGGCACCAAACTGCATCTAGTTTCTTGACAGAAAGTCTTTATTTCAAATTTCCTACATTGTCAGCAGAACAACTGTGGTACATTGTGTTGTTCAATTATCAAGTGGCTATGATAATTTTTTTACATTTTATGCACAATCTTCAGGGACCTTCAAAATGGCTTGTTGCATCAAGACATGCTTGAAAAAATTGGACGTAATCTTGGTTTACAAGATTTGATTTTTTCAAAGGTGGAGTGTTGTGATTATTGTAGATAGGCACGAAATGTTTATATTTTATAACTCACATTTTTAGGTTGAAATAAATGGTCAAATGATTGCCGAAGCACTTTTGGCTGTTATTGCTTTGAACAATGTACATGGATCAGGTAAGAATTAGTTTTATGTAAATGTTATTGTTTTATCTCTGATTGAAGAGCCATGAAAAGATAAGACAGTGCTTGATAACAATACAGCATGGCCCATCACATTGCAAAATAACAATTGGATTAACTGGATTACAAGTTGAAATATCAAGGTTTGTTATATGGAGTCTTACAAAAAACCCATTACATTTATATTTTTTATCAAGCCTCCTCAATTGGTTCGTGACTTTGTTGAAAATTATTTTATTCACGATCTTACTGATGAAGCAGTAAAAGAAATTTGTCAACTGGAACATCCCAAAATTATGTTGGTACAGTTAAACCCTGAAACAATCTTTACAGCAAAGTAGGAAAAATTCTATGCTATTTGCACATTTATCAATTTTGGTACATATTATTGTTCATTTTGTTTTTATTTGAAGAGTTATTGAACAGGAATCTGATCATGATATTTATGGCGACGAGAAAGAAAATTTTAAGGTTGGAATTTTTGAGCAAGACATAATGTTAGCAGAAGGTTTGTGCATATAGGTAATATCTTTTGTATATCATATTGTAGTCATGAGTGTTTAAGTTAAATATTTATTTTACAGGTGAAGGATCACCACTTTCACAGGCAGAAAAAAATGTAAATACAGAGATTATCACATGTTAAATGAAGCTGAAATGTATTTTCCACAAGTGCATATGAAATTTTCTTTGTTATCTAGGCTTGCAGGAATCTTTTAAAAGAAAAATACCTAGACAGATTAAAAACAGCAGACCTTCCATTCAACTTATCAGAGTACGAGATTAATTTTGGCCTACTTCCTGAAGGAATAAGAGTTGTTGAAATAGAAAAAGTTAAGTGTATTTGTTGCTATTTGAACAAAGTTCCTTTTTTGTGGTATAGCTTACTTTTACAATTAATATAGGGTATAAATGGCTTTGGTTTTTCTGTAAAAGGAGGTGAAATGAGAAGCGAAGAAAACAGAGAGTTTGTGAAATATCATTATTATTTCCCACCATTTATTTCTTCTGTTGTGGACAATGGACCTGGAGAAAGGTTTGTGATTTGGATTGGAAACATCCTGGTGGCCATCCATGAAAAGGACATGAATTTTCAGGCAATTTTAGTGTTTTGTGAAAGAGATTTTGACAATTTTTCTTGTAGCATTTTGATTGAAGTGCAATTTTAGCTGATGCACTTCATTGATATGAAAAAGATTGTTTGTTCTCCTTTCTGACGCCGTCATTGACTTGGTCGTTTTTTAGAGTTGGTTTGAGAGAGGGAGACGTTATATTGGCCGTGAATAACAAGGTACAAATAGTGGCACACACATATTACGCTCTGAGTAGAGAAAACATATAAACCTTGTTATCAATTATATTATTTCCAGAGTACCAAAGGAATGGATCATTATCATTTTGTTAGATACTTAAAATCTTTAAAAGGTATTGTTTCCGACTCAAAACCAATTTTGAATAACTCAATTCTAAAGACAATTCAATTTTTTCTTACAGGGAAAGTAAAGTTTACTGTAAAGAACAGCGAAAGAGGTAAAATAGACTAGAATTTGTGGACCTTTGAAGTCTTGCATAATTGGACAATCACAATTTTTATCAACATTGTTACTAAAAGAAGAAAATTCTACGTCTTTTTAATCTTTTTTAGTTAAATGACTTTGTTTTAATGTAAAACCTTCTCATAGCCGCGCAAAAATTTAATTATATCATTGTTACAGTTTTAATCATTGATGAAATTGAAACAAAATTTCGGAAGTTTAAAGAAAGGAAAATGGTTTCTCAACTGGCAGATCAACAATGGTCAAAATGGCATCTAGCAAATTCACAAAAAAATCACGACGAATATGAACGACATCTTCGTGAGAAGTCTCGTGATTGAAGTTGAATTTAAAAGTTTCAATATATGTGTATAGTTTTTATTATCCATGAAATGAAAAGCTTTTTCTTTCAGTCAGATACGTGTGTCTCTGCATGGTCTGAGAGAGTTAAACTTTTTTGTGAGCATCATTAACTTTCCTTATCTCGCTCTAAAGCTTGTTTTTTTCCGTATCAAAAATATTTTCGGTTGGGATTGTCTATGAAACACGGAAATTCATAATTTGTTGTTAGGAGTTCCCACTGAAAATGGAAAAAAGGAAAAATAAACAAAGTTTTTGCGATAGAGTGGGTAATTTGACCAACAAGCACAGAATTTATATATTTACAATCATTTACACAGCTTCACGAAATGTAAATTTAGCACTGTGTGCCATGTGTGATAAGTAATGATTTTTATGTCAAATCAAAGGAGTTTTTAAATGTGCATTTACTGTCAACTGTCATTTTTTATATTCAATTCTTTCCACTTTGACTTCGTCATCAATCAGTTGATAAATATAAGTGACAACTGTTGATGCTTGAATATCCATCAAAACAAATGAAGGAACAACATTCCTAAATAAAACATAAACATATTTTGTCCAACAATCAATGTGGTATAAATAAGGTACCGTAGGAGATCACTTTAAACACTTGCTCCTCACAGGTAGTACTTGTTATGAGTTAAACTTTCCTTGAAAATAAAAACAATGTGAATGGCATATTCATACCTAAGTAGCGCATTATAAGCACCAGTTGCTGAACCAGGATTGATGTAAAATTTCCCTTCATGTTCAAAGGCCTCAAACTAAAATCGTATAAATTGATGTTTAATTTTTATGAAGTTTTACATACATACATGTCAAAGCTTTACTTTGTGAGTGTGACCAAACACTAGAATATCCACATCTAGTTGTCTTTGAAGCTATAACAGAACATGAATAAAGTTTGAAAAAAGTTTTGTTTATGTAGGAAATAATTTCATGACAAAAAATACCATAGCTAAACTTTCTGGGTCACCCCAAGGTACAATTTGATGACCATGGCAAATTCCAATCTTAAATTGGCCAACTGTGACAACTTTTTGTTCAGGATATGTCAAATTCTATAAATGAATGAAACTATATTAAGTCACAAGAATAGTATTGAAGATATGAAGGTTGCTGTTTGAGTTGGACCTCATCAAAGTCTCCTCTAACCACATGTACATCACCGGCCAATGTCTTTAGGTAATCAAACGTTTCTTTAGTACATAAGTTACCCATACATAAAATATGCTGAATCTTTCCTGGCACCTGAAATATTAGATATTGACAAATGTATGAAGGATCTAATATCAACATGAACTTATCAATACACTTAAATGTACATTTTATACAAGATAAAATGACTGTTTGTCACCTCCCCCGGTTTGTCCCTATTGTGTAATAATTACAATCCATTTACCAATAACTTCTTGAATTTTGCTGGTAATGTGTTCTTCCTGTGAGGAATGTGCAGGTCTCCAAGTACTAACACCAACTACCCAAATAAAAATAAATGTCAACAAAAACATTTAGTAAGATTGTCGATCTGCCATATAACTGCAATCATATGACACTACGAACACGCTGTAGTTTCCTTCTTCAAAATGAAACACTTTTTATAATTGAAAACTTCACCAGATTCAAATCCAATAAATAATCAATACTTCTTACCATTTCACTGGTATATCTCAAAAAAAACCAACAAATCTAGACAAGTTTTTTTCTATTTTTGCGCTCTGTACGGTAATGCCACCGCTGTAAAACGTTATTGCGTGCTCAAGAATGGACATTTTCCAATTATGCCCGGAAATAAAAATCCGCCAATCAGTACAAAGGTCATTTTTTACCTGGAAGTCAAGCAGTGTAGTTGTGCTTTACGTTGCAATTTACACAAAATTTATAAATTAAAAGACATTTCTTTTATTGTAAATAAGGATGAACTATGCAATGGACATGCGGTTGACATTTTATTGAAATCCAGTTTCGTTTCGTCTACTCATACTTTTTCTTCGTTTTTAAGCACACTAGTATCGAAGTGGAAAGAGCGGGTGTTGTACTTGTCGTGCTCGAAAGGTGGAAAGTGCTACAATGCCTTATAAAAGGACCAATCAAAATATAAATGATAAGTCGCCTTATAAATCTAAGACACGAAGAAACGTAAAGATAGAGAACAATGATAAAAAGAGAAAAAAGGTACTCATTAATTTTCACTGTGTAGGTAGCATGTTGAGAAATGTTTATGCCTGATGCAATTATAGCAAGTATTTTTAAAATCGTGTGGTTGTTATTGTAAAATATTTCTTGACTCGTTTTAATGCTTCAAATCACGTTACACAGTTGTTTTGCCATAAGCTTTAAAACTTTAAAAGAGTATTTTCACGCCCGAAAGCATGTTTACATTTGACGATGAAAGCATGTAAGATTTTCATGTGCTTATTTCGAATCAATTTTATTAAATGCTGCCAGAATTGTTCGTAAGAGAGTGAACTAGTTTTATATTCAGACACTGATTAATTTCACGATAATTTTCATTCATTATTTGTTTGAGACTTTGAAACTAAGTGAAAGTAATTTCATGGTATCGGCGTTTTGTGAATAACTGTCTTTATTTGGCAGTTTTTAGTTTGATTACACAAAATTTTACAAACATTGCAATAATAGTTAAGTTTTGTAAGCTGGGTTTGTGTAGAAATTACTAAATTTTGAAGAAATCTCAGTGTGACGTGCAAGGAAAAGAAAAAAGTATATGTTACCTCCGGTAGGAAATCGGAAGTAGAGATGAACTTAACAATTTTCTTTAGACTTCCGGCATTTCCGGTGGCACTGGCAAAGTCAAGAGAGCATGCGCACAACGAGTTAAACAGTACAACAATATGGCGTCTAATTGTGATAGTGACGAAGATGAAAGTAATACCGAATTCTCCAGTGACGATGAACGAGGATTTTTCCAAATGGCTGAATCAGATGAAGGTTTTTACCTACAATAGTTATAATTTTAAATATTTTTGGTCCAATTGCACCAAACGTTAGTGGAGCTGTGGAGGTTCATTATTGTGTTTACTGTTGTAATAATAGGTTATCTGAAGATGATTTGACTCTGAAGATGACTACAGCTAAGGTTGTCGAAACGTCAGTCAACAACAACAAAAACAGTCCTTCTCAGGACTATACCAACCTGAACGATCTACATTTACAAACATGTAACGATACTCCCGGGTTCAAACCATTTACTTTAATAGGTTATCTCAAATTACACATCATATATATTTATAGAATCATAATTTTTTATTTCCTATTTGCATCAAAAGTTTGTTTTCTTGGTAAACTCTCAACTTGATTAAACCTTGATTGTTTAATATACGTGGGCGGGCGTCAATCCTGCGATAATTGTAGGGGGGGGACCATATTCATATATTCAGTTATGCCAGGCTGATTTCTTTTGAAAATGAAATTACTTTGAAAAGAAATTATCCAGGCATAGCAGAATATATGAATATTGTCCCCACCCCCAATTAAGACAGGATTGATGCCAATGTTAATATATGATTTTTAATTTTTGTAAGCAACACCTCATCCCCAGTTCCCACCCAACATCAACCATCCAATTTCCAACAAATGCCAATCACTTCATCCCTACCTTCTAAGCCCAAACATTATTTTCATACTCTAATCCCAACCACCCAATCTTATGTGATGGATGTAAAGTTTAAATATTTGATATATTGATTGTAGAAAGTTTTTTATCTCTTTATCTTAGATACAGAAGATGCAAGTGAGACAGATATGGCGAAAATTGAGGAAGAAATCAGTGAATTAAAAGAGCAGTAAGTACTTACTTAAATTGTTGCAGCTATGTTCAGATAAATATTCACAAATTTAGCTTTTCATATAACTATCTTAATTTTTACTTACTCAAGTTTTTTTATTATACCGTAAAGAGCATATCAACAGAAACTTGGAAAATACAAGAAACAGCTTCAAGAGCTTAATAATGGTTAGTGTTTTACAAAATTATCTGAGAAAAAATTGTGTGTTTTAATCCATGGAAAGTTGAGTGTTATTTTTATTTCTTTCAGGAACACATGTTGACTATTTGAAAAAATTAAATCAACTAGAGAAAGAAAGGGATGACAGATTGTTTTTAGCAGGTTTTGAAAATACTCTTGTATTATTTATCTGTTTGATTAGGTATCGATGAATTCTGTTCATTATTCCTTTATTAGAGGTTTGCAAGATGTATGAGGTCAGTTGGCAAAGCTAAATCCGGTAGCTGGAATTCGGCAAAGCGTTAAATGATTTTGGCAAATTTAAATGACAATGCATTGTTCATCAATCCCATATAAACTGCTCCCCAGGGCTGTAGGCAGTGACGTAGATAGTCCTTTTATTTTGTCATCTTTAGCTAATTTTTCTGTGCTCACTCAACGCAAAGACAATAGATTTTCCTGTAGAAACCAATAAAATGTTTTAAAATTTGCATAGTAAGTTTAGTCTTCACTTGAAACACAGGCGCAAGCGATAAAACAAAGCAAAGCTTATTTTCCAGAGGTTGGATGAAATAAAAGAAAAAGGATTTTCTTTTCAATTTGTTTTTATACTATTTTATGCTTACGTCAAGCTGCTGGGCTTATGCTTATGCTTATGCTGATGATTTTGTTGGTCGCTTTATTGCATTCTTTTAAATTTTTTTGACTTTGTCCTTTTGCCTATGATGCTAGTGAAAACCAGGCTTTAAAGTCGTGAGGATTCTATTGAATTTATAATTTTTTTGTATTGACTGCTTATCTCTGATTTGGTCGTAAATTTCTTTGTTTCACCAAGGATCGTTTAATGACGTTTATGTCACAATGGTAGAAATGTTGGAATGTTTTTTAAAGTCTATAGATTTGGACTTAGCCAATAAAAACACAGCTAGAACGTATATAAACGCTAGTATTTTCAATGTTGCGTCTAGTCGTTTGCTGTAAATACTTTGGAGAAGATGGGACGTTTCTTTGAAGATTCTAGTGCAAGCAGAAATTATTGAGTACAACTTAACTGTTAATTTTGCTGTTAACTTGTTCAAAATTGTTTGCTGACTTAAACGTTTTGATCATTGACGAAGAACATTTTTGGCAACATTTTGTGTTGTATCTTCAATGGTATTATCTTTCGTCGGATAAAGTTGATGTAGAGCAAAGTACTTTTCATCCAGAATGTTTTGTTGTAGTTTATATTCTTTGTGAATTATCGTTGTTCGTGCATGTAACAGTGAAGGGCCCCACTGTTACTGTGTGCAGTCAACGATTATTCACTTTGAATAGATTCTATAGCAATTATTCAAAGGGTGAAAGGCATGCTTGTGTTGGATTTGAGGTAAGAAGAACAGAACGTTGATCATATTTTGTGTTCAACTGATAAAACTCTAGTTTTATGTTGAAGTTCTTATACTTGTTTGCCAGAGTTCGCACTTTAATCGAGTCGCTACAGAAGTTGTTTTAGATGTTCATTTTGTCATTAATGTATTCGTTCGGCTCGTCTCACTGTGCATTTGTTTCTCGTATTTGTTTCCAGGAAAGACATCTTTAGATACGTTGACAAAAGTAAAGTGGATGTAAAAGTGAACTGCCAAATGGTGTCTATAATTACTGTATGCTGAATGGGAAGTAACTGTACTTTACTTAAAGATGACGGTAAGCGATGGTCCACGCTGTGATACACCGCTAATGTATCTCTTAGACACTGGAATGTGATGGCTAAAACAATGGAGGATGTGTGAGGCAGACGTTATGGATGACCAGATCTGAAGATGATGAAAGAGGAAATTCAGGTTTATAGGTCATAGTTAAAGTAGTTAATACATCACATCCATAACCTTATGCGCATGCGTGAGTGTTGTGCTGATGTGAAGTGATCCCGATGGTCGTTATAAGTTTGTTAAAATTTTTATTTACTAGCTTGAATAATATTTTCTTGCTCGTTTAAAGATTTTTGGTTGCGCTGCTCATAAGCTATTATCTCGCTAAGTGCATGTTTTTCAGCTGTTTGGGATAATTCTTATCACTCCAGTTACTTCTAAGGTCAGTGGCAAGCAAGGTACAAAAATAGTCATACAACCTAAATCACGTAACACAATTCACATTATATGTTTAATTATTTTTACCATGAAAATAATGGTAAATGGGCTCTTCAAAAGTTCCTCGTCATCCTGGTGCAACGATATGATCTTTGGCTTGGTGTCACGTGGACATGACGTAGCATCACAATGGACCGTCAACTTCATGGAAATCAATATGGCGTCACATGGATATGACGTAGACATCACAATGGACCGTCAACTTCATGGAAATCAATATGGTGTCACATGGACATGACGTAGACATCACAATGGACCGTCAACTTCATGGAAATCAATAACATTGCTTGGATTTAACGACTATTGCTAGAACTAAAACATTTTTGTTTTCTCTCAAACAATCACAATGCTCACAATGTGTGATGCATTACACAAGTTACTTCATGTTAGATATTTTATACTTAAATTTCATCACCTAGTTGCATCAATGCAAACATTAGGTAAGGCAATTTTGCATGGTTTTGTTGTGCCATTTGATCTTGGTATGTAACTGGAATGTTCAGGAATGCTAAGGATTATAATTAGGACTCGAAGCTATTGTTTTGTTTTCATGAGAAAGAAAATCATGCTCAAAGTGTTTCTGTGTTGATGTTCTCCTGGTAAAATTCCGTAGCATTTTAAGGCAATGTCTACTTTACGTGAATGGGTTTCTGATCGATTATTTAAATGATAATCACAGAACTCTGATTATACAGTGGATAGTCTCACTTAATGACCACCGGGATCAAGAAAAAAGTAAACTGTTCAAAAACAAAAAAAATAATTTCGTACAAATTAGCCAACATATAATCTATTTTTTCGGCTGGAGGGTTTTTTTCCGGATTCGCTGGTTTTCCCTCCATTTCGTTTCGTCTACTAAAAAAACTGTGTCCACGACGTGGGGCCTGTTTTTCTACAAAATAATGAGTCGCTCTTGTCTGATGTATTTATGAAGAATTTTGGCCTCTGGGTTGAAATCCCAGAACACTTAAAAAATTTGTGTGATGAATTTCGGGTTTACAACACAAATACTTGATCATGTAATCAAATGCTTGCATCAAGTATCAATTAAATTTTGAGCCTATGTTTATATGACAAACAAAACTCTTTAAATTATGTAGGAAGCAACAGTTGTGCGCACCGGGCGCCTATTTTTATAGTTAAAAAGGAGGATGACCTTGCAACAAATATATTATGCTCCATTCACACGACATAACCCGGGTTTAACCCAGCTTAATTTAATGCGTGTAAACACGACTAAACCAGGTTTAACCTGGGTCAAAACTCTATCCATCTCAAGAAATAGGTTGAGTGTGACCTGAATTAGTATTGTTTACACGCCATAAAAAAACCTGGGTTAAATCCGGGTTAATTTTAACTTGGATTAAAGCCGGATTAGTTTATGTAGTGTGAATTATTGGACTATATAGCTGACATGTTTGAAAGTAGATGTTCGTAATAAACTTGCACACAATGTGCTTAATTGGGAATATTCCAGATTTTATTGCTAATGAATCTTATGTATTACTAACTGAAAATGCATGTGAATAAAAGGAAATGTTTCTACCTAATTGCTTCTGCAGCAATCGACTGTTGGACGTCAGTAATGTTAAAAATATCTTGTGCTTTCGCTGCCTAGCCGCGGGATATTGAAATGTAATGAGCTTAAAAAATTATGTTGCTTCCTGTGGAAATTTTGATTTATTAATGCAGCTATCGCTAGCGCTTTTGGTTTGTTTCAAAAAAAGTATTGTTAAATATTTTGACATCCGATTGAGAAGTCCACTAAGATAAACAACGAAGCTACGTTTACCTCATTCTTTGAACACGATAAAATATAACGTAAAGTAAAATTTGATTTTCAAGGTGGATATCATATATCAAGTTGTTTTGTTCACATGTATCCCCCCGTAGCATATTCTGTCACACCCAGTCGATGATTTTGCTGCTACATCCCCCTCCCCTTTGGAAAAGTCACAATTTACTGTTTCTTTTAAGATAAAAAATCCATAGTCTCGTGAGGCAAATAAAAACCTTACACTTAACTATATCGTAGGTGCATGCAAAGATATGTATTGTGCATTGTAGTGTGCTTGTTGATACTTTTGGGCAAGACATGCTTAGTTTATGTTGACACTAGAAAAATTATGTCAAGTACAAGAAGACAAGTACATACACAATGCACATCACGACGTCATGATGACGTGTTTATCATCAGTTTGACGACCCAACGCATAGTTTCTTGTTTTATCTCCATGATTTAGCTTGGCAAAAAGCAAGTGTTATTTTATAACTGTTTTTACACCTTTGATACTGTAACGAAATAAAAGGTATTGCCAAGATGATAAGCTAAGTACATTTTTGAAACTTTGAAGTTTTTAAACCGTTTCAGTCTGCATACATCTGTCCATTTTGTCCTCAGTTCATACATTAGAACCAACACACTTGTTCGTTTTGTTTTTTCTCACTTAAAAAAAAATTGTCAAGTTTTTTTATAGAATAAACGATTTTCTACGTAGAAGAAATAAGCAGACACAGCCTGTGAAAATGATGAGCTAGAACGGTTAAGTTTTTAAGTTTACATTAAACACTGTATCATCTGAAAGCCTTTAGCGAGTCTTTAGGTGAGTTACATGTTTTTAGCATTCCTCTTGTTTTCAATAATTTTGCCCCACCCAAAATCGCACCTAAACATATTTTGCCTATAGCGTATCATATGTATACGAAACCATTAAACTGCGTCAAAATCTTACTCTTAAAATCCTGCATGATGTAAATTTAAATCCACGGTTAAATAATATTGAAAACCGTAGAAAATTCGTTAATGAGCCACAGAGATTATATCTTTGGAGACATGCCCAAATGCAAAGGTGATGAAAAATTCAATAAATTTTGATTTTGCCAATTTTTCTGATATGACGTAAGGGAAAGCCATCCATAATGACAAACATTTCCGACCAGTTGAGAACATTAATGAACAAGCTTTCATGTTTAATTGGTGAGTAAACTTTACTGATGCTCGCTTCCTTCTTTTGATTATACCCTGCAGGCTTCTCATTCATTCAAAGTCGATTTTTATTGACCAGACGTTCAACGAAAGTTCTGTTAAACAATCCTATCAGCGTGTTGTTCATTCAATAATTATTATATTTCAGGTAAAGAAACAGTTAAAACAAAATTATTAGTTTCACATCACAATATTTCATTAATGCTTTGAAAGTATATTCATTTTTAAATCGTAGTACTTTGAAGTTTCGGACATTTCACTATTCAGTAAAGGTGTTGTTTGACCGTGAGACGTAGAAGTTAACATAATTAATTATTAAGATTTATTTTGTAAAAAGAACATAATGGTTGTTTTACCTGTAGTTTGTAGAAAGTTTTAACACATGCCTTATGTTATAGGTATGACGTCACTACCATGGATGTTGTTGATTAATTTTATGATGTTCACTAAATAAAAACTGGCAATTATTACTTGTTAGATTTAACGAAGGTAAAACAGAGACATATGAGCAAACTTTAGCTCAAACTTTAATGAAATTTCACAGTATTATTTTCATACGAGCAATCATATAATTACAGACATACTACAACATCTCGTATGATGACTAAATTAAACTAATCAATAAATTTTAATAGGTTTTACATTTTTAGCATTATTCAGGCTATCTTGCTCACAAGCTTATAAAGACCCCACATCAATATTGATGCTATCGTCTGTATTATTCTCATACATGCTGAGCGATTTTATGTTGACTCTTTTTCATTATGATATTTAGATTACCAGGAATGTCAGCTGTCGACATCTCTAGGTTGGTTTAACAGCAAGGCAACACAGTGACGAGACACTCTGAACACATGTTTCTCAAGACATAAAATACAAATCACTATTGTTGAATATTGCAGAGTTACATTTCTCTCAAATTTATTAATGACTGCCATGCAAAGTTTTCTAATGCATTTCAGTGAATTAGAATTCTAATTGCTTTTAAACAGGTAAGATCAAATTCGGCTTAAAGTTACACGTTTGTGGTGTCGACAATGAGCCAATGATTGCAAAGATATGTACATAATGACACCATTTCCGGTGAGTACATACATAGTAAAGTTCGTGTTCATAGCAGAGAAAGTTCTTAAGGTTGTTATGTTCCTCTCACGCAATTGTTGGCACGCGTTATTCATATACTACTTGATTAAAGAAAGATTTTTGATTTTTGGGTATCTAAAATAGTCCAAGGTACGTTAACTTATCTTCACGTTGTTTTCATGCACCGTACCTTGCATTACTCTTAACGCTGGGATTTGTTCAGTATTTTTTTATTCATAACCTTACAGTATTACAGGGATTACGCTCACTTTATTATCAAGAAAATCAAACGTGCTAGACTAAATTCCCCATACGTAACGCCATACGCCATGTTCATTCCAGTACATCTTACATCAATAATCGTATATACAGTTATTTTTGCATGCTTGATCCTTCCCTAGAAGTTGGAAATAATATTCAATGTTGTTTTTAAGACGAATTTCGAATGCTAATTTTTTATACATGTCAATGGCAATAGATCAAATTCTTCCTACTCTCATTTGCGTCATTATCCTTTCTTCTTATGCGAGGGTGCTTTGACCTTGAATATGCTAAAGTGTCAGAGTCATTTATAAACCTGCGAAGTGCGTTTAATCTTTTTAACATACTTCACCAAAAATAAAGTTATTTTGTTGACTACTTGGGTGACATTTTCTAAGATTTTCTATAGAGAAGAATGTTCATCATCACTACTTCTACCGTGAGATGACATTAATAATTGTGATTTTGTGCTAACCGTTACAATAAACCGCATTGGAATATATCTTAGGATCGGTACCAGTTTATTTTTAGATATTCTTATACTCTGTGCGCCATGAAGCAAAAATAGCTTTGGTGATAGACTGTTTTTGATAGATGTTCTTGTCTGCCCAAAATGCTATACATAATCTTTACGCCCTAAGTTGAATGTGGTATTAATAAATATAATTTGAGTAACGATAGACAGAGATACTTTTCGCAAAAGCGAAATTTATTCCCATGTTCGAACACGTAAAATGTAGGGGGGAGATTAAAAATCTCACGCGTTTTATTGTATATTTGTTTGTTGTCGCAACTGTGCGGGCGTTGAGCAGTGTTTCATCTGCGCATCGCATGTTAATTAGTTCACACGGTTTGATTTATATCTGTCTGTTGTCAACAATTTTATGCTTTCATTTTAAATATTACAAATGACTACGTTCATATCTGGGTTCTGGGTGGTTTTCTTTAGAATTAGCAAATAATTATTTGATCAAACAAACCTTTCACCTTTCAATATTAAGAGAAAGAAAAATAGGGAAAAAAAGTTAAAAGCTCACGGCGCTTTTCTGTTTTACAGTCATCAACGACTGCAAAGTTTTGGTTTTATGCCGTTTTTTAGTTGTCGAATATTTTTGAAAGAATTGCTGTCCATTAAAGACTGTAATCTGCAGGTCATCTGCTTGCCGGTGAAACAAATCCTCCAAAAATCTGATAATGCATACCTTTTAAATACCGCATGGTGTTTGTTTTTATGGTTATGGTTTCATGTTTTAGTTTCAGCACTTGTCAATATCATATCTGTTTTTCTGACAAATGTTTCAATTCTTCTGTTATTTAAATTTCCCCTGGTGTATTAGAATTTCATTGATCGTAAATGTTTTCCAAAGCATCTCAAAATGTACATCTCAAACGAAGTGTAGGCTTTTATGGCCTTCGTGACGAAGTTTGTTGTGTTTAAACTTGTTGATAGATTCATCAATTGTTTTTAAGACTAATACCCCTAAATGCTTGCGTGTTTATATGATTTGGGGCAACGCTTGTTCCTTTAGGTAAATTCTCAAACACGTCATGTAGCGTGACCTTACTGAGCATGAGTTAACGAATTGAAATGGTCTTATCTTAATGAATACCATCACATAGACAGCGGGCATAAAAATACAATGTTTACGTGCAGATTCGTGCAACTTATAAGTAAGTAGATTACATTCTAAGCAAAGCTGGGCAAAAATCTCTGATGTTTATGAAATCATCGTTTTTGCTTGCTGAATGCATAGTTAATTTTGAAGAAGGAGTGCGAGTTGTTGATAACAAAAACTCACTAAATAATTACAGAATCAATGATAATTGGCATCGAGTGTGATTTCCTAATGTGAATTGACATGCTGCGCCATAGTCTGTTTTCATAAGGTGATATTCGTTAAAGAGCAAAGATACTTGAGAATCTGTAGTGATCTGATCGGTGTCATTAACTTTCAAGCAAGTGGTTTTTCTGAAATCTAATATCTCTTATAAAAGCTGCTGAAAATATATTCTATACGCACAATAACGCATATCCTAGCACAGAGCTCTAAATCGAAGGTTAAAAAGAATTCCAATTTACTATTTTCTTTACCGATACCAATGAAGTGAGCTATCGTACCATATGTTCTAAACAATTCTTTTTCTTTCATTTTATAGTTTGAATCAAGCAATGGAGAAAAAGACGAGAAATGTGGAAGTTTTTTCATTACTGATTCTCATCTTACATGCGGTAGTCTCTTTCAGCTCAAGAAGCGGTGAGTCAAACAAGAAATTTATTGTTATAATTGAAAAAACAGAATATTATAATTGTAATGAAGTAAAGTTAAACCGTTTCGGCATGTGTTTTGCAAATAAACCTCATATATCAAGGGATAGTGTTTACAAATGAATTATATCGTAATGTACTCATACATTCAATGATGACGGCTCTTTTAATTAATGTTTGCCGATGAATAAACTTGAATAGAAATGTGAAAATATACTAGTAAAAGTATTCTATTTAAGGGTTTTCGGTTTCGACTGATCGACTCCCATATATCATTACGTGAATTGTGTGAATCCGGCATTTTGAAAGACAGATGAATGACTCAGAAATAAAACTTGCATCAAATTTAAACATTTTTCCACTATTAAGTTTTTGAACACACAGAAATGATAAAGTAATCTAAACGTCATCTGAAAGTAATCAGCAAAATGCAATTTTTCATAGTTTGTTCTCCACGATGACGGAACCTTGCAATGAGAACTTAGTTTCCCAATTGAACATTAATGTTGTATTCTATAATTGTTTACATTAAACGTTTCCGAAAACTTTTGAATTTTGATAACTTTTGCCAACACAATTCATGCACCACTTGCTGTGAATGCTATCATGATAAACATTAGCAGGAAATTTAGAAAATTATCATCGTCCGTTCAATAACATCAGAAAAATGAATTTTTTTCAAATGCGCCGATTTTAGATGTCTGGTTGATGCAACGGTAAAAGTTGATCCAATGAATTTTCGCTATCACTCTGATTAACAATGTTTTTGAAATTGGACTTTCCTTCTTAGTCTGCAACATGTTAACACATTTCAAAGCCAGCCATAAGATTGGTGACCTCCAGCTTTGACAAAGAAAATTTCAGATTAGAAAGATAGCATAAAAAAAGGCATTTTAAAATTTCTGCATAACTGCTGTAGCTGTCTGAATAAGATATAAAACTCGTGGTTTCAAATTGCGTTAAGCTATGTCATTATGACTGAACAGTTAGGTTTCTTGAAAACACTAAATCACATTTGCAAAAGAATCATTGATCCTGCAGTGTATTCATTCATCCATCATTTCGTATGTTTAATGTCAATATATGGATGAAGAAATTCCAATGTTGAGTTTTCCTCACTAGAAATTTGACTGAACTCAATTATTTTGAACGCTACAAGGGGCTGTTGAAACTATTTAATCGTCTTTAAGCAAGAACAGGGGATTCTGTCTCACTACTATTATTTTTTTATGAAAATAATGACCCTTTAAATACAACTTAAAATTCCTCAAGTTCAGCTGAGATGTTTAAAGCGATTGTCACTTTAATTGCATAAATAAATCAAATGGAGACAGCCACTGAGAAGTGCATTGTTTGTTTTAAAATGGTTTTATTTAAAATTTTTGGGAGATTTCGTATTTAGAGCAAACATTTGATAACCAAATATAGATGATGACGTAATTGTGGCTCAGTTTTTATGCTTCAGATCAGAGAATTAATACAAACTAAGCGTTGAATTTCGCCGCAGTATTCGTGCCAAGCTATTTATTCCAAGACTAAACCATTTGTCTGAATGAGACCGCCAGTACTTGAGATGATGAAAACCAAAACTAATTTGATGTTGATAACATGTGTCTAAATATGTTAAAAGCGTTTTTGCAATAAACAGTTTTAAATTTCATCCCTTATCCTTTTGGTCACACTTTAGCAAACCACTTCATTTTACTTTTTGCGTTTAATGCTAATAAAATAATATAAGAATGGTCTGTGCTATATTATTTCTTTATTTTGTTTTACTTTCAGTGAATTTAAAAACAGCTAACCCAGCCAGCAGACAAACCAACAGCCACACTGTCGGAATGCAAAATCCAACATCAGCATTTCGTACATATATGTTAGGTGTAATAAGCACATTTCCCATAGCTAAACAATGCACCGTTCTCACTGCAATACTCAAAGATTCTGGGAAAGACCCTTCAAGTTTTATTCAGAAAATTCTGGCAACAACTTTTCATCGACATTTGCCGTGTTTTGCGATCACAAAATTCTCGGAAACGCCCGCAAGTACTACAGAGCTACGAACATCCACCGAATTTTATATTTCGAGGTATCGTGAAGGAATCATTTGGGTTTGAAAAGTAAAAAAAAATATTTTATTAAATAAAATAAAATTTTTGATTTAGACTATTTGACGCCCTTCCCTTAGCATTTCAATGTAAAGTTGTTGCTGATGTAACTCTCACGTCCCGCGGGAACGTCACGCAAGACGATCTTCATTCGGAAATGATAGAAGTTGCTTCAGAACTCAGCCAGGCTCTCGGAATTGTTCGCTTCGTAGAAAATGTACAAAACTAATGACGAAAAAAGTGGTCACGAATGCTTATGTGGAAATTGGCGTTCGTCTACGCAAGAAAATGCCTCTTGATGCTTGGACTGAACGATTTCGAAAAATTTTGCCAAAAATTTATCTCACTCACGTTTCCAGAAAAGGCAAAATTGCAGAGTTTGTCAGCGGTTGGAAAACCAACAAGAGAGGCGCAAAAATACCTATACTTTCTCCAAATCAATTTGTTGTCAAGATCTTAGACCATCCAATCGTGGGGGGTAATGTTGCCATGGTTTCATTCTCATTTTACTCCAGAACTAAGTCTGGTTATTATCAAGTTATTGATGGTGATGAAATTGCAGCGTCGCTTGCTGGACTGGACCCATCGGTTTTGGACAGTTACATCCAGGCAGAGGTGATTGGATGGCGGACTCATGGCGAACGAAACAATGGGATGTTTGAAAGCGTGCGCATGAGTAAGTCAAAGGGAAGCAAGTCGGAGATTTTACGTCTGCAGATGTCATTTCCTAAGTATCTTGTGCGTTATTTTAAATCGTTGAAAACGGAAGGACGATGTTATGTACTATTACAAATTAGCACACACATTAACAGGGAGTTATTATTAATTGAAAAACAATATCATAACATGGGTATTTTACCTAAGAAGTATTTCTGCTCTTCTCCGTCGAAGCATGACCAACGCCCAAAAAACAGGAGACCTAATGCTCTCACCACCGTTTGGCAATTTTGGATGAATTTATTCGGAAACCAAAACTTTCAAATATAACTCCAAAGCCTGCTAGAAATACTACTGTAATTCACACTACAAGACCATTGAATACAATGGAAATTGTTCTGTTTGTGCTACTGGGATTTCTGTGTCTTCTCATCATGGTCTTCATTGCCAACTGTGTTGTATTTACATTCAAAACAAAACAGCTGTCCGTTTATTCATCCAAACATGATGAAACGAAATATGTTTTTGGTGTGGAAGGTCCAAATGAAATTGACTCTACTTCATCTGAGTCCGAGATAACGGCAAAAAGTTTATGCGATACTCCAGGGTTTGGCAAGAAATCAAAATTAGCAATGAAGAATAGATTGTTGAGTGAAACAAGCGATGTCACCACATGGAGTGAGACCACAATGCTTACTGAAATCGAACATGAACGAGTCAGTGCAGTTTGATTGACTTTTTGAAAACCGTGTTCCTGTTGTTGTTTCTAAAAAACTCAAAAACTCATTAATCGACTATAGGCCAAAAGAAGTCATGAGAACTGGTGTTAAACAATCATTCCTAGTCAAGTGTTTTCTTTCGTCCAGCTTTTCGATTATTTCTATATTCACTGACTGAAAATGCGAAAGATTACTAAGAACCACCTAAGAACTGAACTATTACAGTACGCACATGAAAATAGGCTACCCTTCTGATTTTAGTCCATTTTATGACAAAAGTTTCCCTGAGTGATTAAGCTACATGATAGTCACATGGCATACACAAAAAGTTATATTTATTGCAAATATTAGTTGTGAATTAAATAAAACTATTGAATTATTGTTGAAAATTTTACATTAATCTATCATGAAGTATTGCAAAATGTCAAATATGGCGGACAAAGAATCATTGTGTTTCGATAAATCTGTTAAATGTGAGTGGCAAAAGTATGTTCGAAACAATGTAGAGCAACTTGAAACCGATTGCAAGGCTACAAAAGACGTTAAAGAAATATTTAGAATTGTTAAGAAGACCATAAAGTAAGTATTTTGTGTTTACCTCTGAGTGAGATTAACTCAGATAACATTGACATCCAGGGACTGATGATTCTACTTTATTAATACGAATGTTTCTTTCTCATCTTCTTTGAGAATAATGTTCTTAGAATAATAGAGATTATGGTTTTTTTTCTTTTACTTCATTAGGGAAAATATACATACTGCGGATTTTCTTTTGAAAATACAAGAAGCAATCAATAAAAATCATCAACGTTTTCTTGAGAACCAAGATCTATTGGCGTTTTCCATTAATGGCAGCAACCTATCTCGGTAGTGTATATTTAGATGTGCATCATGTTTAACACACACTTGTTTGGTCTCAACTTAACTATTAAAAAATTTCCCACACTTCTTCATAGAGACGACGAGGAGTTAAGTGTCGTTTGTCAAAGCTCGTTGGCGAAAGGGCAACATAACAAGATATCAAATTGCTCATCACTAGTTGAAATGAGATATGATAAAGTTCATGGTCGTTATTTGCAGGTATCAATAACAATTATTATTATTCAAAATTTGAAATATTTGATATCTAATAGTACAAATGCTTTCTAAGATCCTCATCATAGTAAGTTAGTTTGGTTTAAGTTACTGCAATACAATCCATTGGATGTTCAATTGTTCATAATATTTTCATGGCAAATGCATGAAAAACTTTTTAACAACAGAAAAAAAACTAGTCTTCTTTTGACATTACATTTTTGGTGATGTCATGTTTATTTAACACACCAGTAAAAACATATGTTATTTGAAATGTGCTATAGCTTTTGTTGCAATTAAACATTATGTCATTATAACTGTAATAAGTTAGTTATTTAACTGAAAGTGGGTTTTTGTTTTTTCACTTATGTTTATTTTAAGTAAAACCCTCATTTGAAGATAAGAGGATTTTAAAATGTCCTGATTAAATTTTGAAGATATCCTGATTGAGATCTTGAAGGAGTAATTTAGATCTAACCTATATATGTGGTCGTATTTTGAACAGTTTTAATGAAAGACTTATAGTACTATATGTACAGATCATAATTTTATCATAGATTTATACATGAACAAACTGACCATCTACTTTAATACAAATCATCATTTAGGCAAAGCAAGAAATAATGGCTGGAGATGTTCTAATTATTGAAAAACCTTATGTAGCAGCTCTTGCATCATGCAACAAAAACACACACTGTTCACATTGTTTTTTAAAGTTATCACAACATTTTAAGTGAGTTAATAACTTGATTACTAGATGTTTTCATCAAATTTCATTTTGATGAATAATTGCTTTGTTTTTATACAGAAGTTGCTATACTTGTAATGAAGTGAAGTATTGCTCATTAAGATGTCAAAGAAATGCCTGGATATCTTATCACAAAATTGAATGTGTTCTTTCACCATTGTTAAAAATGGTTTGTAATTTTTGTATGTTGTCAGTCTTTTTTTTTCAACTTATGAATTCATCCCAGGCTTAAGTATAATATGTGAACATAAATAGCAAACTTCCAATTTCAACATAGGCAAAAGTGTTCTACAAATTTCTTTATCATGATTAAAATTTCATAGAAATCATCCCATCAAGTCATTTATTCCTATCATTTTGTCAGTATATCCGTAAGTCTCCTCTTTGTCTCTTCATTTACATCACTTACTATGAAGTTCTTAACTTTGCATTTTTTTATGTACATACTCATAATCTCTCCTCTGTCGTTCTCATTTTCTTATTGACCAAACAATCTTGTCAGACTTTTGCCTTTTCTCTATAGAATCTCTCTTTTCTCAACTTGTGTTGTTCGTCATTCTTGATTTTGTCTTATCATTTGACTTGTAAAGAAAACCTCAGCATCTTCGTCTTTGCTTTTGCAGCCTAAGGACAGTTTTAACTTTTGGTTTTTTCTTTTTGCTATTGTCTCACAACCAAACAACATTGCTGGGTTAATTGTGATTTGCTACTCCAAAAAATCGAACCCCAGTATTTCTCCTTTATGAAAAGAAAAAGTATTCATTTATTTAAAAACAGCTTGACATGACATCACTGTTGGCATTGCGAATTCTTCTCGTCACTCCAACTCAGACTATGATTAGTATGTATGTCATGTTTGTTTTTTTCAAAAGCGTCATGTTTCCATTTATCACTAAACTCTTTTACTTTATTTTTCCCTAGATGTTTTTCATAATGATCATGAAGACAGTTCAACGTTCATACCAGGTTATAATGAAGATGATTTATATGAAGGTAAAATTGAAAGCATTTTATTATTTAAATTTACTTATCAAAACAGCGTCTTATGTACTGTATTCTAACATATCGACCATTTAATACCATAAATACAACCTAACGTTTACCAAGTGTTTCTTACGTTTTGTATTTAATACTGTCGCTTGTCTTCTGATTTAGAAGCGATGTATTGACTTATTTCAGGTGATTACAAATGTGTCTACGGTTTAGTGAGTAATGTGGAACATCGTCAGATCTCAGCTCTTATCTCTCATGCATTGGTATAAACGAACGTTTGTTTCTATCACGTTGGCATTATTGTATTGAAAGAACATTTCAATTTAAAACTTTTTTCCATTTTTTGTTTTTTTCAGTACGCAGTTTGCATCACAGAAATATCTTTTCCCTACATATATGGTGACAAGAAGGAATTTTTTCAACTTTTAAGTTGTTCAGATGAAGAAATGACATCAGCTGCTATGGCTGAAACATTGTTCCATCACTTGAACCAAATGCAATGCAACATGTATGGTGTAACAGCTTTACTTTCGTCGTCACACAACGACGAAAATGGCGTGTACACTACTGAACAAAAAAGGATCGCTTCAGCAATATATCCTACTGCATCTCTCTTAAATCACGCCTGCTATCCTGATGTAATTCCAAGGTATGTTGTGCATATTTCATCATACTTTGATGTTAAATTTGTTGTCGGAAATTTCAACCAATAGTTGAATTAAACGTTTCATTAAATTTACCAATAATCCATAGGATATCATTCATAAGTATATCCCACTCCATTACTGCGTTTCACTTAAAGAAAAATTGATTTTGAAGGCAACCACCCATCTTGTATGTCAAACCAATGTTATAATGAAGTTTGATTAGAAATTGCAGTAATTTATTAGCGTGCAATGTAGGAGGATTTTTATAACACACAAGCAGCACAAATCTATCTATTTCTTCAGTAATATTTTTATTATTATTATACTTAGTTGTGATGTATTTAAATAGTTTTTCTGGCTCCACTCTTGTCATACGTGCCATTCGTAATATTGAAAAAGGAAAGCAAATATCACATTGTTACGGTCAGTTTGATGCTATTCACATCTGTAGAATATGGTATTTTATGGTTATTATTATACGGTCTGATGAAATAACTTACCTCTACATACTACAGTTGGTTCATTTTAGGTCCTACGGTCTCTCGAATGAATAGGGAAACTCGTCAAAAGCTTCTTAAAGAACAGTATTTTTTTACTTGTAGTTGTGTTGCTTGTCTTTGGTAAATATTTCATGTTTGTTTTTTACTTTAAGACTTTTCTGTAAATATAGGTTTTGATCTTTTATTTCAGTGAAAATGATGTTCATTTTGACGATAACTCTGGCATGTATGAATGGTTGTTTATTTGCCCAAAATGTTCGGAAGGTGTGAAAGTTTCTCGACGGAATTACTGTGGAAAATGTCAAAATAATGATTGTGGAGAGGTTGGGGACTTTACACGAGATGTTCGTGAGATTGAGAAAGCTAGGAGTCTGTTTGATCTTTCCATGGCGTGTTTAGAACGGGGACAGATTAAGAAGTCTTTGAAAATGCTAAAAGATTGTTTAGCCAAACGACAAAATTTTTTACAGAAATTTGACAGAGATCTAGCAGAAACACACGATACAATGGCAAGGTAGGTTTTCATTTTCTTTTAGATGACCAACAAAACAACAATTTCTTCAATGTTTCGTGATAATGAGATAAAAATAAGATGTATCCGTGAAGGTTGTTATGAATGAAAAACAGATAACAAGTTATATTCTTTACGTATTAGTTTTGGCTTTAAGAATTATGTATAAAGTTATTGTTTTGTCTAAGTTTAGGTGCTATGCAATGCTTGGCGATTTTCGACAAGCGGCGATTCATTGTCAAGTTAGCATCGAAACTGTACGACAACATTTTGGATCAAAAAGTATTGAGTACGGTCATGAATTACATAAACTGGCCCAGTTACTTTTCAATGGTCAAGAAGTAGAGAAGGCATTGACCGTCATCAAACCTGGAGTGCAGATATTGACTCTTCATTATGGTGAAAAAAATGAATATGTCGAGGAATTGATACAAATGAAGAAAATATTATATGAAATAGATCATGTGTAATATTTACGAGTAATTTTAATGTCGATTGAATTGTATACAGGAAATTTTTAAATATTGTAGATAAAGAAACCAGCTCGTTTTCATCGCTTGAATGTACAAACTTTCTCATGTTACTTCAGCTGACGTAAAGTAAAAGTTTGTATTTATAAACTATACGATGCTTTTGTGACAGTGCTATTGGTAACGAATTTCTAACAAATAAAATAACCTTATCAATGACACTGCTTTTAAAGTCCATTAAAAATATAAATGTCTAACAAACAACTGTTAAAACTTACTCTGCAAATATCTTGTAAGCGATGTTTAAATAACCAAAAGAGGACATTTATACGTAAATTTTTTGTTGAGTAATTTTCTCACAGAATGTTGCATACATTTATATTAAATATTTGAATTGAATGATATTTATTAAGTTGTATTTAGCATCATGACATGACGTCAAGAACATGTCATATATTCTTTAATTCCTTAACGTTGTAATAGTAGTTCAGAGAATCAGGATTGCGATAAGCCTCCTTGTGATCAATTGATTTGCCCGTATTGAGAATGTCTTTCACAACTACTTCGACTTTTTTGCCACTAATTGTGTAAGGAATATCTTGTGTCTGAATTATTTTACTGGGAATGTGTCGTGGAGAAAGTTTACTGCGGATTTCCAGCCTTATTTGAGTTGTCAATTCCTCCGTAAATCTATAACAATAAAAAATTGCAGTTCATACAAGATAATAACAACCATAGATAGATGTTGGTCATAGAGTGAAGGTAGTTACAGAATGATGGTGAACACCTAGTGAAGGTGGTCACAGAGTGATGGTGAACACCTAGTGAAGGTGGTCATACAGTGAAGGTTACAGAGTGATAGTGAACACCTAGTGAAGGTGGTCATAGAGTGAAGGTTACAGAGTGATGGTGAACACCAAGTGAAGGTGGTCATAGAGTGAAGAGTGAAGGTAGTTACAGAGTGATGGTGAACACCAAGTGAAGGTGGTCATAGAGTGAATGTGGTTACAGAATGATGGTGATCATAGAATGATAGTGGTCATCTAGTGAAGGGTGTGATTGTGGACATAGAAAGATTGCGGTCATAGAATGAAGGTTACAGAGTGATGGTGGTCATAATGTTATGGTCGTCCAATAGTGTGATGTTGGTAAAATATAGATTAAGCGTATAACAAGGTGATGGTAAGCACACAGTAAGAAGTTGATCACTTTTACAACCGCTCAAAAAACCTTACGCAAAGCCGTTGGCCATTTTCACAAATAAAACCACCAATTCATTTTGACTATCCGATTTGTTTTGATATCCAACACACAACGTGTCTTCAATTTCTGTAAATTTTTCCACTGCAGATAATAATATAATAAAAATTTCAGACTTCAATCATTTGTTGATTCATGATAACATACATCAAAAGGACAACTTGGTGAACTTACCAACATTATAGATCTCTGCGCTACCAAATCTCACTCCACTCGGATTCAATGTTGCATCACTATAACAAATCAATTGAAAAGCCTTTATTTAGATATTTGGTGGAACGACATATTGAATATGTGCTGCAAAAACAACATGAAAACAAAAGGATGCTAAAACAAGGAACCTTCTTCCCAACATGATTATTCCTCCAGTCTTAGAATTAATGATACAATAGTCACCATGAGTCCAGACATCTATATATAGTTCAACATTTAGTTAGCAAAGTGCCAAGAACTTTCTTATCCCATAGCATAAAACTTACTTTTATACTTAGAAAAATACGTTTTGTTGTATTTCAAATTGTCTTCATCGTTCAACAAATAAACGGGCATGGATGGAAACGGTTTAGTGCAAACCAATTCTCCTCTAGAGCCGTACACTATACAACCTAAATCAATCGGTAAAAATATATTTTTCTGTAAAACGTATATATCAGCTGGTAATTTCAACATTTTTTTCACTCACCGTTTTCATCCCAGGTTTCCACTGCCATACCAAGATTTCTGCTTTGAATTTCACCTCTACGAACTGGTATAGTAGGATTTTGTCCCAAAAAACACGAGATTATATCAGTACCACCTGGAAGATTATCAATAATCATCAAATTGTGTTGGGACAAAAAATAGATAAAACGATGTATACATATTACCTGACACTGAACCGAGTAAAACATCTTTCTTTATTTTGTTGTATACATAGTCAAATCTTGCGGCAGTCAATGGAGCTCCAGTGGATAAGATCATACGAAGAGAAGCTAAACAGTGAGTTTCTTCTAGATAATTGAAGAAATTTAGTACTTAGTAATTAAAATTAAATCTTAATTTCATGTGCAATATAAGTGCTTCATGTTTTACCAGGTGTTACTTTTTTGTTTTCAATAGTTTCTAGATATTTTGGACTCACTCCTAAAACAGATATCCTGACAAAGACACAATGAAGTTAAAGACACCTCACTGATCTCCAGTACTGATGGAATGATTTAAGATGTGACAAACCTGTGTTTATCAACCACGTCAAATAGTATATTTGGTTTAGGAAGTAAGGGCGAGCCATCGAAGAGAACAACTGTAGAACCCAGAGCAAGAGACGTCAGCATCCAGTTCCACATCATCCAACCAGTCTAAAGAAACCAGTAAAAATGAAAATCGGAAGCAGTTTTTCAAAAAAGCAAGTTGACCTATAAAATAAAACGCAGTCACTATGATTTCCAATTACCGTTGTATAAAAGAGCATGACATCATTTCTAGTCATGTCACCATGAAGAATATGTTCTTTCAAGTGTTGAATCAAAGTTCCCTGTAGTCAATAGACAAGTCATTGAAACAAACGCGAAACATTAGTGGGAGTAAGAAAAGGTGAGCATGACATAGTAAGTTAAGCTTACGTGCTCCGCTACCTACCCCAACAGAATGAACGAGACATTTTGGTCGCCCTGTTGTACCAGATGAATACATTATAAACAGTGGATGATCAAATGGAACCTGCTCAAATTCAAGTTCTTCATCTTTTCTATCCAGAGCAAGAAAATCGTCGAAAAATATGCTGTTGAACACGAAGAATTAGAAAACAGTCAAAACGAAATCAACAAGTATCAGAACGTAATAAATCTTGCCTGTTTTGAATGTTGTGAATATCAATGTTTTCCTTCAAAGCAGCGAATGGAAGAATGACAACTTTCTCAATATTCCCTAGTTCTAAATTATCAAAAAAATGAAATAATCCCAATGTTTGGCTTATATTTTTGAGTTTTGACGTATTATTCAGATGACATGAAGCGTGTAACCTTTAACAACTTGTTTAAGTTTATCCAAATGATTATAAACCTTTCCATTGTATGTGACAGAATCGACTGAAAATATCATTCGCGGTTTGATTTGGTCAAAACGATCGATAACACCCTAAAATAAAATTTATGAACTTAAAAATAGTTATAATAGTTTGTGCAACCTAATGTAAAAAAAAACACCAATCCTATAACCTTTGGACCAAAATCTGGTGAAGCACAGCTCCAAATGGCCCCAAGACTTGCAGTTGCCAACATCGCTTCAACAGCTAGACTTCCATTTGGTAAATAACCTTAAATTGTCACGAAAGCCAAAAACAGCTGGTGTTTAATAATACACACTAAAAAGAAACCTGCTTTTTGCGTTAACTATTTATATAGTTTATATATTATATAGTTTTGGGTTAACTATTGATTGACCGTAAAGACCATGACTAAAAGTAATTTTCTAATGAATAAAGAATCATTTAATGACACCTGTGGAGGAAATTGTGTTTTAATGATTCAAGACTACATTTGATGAGTTGTTGAAAGAGCGGGCAGATCTAGTAGCGCGTGGGATCTCAAATATCGTTTTTTTTAATCCTATTTTATAATGTATGTTTTCGAAGAGCTTACACTTCGTTCATTTCAATTGTAACACTTGTAAATGATAAAACACTTATTTGAAGAGGACATAATTTCTATACAAAGAAAAACTATACAAAATAGAGTGGCTGATTGCTCCTACAACTGACTTTCGCGCGCACGTGAAAGGGCGTGTCGCGTACCTACGGAATGCCCAGAAGAGTACACATGGAGACTTTGACAACTAATTAACAAGAAACTTATACAAGTAAACCTCTTTGCAGAGAAATCAAGCAAAAATCATCACACAATTATGACAATACTTTCCACAGCAATAAACAAGATTAGAAATAGTTTAACTATTTGTATACCTGCAACTCTGTCTCCTTTTTTACACCTGCATTTTTCATAGCTGATGTCAAAATAGTCACTTTTTCTTTCAACTGTTTAAATGTGATGGTTGTATCTTCCGTCCTTCTCCTGTAAATGATACCAACAAAAACTATCAGAGAGAAAGTCAATTGTCAAAGGCTGTCTGAAAACATTATACAAACTAATATATCACATGAGGATAACATACCAGTGGTGATCAAAGCAATTCTGTTGTCATCATATCTCAGAAGATTCTCGGCATAGTTTAATTTACTACCAACAAACCACTTAGGAATTTCAGTAATTCTTTCTGATTCAAGCACCTTCAATTCAGAATTAACAGACAAAAACTCTTATTCTGTAATTTGTTTGACAAAATGAAAGGCAGCCTTCAACCGTGTACCTTGAAGTAAGGTCTTGAAGTGAGTGTGTTTGAAAATTCCCAAAATATTTCCCAGAAATTTTTGATGTTATCAACTGACCATTGGTACAAATCTTGATACGTTTCTATGGAGACAAAATATAATCATGTCATCTGTTGAGTTATAAAATGCCAATTCAAGATGATAAAAGCCTTTGTTCATGAAAATGATGCATAAAATGAACGATTATTCTGTTATAAATAATCTCTATATTGAAGTTGAAATTTGCAGCATCTTATGGTTTGACCAAACTACACTTGAAATTTGAGTAGCCTATTGTATTTTCATGTCGCAAAGAATACGCATTGTGTTCTAGCATTTTAATTTTAACAATACTTTATTTATGTCAATGTATAAATTTTACATAAACCACCAACCTATATCCACTCCATGTCGTTTATTTATTATATTACGGAATTCGTCCATTTGGGTCAGTTTACGTGGATTTGGAGTCCACATAATTTCAGATATCCTTAAGTAACTATCCATTTTATCATTTTAATCCAAATCATGAATATATTCCAACAAATGCACGGTTTTAGCAATTTGAAATATGTGTTCCACGTTGCAAATACGCAACAATGACCTTTGAACTTTGACCTCTTCCCACGTCACACATTGTCAAAGTTGAATATTTCATCTTTGCTACATTTAAGGTCGATATATATTTACTCATATTACATTATGTCTACTTTTATGAACAACCAAATGGGAGAGTTTACGAGTGAAAAAGAAAGTGGTTCTATTTAGTAACAATTAAAAAAATTCGGTGTGTAATAACATGCGTAATAGTTGTTAATAGTTGGTTTGAGTCATAGGTTTTATCAATAATTTCCGTACAAATTCATTATTTGGTTTTGAGGATTTCACTAGCACCATTATTGGTCAGTCTTTAAACCGATCAATAATTTGATAAAATAATTTACATCAAAAATATTACTTTTAACTACTTTTTTAACCAAATAACAGATCACCGGAGTCGATGATTAATATTCTCACTTGTGGTATAATTTGTCGCAAATTTGGCGAACATCAATTACCGTAGTTACAATATACAGACAATTATAAAATATTAATATAGTAATCGTATCTGTAATGATCATAAAAAATGGCAGGGAATTTTGAAAGTATTGAACGTAGTTTGGAAACTAACATTGCTGAGAATGAACTGAAAGAAATAAATCGCGTTTTATATGGTAAACCTTGCAGGTCAGGTGTGGATTTTTATTATAATACTAATTTATTATGCAAATTATAGAGTTTCCTCCAAATTGCCCTGCTTGTGTGACAGTGATCAAGTTCGATTCCACGAACATTCCAACTTAGCATTTCCAACAGTTAACATTGATGTTGTTTAGTGCATGACTTGATTGTATATACAATGTTCAAATTCACAGGAAATTGTTGTTTTCTCAAGACATAAATGATGAGGCAAAAGCAAAGAAAGTTGAGTTAGCTGGTTACAAGATTGATGCAGCAAAAGAACAGCTTCGTCAACCAAAGATTGTTAGAATTGGTGCTGTACAAAACATGATTGTTTTGCCAACAAGTGCACCTGTGTCAGAGCAGGTAGTAAATCTATATATATCTTTGTATATCACTAAGCATTTACATGTTTGTAAATGTAGATCGTCCAGGTTGGTATAGTCCTGAGAAGGACTGTTCTTGTTGTTGTTGACTGACGTTTCGACAACCTTAGCGGTAGTCATCTTCAGAGTCAAAATGAACTTTGTCGAAACATCAGTCAACAACAACAAAAACAGTCCTTCTCAGGACTATACCAACCTGGACGATCTACATTTACAAACATGTAACGATACTCCCGGGTTCAAACCATTTACTTTACTAAGCATTTAAATAAATGGTAATGGTTAACGGGATTATTCATTAATTTTCCTAGGTTGAGGCTATACATTCTCGTATTGGTGAGATTGTAAAGATTGCCAGTGATTGTGGCGTTAATATCATTTGCTTTCAAGAATTTTGGAGTCAGTAATTGTTTCATTTTAATGATTGCATTCATGAATATCTATTATGGATATTTTAATGTTTTAATTATACATGTGCTCTTTTCAGACATGCCTTTTGGTTTTGCACGAGAAAAGTATCCATGGGTAGAATTTGCACAATCAGCAGAAAATGGACCAACAATTAAACTCTGTCAGCAGGTGTCTAATCAAAAATTCACTTTTGTTTATAACAGTTGATGATAAGTTAATGAACAACATATTTTACTTTCTTTGTTTCAGTGGGCAAAGCAGTATAACATGGTGATTGTGTCATCAATTTTAGAGCGCGAAGGAAGTCACAGGGATGTGTTATGGAATACTTCTGGTAAGCATGCATTGAAATTTGCTTCATCTCGTGAACACTACTCTATTTCTTGTTTAAACTTTGAACTTTCTTCTTCTTTCATAGTAATAATATCAAATACTGGCAGTATCATTGGCAAGACAAGGAAAAATCACATTCCCAGGGTTGGCGACTTCAACGAGGTAATGAAAAAAGAGCTATATTCTTCCTCCTAAAACTCTCTGAATGTTTATTCTTTTATAGTCAACTTACTACATGGAGGGAAATCTTGGACATCCTGTGTTTGAAACACAATTTGGTATGTACCCATTTTTAGTTGATTCTTATGAAAATTAAAATCACAGGTGTATAGGCTTAAGGGGAGTAATATACAAAATATGAAGAATAATTTATTATTTGTGATTGTCACTAATCTTCATTTATTTTCATGTTAGGTCGAATTGGAGTAAACATATGTTATGATCGCCATCATCCATTAAGCTGGTACATGTTTAGCATAAATAATGCTGAGATAGTTTTCAATCCATCTGCAACTGTTGGTGATCTAAGGTAACCAAACAAATGTCCAACTCATGATTTTTCCATATGGTGGGCCAACTTTACAATCAATGTCTCATATTTATTCTCGCAAATTGAGGTTTCATTTTTTTTAGTGAGCCAATGTGGCCTATAGAAGCTCGGTGTGCTGCAATTGCAAATAATTACTTTGTTGTTGCAATCAATAGAGTTGGGACTGTAGGTTCTGTTGCTTGAGCTGTGTTTTGTATGTATATATTGATCTGTAATACATGGACAATTTTTCAGGAAAAATTTGAAAATGAATTCACTTCTGGCGATGGAAAACCAGGTTTACTTTTAATTTACAGCTTCTATGGCACTTTTTTCATTGTACTTACAAACAGATTATACATCATATTATAAAATATTTTTTAGCTCATCATGACTTTGGGCATTTTTATGGTAAGATTTGAAGGGTTAGAGTAGAACATGCATCTATGGTCAATCATGTTGGGCTAATCTTGCTTTGTTCTGTACTAGGTTCAAGCTATGTTGCTGCACCAGATGCCTCAAGGACACCAGTTAGTCAAGAGTTTAAAGACTTTCAGTTGTTTTTGTTTTGAAGAAAAATTTGTGAACAGTGTGGACACAATTTTGCTCATTATAGGGTCTCTCTCGTGTTGAGGATGGTTTGTTGGTTGCTGAAGTTGATCTCAATTTGTGTCGTCAAGTAAAAGACAAATGGGGATTTCAGGTTGCTTATCACATTGTACATAGTTTTTTAGAAATACTTTCAAACTGAGCTAATGTGTGTCATGTTTCAGGCTACAGCTCGTCTGGATATGTATGCAGAAAAAATATCAAATGCTGTTAAACCAGACTTCAAACCATATATTGTACATGAAGGAGAAAGAAAGTGAAATTCTATCAATATGCATAAAATACAAAATGCATACAATGAAATACTTGGTCTTTAAGTGATACAATGTATTAGGGGAATGTTATGGAATTTTTATTTTATATATTCATGAATTAAATATAACAAGGAATTACTTTCATATAACAGCTCTGCTCAAAATCTGTTTTATCATAATTTTATAAATACAATATCTTCATCTGTGCCATAACTCTTTCTAGCCTCATCAAATATTGACTTGTCAATACAGCATTCAGTTTCATACAATGAAGGATTCTTATAAAATATAGACCCTGAACAGACATCATGGCCACAAACTATAATGTAATGACCTTCATAAGGTGCCACAAGATCATTCACATTAAAAATGGTGTGGGCATCATTTCTAGGGACACATGTGGATAATTGCAGATACTTCTGTGTACACCACTTGCAATTAAGTAAAAGTGAATTGACTAAAGTAATCGCAACATAACCGTCATTTAATTTAAACAGGATTTCTTCAATTGACAAAGACCTAGAGATAAAATGACCTAGATTTTAAATAACGTAACTTACTTTATCCAAAAACAATTTCTGTTTACCTTTTAATTATACACCAACCCATATCACTAGCCTTGTCAAACAATTTGCTTACACGATGTTCATCTTTGGAAAAATTGCATTTATAATAGGTTTCGTTCTTGTAGTTTGGATCAACTCCACAAGTCACTGTGTAATATTCACAGTCAATGCCGAAATGATGTAAAATATGAACTAGATCTATCGTCCACGTACTTTCAAAAATATCCAAGTCATTTAAAACGCCATAAATTACTGATTCGTCAAATCGTTTATGTACAGATAATATCATTCTTATACAAGCAATTCCACAATCCCAATGATATTTCTGTACGATATGCGACAAAACAGTAATTTTGCCATTCATTTTGTAAATATGTAACATTTCATTTATTTGTTTTTGAAGCAGATGAAAAGTACTAATCATAGGGATATAACGGAACAACTAGGATCTACATGAGAATACTTTGATGTTGAGGAGTACATAGATATAATGGGGGGGGGGATAAATTTGCCGATTCGTTTGTCGAACGTCCATGCCGCGGGTTAGGTCGAAATTTGAATTGAGAGGTAGTGGAAAAGATATATCAAGCGTAGTATTTCAATCCGAAAGAATCCATCAGAGATTTTATAGATATTTACTTCATTTTCCAAGGAATTGCTTCTAAAAATGTCGATAGGTATTCCCATCAAGATTTTGCATGAAGCTGAAGGACATATTATTACTTTGGAGACATTAACGGGAGAGGTTTATCGAGGTAAACTAATCGAGGCTGAAGATAATATGAACATTCAAATGTCAGAAATAACGTTGACTGCGCGAGATGGACGTGTGTCTCAACTGCAAAACGTGTTTATCCGTGGAAGTAAAGTCCGTTTTATAATACTACCAGACATGTTGAAAAATGCACCTATGTTTAAGAAGCAAAGGGATAAAGGCTCAGCTGCTGGACGAGGAAAGTCGGCTATTTTAAGAGCACAAGGTGAGTACTCAACAGAAAAATATGAAACGAAGAGAAAAAAGATATCTGCACTCAAAGTTTACTTAGTGTGTTCTGGTTTGTATACCCTCAACTACCTCTTCCATTTCCTTCTCAATCCTAAATGATCATTATTCCAAAGCCATCATCAGAGAATATACATAATATTAATCCTGACACCGTTTTTATATGCACATGTAAAACATGTGACTTGGATGAGGTTTAAACTCACAACTTCAGGATACTAGTTGTGACTAGTGACAAGTATCGAAGGTGCAAGTCCAAGTCACATGTTTTTCATGTGCATATAAAACCATGTTAGGACTAAATGATCATGATTCATGAATTTTTACCTGTAATTACTTTGATCTTTTATTTAATTCTTTTTAGCTGCAGCTAGAGGCCGTGGTGACCATTTCAGAGGCCGAGGAAGGGCTGGGCATAGAGGTGGCGGAAGAGGATTTCAGCATAGAAGATAAAAGATAAATATAATCTCAACTAAACATACATCTTTCTCAAGACATTTGACAATGTATTAAAATTATCAGTGTAAATATATGTTTTTCCAAAAGCTCAGTAAAAGTCTTTCTTTATTTGTAAAGACATATATGACCTGCTGCTTTAGTGTGTGTGTGTGTATTTTGTATTGGTTCTTTGAATGACAGTTAAATGGAGCCATTTTATGTTGTATAATGCAGGCCTTATATTTTTTTAAAATATTAATTAAAGCAACAGAGATTCCTCAATTTATGGAACTTCCTAAGATCGCGATATCTGTAACCAGTTTAAGTAGCATTGGTAAAAAAATTCACTTGCTCATTCTTTCTACATTGCTTTGCCATTTCCAGGCATTCAGATTTTAGTTAATTAGTACACCACGTGATTGAATTGGACCAATCATAGCGTTCCGCGTCCAGCGTGTGTGTGTGTTTCTTCATGGTTCATACATATTTCCTTGCCACGATGTTCGCAGCTTGAGTAAGTTTTTGTCATTTCTAACTACCGTCAAATTCGTTACATTATACTTATGTTTTAATGGTTTAGATAGCTTATCTTGGCTAAACGTGCCTACTCCAGGTGTATCTTGGATTTATAATGGATTTAGCCCACACGAAAAGTGTGGAGCAAATGTTTGAACATTTCAAAGTGAGCGAATCGAGTGGACTCAGCTTGGATCAAGTAAAGATTAATCAAGACAAATATGGCCCGAATGGTATTTATATTTGTTGAAATACGCCATGTGTGCCTAAATGCTATGCGGAAAAGTAAAATGTATACGAGTCTTCCATCTAGGTTCGCCGGTCTGTTAATACCCACTGACTTTATTTTTGCCCTTTCAGAAGCTTTTATGTGTAACTCATTGAATTCATGCATTTAGTTACGGCATTAACTGATTTTTTTATTTTTCTTTAAATGCTCGCTGTCTGTACAGAAATGCCTGCTGAAGAAGGTAAATTTTGTGTGGTAAAACTTTGAAATTTTTTCCGCCAATTAAGTTTTCATTGAAGAACATTGGATTTTGAAGGAAGATAAACCGATTTCTTTAGGCAAACCTATATGGCAGCTAGTCCTTGAGCAGTTCGACGATTTGCTTGTAAAAATTCTACTTTTAGCTGCAGTGGTATCTTTTGTAAGTTTCTTAATAAAGTTTTTATAAATTTTCAAGGCTGTTCACAAATAATTTTTTTATAAATTTTTGAGACTGTTGATATTTTCATGCTTATAGCTTATACCGTAATTTCTTTTCATTTAACAGGTGTTGGCTTTATTTGAAGATAGTGAAGATAGAACAACTGCATTTGTTGAACCACTTGTCATTTTAGTCATACTCATTTTAAATGCTGTAATAGGAGTTTGGCAGGTGTGTTTTCTGTATATATCTTTAGCAAAACAAACTTTGTGATGTTCATATACACCCCATTATATCCCTAAAACCCTCGCCGTATCCCTAAACACCTCACTTGAATTATAAATGTGATAACAACATTTCAGCATTTGATAACTTATTCTTTATTGATACAAGATTGTATAGTGAGTTGTCTGTGTTTATTTTTCTCAAAACCCAGTCAGCATACAATGGCCAATTGATTCAAAAAAGTCAAACTCCCATGTTTGGCACAGCTATACATTAATTATGTATAATTTTTTCCTTTCCCCTTTTTGTGGCTTGAGCCAGTCTTCCCTATCACCACATCCTCAAGTTTAATTAAAAGGCTGAGGTTTTATAGTTTTTGTTTCCTACAGGAACTAAATGCAGAAAGTGCTATTGAAGCTTTAAAAGAATATGAACCAGAAATTGCCAAAGTGGTGAGGCAGAGTAAATCTGGTGTTCAGAAAATTAAGGCAAAGGAACTTGTTCCTGGTGATGTTGTTCATGTTGCAGGTATTAAACAGACTGTTGATTGTCAAATGATTTATGTTTTCATTTATACACCTAGCAATTGCAATTGAACCATTTTAACTGTGGCAAAATTTCTTCAACTGATCTTATTTTGGTTTTGTTCATATTTCTAGTTGGAGACAAAGTTCCTGCTGACATTCGTGTGACTTCAGTTTTGTCAACTACTTTAAGAATTGATCAGTCTATTTTAACAGGTCTGTAATAGGCATTTTTTTTAAAAATTTAGATTGACTTTTTCAACTTCTTAAATGATCCAATGTAAATGATTAGTTATGGAGAGCTTATGAGAAGCTGTGTTTTTATTTACATCTTTTTTTGATCTCTACTACTGCAGGGGAAAGTGTGAGTGTTTTAAAACATACTGATGTAATACCTGATGAACGTGCTGTCAACCAAGATAAGACAAACATGTTATTTTCTGTATGTATGATATTATGTAAATTTGATTAGAAAAAATATTTATTATTAATGTTGTTGATGATGAAAGAAAATGTTACAAAATGAATGAAATGATTATATTTTATCATGCACTACCATCTGAAATGACACTTTTATCTAACATCAAAATTTTTAATCAAACACAATATGCTAAGAATTTCAATGTTTTTGCCCAAGGGTACAAACATTTCTGCTGGTCGTGCCATTGGTGTTGTGTGTGGAATTGGTTGCAACACACAAATAGGTTAGTTCCCTTACAATTATAAAATGTATGTGCGTAGCAAAAGTTCTAAAGATTTTCTTTATATTGGTTTTACTAGATACATTGTAAATGTAATAATACATATTCTTCTTGTACTGTATAACCTACCTGATATGTACTCCTTATCACTAGGTAAAATTCGAGACCAAATGGTAGAGACAAACTCTGAGAAAACTCCATTGCAATGCAAACTTGATGAGTTTGGGGAGCAACTTTCCAAGGTGAGCAAGCAATTGTTTTTTTGAATTCTTACGTCATTCTCTTATGGCAACACTGTATGTTTTAGTGTTTATGTTTGAAACAGCTTGTTGGATATGATGATCAAAAGATTCCCCTTCACTCCATCAACGTATGAGTGAGAGCTAATTGAATCTGATCTTTACAAGCTGTTTCTCACTGAGTTTTCACAACGTGAATGCATATCTCCACCAGGTTTTAAGCTCATTAATTTGAACTTGCTGTCAACTTTATTCATATGTTTTTTCAATGTCTTATTAAACTGTAATGTTTGTTTTCAACGTGTTCTTCTTTGCTCTGAATTGTCTCAGGGAAAAAAACGCAAAATGCTAATCTTCATAAAATTCCAATGTCTGATATTTATTAACCTAATTAACAAAAGGCATGCGTTCACTTTCCATTGAAAGTCATAATGATATTTAGTATATGATTTTTATTGGCAAATAGATCATCACATTGATTTGTATTGCTGTGTGGGCCATCAACATTGGCCATTTTAATGATCCAATCCATGGTGGCTCATGGATCAAGGGTGCTGTTTACTACTTTAAAATTGCTGTAGCCTTAGCTGTTGCTGCCATACCCGAGGGTTTACCTGCTGTTGTGACAATATGTTTGGCACTGGGTAAGTTTACTTCATTATTACCCCTTCCTATGTAAGTTTTGTCTCGGGCAGGAGCTGCTTAAATGTTCTCAATGACAAATTGATCTTGGTTTTGTTATGTTAGGAACAAGACGAATGGCTAAGAAAAATGCTATTGTTCGAAGTTTACCTTCAGTGGAAACTCTTGGTTGTACATCCATCATATGCTCGGATAAGACTGGTACTTTGACAACCAATCAGATGTCTGTTTGCAAGGTGAGAACACTTACGTATTTGTAGTTGTAAATGTTGGCTTTTTCTATGTAAAATATCATTTCTGTTTCCAAATGAAATCCTCATTTTTATGTTGTATCCCAGTTTTTTATTTTAGATGAGATGAAAGGCACGATACCAACATTACATCATTTTGACGTCAGCGGTACAACATACGCACCCAAGGGAAATGTGTAAGTGGTAAATTTTGTAAATAATTAAATTTCTTTTCATGATGAGCACTCACACATAAGCAATGTGTTTTTTTTGACAAGTTAGTGGTAAAAGTATTGATAAATAGTGGCTGGATTTTCAACTTGAAGAAATATCACTATGTACTTAGCCGACTAAAAGGAAATTTAAAAAAAATTATGAAATATTGTTGCCTGCCTATAGATGCAAAGAAAATTTCTTAATGTTTTTGACTTCTCATCAAAAGTCACTGATCAGTATATGTGTTGGAATACACGTAAGATAGAATATTGAGTTATAACTTTCATTGTTGTATCATCGATAGGACTTTAAATGGCAAACCAGTAAACATCCAAGATTTTCCTGCCATTGAAGAACTTTCATTCATCTGTTCATTATGTAATGATTCTGGTGTTGATTATAATGACTCTAAGAAATGTTACGAGAAAATTGGGGAAGCCACTGAAACTGCTTTGGCCGTTCTTGTTGAAAAGCTAAATGTGTTTGGTGTTGATCTCAAAGGGAAAGATCCTCATCAGCTTGCCAATGCATGTGGCTGTGAAATTTCAAAGTATTTCACAAAGGTTTGCTGTTACATAGTTATAATATTGCTCTACCACTTGGACAATTGTTATTTCAGAATAGTTGAGCTTATAGTCACTAATTGTTTAATCATATTTCTATGCTTCAAATCATGATATTTAGCTTTTTTTTTGTCTATTGAAAGGACTTCACGTTTGAGTTTTCTCGTGATCGGAAGTCAATGAGTGTGTACTGTCTACCAAAAAATGGACTACGAGAAATCTCCCCTAGTTCAGGACCAAAAATGTTTGTTAAGGTTGGTGTCATGTATTTTGTTCATTTATGCTTGACTTGAAGACATGCACAAATGGTGACAATTGAAAAAAAGATTCAATTTCTTTAAAGAATATATTTTCAACTTTCTGAATTTTTTAATGGTAAATCATAATTAGACAACATGATGTTTTCTTTACACCTTGGTTTCTCATGTCTCTTTATCTTTTCATCTCAATTCATTTGTTGTTTTAAATTGTTACATTGCTCTTCTATTCTGTTTCTTACCTTTCAGGGGGCTCCTGAAAGTATCTTAGATCGCTGTGATTATGTTCGTATTGGCAAAGAAACTGTACCTTTGACAGATGCTGTTAAGGAGGAAATTTTACATAATGTGCAAGTTTATGGAACAGGTATGTGTTGTCATTATTCTTATGTTGATCACACAGCATTTCTCTAGTTGTAAACATAGTCTAGTGAACATTGAAAACTTTTGATGATGTTGTAAATTGATTTCAGGCGAAAACACATTAAGATGCTTAGCCCTTGCCACTATTGATAAACCTACAGCAAAAGAGAAAATGGATTTAGAAACAAGTGATGTTACTAAATATGAAGTAAGTACATATTATGCCCATCAATAGGCAACATTCTATTTCTGTGTTCTTTATTGATTGATTTTCCTTCACATGTTATTATGATTGTGTGTATATTATACAGACTGGTATGACATTTGTTGGCGTTGTTGGTATGTTGGATCCACCACGAACTGAGGTCGTTGATTCAATAAAAAGATGTCAGAATTCTGGTATACGTGTCATTGTTATTACTGGTGATAATAAGGTAATTTATACATAAATTGCATAATGAAAATTGAATGTTTACTTTATTTTCGTTGTTTCTATTGCACTAGGGTACTGCTGAGGCTATATGTAGAAGGATTGGAGTGTTTGGTAGCAAAGAAAGCACTGAAGGTAGAGTTGAACATTGATGAGAATTATAGTAGACATTTCTTTTAATGATGATGTACAGTTTTCAACAATTGTGTTTATGTATGTGGTTATTTTTTATAAGATATTGCATGAAAATCAAACAACATTGCCCAGTCAGGCTATATTATCATGAAAATCGTTTTGTTACGTCTATACAATTCAAAACATGCAAATAATATCTCTGTTGTTATCACCCAACAAAACAATGGATCATGTAATATATGACGTTTTTTATCTTACTTTCTCATAGGTTTGTCTTTCTCTGGACGTGAATTTGATGATTTATCAGAGGAAGGTCAACGTGAAGCTTGTAGAAAGGCGAGGTAGACACTGTTGATTGGTTTTATTCTTTATGAATATCAGTCTGTTAGAGAATATTTTTTCCCACTTACATGTCTTATCATGTATTTTTACTGTAATCAACTATTGTGAGTGTACCTTAGTGTAGTCAGCCATAGCTAATTTGTGCTTTTCTTTAATCAACGTTTAAATATATGTGAATAATGGTTACAAATCTTTTTCCCAAAATTGTCATAACTTGCCACACTTTACTAAATCACGTTTACTTATTTGAAGGTTATTCTCTCGCGTGGAACCCACGCACAAAAGTCGTATTGTGGAATATCTCCAGGACGACGGTCACGTGGCTGCAATGACTGGTGATGGAGTGAATGATGCACCTGCTTTAAAGAAAGCCGAAATTGGTGTCGCAATGGGGTCTGGGACGGCGGTTGCAAAGACTGCATCCGGTATCCTTTCGAGTATTTATGTGGATTGTGGTGGATTGTTATTTTTGTGATATTAATTTTTAACGTCAACGGTATTAAGGTTTTTAATGATTTATCATTTAGGATGTAATTACTGTCGGATATTTCATGCAATGCATTCTGAAGAAATTGTTGATGTTCTGTAAAAAATACGTTTTAAATACAGCGACGTTGGTTATGAATGTCACGACTGACCATAGGAGATTCAAGTTGATAAAATTAAACATGAACTGTTGTATTTTCGAATCCTTATAAAATACTACCTAGGCATAGTCATACCGTTGAAGTGCAATTATACGTTGATCACGTGATTTCTTATGAAGCGGTGAAATGATGTTAACCAGTCGATCCATTCTATGAGGATCACGTGATTTCTCATGAAGCGGTGAAACGATGTTAACCAGTCGATCCATTCTATGAGGATCACGTGATTTCTCATGAAGCGGTGAAATGATGTTAACCAGTCGATCCATTCTATGAGGATCACGTGATTTCTCATGAAGCGGTGAAATGATGTTAACCAGTCGATCCATTGTATGAGGATCACGTGATTTCTCATGAAGCGGTGAAATGATGTTAACCAGTCGATCCATTCTATGAGGATCACGTGATTTCTTATGAAGCGGTGAAATGATGTTAACCAGTCGATCCATTCTATGAGCTGAAGCTTATATATGTACATCATCATAGTTTATAGTTATCAATGCATTTGGTTTATCGAGGTTTTCTCGTACCAAGTCATTATACGTAAACTATCGTACAAATATCTGCTTTACAATGAGTAGTTCTGATTGTGATTCTGATCACCAATAAAATATTGTTATAAATTATGTGTAGAATCCTTAACTGTTTCACCACTTTTAGAAATGGTTCTTGCTGACGATAATTTTGCAACCATTGTTGCGGCTGTAGAGGAAGGTCGAGCCATTTACAATAATACCAAACAATTTATTCGCTATCTTATATCATCAAATATTGGAGAAGTTGTTAGGTACGCATGAGATGGCTCAATGTGAATAATACTAATAATCTTTCCTATCCAATACATATACAATACTGTATAATGTCAAGTTTTACTACCTAGAATTCAATGTTTAGTCGTGTTTTAAGTCACATTCAAAACCTCGCCACTGTAATTGCTAAAGTTTATAATACATACAGGTATTTTTATTACTTCAACTGCAAACATTTAACTGGGATTGTTTTTGTATTTTTTTTGCCAGTATATTCTTGACTGCGGCGTTGGGTATGCCCGAGGCTCTCATTCCAGTTCAGTTATTGTGGGTTAATCTTATGACAGACGGTCCTCCTGCAACTGCTCTCAGTTTTAACCCCCCTGATCTGGACATCATGGAAAAACCGCCTCGAAAGTCCAAAGAACCGTTGATAAATGGATGGCTGTTTTTTAGATATCTTATTATAGGAGGTGGGTTTGTGGGGCAACGGGGGGGGGAGGAGATGATTATGTACGAATTATTTTTGAAATGCCATCAGGTTTACAATTGGTACTTGATGATTTGTATTCATTTTTATGTAGTATATGTTGGTGCGGCTACTGTAGCTGCTTCAGCGTGGTGGTTTATGTATTACGAAGGTGGACCACAAATGAACTATTATCAACTGGTGGGTTTTCTTGTCGTTGTTTTATCGTCCGTTTTAGTGTCATTCAAATGTTTTCGTTCATTGGTTCTGTTTTAGACGCATCATATGCAATGTAGTATTGATAAAAAATCTTTTGCAAACATTGATTGTTCAATATTCAGCGATCTTCATCCCATGACAATGGCTTTGTCAGTTCTTGTTACTATTGAAATGTTTAATGCGCTTAACAGGTTTGTAATCAGCATTTGCATGCATTCATCGATATTTGTCTTCAGTTGCTTTTTTATCTAATGAAGTAAATATTTCATTTCGCTGTATTTAGTCATTGTATTGGATTATATCTTTTCTCTTATTGCATACTTTTCATGTCATATGTGGTGTCAAACAATTTATCAAAATTGCAGTATGAAAATCAGTGTGCCTTTACGCATCGACAAATTTTTATTGCTTTGTTTGTGTTTCGTTTCTTTTTAGTTTAAGTGAGAACCAGAGTCTGCTCGCAATGCCTCCATGGCAGAATCCTTCTTTGGTGACCGCAATTTTTGCATCGTTTTTAATGCACTTTGTAATCCTCTACTTTAATTTTACCAACGTAAGCACCTAATTTTTTACTGCAATTGAAATGTCCATTCCGTAAATTGTGAAATTTTATTGTTCTTTAGACTATTTTCCGTATAACACCTCTTAACATGACAGAATGGATAACTGTGCTGAAAATCTCGTTCCCTGTAATAGTTTTAGACGAAATCCTGAAGTTTATATCGAGGACGTTTATCGGTAGGTTTGATGAGCAATAACACATGTTGTAAAAGTGATATAGGGAAGGAATTCTTACCGAGTTGATTTATTGCCATTCAACTATACGGTTGTGTTTAAATTGAAAAGGAATTAGAGGTTAAGTTAAGTTTTGAAGAAGGTAGACTCGAGAACTTTGAAAGACGAAGGTAGACTGGAGAACTTTGAAAGAAGAAGGTAGACTGAGAACTTTGAAAGAAGAAGGTAGACTCGAGAACTTTGAAAGACGAAGGTAGACTCGAGAACTTTGAAAGACGAAGGTAGACTCGAGAACTTTGAAAGACGAAGGTAGACTCGAGAACTTTGAAAGACGAAGGTAGACTCGAGAACTTTGAAAGACGAAGGTAGACTCGAGAACTTTGAAAGACGAAGGTAGACTCGAGAACTTTGAAAGACGAAGGTAGACTCGAGAACTTTGAAAGATGAAGGTAGACTCGGGAACTTTGAAAGACGAAGGTAGACTCGAGAACTTTGAAAGACGAAGGTAGACTCGAGAACTTTGAAAGACGAAGGTAGACTCGAGAACTTTGAAAGACGAAGGTAGACTCGGGAACTTTGAAAGACGAAGGTAGACTCGAGAACTTTGAAAGACGAAGGTAGACTCGGGACAAAGTGATGTTTTTTGATGTAATACGAAGTGAAAAGGCTCGACAATTAGAAAACAGGCAAAGGCAAGAATTAGGGTGATTAAAATGGAAGATATTTATGTGTAGGACTAGTAGAGAAAGAGTTGAAAGGTCAGAAAGTTTAGGGGGAGGGGAACGCTCTTTAAAAAAAATCATGATTGCTTTTTGTTTTTAGGTGTCGATCATCAAAAAGTGAAGAACGATTAAGGTGCCTTAGATAAGCTTTATCGTTGGACATAAATACTCAAACAAAAGCATTGTTTGTTCCGTGTAACTATAAAACGTTCACTCGAAAATTATTTATATATTTGCAATATGGTCGTCGGAAGTTGCGTGTAATTTATTGAAAACAGGCAAGCACTCGTAATTTCCTCAAGGAACCAACATATTGCAGCCATCTTACACAGCAGTGGATTGAAGTAATGTAACGGGTAATTCAGCTGTTGGGTTTTCTTTTGTCCATAAGACTTCTCTATTATACCATCGATTGAAGATGTTCTTTTAGGGGTTGATTAGTTTGAGTTGCTTACGTCGTGTCGGCGATTTAAGTCCAATATTAAACCTTTAGGGTTTTACATCCGCATTACAGCGCATGCGTAACGGGGGGGGGAGTTTACCTCATTGACCATTTCAATGATTTCAACTTACCAAAATTACGATTTAACGTAGCTACGAAACAAAAGCCAACTCATTGGTGTGTATGACCATGTCATGTAACACATAAAGCATTTTCCTAAGCAACTCTTCACATGTAATCAACTCCTTATTTTTATAACATAAAACTATCTTCGCTTATAACTGTTTTTGCAATATGTTATAAAATATTGTAAATTTATTTGAAATTGACAATTAATAAAAGGGATATTTTATCAATGGTATTTGCTAAAAATGTTTTATTTCGTTACGCGCGACACACAATTTAACACATTAAACAATGCAGTATGCATCTTCCGTTCAGAGGACATTTTGGCCAACATTTTAAATAACCATCGACACAAAAAACGTTGAAATTCTTAACATATTTGTAATAACTTAATTCGTTTGTTTATTCAACTATGCTAAAAAAAAATAAAATAGTCGTTTTATTATAAAATAAAAACCAAAAGTCATTTTTATGTACATATGATGATCACTTTCAGGTCAAGCTCAAAAATGGCCGATGATGTTTTGTATATACGTGACTTCATCCCCTATTTCATTTGGAACTCTCTGGAGATGTACGGTTGGAATTCTGAACCAAAATTTGCCGTGGTTGTCAAATTACAAAAAAATTTTGGTTCAAATTTCCTTCGAGTGAATCAAAGCCTAGGATTGACTATGAATGTCTTCGCTAATCATCATTTAGTATGATTCTCTTAATTTCTCTTTCAGTTTCATTGTCTATGTTACTGGAATTTTGTCTCTTATTGTTCCTTTCTAATAAAGCCGTTAGACCGACAACAGCATCCTCTCGCTTGAGTTGAACTTCTTCGTTATTGGTTGTTTCGACCGACGAGTTGCTTCTGGAGAGATTCGGTGTTTCTTCACCAAGTTCAGTTTCAGCGTCACTTAGTGGAGTGTAGAGAATGTAGGGAGCGACCTGCTTTTCATACTCGTCAAAAAAGACGACAATGGCGCTGGTGTTGTCTGCACGTAGATTACGTTCCCTCCATTTGGCCAGAGCGCGACATGTTAATCTGTGATAATGAATTAAAGCTATGAATGTTAATTGTAGAAAGCGTTTGTAGTTGTGAAAGAAAAATGTGATTTAACTGGGGAGTTATGTGATTTAACTGATGATTGGTGGCGCGAAATAACAGTTTAGTTATTATCTAATAGTCACTTAATTATTCAGGTCTCTTATTTTCTATTGGTTATTGTCGCTGAGTGACACACGTGTGGCGTGGCAATCTTGTTATTGAGATTTGCAAGTGAAAAACAACCGCCTTTCTTTGTAATGGACAGAGATTTTCAGACGAGAAATTCCAGGTAATTAGTAAGGTATAAGCAAACCGTCGTGTTCCAATAATGTACATTCGAATTTGTTTTTTGTGACATTCGTACTAGTGACATTTTGTATTATTTAAATGATGGTTTGCATCATGGCTCATCAATATCTAATGCTTTTATCTTGAAGTATGAGCTGGGCTATTTCTTTAAATAAGAAAGGTTGGGCAGGGATGGGGTACGTCTTGAGATGTTAGTGAGATCATTGATTCATAAAGAACAGAATTTTATCTTCAAGTTACCGGGTGTAAGATTTTGTTTTATATTACACACTCAAAGTCAGTAAAACGATTATTCAAAATAAAACCTATGAAACATTACTGTATTTAAACATCCAAAATGTTTAAATATCTTTCCACAAGATGTCCCACTCACATTTTTAAGCAGTAGAGTTATAAGATACTGCCTTGAAGAGAAGTAATCAGTAGGTGTATAGTATAATTTCATATTTTATTGTTTACGCCTTAAAGTGGTACTAAAACGAAAATTTTGCCTACCGTTTTTTTTTCATAGATTAATAGTGTATGTAAAAAAATCTCTTCTGGCGAAATTTTAGCGCAATGTATTTAATGCTGCTCGAGTTACGTAGCGATAAAACTTGTACTTTAAGAGCCGCCATTAAAATGCGCCGTATTTGAATTTTCAAGAAGGAAGGTGCTTGTGACGTCATATTCTTAACTCGCGGCTGTTTACAATATAACACTATATACAAATAGAGATATAAAAGGTTGTATAACTCAATTTTTTTAACATGCCTTCAACACGCTGTGTCGTGCAAGATTGCAGTAATACGTCTGATAGAAGTACAGGCATTTCATTACATATAAGCCCAAACGACGAGTCTTTAAGAAGAATTTGGGTTAAATTTGTTGAGACGAAGCGCGCAAACTTTAATCCGAGTTCGCGCGAAATTCGATTTATGATTTGTTCGAATCACTTCTCGGATGATTGTTTTGAGCGTTTTTTCCATTTGGGTGGTATGACATAGACGGCTCAAGTAAACATAGACGCAGGCGCACAAAATAATATTTTTAGAATTTTCACAAAGAAAAAGGCTTACTCCTCTCTGGTCTTTTGACCATCTCGAAAAACGGTCGCATAACTGCGATGACCTTTGGTCTTTAAACCTAACGAAGCTGCTTGAAGAACAAATTCGTTCAGGCAAACTTCGTTAAAGCCAGGGTGATCCAAAATGCATTTTCTTTCATCGACTTCGAACTGATTCATTTTGCCACGGCATTGCTCTAATTCCATGCAGCATCGGCACTCTTGAGGGTTGACAACAAGATCCAACGAACAATGGCCACATTCACACCTTTAATATTGGCCAAATTGTATGTTTCCATAAAGTTATCATAGCTAACGGCAGACGATTCAGATCAAAGTAACACACTAAGAATGACATCTTACCATGAAGTAACATCAACACGGGCATCAAAACGATCTTGCAGCATGTCCTCAACCTGCCGTTCTTCTGCGACTGCAGCTTCGTACTCAGCAATTTCATCGGGCGAAGCAAGCGGTTCAATATTATCGGCAAATGGCAAAATTTCCGAATTAGATTCGTCCGAATTTGCCGTCATGAATTCCGATGAAGAAATTGATGCGTTTGTCTCGATCGAAGACTCAGAAAGCGAGCTAGATCTCGATGAATTTGACATTTTTTTGCTCTGTTTATATATTACTTTGTATACTTTCCAATGTGCGCTTCTTGCCGTGTTAAGAATATGACGTCACAGACCTTTGCTGATTGCAAATATTCAAAATGGCCGATTTTAATGGCGGACATGAAAATTAGACATTTCAAATGTTCATAACTCCCTCGTTATACTATTATTTTTGCTTAAATTTTACTAAAGCAATAATTGATATGTGTTTAAACTATTGAATGCTAAAATCGATGATTTTTTAACGTTCAGTTTTCGTTTTAGTACCACTTTAATAAACGCTACTTTCATTTTAACAGGCTGATTCTTGAAAGTCATGATATTGCAACACGTGTCTATTCAAACCCTTTATAAGTTCATTCCTATGATAAACAAGAAGTAGTTTTTGTACCTGTGTGTCACATCATCTCTCCAATCAATACCATCAAAGTCGTTCTTCTCAATGTTGTCTATGAAATGTACGACCTCCTTGTTCTTCATTGCATTCCATAGACCATCTGAAGCCAGCACCACAAACCTGTCTTTTCTTGGATCAATAAGCCTGTAGTGCACATCAGGAACTGGTGAAACAAGATACTCTCCTGCTAAGGGATTGAAACTCCACAAATCACCTGAAAGAAAAACGTAAACGTCTATAGCGCCAACACACCCATTATTTACAACTCTCCAAATCACCCCCCAATATGTGTTCACCTTTACCCAATTTTGACTTGTATTTTTAACAATTTGTCTAAAAATTTGAGTTCACAAATTTTTTGATTGTTTAAACTTAACAATGCTTGATATTATTATGATGATAAAATTTCAAAGCCACCATCATTTGAGGTGTAAAATTTAAAAACTGCCAATAAAAGTATTTTAGGATCATTTCATTCAGTATTTGATTCATTAATGTATCTTATATCCACCAATAATTGATTTAGAAAATCTCCAGATATTTTGCAAAATTGTAATTGTTTAATAAATATATAAATATATTCAAGTATCTCCAGATTTTAGTTAATGTATAAATGTCGTCTGGTGTGCCACTGATAAATTAAAGACTAACATAAAAAAAACAAAAATATAAAGTCTCAAATAAGACTTTAAAGTACATACAAGTAAGAAATAAATTTCAAAATAAATCATTCTTAACCATTTGTCCCTACCAAGTGATCTTGCAATGGCCAAGAAGGGTATGTTTTCCATTTTTGTGCTACGTAGAACTGGTCCTTGATGTCGACCTATCTGGCAGACCCTGTTCCACGCAACACGATAAACACCCCTGCTTTTCCCTATCTGTCCACCAAGTGATGTGATTCGCTTTGTTTCAACAGGATCATCTGGCTTGTGGTCCATTGTTAAAGGAATGGCCTTTAACTTCTCTTTGCCCGTGTCTTGTGCAAGAACAACTCTGGAGTCCCCAACATTTGCCACAAACATAAGTCGACCCCGCAATATAACAACCGAGGCTGTTGTCCCAGCTGTACTTGGTGTGCCATATTTTGTCTTTGGCCATGAATCTATTACAAAATCCATCATCAATATACTACCACTTACAAGCTACTTTTATGTGAACATGAGAATTATGTCTGAAAGCACTCAAACAAATCTGCCTGCCAGCCAGCAAAACGTAAGTGTATATTGTGGTTCTTGTTAGGTTATGCTCTCATGTGATGTGTAATCTTGTAAAGTGTGTGTTAACTTCCTACATGTTTAATTATTGAAATGATTGTAAACGTAATCGATATTATTTGTAACAAGAGCTGAGGAAATAAACTGACCAATCATAGTTTAGCGTCACGTATGTAAATAGCTGTATCATTATGTGTATCAGATAGTTGTCGTGTGCTAGTCTTTCTTCTACGTGTGGGAATAAATGTAATAAAACCTCCAGACATCAGTGTGATTATTTATCATGGCCACTGCATCAAACCCAACAGTCCTCTTTCGAAATATTTGCAATTAAATTGTTAATTTAAGAACAAAGAACGCATGTGGCTCATTCAAAATTGGCGCTAAAAACGTGGCAGTTAAACGTCACGCTAAAAAATTCAAATTATTTATTGCGCAAGCATTAATATTCATTATTTGAAGTGCAGTTGTTGAGAAAATGATGATCAAAGCAACTTATGATGAACATGAAAACAGTTTTTACTTTTCGAAATTGGAAACTTTCTGTTTGTCATCCTACTCTATCGCTTATTGAGGAAATTCATTCATTTGTATAATACGTAATTGTCAAAAAGATAATAGTTTTCAACAATAATGTTCGTTTGAAATTGTATTTTACAGCATCCAATATGAAGGCAACAAAGACGTTTTTGTATCGGTGCACTTTAGGACAATTGCAATGTAAAGAAGAAAAGTAGGGACTTTAGCCATAAAGTATACATACAACATGCTTTAGTGAAAACTAAATGGTATACAAAGTTTATAGAGTACTGACACTCGATGGCGAAATTTACGAAAATCTAAATGCTTTGAACCTAACAAGTGCGCAAATGCTCAAGCTAAAATCCAAGCAGTTTATGATTAAGTAACCAGAATGCACATTTGAAAGGTTATGTGTAAGGCACGGATATTTGTCTTGTTTATCATTTATATAATGCATAAATTTCTACCTCTCTCCTTCCACATTGCCGAGTGCACTTCGACAAATGCACGTTTGATCGCTTTACAAACTTCTTCAGCATCATTGGAGTAGAAGTACTTTTGACTTCGTATGGTATTCCAGAGATTTTTTCTGGCAAACAAGGCAGCTTGATGACCCCCATGACCATCAAAAACGGCTAGGAAACATTCGCTATCTTGACGAGCTTCCATTTTAACAGCCGTAAAATCCTCCATCGTTTTACGCGAGCCTTGGTTAGTCTCTACCGAAAGACGTAAATGTAGTTTAGTACACTGTGATGAAGACATCTCGACAGAATTTTGTATCAAAAGTCGTAATATTTTCTTTTTGTGTTTTACGTTAGTTCGTTCAAGTTCGCCTCCTGCGACAGTATATATTGTTTACATATGAACAGTTTCCGCTTTGTAGAGGCCAATCAGAGACTAAATAAAACTAAGTAAATTTTCATTTTAGCCAATCACATTACAGTGGCGTTTGGGCAGGTTTGGGCACAAACGATGCAAACCTTTTGTCCATGCCTCAACATGTTGGTAATGATTGGCCCGTAAAAGACATTAGCTCGATGTTTGCCAAATGACCTACAGATTTTTGACGTTTGGTAACATATTTAAAAAAATATATTGCCTTTGTAAATACGTTACCAAATGAGATTTGTAAAGCAATTTCACAAAAAAAATAAAACATGTATGCTTTTCAAAAATGTTAGCGAAATTTAGTTCTTAATCTCAATGTATCAATTTATTAACAAAAATTTGACCAAAAGCTTTAGGTTAGTTTAGAAATACAGAAATTACTATACTTGGTTAACAATTTGAGAGAAATTTACTAATGTGTGAGATTAATTGACTTTTGCGCGAGAGAGAAACAAAATTTGTCATTCTCACCCTCGTGCGAGTTGAGAGGTCTGACTAATATTGAAGTGTTTAGCTTTCCTGTAGCCGTTGCCTGGCAGCTACAGTCATTTGGTCTGACCGTGAAAAGCTACAAAGTATCTTACCTACTGCCTACAACACTAAAACGTGATTGCTAGGGAGACGTCATTAGCTAAATTTTAATCGAAAACTGTCGAAAATGTAAAACTGGAACGGCTAGAACGAGAGTCTGGCTAAAATGCTAGAAAATACAAACAGCAGGAAAGTCTATCCCAGTACGTAAAACACTTCTCTATCTTTTTGGTAGATCTATGCGCATGCGCTAAACGTGTGAATAGAACAGTGGAGTTGGACCACAACTAACACCAAGAGGTCGTCCTGGACGATCCTGGTGTAGTCTTGATGAACTTTTTGGTGAAAGCACTGTTTTAGAGGTATAAATCCGTTTGTATACGTTTGTGATGGCGATCTTCAGATTTTGGAAACAATCTTTTCAACAAATGCCGTTATAACACTTGATTCATTCGTATTCATAACAAGTGCACGTAATTCACCTTTCCTCGTTCTTCCCCTTCTTGGAATAACGTTTTCCACGTTAACGTCACAAGTTGTAGGCTATGGATGATGGACGGTCAGTAGTGAGGTCGTTATTTATATTTACCCAAAAATTGGTTGTGGTAAACATTAAAGTGAAAGCTATATCATAAAAAATAGCGTGCTCATCAAAATACTATTGTTTCAAATTTTATTATTCATATGTTTTTCATTTACGTACATTAATTATACATGGTCGCAAATGATCTCTCGATCACTGGGAGTTTTGGCATGGTGCTGGAAAATATACAGTCCCTATGTTCAGTCGTTGGCAATTTCGCCATTAGTAAATGGCGCTTTACAGTTAAGTCTATTTTTTCCTTTATGTTTTCAACCGTTCATCGTTCGTATGCTCCATTTCTTGATCTTGTACCGTTCCCATTCTAACTTCTATCGTTTTCTCCCCAGCAAATGCATGATTATCTAATGCTACCTTACATTTCGTATATGAAGTTTCTAAATTATAGCTCGGCTTGAATTTGCAGTCACGTGTTGCTTGACGAATATATCTTTGTACTATACAGCAAAGTAAACTTACTACGACAAGATTTACTGTTGTCAAACTAATGCAGATGACAAGAAGTACTTCTGTGGTGTCCATTGTAACTGTGTTTGCAAAACCTAGGTATAATTTTATAAAAAACAAGTTAGTAAGGTAAAATTCCTTCTTTCTTTCCTTCCTCATACTCACACACACCAAGGTCAAATTCTTCGCTTCAATACTTTCGCATAATTTTACTACATTAATCTCGAATGTCCTATCTCCTTAGAAACATGTTGTTGTCCTATGTTGTCATCATCCCACAATTTTTTCACATCACCCACTTTCTGGCTTTCATTCTTGACAGTGAGTTAGAGAAAGGTCGTTTACCACATGGCTAATGCAATAACTGATGTTTGTCAAGTGTATTTGTTAGAAATTAATGAACGGTAACAAAGCACGCTTACTTTGCTTCCATTTTATGTTGACGTTTTTGGATACATTGATAACCCCACGAAAGACTAAACCAGAGTCATTAAATAAATCTAAGATGCAACCGGGCAACCATATTTCACTATTCAATGTTTTTATTCAGACAGAGTTCAATCATTTATCTTCCTGTTGTATCTTACTTATGAAATATATCTTAACTAGTCCAATGATTCTTCTCTAATCGATTATAACGCCCAATCAAAGTTTGTACGCACCTTTATGAAGCAATGTGTAATTTCTAATAACAGATTAAAAGATATTTTCACCAAACAATACCAAAGAACATCTGCTCAAATAAATAGCGTTTGTAGAACCTGCTCTAGTGTAGCAATCACCGCTACTGTTATCTTTTATTTTCAAGATAAGAAAACTGTTGAAACACTTTTACGAAAATGTTCAGCATTCGCTTGGTAGACTTAATCTCGTTAATCTCTTTACAATGACTATAATTGAGGTCATACTTTAGTAACCATAGGAAATATTTAGTATTGTTTGTGTGCATAATTTCTATTGAAACCAATCTAATAATAACTTTCTCTTTCCTGTGTGGGGAGAAGTTATGAAACAAGAAGTAAAAACTGTAAATGCCCGCGATATTACGTCAATTTTAACATGTACAGCCTGCACGCCCGATTGGAAGCCTCGTGGACTATTTGCAAACTGAGTTTTTGCGACTACCAGATGGTCTTTAGCTGACAAAGTAACTTTTAAAGTTTTAAAGATGCCTGGACAGAGATATTGCTCGCGATGTAGATCACATGGTGTGTGGGTTGCATTGAAAGGTCATAAGATTCACTGTCCTTACCGAAACTGTCCTTGTTGTCTTTGCAATTTGGTCGATCAAAGACGTGCAGTGATGCAAGCTCAAGCGCGACTTTCGGAGGCTAATGCTCAAGAAATCAACGGTTGATTGTGATATTTGCATGTTTGGAAAGATCAAAAAGAACTGCAAAAGAATAGTTGAGCCTTGGACCTGATATTGAACAAATTTTAGACAGATAACTTTGACATTCATTAAAAGTATATATGTTTTTACGAGTTACAAAGGTTAATTTTTAACTGCTTTATACGTTATTAAAAACGTGAAAAGGTTTTGCAAGAAATGATGTTTTTAAACTTTTTATTGTATTTGACAATTATTTAAAGAAAGCGTTATTTGTGTTAGCTGATAGCTTGAAAATAAAAACTCTTTTCTGTCATGTTGTCGAGTGTGTTTTTTTATGCCTTCCATTTTTGGCGTAAACAATTTTATTTGTGCTGAGGGTTGAAGATAGAGCGATATATCCTCAAATTTGATTGGCTAGTTGCTACGGATAAAAAACAAGGAATTTTATCATTTGTCGTCTATCGATACAATGATAAAACACAGCTTTAAGGCTCTAGATAGAACAAGACAAATAAATAGAAGACACAAAAACCTGAATTTAAACATTTTTATTTATTACCCAACTCAATGCAATTTCAACAATAAAGTTTGATCAGTTCATCGCTCACAGCCGACGGTGTCAAGACACCTAAATCTGTAAACAGCAAATTGATGTAGGATGGAGGTGTATAGTCAACAAGAGGATGATCTTCGTGCTTTGGATTGGATGTATAGGAATACTAGAAGTATATACTACACATATTAAAATTAATTATATTTTGTTGCTGTGATGTCTATTTACAGTTACTGGATCAACTAAATACTGCATGCAATTGATGACTCTCACCTTCCATTTATTGGGAACGTCTTGTTGGTTGAGTGGGTAAAGACGAACGAACTTGTAACTTTCTGCGACGACGTGAAACGGTTTATTAGCCGATTTTGCGACGATAGCCATTTGATAAGTGCCAATCTTTGTAGTAACAAATTGTCAAAAGCATTTTCAATTATTCAATGTGTTATAGGCAAATATGAAAACGTTTAAACCTTATTGATAATTCCTCCACTTTCAACAACACCTTCAGCCCCAACGAGAACAAAGTCGACCTTTTCCATGATGTAACTAAAATTATTGAAAATGAAGTGATCTTGTATAAACGGTTATTTAAGCTAAGTCAGAAATTTTCTACCCAACAGCACCGTCCAAGATTACAGTAGATGGTATACCGGCTTCTGTCAGCTGCTGGTGCATTTTATAACTGCAGAGATTTTAAAGAAAAACTATTCATAAACATATTAATTGACAATTGAGTATAGTATGGACGTAGAAAGATCGATAATTGGGGGGGGGCATATGTATATATATATTATATATCAATAGGACTGGCTTAAAGAAGTTGGCTACCCCGATTTATCTGGCGCTGACTCTGTCACAAACACGTTGAACCGTCTTTTTTCGTTTGCCGCTGATTTAAGAAGTTTTAGAACGACTCGTGAACGAGAATGCGTAAGTATCGTCTGTAAAAAATGTTTGTTTCTTGTAAATTGCATAAAACAAAAAACCTTCTTTCATGAAAAATTAAAACAAACGTAGTGGTCAAGTAGGTATTATAAAAAAAAATATATAAATGTAGAAGTGCTTACAGCTCCGTCTTTGATGAAATGTTTACAGAGTTTAGTTATTTTGTTTCTAGAAGATGAAGCTTTTTCAAGAAACAGTTTTCCTGTTAAGAGATCGTTTTTCAGAAATTACAACGGACAAGAAGTGTTAAAAATGAATGACACACGTCATAATACCTCGTTCAACTAGACATTTTTTGCACTCTTGAAAATCCTTAAAAATGTATTGAAAGTTTTGTTAAAATTGTTTTAATTTCATGCTATCTAGTTGGTAATAAGTCCAATTAGTAAATCACAATGTTTGTTATGTAATAAACTCACAGTGTGTTAATCTCTTATTTTGTGATCAATTATGTGATAAAGTTACTGGGTAATCCAAGGATGTAGGGGCGATAAAGTAAGTTACTTGGTGATTTAAGGATGTAGGGGTGATAACGTACGTTACTGGGTATCTAAGGATGTAAGGGTGATAACGTACGTTACTGGGTATCTAAGGATGTAAGGGTGATAAAGTTAGTGGGTATCTAAGGATGTTAGGGTGAAAAAGTTACCTAAGGTGATTACTTTAAGGGTGATTAAGATACTTACTGGGTGGTCTAAGGATGTAAGGGTAACAACATACGTTACTGGGTATATAAGGATGTAAGGGTAATTAAGTTACTTACTGGGTGATCTAAGGATGTAAGGGTGATAAAGCGAAGAAATAAATCGCATCCCGAGGCCACAGATGCTACGGAACTCTCAATATTTGTCAATTTATCAATTGCTCTTGTTAGCTTTTCCCGAAGCTCAACTAACGTCTCCGCTAAAGAAAAGTCGAAAACATTGCAAATTAAGCTTTTTTAAGCGATGTAGAAGTCAAATTGTAAGTTCTTGAGAGGCAAAACACAAAGGAAAGTTAAATCCTGAGTTTGAAGTTCAGGACTTTGCTCCACTTTCGTTCTTCCTTTATTGAGTCATTTTACAGAGCCAAAGAGAAATTTGCAAAGTTGCAATATATAACTTTAGTTACGGTTGCAAAAATTGTGCACGTCCAAATCTTTACAATTCAATATACCATTTCAATTTATTTAAGATTAAATCCTTGTTTAAATTCATTCGATAGTTTGTTACGGAGCAATTGATTTATAATTTAAAATGAACTACTCCACTGACCCACGCAGGATCCACTATTATTAATCGTAATTGCGCAATGAGATAAATTTATCATAGATTTTTGTAGAGCCTTCGACAAAAATATAAGCAGATAAATTGCAATGCTCTGATAACATAATTTTAAATCGTTGAAGGCTACACTTGCAGGCTACAATTCACCTTGAAAATGTGGGGTTTTTTTTATTTAAGTCGAAGATTCTATTATCTTCACGAAATATCAAATTTTTACCTGAGTTCAATTGATTTATGTATTCAATGAGAATACTGATAGCCGCTACTGCTTGTGGTGTGTCTGGGTTTTCCACCATCAATTTCTTAAAGTTTGCTAGGACATCTAATAAGTCAATTACAAATATGCCGGTACATTTTGTGGAAAATAGTTAGCACCAGTTATAATAACTAATTAAAATATAATGCTATATGATATATATATTTATACTCGTAATAAATCATAGTAATCTAATGACTAGTTTACCAAAAAATACTAACCTATGTCAGCCATATTGTTAATGTATATCAGAAGGGTTTACATGAAGTATTACCATGATTTATTTGAAAGTAAATGGTTTGATTCATTTTGATATTTATTTTTTAAAATTTATATATATACGACACATTTTTCTTGAAATATGTCGTTTTGATATATTTTCTAAATTTTTCACTTGTAGCTGAAGGAAAGATAGTATTGCTATATTGATATCGTTTGAGTTTGGCGACCACTCGAAGACCCAGTCACTCTGGTAACAGTTGAAAGAAAATTATGACTACCGTATGATTGTTCACTTTTTTTCTACTTTATAAGCGTTTAAGCACTTTTTAAAATATTTTTACGATGATTTTTATTAAATATCAATCTGTGAATTGTCTTTTTCATTTTCAGGTCATATGGAGTTTGGCTGTATTTGTGAACTCAAAAACTCTGCAAGTTTTGATAAGGCCCACGATTTTGTACACCACTTGCTAGATTACAAATTTAATTCTGTATTTTGTTTTCATTTATGGCAGACAGGAAGGCTTCTTATAGGTTTGTTGTCTCATATCTACTCATGATTTGTTCAACTTGTGCTTGTTCAATATAGTCTTATAATCTTTGATTGATTACTAGTATAACATAAAAGTTTGCATGTTTATAGAATAATATTTACAAGTAAAACAATATGTAACTATACATCAAACAAGGCTTTTGTCATCGAATTTTTCGACATTTGAAGTCCTTCTTTTAAATAATTAATAAAAATTTCACAAAACTACCTTTCACTTTAAATCTTCTCAGGCATCAAGCTGTATAAACTTGCGAAAGGTGATTGACATGTATTAAAGATTATTTGTTGACTTAATTTCATTGGCTAGTTTTGATGAGGTTCTAGCATTTTATTGGTTGCATTTTTGAGTTCTGAACCAATAAAATTGGCTAAAAAGTATGAAATATTTTATATTTCAGCTGAGTGAAATGATACTTTGTGCTTTATTTCCATGTTTTCCTTTGAAAAGAAACAGTTAAAAAGAAAAAACATTTTCTGTTTTCATCACATATAAGTAATCTATATAGAGATTAGGTACAGACAGTTGTTTTTTAATGGGCTTATAAGAATTCTGTCGTATTTGCTTTGAACATAAAGATGAACCATTAGGTATATGTTCAAGTGATGAAACTAAGTGGAATATCCTTCACTGATTGTTCTTTTGTCTGTAACAAATTGGGAGTTTCCTCCCTCTTATTTCTAAAGGTATGAAACTGAAACTTGTCCACTGATTTATTGAAGTTTGGCCATAATAGAATGATGGATTGAATGCTCATTGAAATCATGTAGCTAAGTTATAACAAGTAATACGTGAAAAATCGCTCTCGGGCATTCAACCCCGGGGTTTCGTTATTAAGACCTAGAACCCCCCCCTCCCCGAGATGAAATGGTTGTATTTTGTTTATTTTCAGAAAATATTGTTGATTTGGGTCTAGTATATTGTATATAATGTTCTGATCTTTGAGCATTTTGAAAAGATCCTTGACCTTCGGAAGCATCCTTGAAATGCGATCTTTTCCTATAGCGTCATGCCAACTACCAGTTGGGCAATGGCATTTGATACGCGTAAATTATTGTTTGTGAGAGTTTAGTCAGTGTCGTAAATGGTTAAACACTTTTAACTCATGGTTAAAGGAAAGATAGTATTGCTAGCAAAACTCACTCCTTATAGTGGGAATTTGACCACCGCTCGAAGAATCAGGTAAAAATAAACTGTTGTCAAAGTAGAAAGAAAATTTGACTGATTGTTCACTTGAATCACTTTTTTTAAAGGTCATATCTTTTGGAGTCTGATTATATCTGTGAACTCAAGAACACTGCAAGTTTTGATAAGGCCCAAGATTTTGTAAATCACTTGCTAGAAAACAAATTTAATTGTGTAATTTGTGTTCATTTATGGCGGGCAGGAAGGCTTCTTTTAGGTTTGTTGGCTCATATCTACTCATGATTTGTTTAATTTATGATTATTGAACAGTCTTTTGTAACATTTTAGGTTCATCAATACCATTTTCAGTCATATTTGGTGGTACTGATCTCAATGTAGACACCTACAACTGGAACAGGTTGAAAGTGATGACAAGGGTGGTAAAGAAAGCAAGGTATATATTATTTTGTTTTCTAAATCTTTTATTTTCCTTATCTGATTTTACTATTTATAAAAATCGCAGACTTCTTGTGGCATTCTCACAAGTGATGGCAAAACGAGCTGAAGAAGTTTGGGCAAGTCGTTTTAAAGATTTTTCATAGATAGTATATCTTTTTTTATCCACCTCTGTGGTTATTCATTAATTTGTCATAAAAATTGATTTTCAAATTATGTTGATATTAATTTTTCATTATCTTGTTTTCAGCCTGACATCAAGACAAAATTGTTCATACAACCACAAGGTTGGATAAGATGAGGTTCTATTACGACTACTTTTTTATTTATTTGAACCTTCAAAAATGTTTTGTAGCTGTTATGACATATCCTTTGCACAACTTCGAAGATGAAGATGAGATGGATAGAGTTTTGCTTGAAATATCAGGTTGATTCAAGCACAGGCTTTGCTGCAACTAGCGTAAACCTTTTGTCTCATGAAGATGATTGTTTTTTAGAAAATGACAAGGAATTGTTTTATCCAATGAAAAATAAGGTAGATCTATTTTTGTTCATTTTCCTCTTGTATGTACATGAATTTGTTGTTATTATCATATTTTAGATCATCTTTACTCTTGTTGCTGGTCTAAGACCTGTGAAGGATCCAATGTTTCTTTTCAACAGTTTTTCTTGTAAGACACAAACTATACTGTATGTTTGCTCTATCTTATTCTTAATTAATTTCACAAGCCTGTCCCTGCTCTTGTTAGTTTTTTTTCAATTGTAATTTCATTTTATATAAGGCTGGCACTGTGAAGATTCCAGGATACATTTGGTAGTAATTGGACCAGAGGTATATTGTGCTTCTTATCATGTAGAGCCTTTATTCAGAAAAATTTGGCATTATTTGACATGGTTTTGTCTTTTTTTGCAGATAGATCTGGAGTTTTCAAAGACAGTAAAAGATGAGGCTAAAAGGTTGGTACATAACTTGATATAGATGGTGAAATGATGGTAACATGACATGGTAAGAGTTGTGAATGTGAAGGGTATGTGATATGATATGAATGGTAAAGAAGCTGGCTACATAGTATAGTACTATGTATGATGGAGAAGTGTAGTACATGACATGATATGAATAATGAAGAAGGTGGCTACATATTATAGTAATATGAATGGTGGAGAAGGTCACAAAAGAGTATATGTAGTATGAATAGTGAAGTAGAGGGTACATGACATGATATAAATGGTATAATCGTAGCATGAAATGAGAAAGCGAGCATGTTACTGAGTGGTAGTTATAAAGGCCATATAGCCATTAAAAAATGCAATGATAGTTGTACAAGTTTAAAATGTTAATGTTCATTTAGGTACCCAGGTGTAGTTGTATTACCACCTGTATCCCAACCTCGACTTTATGCATTCCTTAAGAATTACACGGTTGCCTTGGTAAATTCATCTTTAAGTGAAGGAATGGCATCGTCAATTATAGAGGTTGGTTGAATTGACTGTATTGAATATGATCAAATGTTGATTTTAACTTTTATATTATCATTTGTATTGAATGAGAAAAATGTTGCTTTAATGTCAATGTCGTCATAAGATGTTCATTTTGGCATTTCCTGTTTGCTAGTGATGAAATATAGTGTCTTCTGCAATTGATAAAGCAATTTTAACATCTTAGAAGATATGTAAGCTCTTATTAATTAAGAAATTTATGTTGATATTTTGCCAGGCTATGTATTTGGAAATTACTGTAATTGCTAGAAAAATAGCCGGCAATGAAAGCCTTATAAAACACGAGGAAAATGGACTTCTTTTTGAAACTACACAGGTTAAAATTTATTTTAGTTTCTCTCTCTTACGCTTATTTTCTTATGTTTTATCAATCATAAATTTCCATGGTTTTTTAAGGAGTTTTTGTCGTTAGCAAAGAGAGTGGCTTACGACGACGAGTATCGAGACAAAATAAAAAAAGGCGGTAAAAAATACATCGTAAATAATCATTGTCAGATGATAGAGGGAAAGACTTACAAATCTGTTGTTAAAACAATGTTGGAATGACTGACGCATCGTATAGAGAATGGTATGCAATAAGATATGAAGTAATAAATATGTTATAAAATATGTGTAAAGCATTGGCGTTAATCAAGCGTTAATTATGACAGAAAGTATCATCGTTTTCTAAAGAAATGAGCCAGGCATACCTGAATAATATGTATGTGATCTCCCCCAACCAACGTTTTATTTACTCCAATGGTGTAAAGTATGATACACAGAGTTGTATAAAGTATGATGAAAATATTGTATAAAATATGGTATCTACGTAGTGTGGTATGAAGTATATTTAAAAACAATGTACAATGGTATTTCTTATGAACCATGAGGTCTTTCGCATCGAAACAACGCAGTAATTAAATTTAAAAAAAATTGTGTATATAGTATAATTGTCATAAGTATTTTGTAGAAGTATATGGATTACAGAATATGGTATAATTTGTCTTTTCTTTATTTTAATTGTTACTCAATAGTCACAAGAAACCTTTAATAAACCTGGTCGTTTATGCATATTATTAGTACTTGGGTAAACGTTCTCCCTCCCTGCTACCATCAACCAAATGATTTGATTATCCTTTAGCTTCTGTGAACAAGTGTTATTCACGTCTTATTTTGATATGAATTGGTTTCATGAATTGCTCATAAAATTTGTATTTTTTTTTTGGTTTAATCAACTGAACTGTTAATGAATGCTAATTATCACTTTATCAGTAATGACCAGTGGTAATGACGGGTCATCATGTAACCCCCCCCCCGACTTTTCTTCAACAGTTACCTGCACGCACGCACGCTTTCATCCATCTGGAATCTGGACGGTCGCCTTCATTACTTTCCTCTTTCATCCTGTGTCTGTTTTCTTTCTAGGTCTAGACCAATGGCGGACTCGCAAACGTTCTAAACACTTGTGTATGTTAAAACCTTTGTCAATGGCGCTCTTTTATCCAAGTGAACGTTGCTTTGATTTTGCACGAAACATGTGTGTTTCTGAACTGCAAAACCTCAATGACAATGAAATTCGAGTTCTTCTACCATCGCTTGTTAGGATTGTTCAACGACCTTCTTTAGATGAAAGCGACCATTGGAAGGAAGCACTCAAAGAAATAAATAAGTTGCTTTGTGGATTAGAAGATGTAAATTATATCATTCGTTTGCTGTGCATTGATTTTAACATTTTAAGGTATGAATAAAAGACGATTTTTTTAACGTGCAAAAACACGTAGGGAGCTATGTGTTGGGAATTTTGAAGAGGAAGCAACTTTCAAAAGTTAAGATTCTATGCCCTTAATTGTATATTAGACTATAAATCAGTTTTATTACATGAAAATTTGTGGAGATGTGCCCCAATTGTTGGCCATATATTGCTTTTACATTTGACTTTCTTCCACAGGCAAGATTGTACGAAGGAAAAGCAAATGCAGCACAAACTGGAGGAAAATGAATCAAATAATGACAGTGTGCTTATTGAGACCGGTCAAGTTGGTTTGGTGATGGAGTTTGAGAAAAGTAAGCCTTCCAGAAGAATGAGACTTGTCTTACGTGAATTACTTAAAGTAATGAGAAAGGTTAGCTGCAACTTTGTTCTTTTTCTATACTTTTGTTTCTTATCTTAGATTTTGATGTGAAGAATTGTGTTGATAGGTTATAGCTGAGCTGTTTTCCAACTTTGTAATGTCTGTAAATCAACATAGAAAAGAATTTTATTTGTTTTAATATTAAAGTGTGAACAAAATGAAGAGTTCCTGAGGTTAGAAAGCTGTGAACTTTTTGAATGTGATGTTTACATGAAAGAAATTTGTGATTTGATTTGTTTAGCTCAAGCAGGTAAAAATATTGTATATTTTGAAAACATTGCATTTTTTATTTTTACTGCATTAAAAGATGATAATAATTATCTTTTCAGAGATTTCTGACCAGTTTCCATTGCTTGAGGTTGTACACTCATTGCTAAGGTTGCCAAACGGTCCTTGGTTTATTTGCTGTTTACTTGTAAACTTTCCTGACTGTTTTGAGCAAGGTACTAAATTGTATAGAAATACATTATATAGAAATAAATTATGTAGAAATAAATTATATAGAAATAAATTATATCGAAATAAATTATATAGATATAAATTATACTACATATATCTAGGAATTGAAAGAGATTTTATCAAAGTTCCATAGGTTTATATATTTATTTATTTATTTCAACTGAATTTCATTTTGAAACATTTTGTCTATTTTAGTTTGTTCTTCATTGTTGACAATCCAGGATTCAAAATCTGGTGATTCATTTTCTTCTTCAATTCATACTGAAGCCCTTTATCAACTGTGCCAAATGAAACCAAGCTATGCAAGCACAATACGTACGGAGGCTGTAAAGAAATGTTGCTTGCCAGAACTGACTGTAAGACTGACACTGGACTGTGATCTTGATAAAGAAAACAAACAAAGGGATCTTGTTGAGTTTCTCTGTGGCTTACTGCTTGGAAGCAACATAAAAGTTCGTAAATGGTTTGCACAATTTATCAAAAATGGTCAAAAGGAAGGTTCTGCATCGCATTCTGTGCTCAAGCAACTGAGAGAAGAATTGATGAAGGACTTAGTTTCACTAACGCCTTCAAAACATCGACAGAGAATAAGACGTCAATGGCACAAGAATAGAGGGAGTATAACAGAAGGAAAACGAAGGATAACTGTGGATGAACAGGATAAGGAAACCTTGGAAATCATTGAAGGTATTTGTTAAATCTTTGTGCTTGTTGTTACTTTAAGTCTTTATGTTGCTTCATCATTTCTATTGCCGTTATCTTATGTACGCTAAGGAAGCTACGATTTTTTTGCCTTTTCAAATTGCATCTCAAATATTAATTTTTTTGATTTTCCTTGTTCAAGAACGTAGTAGCCATTGAATTTTGCGACTATTTTGCAAAATTTTTTGTTCATATGAACATCTACGTAGAGTCTACAAATTTTGTTACAGGTTTCTTTCAATTGTTTTCTTTCAAATCTTTTTATTGCGGATGATAGTTGTGACCATATAGTAAAAAGAAAGAACCTTAACTCGTTGTTTAAGTTTTTTATAAAAACATCTCTGAAAAAATTCAAATTGTTAATTTTACAGCTATGGATGTATCTACGGATTTTGAAATTGTAAAGGAAGAAGAAATGACCATTGCTGAAAATGAAGAAGTATCCACCACAAATGTTGATGGTGAAATGGACGTTGTTCTCGACGATGTTATTTATGCAACTGCGATGTTAAGACTTTACTGTGCTCTCAAAGGAATCGCTGGAATGAAGTTAAATAATGACGAATCAGATGAGTTAATATGTTTAATCACCAGTCAAGTACCGAAAACGGCTGCTGGTGTGCGCTTTGTTACTGTTGGTTTATCAACATTACTGGCTTGTTCTAACATGATCAAGTAAGTAAGACACACCATGTTGTTTAGCTAGAGTAATGTTTACCTAACCACGCCACTGTTGTTTCGAGAGCACCTTCTTTAATCTCTGTCATTACAACGTCCATGGCATGCGACTAAAAAAATCCTTATCGTATTTCGTATAGATCAATTGAACAGGAGAAAGAAATGATAAGATGGATTACATGGTTATCACAAGAGCACCATCATTATGATAATTCAACTCGATTACTAATATCTTTTGCAGAAAGCTTGCTTCTTGTTGCGATTCATTTCCATAGCAACAACCTCGAGGCGATCGCGGATCTTGTCTGCGCAAGCCTGGGAATGAGAGTTCGACCTGGTCCTCTAACGAGAATCAAGACAATCTTCACTCAAGAATTGTTTCCGGAAAAGGTAACGAAAGCTCTATTTGCTTTAGTAGCTGTAAGTATACTGAAATGGGTTTTTTGAAAAAAATGTGTTTGCCTTGAAATTATTATGTCTGCGTGGTGTATTGTGTTGGATTTAGTGGGAGTATTGAAGAAGAGTTGTTACTGAAGGAAACTTACTCTGTTTTAATCAGTGTAGATCATTTCTTATTGGTCCTGTGCTATATAAAGACATATAATCAAAGATTACTTGTTTATGCATATTTAAGGCTGTATCAGAACACGCTGTCCGAGTTGCTGTTACGAATCAACTAAGTTCAAACGACTCTGGCTTTCTTCCTATTCATTGTGTTTATCATTTGTTAAAGAATAGAACTTTTACAAAACATTCTGTCCAAGTTAAGGTACGTTGTCTATAAAATATCTTTATTATTCTCTCTTTGTCTTTCTTTTTCGTGTTTTCATCCTTTGTCTGTTTTCCTATCCTGCTGTCTCTTTTTCTTTCTTTTATTTATCGCTAAAAGCCTTATTTTTTTTTAGGATTGGTTATTTAAGCAGATTTTATGTTCTTCTCAACCAATCCATTCACTTCTTGTGCTCATAATCGACGTATTTGTGACGTCCGTAGTAATGCCGTTGTATAGTAAACAACACAAGCTTGCAACATCTCTCACCATTGAAGGGTTTTCCGAAACAGAAATATTGGCTGTGTTTCAGCGTGGCTATAATGGTGAAAATCTTACCGCTCAGCTCTTGCTTTTATATTATGTACTCACTTATAAAGACTGTTGTTTGTCCAACATGAAATCCTTAGGTAAGTTTTACTCGTTTGTTTTCAAAGACATAAAGCAACTGTGTTAAGTTTTCAATCGTTTAATTTGATTTATCTTTTAAGATATGTAGGTTGATTTTAGATTTTGAAATTTGGATGCAATTAAGTTTCCAAATACCTTACTCTAAATTTGGGCCACTATTGATACTAAAGTTTAACTAAAGTAATAAACAAACATCTTTATTGATACTGTGCATTTTATCAATGTATTTTGCAGTCACAAATAGCTATCAACCACGTGACTATTCCCAGACCCTTTACTCCCAAATTCCTATTAAGTATCTCCTACAACAAGCTCGAAAATTGCAACATAACTACAGAGATCTATATCCTCCTTTGCTGTGCATGCTTGTGACGTATTATCCTCAGCTGTGTCTAGTTGAAGATTGGCTTTGTGAAGAAGATACCCATGAAAAACAAACAACGTGGAACAGAGCGCGAAATTTGAATTTTAATGAAGTTATACGAGGTTTGGCATTTGGTGTATATTTTTGATGTCGTTTACATTTCTTATACTCATTGAAAGAATTCATTTATTATGTCGACAAGAAGAAGATCAACTTGTTTATAATTTTTTTCTTCTGTCATGTTCTTCATTTGATTTTTAGTGTTAAACAATCTTCGCCACGCACCGGCCGTTGCTATGCTTACATTACTAAAGCTGAAAAAACTGCAGCCCATACTTCTCATTCAATACATCGAGGCTATAGTGGAAGGACTGCGCGTCGCCCTGGGTCCTAACGTTTGTCGTCATGTGCGAATATTATTGATGGAGTTATGGATTAAATTAAATACGATGATTCCTCGAAGGTAAACTTGCACTGTGGCTACATATAAGTGCATTATAAGTTATCGTTTCTAGAACTTTCACTTTCACCATTGAAAAAAATTCGACCATCTTGAAATTTCATGAAATGTCGAAGTTTTATCTTTAAGTATCGTTAGGTTTGGCGTGGATATTCCTTGTTTCCATGTTATAAAATATTTTGAAATTTCATTAAAACGTTTTATTTTCACTTTATGTGCAATGTTTTCACATGCCGTGCCAATAAATTTTGCCTCGTTTCAACAGTATGCATTAGAATATGGTGTATTATACAAACGTTATTTTTGCAGATTATGGCTTTTAACTGTGAATAAGTTATGTGAAACTGGATCAACTCCATATACAGAAAATGAGCTTATGAAAGATCCGCTTACCGTTTTAAGATGTGATCGCAGAATATTAAGGTACTATAGACGAATTAGAAACATTTTTTTCTATCAATGAATCATTTATTGTTTATACGTAAAACGTTTAGTTTATCCTTCACTGTATTTCACTGGTAAGTTTTCTTTAAATTTGTATCATTCTTCTCTAGATGTGCTCCAATATTTACAATTATCACTCGGGTTTTAATGGGATATTTGGCCGCATCTCGCGCGATGCTGAATCAGCATATATTGGCAAACAGTTCGGGCGCCAAGAGTAACGCTAGTACTTCATTTAATAACGTCGAACAGGAGCGTGAAGAATTGAAGTCGGCATTAATTGCAGCACAAGAAAGTGCTGTTGTTCAAATTTTGCTTGAAGTATGTTTGTTGACACCTGAAGAAAAAGAGGTAAAGTTTTCAAGGTTTTTAAATATTTGCATTTAAATCAATGGAATATAGTCGTGTACTTTATCTATGTTTGTGGGACATGTGTTGTGACGTTGTGCTAACTCGTTCCCAGGCTTTTTTCATTTGGAATATAGTCGTGTACTTTATCTATGTTTGTGAGACATGTGTTGTGACGTTGTGCTAACTCGTTCCGAGGCTTTTGTTTCATTTGAGGCAAGAACCTGATTATAAATTTGTTTTGACAATACAAGATTAAATAATAACATTAAGAATCGAAAATTTTCGTTTTCTTACGTTTAAGATGTTATGCAAGAGTCATGATTACAGAAATAACTCACAAGAGCGCTAATTTATGTGGCGATTTTAAGCGTCCGACAAAATTTACTTCGGGTTCAGGTTGAATGTTTGATTACATAATTTATCATTACTGGTGTTCGAGACTCTATATTGTCGAGTGTATGTTTTCGTAACAATTATGTAATATATGATAATGTCACGTCATGAGGATTTGATTATTGTTATATCAACATATTAAAAATACTGCATCTTAAGCGCTTTTTATCAAAGGATCGTTGAAGTATCAAAGTTGAGCTCAAACTGAGCTCATAAAACAAACTTTATGAATTAGCTAAATATTTAATGATATATATATATGATTGCGCAAGATAGAGGAACAGTTTGACGAACAAATTTTTCACATTTTATATCTTGTTTGTTACTCCATGTCACGCAAGTTCGAGGTCATGCCTTCGACTCTAAATTTACGTGATTTGTTGTTCCTGTTAAAAAAAACGGAAAATATTTCACAATTTTCTGACAATTATCGTTAATTGACATGATTTTTATGATTCTCGAGACATGATTATCGTTCATGTCCATTAATTAAAGTGTCTACATTTTTTTAATATTTTATATGAATATTTAATAATGTGTTGTGATGTTATTGTCTGCACTTAAGATCTATTTTTACATCTATTGATATTCCATATGCATAAATTACGTTGTAAATCCATTTTGTTGCATCGTTAGCTTAACTTTTTTTCCCATTTTAACCCAGTAGTGCTTAATTCTTTCCTAATTTTCTATTTATCACAATATCCTCGATGTTATACAGCTTAAATAACGCAATACGTACCTATTTTTTGATATCTAGTCATTTCTGTGTAAAAATATGAAATTGTTTTTCTTCAGGGTAAAAACGGATCGATGAATAATTGCGAACTTAGAGAGATTCGTTGTTTGGTTTGTTCAACTCTTCATCAAATGTTCATAATACATCCAAAACTTGTAAAATTGGTTCATTTTCAGGTGAGACTTTCTAGAAATGTCTCTCGTGTGAACAGTAAAATATTTTGATGAAATGATCTGATGGCATTACTGTCCAATTTGCTTTTGTTTTTTAGTGTTTTCTTTAAAAAGTGTGTATCGTTGAACACAGGCGTTTAACTATGAAAATGGTTTTTCTTTAGGGATATGAACCAGCGTTGTTACCTATGACTGTCAGTGGTATACCATCAATGCATATTTGTCTGAATTTGATAACAGAATTGATAAATCAACCAGAACTGGAAAAGCAGGTTTGATATAAAATGTTTGTGTATTCATGTACTATATCATTCATGTTTTAACTTTACCATGTACTAGCTTTACCATGTACTAGCTCTACCATATTCACATTTTAGTTCTAGTTCTATTTTATCACCGTGAAGTCAAGTTTATGCTTTCTGCTGTTATTCCAGCTATGTGTACTCGTGATGTACTTATACAATGATTATTCAATGTTATAAAAACTGTTTACGTTCCTCGTAAATTTCTCAAATCACATTCTATTTTGTTTGTGTTTTGGTTTGGAACATTCCCACAGTTATACCCTGTTTATGCCCCCATTATTCTCCGGTCATACCCCTGCTATACCCCGGTCATACCCCTGCCATACCCCTGTCATGCCCCCATCTTTCTCCTTTAATACCCCCACCGTTCCCAAAAAACGATTTCCTGTTTTCGTTTGACAGTTCAAATTTTGTCAATAGAAAGACCTTTCTATTCCCAACTCATTTGGAAACTTAACATTCATGTACAATCGATTGGATGTGATAGACTGCTGTTGCTAAAAAAAACCTTTGAAAAGTTGCCATGTGATAATTACGTAATTATTTAACACAACATTATTATCGCTGACAAGGAAATTGCTTAGATAAACAATAACAGATATTGTAGACATATTTCACGTTTCTTAAATGTCTTTATTTTTGTTTTACTCTTAAAAACCTCTTTCAAAGAGCATTTTTCGTTTTGAAAAACTTCCTTTACGCAAGACCACATTGTGTGCTATACTTTATAAATATGTTCGATTACTGTGTTGGATGTCAATTTAGAGGCGTAATGTGTCTGAGTTAAGGTTGAAAAAGTTGCTAATAGGGTTGATTACATGGAAAAGTCGAGTGAAACACAACCTCACAGTGAAATTCTTCGTTCACTTATCAAGGAAAATCTACAATGTGTGATTTGCAGGGAAATTCTTAAAGATCCTGTACAATGTGTTGAAAATGAACATCACTTCTGTCGTGAATGTATTCATGAACATTTGACGTTTTTCAATACTTGTCCAACTTGTAAAGATGAACTGTCAGTTGAAATGTTACGAAAACCTCAACGCTTTCTTGTAGATGTCGTCGATAATCTAACGATAATTCCCGATCTAGAAACGATGGTTGACAGTTGTGATGATAACGAAACAAAAGATAATCATGAAAGACGCGAATTGCTTATTTTTAAAGCAGAAATGATGAAAATTCGCCTTAAACAGCAAGAAATTTTGCTAATGATGAGAGGCATGTCGTTGGATGGCAAAAAGATGTTGAATAAACGTTACACGCCAACTTTATCAACAAATGCTCAGATTATTGTAACTGGTGGTGGTTTGAAATCTTCTATGATTTTTGATGTCACACATCGAACATGGCAACGCAAAGCTAACATGAGTCGAAATCGTCAAAGCGCGTGCTCTGTCCTATACCAAGGTCACATGATTGTCGTTGGTGGAAGAAACGGGAACTGCGGTGTTCGAGGTTGTCCTACTGATACTATGGAAGTATTAGATCTTGAACAGGAGAATGCAAAGTGGGTGAATTCTCAAATCCGTTTGCCTAAACCGTGCAGTGGCCACGCATGTGTTGTTCATGAAGATTGTCTTTTGGTCACTGGTGGTCAGTTACGGAGCATGCTTCATAAGATAAGCGATAGTGTTTATGAAATGATGCTGACATCACCCTTTACCATAAGGTTGCATTCGCGTTTACCTAACCCCCTGTATCATCATGGAGCTGTTGTGATCAATGGTAAAGTTTATATTTTCGGTGGTCAACGGAGCTCATCCCACAATGATATAACGAGTGACGTTCACGTGTTTGACCAGGCAACAAACACGTGGACAAGAATGCAACCTCTATCGTATGCGGTCACTCAAATGGGCGTCACGGTTTGGAATGATAATATCATAATTCTTGGAGGAAGAGGAGGACACGATGGTGCTATACTTGATAAAGCTTTGATGTACAACATTACCACTGGTTGTAGCTCACTACTTCCCAACATGATGAAGAAGCGATGTGGTTGCACAGCAGTTACAGTTGGTGATAACGTATTTGCAGTTGGCGGTTTGGGAGATGGAACTGGGCTGGATTATCTCAAATCAGTAGAATATTTCAGCTTCACATGTAATGTTTGGACTGAAGTGCCTTCAATGAATGAAGGGCGATATCTGGCCACGGCTGTCGTAATATGATTGGATATATTGTTGTTTCGATCTATATAACTGAACAAATCATTGAATTGCGTTGGCATTCACATATTAAATATAACATTTAACGTCATGAGCTTTATTACTTGCATATTTAAGAATCTTTGATGTAAGATTTTTTAATGTTTACCATTTAATGTCTACTCTCAACATCAGCGCGTTACAATTTGAGCTGTGAATCTTCTTTGCAAGATTTTTAGATTTTTTTAACTGCATATATCATTGCATAGAGTATTCAATGTATTGTTGTACTTAACTATCGGCATGTTACATTAAAATATATGACAGAGTTTTTGTATTGTCAGTGATTTGATATTTGTTCGATTTGTCTCAAGTGCAGTTTTTTGTTGAAGTGAAATGTGTTACAGCCTAATTTCAGCATTACAGTTAGATCTAATATGTATTTTATCAACAAACGTCTCTCATTTCTTTTTTATTCTGTGTTTTGAAAGATTAAATCCCTTTCCTATTTTATGTTAATACAATCATTTTTAAAATATTCTCTTTTTTGTAGTTGTTTGCTGTTCAGCTTTCTTCGTATTTATGTGTTCAGTTCCCTTTGCAAAAGGCATTGGATGTTGCCAAGTATGTCATCAGTCGTTTGACGTCATTATGCGAAGCGTTGCCGGGAGACAGGTGTGCAAAATTCTTTATTCCTGCTTGTGAATGCTTGCCACGATTCTGTAGAGCATTTCCTCCACTTTCCGTGGATACGTCATCATTGTTATTGTTGATTGGTCAGCTTGCAGCGTCACGTGCTGCTGAGACTTGTGACGACGATCTAGGTATGTGTTTATTACATCATTCTTCATTGACTTACATGAGTTATATCATCAACGACCCTGCAGTTATTTAGCTTACACAAGGCAGTCCTGGATAGACTATTTCACTTCCTGGCTGAAAATATCAAAAATAAATATTTCCACCGAAAATGCTTCATTAATAACAATTGAAAACATTTCTTTACTCATCGCAGTTCTCTGTTACCGGTAAATTTCTAAATGGTATTGTTTGATTTACGGAGTACAGATTACATAATCATCTGACTTAATGTTTGGTGCAACTGTATTCCAAATATGCTCTATACTTTCGAAAAAGTTATTGTAAGACACAAAATTTTTTCCTGCGAGTAATTTTTTTAGAAATTTCCGGACAACAGTACTGCTGGTGCTAATGCACATTTTTCAGCCGAGCTAACCGAGCATAAAGCACTATCAGAATCAGATTACTAAAATTTGTCTACTTCTTTTTGTTATGCATTATGAATAAAGAAAGGAACGTGACTTTTAAAAACCGGTTTTTACTTGAGACAAAAGTGACACGGCAAAAGTATAATGATAAATAGCTAAATATGAAGTCTAAGCCTGCCCCAAGATTTTATCTTATATTGAATTTTTCTCCTTGGTTAACGAGAAGGATGAAGATAAAAGACGAAAACAGACATGATTGTGATAGTGAAAAACAGAAAACTTTTCATGTTTATCGTAATTGTCGCGATAGCTGATGGCATTTCAGTAACTTTATGAAAATTGTTCTTTATTCATTTAGATCTTTCTCGTTATTATAACATGATTCAAGATTTCCACAAGAAGACAACAGAAAACAGTGAAGTATTGTTTGATCATGGTTTTGTTGAGCACGAGAATGGTGTAATAAATGACAAAACGTTACATTCCCTTCAACATGATGTTGTACCTCGTTCAAAACATGTCGTACTTTATGAAGTAGTGTGTAAAACATTTAAACATCTAGTGAGTGCGTGTATTTTGGAGAAATATGGCTTTACGACAGAATTTACCGATGTTTACCAAAATACTCGAACTTCTTTGTAATGAAACGTATTTTATATGAATGTATGAAAATGTAGAATTGAACAAACATTTTAAACTTTAGTTATTCTGGAAATGATCTCAAGATTTTTGTCGTTTTTTCCCACGTTTACTCATAACTCGAATGCTCTAAGCCATTCTGCATTTTGGCTATTTTCCACAAACTAGAATAAAGTTTCTATGTTCAGCTATAATCTACCATCTTTCCAAAATAATTTTTGCCTTGAGGAAATGCCAGCATTTAAAAATGTACTTTGTTGATAGTATACGCACCTTATCAAATAAACGCTTCACATATGTGTTTGTGCCTCGTCTATAATAGACACTCCCTACAACATTAACTATTATGATGTCATTTTAGTGGAGTTAATCAATGACATGAAAGAGATAAGTTTTAATGATATATATGATTGCGCCAGATAGAGGAACAGTTTGACGAACAAATTTTTCACATTTTATATCTTGTTTGTTACTCCGTGTCACGCAAATTCGAGGTCAGGCCTTCGACTCTAAATTTACATGATTTGTTGTTCCTGTTAAAAAAAAGGAAAATATTTCACAATTTTCTGACAATTATCGTCAATTGACATGATTTTTATGATTCTCGAGACATGATCTATTGTTCATGTCCATCATTAAAGTGTCTACATTTTTTAATATTCTATAATGCCATGTGATAATTACGTAATTATTTAACACAACATTATTATCGCTGAAAAGAAAATTGCTGAGATAAACAGTAGCAGATATTGTAGACATATTTCACGTTTCTTAAATGTCTTTATTTATCTTTAACTCTTAAAAACCTCTTTCAAAGAGCATTTTTCGTTTTTGAAACAACTTCCTTTTAGCAAGACCATATTGTGTGCTATACTTTATAAATATGTTCAATTACTGTGTTGGATGTCAATTTAGAGGCGTAATGTGTCTGAGTTAAGGTTAAAAAAGTTGCTAATAGGGTTGATTACATGGAAAAGTCGAGTGAAACACAACCTCACAGTGAAATTCTTCGTTTACTTATCAAGGAAAATCTGCGATGTGCGATTTGCAGGGAAATTCTTAAAGATCCTGTACAGTGTGTTGAAAATGAACATCACTTCTGTCGTGAATGTATTCATGAACATTTGACGTTTTTCAATACTTGTCCAACTTGTAAAGATGAACTGTCAGTTGAAATGTTACGAAAACCTCAACGCTTTCTTGTAGATGTCGTCGATAATCTAACGATAATTCCCGATCTAGAAACGATGGTTGACAGTTGTGATGATAACGAAACAAAAGATAATCATGAAAGACGCGAATTGCTTATTTTTAAAGCAGAAATGATGAAAATTCGCCGTAAACAGCAAGAAATTTTGCTAATGATGAGAGGCATGTCGTTGGATGGCAAAAAGATGTTGAATAAACGTTACACGACAACTTTATCAACAAATGCTCAGATTATTGTAACTGGTGGTGGTTTGAAATCTTCTATGATTTTTGATGTAGCACATCGAACATGGCAACGCAAAGCTAACATGAGTCGAAATCGTCAAAGCGCGTGCTCTGTCCTATACCAAGGTCACATGATTGTCGTTGGTGGAAGAAACGGGAACTGCGGTGTTCGAGGTTGTCTTACTGATACTATGGAAGTATTAGATCTTGAACAGGAGAATGCAAAGTGGGTGAATTCTCAAATCCGTTTGCCTAAACCGTGCAGTGGCCACGCATGTGTTGTTCATGAAGATTGTCTTTTGGTCACTGGTGGTCAGTTACGGAGCATGCTCCATAAGATAAGCGATAGTGTTTATGAAATGATGCTGACGTCGCCCTTTACCATAAGGTTGCATTCGCGTTTACCTAACCCCCTGTATCATCATGGATCTGTTGTGATCAATGGTAAAGTTTATATTTTTGGTGGTCAACGGAGCTCATCCCACAATGATATAACGAGTGACGTTCACGTGTTTGACCAGGCAACAAACACGTGGACAAGAATGCAACCTCTATCGTATGCGGTCACTCAAATGGGCGTCACGGTTTGGAATGATAATATCATAATTCTTGGAGGAAGAGGAGGACACGATGGTGCTATACTTGATAAAGCTTTGATGTACAACATTACCACTGGTTGTAGCTCACTGCTTCCCAACATGATGAAGAAGCGATGTGGTTGCACAGCAGTTACAGTTGGTGATAACGTGTTTGCAGTTGGCGGTTTGGGAGATGGAACTGGTGTGGATTATCTCAAATCAGTAGAATATTTCAGCTTCACATGTAATGTTTGGACTGAAGTGCCTTCAATGAATGAAGGGCGATATCTGGCCACGGCTGTCGTAATATGATTGGATATATTGTTGTTTCGATCTATATAACTGAACAAATCATTGAATTACGTTGGCATTCACATATTAAATATAACATTTAACGTCATGAGCTTTATTACTTGCATATTTAAGAATCTTTGATGTAAGATTTTTTAATGTTTACCATTTAATGTCTACTCTCAACATCAGCGCGTTACAATTTGAGCTGTGAATCTTCTTTGCAAGATTTTTAGATTTTTTAACTGCATATATCATTGCATAGAGTATTCAATGTATTGTTGTACTTAACTATCGGCATGTTACATTAAAATATATGAGAGAGTTTTTGTATTGTCAGTGATTTGGTATTTGTTCGATTTGTCTCAAGTACAGTTTTTTGTTCAAGTGAAATTTGTTACAGCCTAATTTCAGCATTGTAGTTAGATCTATGTGTATTTTATCAACAAACGTCTCTCATTTCTTTTTTATTCTGTGTTTTGAAAGATTAAATCCCTTTCCTATTTTATGTTAATACAATCATTTTTAAAATATTCTCTTTTTTGTAGTTGTTTGCTGTTCAGCTTTCTTCGTATTTATGTGTTCAGTTCCCTTTGCAAAAGGCATTGGATGTTGCCAAGTATGTCATCAGTCGTTTGACGTCATTATGCGAAGCGTTGCCGGGAGACAGGTGTGCAAAATTCTTCATTCCTGCTTGTGAATGCTTGCCACGATTCTGTAGAGCATTTCCTCCACTTTCCGTGGATACGTCATCATTGTTATTGTTGATTGGTCAGCTTGCAGCGTCACGTGCTGCTGAGACTTGTGACGACGATCTAGGTATGTGTTTATTACATCATTCTTCATTGACTTATATGAGTTATATCATCAACGACCCTGCAGTTATTTAGCTTACACAAGGCAGTCCTGGATAAACTATTTCACTTCCTGGCTGAAAATATCAAAAATAAATATTTCCAACGAAAATGCTTCATTAATAACAATTGAAAACATTTCTTTGCTCATCGCAGTTCTCTGTTACCGGCAAATTTCTAAATGGTATTGTTTGATTTACGGAGTACAGATTACATAATCATCTGATTTAATGTTTGGTGCAACTGTATTCCAAATATGCTCTATACTTTCGAAAAACTTATTGTAAGACACAAAAATTTTTCCCGCGAGTAATTTTTTTAGAAATTTCCGGACGACAGTACTGCTGGTGCTAATGCACATTTTTCAGCCGAGCTAACCGAGCATAAAGCACCATCAGATTCAGACTGCTACAACTTGTCTACTTCTTTTTGTTATGCATTGTGAATAAAGAAAGGAACGCGACTTTCAAAAATCGGTTTTTACTTGAGACAAAAGTGACACGGCAAAAGTATAATGATAAATAGCTAAATATGAAGTCATAGACTGCCCCAAGATTTTATCTTATATTGAATTTTTCTCCTGGGTTAACGAGAAGGATGAAGATAAAAGGCGAAAACAGACATGATTGTGATAATGAAAAACAGAAAACTTTTCATATTTATCGTAATTATCGCGATAGCTGATGGCATTTCAGTAACTTTATGAAAATTGTTCTTTATTCATTTAGATCTTTCTCGCTATTATAACATGATTCAAGATTTCCACAAGAAGACAACAGAAAACAGTGAAGTATTGTTTGATCATGGTTTTGTTGAGCACGAGAATGGTGTAATAAATGACAAAACGTTACATTCCCTTCAACATGATGTTGTACCTCGTTCAAAACATGTCATACTTTATGAAGTAGTGGGTAAAACATTTAAACAACTAGTGAGTGCATGTATTTTGGAGAAATATGGCTTTACGACAGAATTTACCGATGTTTACCAAAATACTCGAACTTCTTTGTAATGAAGCGTATTTTATATGAATGTATGAAAATGTAGAATTGAACAAACATTTTAAACTTTAGTTATTCTGGAAATGATCTCAAGGTTTTTGACGTTTTTTCCCCACGTTTATTCATAACTCGAATGTTCTAAGCCATTCTGCATTTTGGCTATTTTCCACAAACTAGAATACAGTTTCTATGTTCAGCTATAATCTACCATCTTTCCAAAATAATTTTGAAATTTTTGCCCTGACGAAATGACAGCATTTAAAAATGTACTTTGTTGATAGTATACGCACCTTATCAAATAAACGCTTCACATATGTGTTTGTGCCTCGTCTCTAATAGACACTCCCCACAACATTAACTATTATGATGTCATTTTAGTGGAGTTAATCAATGACATGAAAGAGATAAGTTTTAATGATATATATGATTGCGCCAGATAGAGGAACAGTTTGACGAACAAATTTTTCACATTTATATCTTGTTTGTTACTCCGTGTCACGCAAATTCGAGGTCAGGCCTTCGACTCTAAATTTACATGATTTGTTGTTCCTGTTAAAAAAAAGGAAAATATTTCACAATTTTCTGACAATTATCGTCAATTGACATGATTTTTATGATTCTCGAGACATGATCTATTGTTCATGTCCATCATTAAAGTGTCTACATTTTTTAATATTCTATAATGCCATGTGATAATTACGAAATTATTTAACACAACAATATTATCGCTGAAAAGAAAATTGCTGAGATAAACAGTAGCAGATATTGTAGACATATTTCACGTTTCTTAAATGTCTTTATTTATTTTTAACTCTTAAAAACCTCTTTCAAAGAGCATTTTTCGTTTTTGAAACAACTTCCTTTTAGCAAGACCATATTGTGTGCTATACTTTATAAATATGTTCAATTACTGTGTTGGATGTCAATTTAGAGGCGTAATGTGTCTGAGTTAAGGTTAAAAAAGTTGCTAATAGGGTTGATTACATGGAAAAGTCGAGTGAAACACAACCTCACAGTGAAATTCTTCGTTTACTTATCAAGGAAAATCTGCGATGTGCGATTTGCAGGAAATTCTTAAAGATCCTGTACAGTGTGTTGAAAATGAACATCACTTCTGTCGTGAATGTATTCATGAACATTTGACGTTTTCAATACTTGTCCAACTTGTAAAGATGAACTGTCAGTTGAAATGTTACGAAAACCTCAACGCTTTCTTGTAGATGTCGTCGATAATCTAACGATAATTCCCGATCTAGAAACGATGGTTGACAGTTGTGATGATAACGAAACAAAAGATAATCATGAAAGACGCGAATTGCTTATTTTTAAAGCAGAAATGATGAAAATTCGCCGTAAACAGCAAGAAATTTTGCTAATGATGAGAGGCATGTCGTTGGATGGCAAAAAGGTGTTGAATAAACGTTACACGCCAACCTTATCAACAAATGCTCAGATTATTGTAACTGGTGGTGGTTTGAAATCTTCTATGATTTTTGATGTCGCACATCGAACATGGCAACGCAAAGCTGACATGAGTCGAAATCGTCAAAGCGCGTGCTCTGTCCTATACCGAGGTCACATGATTGTCGTTGGTGGAAGAAACGGGAACTGCGGTGTTCGAGATTCTCCTACTGATACTATGGAAGTATTAGATCTTGAACAGGAGAATGCAAAGTGGGTGAATTCTCAAATCCGTTTGCCTAAACCGTGCAGTGGCCACGCATGTGTTGTTCATGAAGATTGTCTTTTGGTCACTGGTGGTCAGTTACGGAGCATGCTTCATAAGATAAGCGATAGTGTTTATGAAATGATGCTGACTTCACCCTTTACCATAAGGTTGCATTCGCGTTTACCTAACCCCCTGTATCATCATGGAGCTGTTGTGATCAATGGTAAAGTTTATATTTTCGGTGGTCAACGGAGCTCATCCCACAATGATATAACGAGTGACGTTCACGTGTTTGACCAGGCAACAAACACGTGGACAAGAATGCAACCTCTATCGTATGCGGTCACTCAAATGGGCTTCACGGTTTGGAATGATAATATCATAATTCTTGGAGGAAAAGGAGGACACGATGGTGCTATACTTGATAAAGCTTTGATGTACAACATTACCACTGGTTGTAGCTCACTGCTTCCCAACATGATGAAGAAGCGATGTGGTTGCACAGCAGTTACAGTTGGTGATAACGTGTTTGCAGTTGGCGGTTTGGGAGATGGAACTGGTGTGGATTATCTCAAATCAGTAGAATATTTCAGCTTCACATGTAATGTTTGGACTGAAGTGCCTTCAATGAATGAAGGGCGATATCTGGCCACGGCTGTCGTAATATGATTGGATATATTGTTGTTTCGATCTATATAACTGAACAAATCATTGAACTACGTTGGTATTCACATATTAAATATAAAATTTAACGTCATGAGTTTTATTTATTTGCATATCTAAGAATCTTTGATGTACGATTTTTTAATGTTTACCATTTAATGTCTACTCTCAACATCAGCGCGTTACAATTTGAGCTGTGAATCTTCTTTGCAAGATTTTTAGATTTTTTAACTGCATATATCATTGCATAGAGTATTCAATGTATTGTTGTACTTAACTATCGGCATGTTACATTAAAATATATGAGAGAGTTTTTGTATTGTCAGTGATTTGATATTTGTTCGATTTGTCTCAAGTGCAGTTTTTTGTTGAAGTGAAATGTGTTACAGCCTAATTTCAGCATTACAGTTAGATCTAATATGTATTTTATCAACAAACGTCTCTCATTTCTTTTTTATTCTGTGTTTTGAAAGATTAAATCCCTTTCCTCCTTTAAATTAATATAATCATTTTTAAAATATTCTCTTTTTTGTAGTTGTTTGCTGTTCAGCTTTCTTCGTATTTATGTGTTCAGTTCCCATTGCAAAAGGCATTGGATGTTGCCAAGTATGTCATCAGTCGTTTGACGTCATTATGCGAAGCGTTGCCGGGAGACAGGTGTGCAAAATTCTTCATTCCTGCTTGTGAATGCTTGCCACGATTCTGTAGAGCATTTCCTCCACTTTCCGTGGATACGTCATCATTGTTATTGTTGATTGGTCAGCTTGCAGCGTCACGTGCTGCTGAGACTTGTGACGACGATCTAGGTATGTGTTTATTACATCATTCTTCATTGACTTATATGAGTTATATCATCAACGACCCTGCAGTTATTTAGCTTACACAAGGCAGTCCTGGATAAACTATTTCACTTTCTGGCTGAAAATATCAAAAATAAATTATTCCACCGAAAATGCTTCATTAATAACAATTGAAAACATTTCTTTACTCATCGCAGTTCTCTGTTACAGGCAAATTTCTAAATGGTATTGTTTGATTTACGGAGTACAGATTACATAATCATCTGACTTAATGTTTCGTGCAACTGTATTCCAAATATGCTCTATACTTTCGAAAAACGTATTGTAAGACACAAAATTTTTTCCCGCGAGTAATTTTTTTAGAAATTTCCGGACAACAGTACTGCTGGTGCTAATGCACATTTTTCAGCCGAGCTAACCGAGCATAAAGCACCATCAGAATCAGACTACAAAAATTTGTCTAGTTCTTTTTGTTATGCATTGTGAATAAAGAAAGGAACGCGACTTTTAAAAACCGGTTTTTACTTGAGACAAAAGTGACACGGCAAAAGTATAATGATAAATAGCTAAATATGAAGTCATAGACTGCCCCAAGATTTTATCTTATATTGAATTTTTCTCCTGGGTTAACGAGAAGGATGAAGATTAAAGGCGAAAACAGACATGATTGTGATAGTGAAAAACAGAAAACTTTTCATATTTATCGTAATTATCGCGATAGCTGATGGCATTTCAGTAACTTTATGAAAATTGTTCTTTATTCATTTAGATCTTTCTCGCTATTATAACATGATTCAAGATTTCCACAAGAAGACAACAGAAAACAGTGAAGTATTGTTTGATCATGGTTTTGTTGAGCACGAGAATGGTGTAATAAATGACAAAACGTTACATTCCCTTCAACATGATGTTGTACCTCGTTCAAAACATGTCGTACTTTATGAAGTAGTGTGTAAAACATTTAAACAACTAGTGAGTGCATGTATTTTGGAGAAATATGGCTTTACGACAGAATTTACCGATGTTTACCAAAATACTCGAACTTCTTTGTAATGAAACGTATTTCATATGAATGTAGGAAAATGTAGAATTGAACAAACATTTTAAACTTTAGTTATTCTGGAAATGATCTCAAGATTTTTGTCGTTTATTTCCCACGTTTATTCATAACTCGAATGTTCTAAGCCATTCTGCATTTTGGCTATTTTCCACAAACTAGAATAAAGTTTCTATGTTCAGCTATAATCTACCATCTTTCCAAAATAATTTTTGCCTTGAGGAAATGCCAGCATTTAAAAATGTACTTTGTTGATAGTATACGCACCTTATCAAATAAACGCTTCACATATGTGTTTGTGCCTCGTCTCTAATAGACACTCCCTACAACATTAACTATTATGATGTCATTTTAGTGGAGTTGTTCAATGACATGAAAGAGATAAATATTTAATGATATATATGATTGCGCCAGATAGAGGAACAGTTTGACGAGCAAATTTTTCACATTTTATAATCTTGTTTGTTACTCCATGTCACGCAAATTCGAGGTCATGCCTTCGACTCTAAATTTACATGATTTGTTGTTCCTGTTAAAAAAAAACGGAAAATATTTCACAATTTTCTGACAAGTATCGTCAATTGATATGATTTTTATGATTCTCGAGAAATGATCTATTGTTCATGTCCATTATTAAAGTGTCTACATTTTTTAATATTCTATAATGCCATGTGATAATTACGAAATTATGGTAACACAACAATATTATCGCTGAAAAGGAAATTGCTTAAATAAACAGCAGCAGATATTGTAGACATATTTCACGTTTCTTAAATGTCTTTATTTATCTTATATGAATTCAATTGCGCGGGATGTAATTTCCGATACATTGGCGAAACTTTGCGCCATTTATCCACCAGAATAAGGGAACATACCACAACAGACAAAAACTCTCATATCTGTCGACACCTACTTAAATCTAACTCATGTAAAACCAACTATTCACCCTCTTGCACACCACATTAACAAAACTAACCCTGACCTCAATGTTCAAGTTTTTAAATTTAATACAATATTTAGTTTATAATACGCTCGGACGCTCTCCATTAATTTATCTTATTTCCTTATATTGTTGTAATTTCTGTATCATATTACTTGTATATAAACCTTGTATTGTTTATTATCTCACTCATACTGAAGATGGCATCATTAGATGTCGAAACATGTCTATTTTAAAAAAACTCGTCGTGTTTATTAAATGCGCATTAGCAATAGTGCTTTTACGAAATTATGGTAACACAACAATATTATCGTTGAAAAGGAAATTGCTTAAATAAACAGCAGCAGATGTTGTTGATATATTTCATGTTTCTTAAATGTCTTTATTTATCTTTAACTCTTAAACCATCTTTCAAAGAGCATTTTTCGTTTTGAAATTACTTCCTTTTAGCAAGACCACATTGTGTGCTATACTTTATAAATATGTTCAATTACTGTGTTGGATGTCAATTTAGAGGCGTAATGTGTCTGAGTTAAGGTTAAAAAAGTTGCTAATAGGGTTGATTACATGGAAAAGTCGAGTGAAACACAACCTCACAGTGAAATTCTTCGTTTACTTATCAAGGAAAATCTGCGATGTGTGATTTGCAGGGAAATTCTTAAAGATCCTGTGCAGTGTGTTGAAAATGAACATCACTTCTGTCGTGAATGTATTCATGAACATTTGACGTTTTTCAATACTTGTCCAACTTGTAAAGATGAACTGTCAGTTGAAATGTTACGAAAACCTCAACGCTTTCTTGTAGATGTCGTCGATAATCTAACGATAATTCCCGATCTAGAAACGATGGTTGACAGTTGTGATGATAACGAAACAAAAGATAATCATGAAAGACGCGAATTGCTTATTTTTAAAGCAGAAATGTTGAAAATTCGCCTTAAACAGCAAGAAATTTTGCTAATGATGAGAGGCATGTCGTTGGATGGCAAAAAGATGTTGAATAAACGTTACATGCCAACTTTATCAACAAATGCTCAGATTATTGTAACTGGTGGTGGTTTGAAATCTTCTATGATTTTTGATGTCGCACATCGAACATGGCAACGCAAAGCTAACATGAGTCGAAATCGTCAAAGCGCGTGCTCTGTCCTATACCAAGGTCACATGATTGTCGTTGGTGGAAGAAACGGGAACTGCGGTGTTCGAGATTCTCCTACTGATACTATGGAAGTATTAGATCTTGAACAGGAGAATGCAAAGTGGGTGAATTCTCAAATCCGTTTGCCTAAACCGTGCAGTGGCCACGCATGTGTTGTTCATGAAGATTGTCTTTTGGTCACTGGTGGTCAGTTAGGGAGCATTCTCCATAAGATAAGCGATAGTGTTTATGAAATGATGCTGACGACACCCTTTACCATAAGGTTGCATTCGCGTTTACCTAACCCCCTGTATCATCATGGAGCTGTTGTGATCAATGGTAAAGTTTATATTTTCGGTGGTCAACGGAGCTCATCCCACAATGATATAACGAGTGACGTTCACGTGTTTGACCAGGCAACAAACACGTGGACAAGAATGCAACCTCTATCGTATGCGGTCACTCAAATGGGCTTCACGGTTTGGAATGATAATATCATAATTCTTGGAGGAAAAGGAGGACACGATGGTGCTATACTTGATAAAGCTTTGATGTACAACATTACCACTGGTTGTAGCTCACTGCTTCCCAACATGATGAAGAAGCGATGTGGTTGCACAGCAGTTACAGTTGGTGATAACGTGTTTGCAGTTGGCGGTTTGGGAGATGGAACTGGTGTGGATTATCTCAAATCAGTAGAATATTTCAGCTTCACATGTAATGTTTGGACTGAAGTGCCTTCAATGAATGAAGGGCGATATCTGGCCACGGCTGTCGTAATATGATTGGATATATTGCTGTTTCGATCTATGTAACTGAACAAATCATTGAATTACGTTGGTATACACATATTAAATATAACATTTAACGTCATGAGCTTTATTTACTTGCATATCTAAGTATCTTTGATGTAAGATTTTTTAATGTTTACCATTTAATGTCTACTCTCAACATCAGCGCGTTACAATTTGAGCTGTGAATCTTCTTTGCAAGATTTTTAGATTTTTTAACTGCATATATCATTGCATAGCGTATTCAATGTATTGTTGTACTTAACTATCGGCATGTTACATTAAAATATATGAGAGAGTTTTTGTATTGTCAGTGATTTGGTATTTGTTCGATTTGTCTCAAGTACAGTTTTTTGTTCAAGTGAAATGTGTTACAGCCTAATTTCAGCATTGTAGTTAGATCTAATATGTATTTTATCAACAAATGTCTCTCATTTCTTTTTTATTCTGTGTTTTGAAAGATTAAATCCCTTTCCTATTTTATGTTAATACAATCATTTTTAAAATATTCTCTTTTTTGTAGTTGTTTGCTGTTCAGCTTTCTTCGTATTTATGTGTTCAGTTCCCATTGCAAAAGGCATTGGATGTTGCCAAGTATGTCATCAGTCGTTTGACGTCATTATGCGAAGCGTTGCCGGGAGACAGGTGTGCAAAATTCTTCATTCCTGCTTGTGAATGCTTGCCACGATTCTGTAGAGCATTTCCTCCACTTTCCGTGGATACGTCATCATTGTTATTGTTGATTGGTCAGCTTGCAGCGTCACGTGCTGCTGAGACTTGTGACAACGATCTAGGTATGTAATTATTACATCATTCTTCATTGACTTTTATGAGTTATATCATCAACGACCCTGCAGTTATTTAGCTTACACAAGGCAGTCCTGGATAAACTATTTCACTTCCTGGCTGAAAATATCTAAAATAAATATTTCCAACGAAAATGCTTCATTAATAACAATTGAAAACATTTCTTTGCTCATCGCAGTTCTCTGTTACCGGCAAATTCCTAAATGGTATTGTTTGATTTACGGAGTACAGATTACATAATCATCTGACTTAATGTTTGGTGCAACTGTATTCCAAATATGCTCTATACTTTCGAAAAAGTTATTGTAAGACACAAAAATTTTTCTCGCGTGTAATTTTTTTAGAAATTTCCGGACAACAGTACTGCTGGTGCTAATGCACATTTTTCAGCCGAGCTAACCGAGCATAAAGCACCATCAGATTCAGACTACAAAAATTTGTCTAGTTCTTTTTGTTATGCATTGTGAATAAAGAAAGGAACGCGACTTTTAAAAATCGGTTTTTACTTGAGACAAAAGTGACACGGCATCAGTATAATGATAAATACCTAAATATGAAGTCATAGCCTGCCCCAAGATTTTATCTTATATTGAATTTTTCTCCTGGGTTAACGAGAAGGATGAAGATTAAAGGCGAAAACAGACATGATTGTGATAGTGAAAAACAGAAAACTTTTCATATTTATCGTAATTATCGCGATAGCTGATGGCATTTCAGTAACTTTATGAAAATTGTTCTTTATTCATTTAGATCTTTCTCGCTATTATAACATGATTCAAGATTTCCACAAGAAGACAACAGAAAACAGTGAAGTATTGTTTGATCATGGTTTTGTTGAGCACGAGAATGGTGTAATAAATGACAAAACGTTACATTCCCTTCAACATGATGTTGTACCTCGTTCAAAACATGTCGTACTTTATGAAGTAGTGTGTAAAACATTTAAACAACTAGTGAGTGCATGTATTTTGGAGAAATATGGCTTTACGACAGAATTTACCGATGTTTACCAAAATACTCGAACTTCTTTGTAATGAAACGTATTTCATATGAATGTAGGAAAATGTAGAATTGAACAAACATTTTAAACTTTAGTTATTCTGGAAATGATCTCAAGATTTTTGTCGTTTCTTCCCCACGTTTATTCATAACTCGAATGTTCTAAGCCATTCTGCATTTTGGCTATTTTCCACAAACTAGAATAAAGTTTCTATGTTCAGCTATAATCTACCATCTTCCCAAAATAATTTTTGAAATTTTTGCCCTGACGAAATGACAGCATTTAAAAATGTACTTTGTTGATAGTATACGCACCTTATCAAATAAACGCTTCACATATGTGTTTGTGCCTCGTCTCTAATAGACACTCCCTACAACATTAACTATTATGATGTCATTTTAGTGGAGTTGTTCAATGACATGAAAGAGATAAATATTTAATGATATATATGATTGCTCCAGATAGAGGAACAGTTTGACGAACAAATTTTTTACATTTTATGTCTTGTTTGTTATTCCATGTCACGCAAATTCGAGGACATGCCTTCGACTCTAAATTTACCTGTTTTGTTGTTCTTGTTAAAAAAAACGGAAAATATTTCACAATTTTCTGACAATTATCGTCAATTGATATGATTTTTATGATTCTCGAGACATGATTATCGTTCATGTCCATTGTTAAAGTATCTACATTTTTTAATATTCTATAATGCCTTGTGATAATTACGAAATTATGGTAACACAACAATATTATCGCTGAAAAGGAAATTGCTTTAATAAACAGCAGCAGATGTTTTGATATATTTCATGTTTCTTAAATGTCTTTATTTATCTTTAACTCTTAAAAACCTCTTTCAAAGAGCATTTTTCGTTTGTTTGTTGTGGTATGTTCCCTGATTCTGGTGGATAAATGGCGCGAAGTTTCGCCAATGTATCGGAAATTACATCACGCGCAATTGAATTCATATACCAGAATCAGGGAACATACCACAAGAGACAAAAACGCTCATATCTACCGACACCTGTAAAACCAACTATTCATCAAAATCATCGACACTGACACCTCATTCTCCTTAAAAGAAGCACCCACATTAATAAAACTAACCCTGACCTCAATGTTCAAGTTTTTAAATTCAATACAATATTTAGTTTATAATACGCTCGAACGCTCTCCATTAATTTATCTTATTTCCTTTTTATTGTTGTAATTTCTGTATCATATTACTTGTATGTTCCCTTGTATCATTATCTCACTCATACTGAAGATGGCATCATTAGATGACGAAACATGTCTATTTTAAAAAAAGTCGTCGTGTATATTAAATAGCAATAGTGCTTCTACGAAATTATGGTAACACAACAATATTATCGCTGAAAAGGAAATTGCTTAAAATAAACAGCAGCAGATGTTGTTGATATATTTCATGTTTCTTAAATGTCTTTATTTATCTTTAACTCTTAAAAACCTCTTTCAAAGAGCATTTTTCGTTTTTGAAATTACTTCCTTTACGCAAGATCACATTGTATGCTATACTTTATAAATATGTTCAATTACTGTGTTGGATGTCAGTTTAGAGGCGTAATGTGTCTGAGTTAAGGTTGAAAAAGTTGCTAACAGGGTTGATTACATGGAAAAGTCAAGTGAAACACAACCTCACAGTGAAATTCTTCGTTTACTTATCAAGGAAAATCTACAATGTGTGATTTGCATGGAAATTCTTAAAGATCCTGTACAGTGTGTTGAAAATGAACATCACTTCTGTCGTGAATGTATTCATGAACATTTGACGTTTTTCAATACTTGTCCAACTTGTAAAGATGAACTGTCAGTTGAAATGTTACGAAAACCTCAACGCTTTCTTGTAGATGTCGTCGATAATCTAACGATAATTCCCGATCTAGAAACGATGGTTGACAGTTGTGATGATAACGAAACAAAAGATAATCATGAAAGACGCGAATTGCTTATTTTTAAAGCAGAAATGATGAAAATTCGCCGTAAACAGCAAGAAATTTTGCTAATGATGAGAGGCATGTCGTTGGATGGCAAAAAGGTGTTGAATAAACGTTACACGCCAACTTTATCAACAAATGCTCAGATTATTGTAACTGGTGGTGGTTTGAAATCTTCTATGATTTTTGATGTAGCACATCGAACATGGCAACGCAAAGCTAACATGAGTCGAAATCGTCAAAGCGCGTGCTCTGTCCTATACCAAGGTCACATGATTGTCGTTGGTGGAAGAAACGGGAACTGCGGTGTTCGAGATTCTCCTACTGATACTATGGAAGCATTAGATCTTGAACAGGAGAATGCAAAGTGGGTGCATTCTCAAATCCGTTTGCCTAAACCGTGCAGTGGCCACGCATGTGTTGTTCATGAAGATTGTCTTTTGGTCACTGGTGGTCAGTTAGGAGCATGCTCCATAAGATAAGCGATAGTGTTTATGAAATGATGCTGACGTCACCCTTTACCATAAGGTTGCATTCGCGTTTACCTAACCCCCTGTATCATCATGGAGCTGTTGTGATCAATGGTAAAGTTTATATTTTCGGTGGTCAACGGAGCTCATCCCACAATGATATAACGAGTGACGTTCACGTGTTTGACCAGGCAACAAACACGTGGACAAGAATGCAACCTCTATCGTATGCGGTCACTCAAATGGGCTTCACGGTTTGGAATGATAATATCATAATTCTTGGAGGAAAAGGAGGACACGATGGTGCTATACTTGATAAAGCTTTGATGTACAACATTACCACTGGTTGTAGCTCACTGCTTCCCAACATGATGAAGAAGCGATGTGGTTGCACAGCAGTTACAGTTGGTGATAACGTGTTTGCAGTTGGCGGTTTGGGAGATGGAACTGGGCTGGATTATCTCAAATCAGTAGAATATTTCAGCTTCACATGTAATGTTTGGACTGAAGTGCCTTCAATGAATGAAGGGCGATATCTGGCCACGGCTGTCGTAATATGATTGGATATATTGCTGTTTCGATCTATATAACTGAACAAATCATTGAACTACGTTGGTATTCACATATTAAATATAACATTTAACGTCATGAGTTTTATTTATTTGCATATCTAAGAATCTTTGATGTACGATTTTTTAATGTTTACCATTTAATGTCTACTCTCAACATCAGCGCGTTACAATTTGAGCTGTGAATCTTCTTTGCAAGATTTTTAGATTTTTTAACTGCATATATCATTGCATAGAGTATTCAATGTATTGTTGTACTTAACTATCGGCATGTTACATTAAAATATATGACAGAGTTTTTGTATTGTCAGTGATTTGATATTTGTTCGATTTGTCTCAAGTGCAGTTTTTTGTTGAAGTGAAATGTGTTACAGCCTAATTTCAGCATTACAGTTAGATCTAATATGTATTTTATCAACAAACGTCTCTCATTTCTTTTTTATTCTGTGTTTTGAAAGATTAAATCCCTTTCCTATTTTTTGTTAATACAATCATTTTTAAAATATTCTCTTTTTTGTAGTTGTTTGCTGTTCAGCTTTCTTCGTATTTATGTGTTCAGTTCCCATTGCAAAAGGCATTGGATGTTGCCAAGTATGTCATCAGTCGTTTGACGTCATTATGCGAAGCGTTGCCGGGAGACAGGTGTGCAAAATTCTTCATTCCTGCTTGTGAATGCTTGCCACGATTCTGTAGAGCATTTCCTCCACTTTCCGTGGATACGTCATCATTGTTATTGTTGATTGGTCAGCTTGCAGCGTCACGTGCTGCTGAGACTTGTGACGACGATCTAGGTATGTGTTTATTACATCATTCTTCATTTTGACTTATATGAGTTATATCATCAACGACCCTGCAGTTATTTAGCTTACACAAGGCAGTCCTGGATAAACTATTTCACTTTCTGGCTGAAAATATCAAAAATAAATTATTCCACCGAAAATGCTTCATTAATAACAATTGAAAACATTTCTTTACTCATCGCAGTTCTCTGTTACAGGCAAATTTCTAAATGGTATTGTTTGATTTACGGAGTACAGATTACATAATCATCTGACTTAATGTTTCGTGCAACTGTATTCCAAATATGCTCTATACTTTCGAAAAACGTATTGTAAGACACAAAATTTTTTCCCGCAAGTAATTTTTTTAGAAATTTCCGGACAACAGTACTGCTGGTGCTAATGCACATTTTTCAGCCGAGCTAACCGAGCATAAAGCACTATCAGAATCAGATTACTAAAATTTGTCTACTTCTTTTTGTTATGCATTATGAATAAAGAAAGGAACGTGACTTTTAAAAACCGGTTTTTACTTGAGACAAAAGTGACACGGCAATAGTATAATGATAAATACCTAAATATGAAGTCATAGCCTGCCCCAAGATTTTATCTTATATTAAATTTTTCTCCTGGGTTAACGAGAAGGATGAAGATAAAAGACGAAAACAGACATGATTGTGATAGTGAAAAACAGAAAACTTTTCATATTTATCGTAATTATCGCGATAGCTGATGGCATTTCAGTAACTTTATGAAAATTGTTCTTTATTCATTTAGATCTTTCTCGTTATTATAACATGATTCAAGATTTCCACAAGAAGACAACAGAAAACAGTGAAGTATTGTTTGATCATGGTTTTGTTGAGCACGAGAATGGTGTAATAAATGACAAAACGTTACATTCCCTTCAACATGATGTTGTACCTCGTTCAAAACATGTCTTACTTTATGAAGTAGTGTGTAAAACATTCAAACAACTAGTGAGTGCATGTATTTTGGAGAAATATGGCTTTACGACAGAATTTACCGATGTTTACCAAAATACTCGAACTTCTTTGTAATGAAACGTATTTCATATGAATGTAGGAAAATGTAGAATTGAACAAACATTTTAAACTTTAGTTATTCTGGAAATGATCTCAAGATTTTTGTCGTTTCTTCCCCACGTTTATTCATAACTCGAATGTTCTAAGCCATTCTGCATTTTGGCTATTTTCCACAAACTAGAATAAAGTTTCTATGTTCAGCTATAATCTACCATCTTTCCAAAATAATTTTGAAATTTTGCCCTGACGAAATGACAGCATTTAAAAATGTACTTTGTTGATAGTATACGCACCTTATCAAATAAACGCTTCACATATGTGTTTGTGCCTCGTCTCTAATAGACACTCCCTACAACATTAACTATTATGATGTCATTTTAGTGGAGTTGTTCAATGACATGAAAGAGATAAATATTTAATGATATATATGATTGCTCCAGATAGAGGAACAGTTTGACGAACAAATTTTTCACATTTTATAATCTTGTTTGTTACTCCGTGTCACGCAAATTCGAGGTCAGGCCTTCGACTCTAAATTTACCTGTTTTGTTGTTCTTGTTAAAAAAAACGGAAAATATTTCACAATTTTCTGACAATTATCGTCAATTGATATGATTTTTATGATTCTCGAGACATGATTATTGTTCATGTCCATTATTAAAGTGTCTACATTTTTAATATTCTATAATGCCATGTGATAATTACGAAATTATGGTAACACAACAATATTATCGCTGAAAAGGAAATTGCTTAAACAGCAGCAGATGTTGTAGACATATTTCATGTTTCTTAAATGTCTTTATTTATCTTTATCTTAAAACCTCTCAATTGTTTGCGGGATGTTCATTCTGATAAATGGCGCGAAGTTTCTGTATTTACATCACGCTTGAATTCATATACCAGAATCAGGGAACATACCACAAGAGACAAAACTCTCATATCTGTCGACACCTTAATCTCACTCATGTAAAACCAACTATTCACCATCTTGCAAAATCATCGACACACACAAAATCAAAGAAGCAACATTAATAAACTAACCTGACCTGTTCAAGTTTTAAATTCAATACAATATTTAGTTTATAATACGCTCGAACGCTCTCCATTAATTTATCTTATTTCCTTTTTATTGTTGTAATTTCTGTATCATATTACTTGTATGTTCCCTTGTATCATTATCTCACTCATATTGAAGATGGCATCATTAGATGACGAAACATGTCTATTTTAAAAAAAGTCGTCGTGTATATTAAATAGCAATAGTGCTTTTACGAAATTATGGTAACACAACAATATTATCGCTGAAAAGGAAATTGCTTTAATAAACAGCAGCAGATGTTGTTGATATATTTCATGTTTCTTAAATGTCTTTATTTATCTTTAACTCTTAAAAACCTCTTTCAAAGAGCATTTTTCGTTTTGAAATTACTTCCTTTTAGCAAGACCACATTGTGTGCTATACTTTATAAATATGTTCAATTACTGTGTTGGATGTCAATTTAGAGGCGTAATGTGTCTGAGTTAAGGTTAAAAAAGTTGCTAATAGGGTTGATTACATGGAAAAGTCAAGTGAAACACAACCTCACAGTGAAATTCTTCGTTTACTTATCAAGGAAAATCTGCGATGTGTGATTTGCATGGAAATTCTTAAAGATCCTGTGCAGTGTGTTGAAAATGAACATCACTTCTGTCGTGAATGTATTCATGAACATTTGACGTTTTTCAATACTTGTCCAACTTGTAAAGATGAACTGTCAGTTGAAATGTTACGAAAACCTCAACGCTTTCTTGTAGATGTCGTCGATAATCTAACGATAATTCCCGATCTAGAAACGATGGTTGACAGTTGTGATGATAACGAAACAAAAGATAATCATGAAAGACGCGAATTGCTTATTTTTAAAGCAGAAATGTTTAAAATTCGCCTTAAACAGCAAGAAATTTTGTTAATGATGAGAGGCATGTCGTTGGATGGCAAAAAGATGTTGAATAAACGTTACACGCCAACTTTATCAACAAATGCTCAGATTATTGTAACTGGTGGTGGTTTGAAATCTTCTATGATTTTTGATGTCGCACATCGAACATGGCAACGCAAAGCTAACATGAGTCGAAATCGTCAAAGCGCGTGCTCTGTCCTATACCAAGGTCACATGATTGTCGTTGGTGGAAGAAACGGGAACTGCGGTGTTCGAGATTCTCCTACTGATACTATGGAAGTATTAGATCTTGAACAGGAGAATGCAAAGTGGGTGAATTCTCAAATCCGTTTGCCTAAACCGTGCAGTGGCCACGCATGTGTTGTTCATGAAGATTGTCTTTTGGTCACTGGTGGTCAGTTAGGAAGAATGCTCCATAAGATAAGCGATAGTGTTTATGAAATGATGCTGACGTCACCCTTTACCATAAGGTTGCATTCGCGTTTACCTAACCCCCTGTATCATCATGGAGCTGTTGTGATCAATGGTAAAGTTTATATTTTCGGTGGTCAACGGAGCTCATCCCACAATGATATAACGAGTGACGTTCACGTGTTTGACCAGGCAACAAACACGTGGACAAGAATGCAACCTCTATCGTATGCGGTCACTCAAATGGGCTTCACGGTTTGGAATGATAATATCATAATTCTTGGAGGAAAAGGAGGACACGATGGTGCTATACTTGATAAAGCTTTGATGTACAACATTACCACTGGTTGTAGCTCACTGCTTCCCAACATGATGAAGAAGCGATGTGGTTGCACAGCAGTTACAGTTGGTGATAACGTGTTTGCAGTTGGCGGTTTGGGAGATGGAACTGGGCTGGATTATCTCAAATCAGTAGAATATTTCAGCTTCACATGTAATGTTTGGACTGAAGTGCCTTCAATGAATGAAGGGCGATATCTGGCCACGGCTGTCGTAATATGATTGGATATATTGTTGTTTCGATCTATATAACTGAACAAATCATTGAATTACGTTGGCATTCACATATTAAATATAACATTTAACGTCATGAGTTTTATTTACTTGCATATCTAAGAATCTTTGATGTAAGATTTTTTAATGTTTACCATTTAATGTCTACTCTCAACATCAGCGCGTTACAATTTGAGCTGTGAATCTTCTTTGCAAGATTTTTAGATTTTTTTAACTGCATATATCATTGCATAGAGTATTCAATGTATTGTTGTACTTAACTATCGGCATGTTACATTAAAATATATGAGAGAGTTTTTGTATTGTCAGTGATTTGGTATTTGTTCGATTTGTCTCAAGTACAGTTTTTTGTTGAAGTGAAATTTGTTACAGCCTAATTTCAGCATTGTAGTTAGATCTAATATGTATTTTATCAACAAACGTCTCTCATTTCTTTTTTATTCTGTGTTTTGAAAGATTAAATCCCTTTTCTCCTTTATATGATGATAAAAGACGAAAACAGACATGATCGTGATAGTGAAAAACTGAAAACTTTTGATATTTATCGTAATTGTCGCGATAGCTGATGGCATTTCAGTAACTTTATGAAAATTGTTCATTTAGATCTTTCTCGCTATTATAACATGATTCAAGATTTCCACAAGAAGACAACAGAAAACAGTGAAGTATTGTTTGATCATGGTTTTGTTGAGCACGAGAATGGTGTAATAAATGACAAAACGTTACATTCCCTTCAACATGATGTTGTACCTCGTTCAAAACATGTCATACTTTATGAAGTAGTGCGTAAAACATTTAAACAACTAGTGAGTGCATGTATTTTGGAGAAATATGGCTTTATGACAGAATTTACCGATGTTTACCAAAATATTCGAACTTCTTTGTAATGAAGCGTATTTTATATGAATGTATGAAAATGTTGAATTGAACAAACATTTTAAACTTTAGTTATTCTGGAAATGATCTCAAGGTTTTTGTCGTTACAAAAACCACGGTAGTAACAAAAATTCCTGTCTTGCTATTTAATAGACACCCAAATAGTGAAATTTTCATATCACCAATATAGTGAAATTTTAAATTTTGGAGTGGCAACACTGACTGGCAACGTTGGGCAAATGTGTGAATGTAAATTTGCTGTAAATTCGAAGCCAATTTTGTATGTAAGAAAACTTGTGTATTTCTGTTTTAAAAATGTCATATCCTCCTTCAGAAGGACAGTTTAGTTATCAAAGAGCTTATCCTCCGTCTGATGAACAAAATCTTTATCCACCAGCGCCTATTGGTTTTCAAAATTTTATACCACTAACTCCAAGCAATCAACAAAGCTACGAACAGACACCTTACTATCCTCCGACATCGTCTGTTTCCTATCCTGGCACGCCTGAGCCGGGATATGATAGACCACAACCGAAGGAAGACACCTCGAACCCAGAAATTGGTTTTAAAGAAGCAATTTATCCAGCAGATCCCAAAATTGAAGCGAACGTTGATGTGAACGAGCCTGTGAATGAGGGAGATCAACAACTGTCAGATGATGCAGCTTCTCGAATTAAAGTTAGTATTTTGTGATTTTAAATTTGCAGCTTATATTGCATTTTGTGCAAAGTTATGATGATGATTGAACTATCCAAGTGATTAAAATTACTGTTCGCCAGGCTTTGTTACGAATTTTGTGTACACATCGTAATATTGAAATATTTTAATGTTCTTAAATTTTTATTTTAAACTTTTTATTTATTTTTTATCAAGTAACGTGCATAATTGATTCATGTTGTATAGTTGTACTCTTGTTGCATTTTCATCAACATCTCGCAAGAATGCCTTGAATAGTTTTGTTGTATTTGTTCATTCACTCGCTCAATAAAATGTTAAATTTTGCATATTGGCCAACAGTAAGACGTCTACTAACAACACAGACGAAACATCTAACATTCATTACGTTTTTGCATGACTGAACAAATTATTTTGAGCTCTATTTGTTTACATCTTAAAAAAACTAGCTACATTTTTCAGCGAGGTACGGCGAAACGTACTTTGTGTACTCATATGCGTCATGCCTGTATTACGATATGGCATCTTAGTAATTTCTCATTTTATGAAAGGAATTTTAATATTTTTTACACACGACGCAGAAGTTTTCATCGAAATGATTGTGCGTTTATTTCGATTCTTTTCTCCCTGCAAGTATTTGTAGGAAGGGAAAAACATTGTAATGTTTAGTAATATCTGTCATAATTTTTCTAAACCACTTTTGAAGAAAGAGAAGAAAGCTACAAATGATTATGTTGATGTTTGAAAATTGTGCTATGTTTATGTTTTTTACTTTTACCAACTTGGATAAGAAAAAGCGAAAACTTTTGTTTTAATATGACCATTTATAGAAACTAAGAGCTTAGCCAGTTGGAAGAATGTTATCTTTTTAGACATATCATCATGAGCAATAAATTAAACCATCCTACTCTTTGAGGGTAAAATCTTAACCATTGGACTAAATTTTGAGGAAGGAAAAACACATTTAAACTCATTATTGCAAATAATAGCATAAACCGTAATTGCTGTACAGTTAATATTTTCTAACACAATTGAGATTGTCAAGAAATAAAAATGGTTAAAGTTAATTTTTTGTTGTGATTGCAGTCATCAAAGCAGCTATGTTTTCTTGATGAAAAAAGAAGAATTGATTATGTCCTTGCATATGAAGAACATTCTGATAAATCAACTGAATGGCAGGAAAAAAGAAAAGAGAAACGAAAGCATTTTGAGGCACATCTGAAGAAGCAAGGATTGCAGCTTGAACAAGAAGATTTTGAGGTTTGTCTTTACTTTAACACACACATGTCTTTAACTTTAACAAACACATGTCTTTAACTTTAACAAACACATGTCTTTAACTTTAACAAACATGTTTTTAACTTTAAAACAAATTTGTATACTTTAACACATGTGTCTATTACTTTCAAATATCATTTACTGTCTATGTTACCTGTATACCTATACAATATACAGTCATTCAAATACTTTACACTCCCAGGTGGTCAAAAGCATGATAAAATATGTTCAATGTTGATTGAGTTAAAATAAAACTTTTAATCAGGCATCAATGGACAACAAGACAGTTTACATCAAGATTCACGCTCCTTGGGATGTTTTGGCAAAAGGAGCAGAAGAATTGATGATGAAAATGCCAACATTTGTATGTTATGATTAACCAAACATTACCATTTGTTGTATCAGTGTGCGAATTAGTTCAGAAAAAACGATGTGCAATTTTTTTGACAAAAGGGTTTCTTTACAGGCATAATCAAATCGATATTACGTTAAATTAATATTTTTAAACGTGAACAAATTCATATGACAGTGTTTTTCGTTAAAACCGCTGATTTTTGCACATCGTTTGAAAAAGAGATGTGCAATTGTTTTCATTTTAGCTAAAACAATGTGCAAATTGCACATTGCACACCGTTAATTCGCACACTGGTATAAGGAAAACCATTAAAACATGTTCCTATTGACTTCTTTCATATAAATATAAATATCTGATTTATAGGAAAATGATTATGACGATAAAGGTTGTATTGATAAACTGTTGGGATATTTTCAAATTAATAATCCTTTTGAAATCAGCAAAACTGAGGTGCCTGTTGCGGTAAACTACTTCACATGTGCCTTCAAAAGAGATAAAATAGAAAAGTAAGTTGCTATGAATGTATGTTTATCATGCCACTACACAAAAAATGTACCAATACCCTAATTGGCAGAATCAATCATTTTTCTTTGATCCCAAGCTTGAGAGTTGTTATTGGTGCAAATCATTGTTTTCCAGTTTTAAAGGTCATGAAGACAAAGAAACATTTTTCACCAACAGTCAAAGAAGTTTTATTGTAAGTCAAAGTTATATCCAAGGTTGAATTGTGACATCATTGTATGAATTGTTACTATAATTGCAATGTTTTCATGGCTAGGTTTATCACATTTTAAAATCAACACCTTATGACGAAGAAAACCAAAAAATTGGTAAAGTTGAACGCGAATTATTAATACATGTATACTGTAGACCAAATTCTAGCATAAAATTCATACTTTATCATATGTACATACTTTTAAATTATCAGGTATTGATCGATTGGTTTCTAACCTTTCATACTCTGCTGCTTACCCACTTCACGAGGTATATATTTAAAGTATTCTTAACCAAAGTTGTGAAATGTATTTTATTGGATGGTTAGTTTTTTCTTATGATGTTTAAAGGGGTATCACAAGCCTTCGTCTGATTCAAAACCCACAGAAAGACAGGTTTTTATATTTTATCTTAAAAATAAACTTTTCATGTTTGCCTTCAAACTCTCTAAAATGTAGAAACAATACGAGCCTAATTTAAGTGGTAAAAAATACTGAGATGCAAGTCAACATTATAATTTATATAAATATGTCGCTATACAGGAGTGAAATCATGTTACTGAAATATCGCTGTAACTTCTTTATTCTTGGATTTTATTTTACCTACAAAATGTTGTTATTATGTATGCGAAGAGTTTTAAACCTTAGAAAAATATCGCCTGATCTTTCACGATTTGATCTTTAGGTTATCTTTGCCTTTGACAACTTCTGACACTTAAAACGACGACGACTAAAAATCACTTGAGTAGATAATCTAGCATTTGTTTCAAACAACCTTAACCTGTAAAAACGTCTTTACTTTGAACAATTCTTTGAACAATTCTTTGTTTCAGATCCTATACAATGTTTGGGGAAAGTTTAGAAGATTTTACAAAAGACAGCCTTTTAATTTGATCAGGTATTTTCACTATAAAGAGTTTTGTTCAGAATCACTTTGAGGACGTCGTCAGTATAACTAAAATACATATTATGAAATTTTCCATTCTTCAATTTCAGAAAATACTTTGGAGAAAAAATCGGAATATATTTTGCATGGCTTGGTACGTACATTCTTGTTGCAAATATTAGTGTCAACAACAAAGAACTGAGTAACATGCAACATAGAACTGAGTAACATGCAACATAGAACTGAGTAACATGCAACATAGAACTGAGTAACATGCAACATAGAACTGAGTAACATGCAACATAGAAATGAGTAACATGTAACATAGAACTGAGTAACATGCAACATAGAACTGAGTAGCATGCAACATAGAAATGAGTAACATGTAACATAGAACTGAGTAACATGCAACATAGAACTGAGTAGCATGCGACATAGAACTGAGTAACATGCAACATAGAAATGAGTAACATGCAACATAGAACTGAGTAACATGCAACATAGAACTGAGTAACATGCAACATAGAACTGAGTAACATGCAACATAGAACTGAGTAACATGCAACATAGAACTGAGTTACATGCAACATAGAACTGAGTAACATGCAACATAGAACTGAGTAACATGCAACATATGTAACTGTGCAGTCAGTGGCATACCCAGAGTCCTGTACGTGTGCTCGTATCATGCAATTTTTTCTGTGATAACTCACTGTAAACAAGAAGAAATGCTAATGTTTGTACTGGAATTTACATGACGTCACCAAAACTTACGAAGTGGCTTTGTTACTCTGTGCAACATAGATGTATCCGTTTAACTGTTTTGTAATACCTTGTTTTGTAATCTTTTTAGGTTTTTATACCATTTTCCTGTTTCCTCCTGCCATTATTGGTATTATCAACGTTATATACGGTTTGGCTCGTTTTGGAGATTATACACCATTGTAAGTTTAAAGTTTGAAAATTTATTGCACTAAATATGAAATGATCAATTTTGTTAATATTTAAAGTCTTCAATGGTCCGAATGGAAAAACAGTATTTTGAATGTTCTCATGAAAAATTAAACGTTTTATGCGACTAGTATTTTTGTATTTATCATGAATTAATTTTTCTCCCTTTACTAGGAATATTATTTGTAACGAAACACTCAAGACAGCCTTTGCGATGTGTCCTCGTTGTGATAAAAAGTGTGATTACTTTTATTTATACGAAACCTGTGGATATGCAAGGGTATGCAAGGGTATGCTAGGGTATGCAAGGGTATGCAAGGGTATGCTAGGGTATGCAAGGGTATGCAAGGGTATGCTAGGGTATTGCTTGATAACGTTTGTAATGATCTTCAACTACTTCTTTTATTTCTTTCCATTTATAGGCAGCCTACATTTTTGACAATGAATTCACCGTTTTTTTTTCAATATTTATGTCGTTTTGGTGTGAGTAAAGCTACCACGATATTTTCTTATTATTCTTAGTGGTAAAGCTTATTTTTTATATCGTCGACTTTACATATTAACATATAGCGACAATGTTTCTTGAGTTCTGGAAACGACGACAAATAGAGATTGCGTATAACTGGGATCTTCTTGGTTTTGAAGATGAAGAGGTATGTAAGTGGACTCAGAAGGATAATAATGTATGTACGTAGACTCAGAAGGATAATAATGTATGTAAGTAGACTCAGAAGGATAATAATGTATGTAATTGGAATAAGAAGGATATATTTGTATCTAAATGCGTTGGGAAAATTAATCTCGATGTGTAAAGATTATTTTTGTGCTTTGTGTATTGCCCTAAAGGAAGACAGTATTGGGAAAAGTGTGGAGACAATCCTTTGTTAATTATTTATTTAGGATCCTATTCGACCCGAGTACGAAGTTGTTTGTTTGGAAAAACGAAATAATCCTATTACAGAGGTTATATTTGATATTTTTTTTTATTTCTTACATATATTTTGTATTTGTTTGTCATTAGCGATGTTTCTCACGTTCATCTATGTACCACTATGTAGGCTCAAGAAGCGTATTATCCTACTCGAAATAAAGTTCCTCGCTTTGTTTGTAGTTTAGCATCTGTACTTCTTATGGTAGGCTATAAAAGTACACTCTGTGTCATATATAAATTGGGTGATTAACTACTCCATTGGCAAAAATTTTGTGAAATAGTTTCAAAACATCGTGGCAAAAATTGATGGTTCGTTATTGATTTATATTTCAGATTTGCCTTGTGGTGGCGTGTGTATTTGGTGTAATTGTTTATCGACTTGCTGTATTTGCTGCCCTGACGGCTGCGGCAGATGATAGCATCACAACAATAAGCTTTTCTGTTACAGTAACTGGAGCTCTTCTAAATTTAATCATTATATTACTGCTGAGTTATGTAAGTAAATATTTTAATAATTTATAGTTTTAAATAGGCTTCAAGATAAACAGACTTTAACGTGCATTCAAATGACTGTGGTCGTTTTTGCTTTGATTTAAAATAAATCAACGAACGTTTTTGCACGTATTTTGTCGAAGCTGTATAAAAACGATTTGTATAAAATAAGCATTGAGTCGTTGCAGCGTATTATATTTTACTGCGAAACGTTCTCGTTGGATCTTTTTTTTTCATCTGTACGGCTATCTTCACGATTTAATGGCACTGCCATAATAAATTGGCGACCTTCTTCAATCTCTCACTTTTTTCATTCAACTGTGTTGTCTAGGCTTACGAAAGACTTGCGTACTTTCTCACTGAGTTGGAATTACCACGGACACAGTCAAGTTACGACGATAGTTTTACAATTAAAATGTACATGTTTCAGTTCGTCAACTATTATTCCTCTTTATTTTACATCGCTTTTGGTAAACTAAAGTGAGTAATATGGTTACCTATGTTCTGTTATATATGTAATTTAATTATTTTTTTGTTTTCTTTCTCATGCTCTACCCACGTCTTATGTCGTGTTATTGTTTATGACAAGATGTATCTTCTCTCTTTTTTACAGTCCTGGTCGACCTGGAGATTATAACAGAATCTTCGGCTTTCGTCAGGAAGAGGTTCGTAACTCCCAATGCTTGCGTGGATCAATAGTTATTTCTAGTAAAGTTTACATAACGTTTCTCAACAGTGTAACGCCGCTGGTTGTATGATCGAGTTGACCATCCAGCTTGCAATCATTATGATTGGTAAACAGATCTTCAATACTGCTGTGGAGTTATTCTTACCGTAAGGAAGAATATTTTATAAGAATAGTAATTTTTTTCTAATTATTTGTTCGGCGAAAATTTTGTATCAATGACGTCACATTACTAAAACCTGAACAAAACATTTCATTTAAAAATTATCTTTCTACAATTTTAGTACTATCATATTAATGTGTTCGTGTTAGCATTGGCCACGATATGAGCATGTTTCTTCCACTTGTTATTACTAATATTTCCTATATATTTCACTTCAAAGAAAATTGAAGAATTGGTGGAAAAGGCGTGGAAACATCTTAGACAAGTTTAGGGGTAAAGACGTGGAAGACGACGATAAAGGTCCAATCTCTGAAGTACAATGGAAGGCTGACTATTATTTAACTCCTATACAGCGAAATGCTTTGTTTTACGAATATCTTGAAATGGGTAAGTAATCTGATTTATCATTTGTCGGTAAAAACTTTAGTCGTAATTAACATTGATCAATTGATTTCTGTTCGATCCGGATCATCTTTTTGTCTGATTAAGTTGAAAATAATCCTTTAAGTACATAAAGTTTGTTTTTTATCGATTTAGTCCACATGCCGAAGTAACTACTTATAAATATTAAGTTTGTGTAGTAAGCATTTAAGATTTTATTATAGTCGTTCCAGGAATCTATATTCAGTTATCCAAAAGGTTTGCGTATTTTGTCTTTTATAAATGCTTTATTTTCTCGTTCATTTACTTAGAAATTGCTAAACATATCCAAATACATTGAAATTTTAGCAATAAAAAAAAATGAATGTCATTTTTCAATCTTCAGTTATCCAGTTTGGTTTCATCACAATTTTTGTGACAGCCTTTCCCCTTGGCCCGTTGTTTGCATGGCTAAACAATCTATTTGAAATACGTCTCGATGCCTACAAGTTCATTCGAGACTATAGACGACCGAGAGCAGCCCGAGCCGAAGATATTGGTGAGTTGAAGATTCGTCCAATTTTACATGCAATTGTAAAACCTATCAATTATTTTCATTCATGTGTTTTATTCAGGTATTTGGTATTCAATTCTCAAAGGAGTCGCTATTTTTTCTGTTCTTATAAATGTAAGTTTGTAGTTTACATTATAAGGGAAAATTGTGATTCAGCAACGCTCTTCAAATGTACCATTTTCATGCTGTTTTTATGTTTATGTTAGGGTTTTGTTATTGCATTTGTATCAGAGTTCATCCCTCGGTTATATTTTCAATGGAATTCTAGCAAAGACGGCAGTTTAAGGGGATATCTTGAAACAAGTTTGTCCTGTTTTGATACTCGCGATTATCCTAGTGACGAAAAACCAAAAATGAACCTGACGGATTCGTTTCAAATAAATGGATGTGGTCTTGGTTTACCGAGTTGTAGGTTAGTCATGTAAAAATTATTTATTTACATTTTGACAAAATTAGCGAACAACATCCTTATTTTCTAGATATCGTGGTTACAGAGTTAAACCTTTGTCAATGGATGAAAACCCATATGGAAATTTAACCAATAATTACGAATTTTCCAAAGACTATTGGCAAATACTGTCTGCACAGTTGTTCTTCGTTATCGCCTTTTTCGTAAGTTTACCTGTTTCAGTTCATCCTGCAACTCAACTCCATTTCCCTCCATGCTCCAAATGTACTATCCCCTCCCCTCCTTCCAGTCATGGTTTGGTGAGGTGTTTTTTGTTAATTTTATGATCCACATAATTTTTTGTTTGATTTTTAGATTTTTGTGTTTGGTCTAACGTTCATAGTCGCTTACTGCATTCCGGATCGACCCAAAAGACTTGACAATCAGATAAAACGCGAAGCATACCTTGCGAAAAACATATTGCGCGATAGGACGAATGACGTTGCTTGAATTCATTCGTGTCGTGCATTTTGCAAAAAAAACATAGCATTATTGATATGTTTCAAAGATTTTATACTAAGTACAATACTAACATTCATTAGATATAGTCTTTCGTCACTGAGGAAAATTAATGTTTAAAAGCGTACTTTAGCCAATTAACACGAATAATGCTCTAATACTATTTATATATATGTATGTGTGTGAACAAATTTTATATAATACCATTTAAGGTTTTATCCCTACATATATTTCTTGTGAAATGTCTTATTATTAAACTCAGTACATTGTTGTATGAGATGTATCGTTTGTGTTGACTGATAAGGAATATAAAAAAAATATATCAAACCTTAACCTCAAAAATAAAGATAAATATTTTATAAATTTCCAGCACTTTTTGGTAATTGAATCGACTTAAATCAAGGCTTTTTTATAAAAGAAAATCATATTTATATTTTCTATCAATAAATATTTAAGGTTTAGGTTACAACTGGGTGTAATAGCTTTAACTTTTTAAGTTGAATATCGCTGCAGCAACTACTTTCCCCAAACCCCACCCACCCAAAAACTTGACATTTTTAAGGATGTGGACCCCGCTCATTTTGTCCAAGACTCCCATTAACAACGAGAACACATGAACAACACTGTAAATTTCCAGTCTGGAAAGTATGTCGTCTTTAGACAAGATCTCCGGTTTTGTTTATAGAGTATGTCATGAAATTGCTGTGTTTTTATCTTTATTTTGAACTGCATTATTCCCCCTTACCCAGTGGCAAAAACACCTCATACTTAGCAATTTTTGCTGACAAGGTAGCCTGTGAATCACTCCCTTGGCCAAAGTAACATAGCAACTTCCATTTATTTTTGTGCGACAGTGAAAATCAAATTTTATGGCGCATACATAGTAATGCATACATTCTTAGAATATTTGAAGGAGGGGGTTGTATTTTAAAGAAACGAATTTTTCTATTTGAGTTTGGTGTGCTGAGAAAAGTTGAAGAAAGTTGAAGAAAATTAACTGTACTTTGCCCGCACTACTTTTTAAATCCCATGATTGCCATCATCTTTTGCTCTAGCAAATTGCGCTAGTACATTAAAGGATGTTTGCATCATTTGTAGTTTTGTACTAACTACGAACGTATAAGCATACAAAGTTGATTGAGTATGACGACAAATAATTTTTATCGCAGACCTTTGCCGAAGTCATGTATCGATTTTGCTTGCTCGGAAGGGAAAGTTTTGTTCAAAGAAGCGTTAAGTGAAGGTTTCATGAACTGCTATTTCAATTTAGCCGCTCAGTTTCGCACACAAGACGAACCTGCTTATTGTGGCCTATCAACATTGGTGATGGTTCTGAACGGCTTATCTGTTGATCCGGGTCGTGTATGGAAGGGGCCATGGCGTTGGTATCATGAACACATGTTAGATTGCTGTATTCCACTTGACATTGTAAAAAAAAAGGGAATCACACTAAGTGATTTCCATTGTCTCGCTAAGTGCAATGGTTTGGATGTTGACATAAAACGAGCATTACCTTCTACTGATATTAATGATTTCAGAAGAGCGGTAAAAGACGTGACGCAATCCGAAAACAAGGTTCTTGTTTGCTCTTACTCTAGAAATATTCTTGGTCAAACTGGAGGAGGACATTTTTCGCCGATAGGTGGTTATCATCCAACGAAAGATTTGGTGCTTATATTTGATGTGGCTCGTTTCAAATATCCCCCTCACTGGGTTTCAGTAGATTTGCTTTGGAAAGCTATGCAAAGCTTGGATAAAGAAACTGGTATGTTTGTCAATTTTTGTTATTTTTATGAGAATGTTTATCACATTATATTAGTTGTACTTGGTGATTAACAATTTTAGGGCAACCTCGTGGTTATCTGCTTTTGACTCGTTCGATGCATTCAGGCAACCCTACAATTTTATTGAAAATTGCTGACAACTTCAACCTGAGCAACATCTCAGCAGATGTGAAAAAAGTGTTGCAACATTGGCAAACGTGGTTGATGACAGAATGTAAGGATAAACTGATGGAAAAGAAGACATTTCTATTGGTGCTTATTTCAAAGTTTTCATTTCTGTTCTTAGAGTGTGTTCCAGGTATTGAACAACAAGTTTTGCAGTTTTTTCAAATGAACTTTACTAATTGTCTAGTAATGTGTTGGTTTTCTACTAGGTATTGAAAAGATATTTGCCATTAAAATTGATCATGAATGCTGTGGATGGCTATCTCAAGATCACAAAAACTGGATCAATGATCTGCTTCTTTCCTTACAAAAGCTAAATGTTTTCAAACTAATTTATGAATCACTCAAGTCTTGTGAAAACATTACACTTGAATTGTGGGAAGGTGCAGAGATGCTGAAGATTGCCAACAAATGCATATTACCACACGAAGATGCAAATAATGTGAAAAATCATTCTTTAACAATATGCCATATCTCTGCCATTGTCCTTCTTTCTTGGCCTTATCCTCAAAAAAAGCTAAACGAAACAGAGTACATGGTTACCAATGCAGACTTAGGCATCAAATACATGGAAGAAGAATGTAGAGAAATTCCTGCTGTTTTAGAAAATGAGATTAAACTACTTCATGACCAGCTGTCAACAATATTTCAATATCATAACATTATTGGGTCGACTGATGGTTCTCATGTTAAAAAATAAAATTCTGGATGCTACATAATACATATTAATGAATTATGCTTCCATAATACATAACAATGAACACTGATGAAACTTACAGTAAATTTGAAAACCTTGTTTTATTATGTATGGCAAATGTTATTTCAAGGGATGGAAAATCGTGAATGATTATTGGCAAAACCTCAAATTTCTTTTTGTCTAGGAACCCTGCTGAAGGTCGCTGCAGTTTGCCAATTCAAAATCTTTTTCTATCTTTTTGATACGCATAACTCATTTATTAATTTAATAATGTCTTGTCGTTAGTTACATCTCAAGATTAGAGCGTATTTAATTTATCATTTTATCATTGAGAAATATAAGAACTGGATTTTAATAATGCTGTCGCTAACATTTGAAGTATTTCATGCGTGATAATAATCGTCTTTGATTCAATGGAAAATAACCCGAAAATTGAGGTACGACTTCTTGCTTTAACCAAATGAACTTTGGTTGAAAAAAAATTTGTATCATAAATTTTGTACAATTTTGTATCAATTTGTGATTGCCCTTCTTCACTCAAAGCAGTATATTAACAAGTTGAAGCAACTATCGCTTAATTTCCTAGTTTTCATTTGTTTTATTTGTGCATTGTGAAAATCCATATTTTAGTTTACTGTACAAGATATTGGTTACAGATTGAAAATGCTAAATAATAAACAATTCTGTAACATAACAATATTAAACGAAGATTTCAATGGATGTTTCCATGAGAAAATATTCCATTTATTTCTGACAACAAGTTGTAATAAGTGTTATTGATTTATCACTAAAATGTAACTTTGAATTAAAATGTTGACAAAGAATTTTTGTGTTCATACTTAATCCGTTTAACATGTTTTTTGTTTAGATCATAGTCTGTTAGATAAAATAAAACAGAATGAAATACATTATGGTTTATTGCGTGGTGGAGAAGATATTTGATTTACTGCAAGTTATCTAACGATGGGAGCTTGTGAGTATTTCCTAATATTGTGCATGTGGATGTGTGCAAAAATCTAGTGCCATAAAATATTTCCTCCCAATTTTCGGTTGTTTCATTTTACCAGCTACATCATGTTCTGGAAAAACAAAAGTTGAAAGGTATGTTATTATCTATCAAATCATCATTGTGGAAAACTATTGTACTAAGGTAGCACCTTATCTTATTATAAAGAAACATGTTATGAATATATGAGGTATTTCAACACAACCTGACAAAGTATTTTTTCAGTTTTAACAATGGTAAAATTGGTGAATTGAAGAACACATCTCGTCCTCAAAGTGGTAAAATATCCACATCACCAAAAGATTGGATTTGCAATGAAAAAGATGAACAGGATATCCAAAAGGGCAACAATAACTGCGATGTTCTTAAAGATTCTTCTGTTACACTTCGTTCTACAAGAAGTACAGGAAATATGTATAATGTTAGAAGGTAGTTAATTAGTTAATTTAGTTCATCATTTATCTTTTACTTGTAGCGTTACATGTGTGTGTATTGTTTTGGTATTTGAGCACAACACTTCATAAATATAGATAATTACAGCTCTTACTTAATGGACATCTTTTGTTATCAGTTCATCTGGGGATAAGACAACTTTAAGAAGATCTTGTGGAAGCCAAAATTTACTCACAGTTGACAAAGTCTTCTCAGAAACTGAAAGCATCCAACATGCGTTATTAAGACAAATGAGCGAGCCTGTCCAAACATGTAGATCTTTGCCATCTTCACCTCGCATTGCAAGACGCCCAGCAAAAGAAAGTCACCATGTTGATAAGCATGAAACCGAAGTAAGAAAATACATCTTATCTTATCATTTTTATTTTCAGTCTTTTTAACATCATGCTTATTTCAATTTTTTTTAAAAATTAGAATGGTTATACACTTGTGATATTTTTAAAATTCATATAGTTTGATGCCAAGTTACTTAACAAATTAACATCCCGTCTTGTTCTTCTAGAATGGTCTTTCACTTAATGAATACAAACTTTTAGAAGAAATAGGAAAGGTACATTCCAATAGTGTAGGTCAAATGATTCTATATGTTGTTGTAGAAAAAGTTATTGATGTTTTCCTTTTTACTTTAAGGGATCTTATGGTGTTGTTAGAATGTGTTATTCTGAATCAGATCATCACAACTATGTAAGTATAAATATTTTTATATTTTATTTATTCATTCATCATGTATTATTATATGCTAAATGAAACTACGGACTGTTCTTACATATATGTGAATTAACTATACCTTATAATTTTAATATTACACAATTTCACTGTTTTATGAAGCTACATGACTTCATAACTTGTAACAAATACCTAAGTTTTGAAATACTGTGAAAGTTTTTGGCCATCAAAATTTTCATTGTCTCACTAAAGTAAATGGTATTTTTCATTGTATTGATTAAAACTTTGATGGCTCCTTGTTTTGTAGTTTTTGTTTGAATATAAATTTTGCCATTTCAAATTTTAAGGCGATGAAAATAATGTCCAAGAAACGAATTATAAGAAAAGCTGGTTTAGGTTTGTTGTTTTTACGTATACCATTCCAATGTTCAGCAATTTGGTGTGTGATTGACAACTTGTGGGTTTAATTTTCTAGTGAAACCAAATGATAGAGGAAAGAAGGATGCTTTAGAGAGCCTGAAAAGGGAAATTGCAATATTGAAGAAAGTTGACCATCCCAACATCGTTAAACTTTATGAGGTAAAACTTGAATGATGACGAATGAAATCTAGTCTTCAAAAATAATTTTGAAAACGATATACATAACAATGACAGATCTGTTGGAGTAAATAGAAATTTGTGATTCTCTTTTTCTCGAATGATGATTATTTTCTGCATTACCAGGTTCTTGATGATCCAACAGATGATAATTTATACTTAGGTAAATGATATTTTCACGATCAAGTAACATTCTCATGCTCAAACAATGCAATCATGATTTAAATTTTTCATTGTTTTAGTTTTTGAACTCGTCGAAAAGGGGTTTGTACTGAATTTGATACAGTTTCTACATTTTTTCTATGAATTTACGGGTACTTATGATGAAATGTTACATTGTCGAACAAGTTTGTGATAGTTGTGTATTTTATGTAGCCCTGTCATGGAAATCCCTACCGAAAATCCGTTGACAGAGACTGATGCGCGAAAGTATTTCTGTGATATCCATTCTGGTATTGAATACTGTAAGTTTATACTTGAATCTTTAAAATTTTACGTTTTCATGGGGTTTTTCTCTGTTTGTTCTGTGTTTTTTTGGTTTTGTCTTGAAGATTTTCAAAAAATATTTTAAGCTGTTGAAAAAATAATCTCCAGTGTAGGGGCAACTTTGAACAGCCATGCTATGCTTCCTGTGTACAACGTTTGACAACTTTCCTATGTTGTATGATTGAAAGAAAACAGGGACAAATTTCTCATGCTGGGGAGCTTAGGGCAAGAATCAGTTTCATCTTTAGATATGTTTGTGTAACTTGCTTAACAGTCTTTGTGTAACTGTTACGTTACCCTACCCCCCCCCCCTCCCCCATCTACCTGATGATGGCTATGTAGTGAAACTTACGGTATAGTATCTTAGCAACCTCACTTAAATCTATCGTTTATAATACGTTTTCTCTTCTTAATCTATCGTTTATAATACTTTTTTCTTCTTAATCTATCGTTTATAATACGTTTTTTCTTCTTAATCTATCGTTTATAATACGTTTTCTCTTCTTAATCTATCGTTTATAATACGTTTTCTCTTCTTAATCTATCGTTTATAATACGTTTTCTCTTCTTAATCTATCGTTTATAATACGTTTTTTCTTCTTAATCTATCGTTTATAATACGTTTTTCTTCTTAATCTATCGTTTATAATACGTTTTCTCTTCTTAATCTATCGTTTATAATACGTTTTCTCTTCTTAATCTATCGTTTATAATACGTTTTCTCTTCTTAATCTATCGTTTATAATACGTTTTCTCTTCTTAATCTATCGTTTATAATACGTTTTCTCTTCTTAATCTATCGTTTATAATACGTTTTCTCTTCTTAATCTATCGTTTATAATACGTTTTCTCTTCTTAATCTATCGTTTATAATACGTTTTCTCTTCTTAATCTATCGTTTATAATACGTTTTCTCTTCTTAATCTATCGTTTATAGTACATTTTCATCACATCGTTCATCGCGATATAAAACCTTCAAATCTTCTTTTGGGTGATGATGGCCACGTTAAGGTATGGAAGTACAGCTTCTACACATGCAGAAATTTAATGCGAATTTATTGTATCTACATCTGTAACAATCAAATTTAAAGATTGGCGGCTTAAATTGAAATGTTTGGATTTACTTGTTAAGATTGCCGATTTTGGAGTTGCCGATATCTTTGAGGGAGAGGATGCACTGCTCTCAAAGACTGCTGGCTCGCCCGCGTTCATGGCTCCAGAATCTTTACAAGGTCAGTGAAAGTGAGGGATTTTGTGTGATATTTAGTTTATTGGAATGGTTTGTTTATTGAGTGTGTTAACGTTGTGTAGCCACGAAAGACAAGTACAGTGGAAAAGCCGCAGATGTATGGGCAATGGGTGTCACTTTGTATTGTTTTGTATTTGGAAACGTAAGATTGAATATATTGTCCTTTTGATTGAAACAAGTGTATGCGCGAGTAGATTCTTCCAGGGATGTGTGCAATTGTAAATAAAAACAGGAGTGATTGTTGATTAAATAACTACCGTTTGAAGTAACTAACTGTTCACCTACTAAAAAAGATGATATTTGTATGTTATGTAATGGTGATTCCATTTCGTAGCAATGATGATGTTTAATTCATACTTCAATTCATAGATTCCGTTTAATCATGGGAATCGATTTAGTCTTTATGAGCTTATCAAGTCAAGCAAGTGAGATTTTTTCCAGCTTTTACTGTTGTGAACATAAAGACCGTTTACTTACTACAAAATAAATTTTGAATTTAGGTTGGAATTTCCTGAAGAGTAAGTACTACTGTATTATCATTGTTTAAATATGACGACGATATGCTATATTTCGTTCAATTTTAAGTAAATGTGTAATGAATTTTCAGTCGACCTTTGACTCCTGGCTTGGAGGATTTATTACTTAGAATGTTGGTAAAAGATCCCAATGACCGAATTTCAATGGCGGAAATGAAGGTGTGTCCCAAATAATATCTGTGGAATATAGATTATTTTCTTCCTTTCTTTTAATTAAAGGATGAAAGGCTGAGCAAACGCGTTAACTTACTATTATCTAACTCGTTTTTTAATATTTAAAAACTAAACATGTTTTGTTAGATACATCCTTGGTTGACAAAAGGTGGTACTATACTTTTACCCTCGACCTTCGACAACTGTGCTGTCCTTGAGCCCACGGAAGAGGAAATCAGCAACAGTATTAAGAGCGTACCCAAGATTAAAACATTGGTAATTTACAATAAAATTCCCTTTCAGATGAACTTAATTTTTTGAAGTTCTCGTCTGGCGAAAGGAATGTTTTGATTGTGATTTATTTGATACGTTTTTAGATTCTTGTCAAGCAAATGTTAAAACATGGTCACTTTGCTAACAGGGAAAAACTAAATCGCATTCGTATTACAACAGACTCTACGATGTGACAATTTCTATGAATGAAGTATTCCAACACCTGCTGGTAAGGTGAAGGTAGTATACGATGGTACGACCATTGATCTTAAAGCAAAAATCTTATTGCTTCATTATTAACCAATTGAAAGAAGTTTGGATCATTTGATTTGTATAATCAACTAACCAAGTAAGATATCTTTAATCAGGTAACTAAGTGGCGAGTTTTTACGCCATAAAATTTTACGTGCATACATAATGAAGAATGTATTGCGAGATGTAAAATAGAACCGTCTGGGTACAGTATGGGCAAATTGATGGAATGTTTATTGTTTACGAGATAACAACAGGCCACGTCGAAAGAACTATTCTCACAGATTTAGGGATTACTAATTTGACCACCAGCAATTATCTTCATTTCGAAACAAGTTGTGTGCAGACTTAATGCCAAAAAGATTATCAAAGCAATCAAACGATGGCAAGATTCAAAATTACATCTTTAAATTGTTAGACTATAATTTAATTTCATCAAATGTGCTCCAACGTTATTCAAAATTATTTTTAAGCAACAGCATTCTATTAAAACAAAGTTGAAATGTTCAATCATGGTGGTTTCACCGTTTGACCAAAGTTTTTAGTTTCATCAGGTTATGCAGTAACCAAGGTTTATATCGCAGGAACGGCGCGCGCAGACTGGAAACGAGTATAACATATCGCATGCTATACTCACGGACATAGCATTAGGTCATCATTATCGACACGTTGCAGTGGAGTAAAGAACAAAATGTTTTTTTTCCATTTTCCTTTCCTTTCTTGCTTCGGTGTAATAAGGTTTAGTCGGGTGTGGTCAGGCTCTCGATGATTGGGATCACTTACGAAGCTGAGTTCGAACCTCTCCAAGTTTGTCAAATAAAAACTGGCTGCTACCCCTCTTCTGCACCTCACCTTACACACACGTAAATACATTTAGTGACAACCGGTATTAATATGTGTTATAGTTTAATTGTTAGATTACTCACATCCAGTGACCGCGGCGCGGAGCTTGATCAAGAGGGGGGGGAGGGCAAAATAGCACGTGTGCTTAATGTACATGTGGGACTCTAAATTTTACCCCACAAACTGATGTTCCATGGAAAAAGTTTGGGGGGTCAATGCCCCCTAAATGCGCTATTTCTACGGATCTAATCTTAAGGTCGGACATTTTGACGTAGAAAGTAAATGATTTGGATCATTTCTTTTCTGTCAATCATGAATGACATCTCTACTTTCCTGTTGGTTAGGGGGTGTTTACATGAATCCGGAATGAGTTTCGATCCGGAATGAACTCATTCCACTTTAAAAGAAATCCTATTGCATGTTTACATGAATCCGGAATGAGTCACAACTCGATCCGGATCGAGTTCATTCCTAGTTTCATTCCGGATCGAAATTTACTTTTTATCTCATGTAAACGCGAATTGAGTTTCATTCTGGAATGATATTGTGATTAATGACGAAGCACGCATGTGCCATGGGTATTGTCTTCTGGCAAATTGAAGCTCGTAAGTAAATAAAGAGGCTAAATGGGTTAAAATGAGTGCGAAGAAAAACAACAATTAGTTTCATGTAAACACGGATTGACATCACGTTTCGATCGGGATTGAAAGTCATTCCGGATTCATGTAAACACCCCCTTAGTAAATGCAGTAGATTTGATGGCATTATATTATAATATGAGCATTAGAATTCAGCAGTGTTGCAAGATCAAGGTTCATTAATTTTGTGTTTCGTTATTTATATGTATAAGTTTTGATCTCGTCAATCCATGGTCAATTCTCTAAAACCATGGACAATTTCCGAGGTATGCGGCATACTCCGGTTATTTCCGATCTTAAAAATTATGTACATATAACGTGAACTATGAACTTGTGGCCATTTTTTTAATACAAGTCGCACGAATTCTCCATTTGCAGATGAAATTTCAAAATATTTATGTTCGCTGACGTCCAAAGCTCAAATAATGAGCAAAATGTTGCCCATGTTCACAAACCTTACAAATACAGGTTGTCGTTTCACAACGAAACCTGTTTTAGTTAATTTGACGAAACTATATAATGGCAATACGTCAGAATGTTTTGTCAGAATACGGATGTTTTTATGAATTCACTTGGCTTGGCTTTCACTCGTAATATTTACTAAAAGTTGTCTCTTGCCTGGTCAAATTTTTCTTCGGCTGGTCTAAATATTCTTTGGAAGTGTACGAAAAATGAAAGATTTACTTTCCCATCAGGTATTCTTGTCACTTTAATTTGCCCGTAACAATATTGCCGTATGATTTACGATTTACGACATGATTTTGTTTGAGCGTTATTTGTGCGCTTTTACCCTAATTTCGCAGATGCTCTTGTTTTCAAGTGTTAGCATTAAGTGGGTCGACGAAATGACATTTACCACATTAAATTAACGAAATTGAAACAGTGCTAGAAATTGACAAGAAAATTTCTTAAATATCTGTATATGTTTCGGAAATCGACTAACTGTGAAAGAGGAATAAAGAATAAACTTAAAAACGGTTCTAGTTGTATTAGTTTTGTACAACTTTCCATTTTTCACCTTAAATTTTACCAAACGATTCAGAAAAAGTGTCTCCTCTGATCAATGCGTCATTGTTTGGAGAAATGCAAATGTTACCCTGTAAAAACAGGTTTTTGTTGCATATTATTTCATTTACGTATTGTGTCAGAACAACCAATGACACGACCACACCACGCCTTTAAATTTTGCTTTATGATTATAAATTCCAGTTACAGAATAAACTTCGTCATTCTTGCGTTGAAAATCTTTTATTTTTAAACATGACTGTACAAAATTTTGAATATTATAATGATTTGAACTTTTACAAAATTTTCAACAATTTTTCAGGTTTTTATCCCAGATCCTTCCCAATTACATCGACCAGAAACACTTTATGAGGAGTATAATACATTACATCAACTAAAACCGGTTGCTAAGAGTCTTGAAGATGTTGGAAAAGATGTGGAGACATTTCGTAACTATGATGTGAATGACAGCATGGCTTATGTCAGAGAGACATATCGAAAAATGCACACGGAACAAACTGTTGAAAAAGGAGAGCAAATGGTAACATAAATTCTTTTTATATGTAGTTGTATGAGGTACAACTCAATTTATATTATACTGACCAACAGCGCAAAGAATGGTTATCACTTGATCATGATGAGATGACAATAATGGATGCTATTACACTCTTGGACAATCTTGTTGATGAGAGTGATCCCGATATTGATTTACCAAACTCAGTTCATGCTTTCCAAACTGCTGAGAGAATACGGGAAGCACATCCAGATAAAGGTACTTTGTTTGTGATGTTCCACTTAGTACAACTAACCTTGGTAAGGAAAAAATTTTAATAAACTCATTTCTTTAGATTGGTTTCAGTTAGTTGGCCTGATCCATGATGTGGGAAAAGTTATGGCATTGCATGGTGTTCCACAGCATTTTGTTGTTGGAGATACATATCCTCTTGGCTGCAAGTTTTCAGAGAAAATTGTCTTTTCAGAACAACTTGTGGCAAACCCTGACACAAAAGTACCGAAGTACAGGTTGGCAGGAAAACCTGGCTATTTTCTAAAAGTTAAACAAACTTCTAAGCTTTAGCTTCTATATTTTTTAGTTCTACGTTTGGCATGTATAAACCCAACTGTGGCCTTGATAATGTGCAGATGTCTTGGGGACATGATGGTAAGTCTTGAAAGAAGATTGATGTTTGTCTTTCAGCTCTATAATCATTTCAATCCAGGTGTATTTCGCATCTATGAGCATGCAAACAGCCAACTGCTTCATTGGTATCTAAGAAGATTGGTGAAGCAATAACTGCTTTGCTTTTGAAATCATTAGTGCAGTTTGTAAGTCCTCTGTTATGTCACATGGAACCAATTTTGATTTTCTCATTTCTTTGTATAATTTTATTGACAATGATTTTTGTAATGGTGAACACCATCCTCCTCCCCCATTGTTGACTTATGCTTTCTAGACCAGTAGACCTTATCAAAATGATTTGTATTTTGCCTTTTTGCTCCTTTGTTTGAAATTCATGATTTCTACAATATCCCTATGAATCCCCTAGCTCCTCCTCTTTTCCTTCCCAAAGTATATGATACTTAAAGTTGTTTCTTGAAAGGAAAACGACATCTGAAATTGAATTTGCAGCACAGTTTATAAATGATGTGCTTCCATTGTTATGATTCCAGAGTATATGTATCAAGTATTAATTGGAAATGGATGCAAGATACCAAATGAAGTGAATAAAATCTTTCTTGTTTAACAATAAAATGACATGGTAGCAGGGTATAGTAGAGTTATTCCCCTCTTCATATGTATCTTTGTTGATTTTTGGAGTGACTATAACTGACTATGGAATGAAAAGTGGTATGAGTAATTATATTATAGCATGAGGAGACTGTTATTTATGATAGGTTTTGGGAGTTGTCAGTAGTAACAAAAAACCTGGGTTTGTCATTTTACCTTAAGGTTGACTTTGTTATGTGCAGCTAATTTTTTCTGTTCTTTATTGTTATAGAACTTATATTTAACTATTTGTAGGGTTTATATATGATCAGATATCATTCATTCTATCCATGGCATTGTGAAGGAGAATATGATCATCTCTGTAGCGATAAAGACAGAACCATGCTCCCTTGGATCAAGGAATTTAAGTAAGTTCTAATAGTCAGTACATGGAAAAAATCTCCTCTATGTATGCTAACTTGAATTTATATCTTTTAAATTTTACTTTCAGTCGATTTGATCTTTACTCAAAAGCAGATTCCTTACCTGATGTCAAGAAGATTAGACCATATTATCAATCTCTCATTGACAAGTTTTGTCCTGGAACATTAAAGTGGTGATTTTTACTGTCTATATACATGTACTGATCCCAAACAATTTTTTTGCTCAATTTGTAAATGAAATAATTACTCTCCAATGTATTTAATTGTAATATAACTGAATTTTTGTGGGTCCCTCTTTGCAGAAATAATTGTGCAGTTAAAACTGACAATAAATGTAATGCAAGTCTTGGATACATATATATCATCCTATACATATATATATTTTTTCGTTACGTATAAATAATATAATTCTTCAAATGGTCTGAATCTGGGTTTGTTCTTCATGTTGATTTATTTAAGGATCTTACAGATTGTTTTATATTTACAAAAATTATTTGAATTTGTCTGATGTTTTGGCTTCCTTCACGGAAAGCATTTTCAAAGACATTAAAAACAGTTGAAAAACTATTTTAATTTTCGTCATATGTACAATCTGAAATACATATATATTACATATATATAACAATATGTTACAATAATATATAACAATCTGAAAGATTCTTAAATAAATTAACATAGATATGGTGTTAGTAACATTTGCATTTGTGATTTTTTATGTTTGTTCCTTTGTTATATCAATGTTATATCAACAATGACTTCAGAAGAAAGTAGAAAAGATTTTTATTACATAAAGATGTGCTTACCTCAAAAAGTATTAAATTTCACAACTTGTATTATGCTGACTTTGAATGATTAAGTTTAAATTTAAATGAGTTTGTTTTCCATTCTGCATTATTTGGTTCTATTGGTTCAATCATTGTTTTTTCAACAAATGAGACATTGTCTTCATTGTCCACAATAATCACTGACTTTGTTCTACAAAACAATGAAAAATTTAATGAAACCAGTCTTAATATAGGAACTGTAATAAGAAACATGACTACATGCCTTGTGCCATAAGAGAATTGAGGAAGTTTCACAAATATTGCAGTTAAACCTTGGAGGATAAAATCGGGAGTATCTTCATCTTCGGGGTTGCGAAAAATTTCATCAACCTCATATCTAAATTAAATTAAATTAGAAATGAATAAATTAACGCCTACTTTACGACAGGAAAATATATATCAGTACCTAGTTTCATCAGACAACAAGTTGAAAATTTTATCAACTTTCTCCAGTGGACTGTTGGATTCTGACTGTAAAATCTTAGAGAAACATTGTTTTCCAATGACAACCTTTTTCCAGCAATAATCCAAATATCGGTTGCTCAATGCATATACACCTGGTTGCAAATCTGTCAAAGGTTGCTGCTCTTTATTGCAATAATATGAGAAAGACGTACTGGCGTTTCCTATATCTCCTAAAATTATGTTAAATCCTCCATATTCACTACTGTGATTTTCAACATTTTCCAAGAATTGTCTGGGTGATTGGGTGGATTTCAGAAATTCAGAAACAAGAAAACCACGGCCTTTTTCATTTGGTTTCTTAAACTTCTGATGTTGCCTATAATTTGTGAGCATGCCAATTCTTCCTGACCTGGTCATTCCCAACCATGTTCCTCCTTCCTTTCCAGAGAACATGTCTATACCTAAATACATTCAGAAATACAAAAATTTTGCAGAAAATTATGAGTTGTATGTTATTTTGAATTCATACCTGAAATTATATCAGGATCATCATCCCACCAATTGAGTTCCTTTGTTGGACGAGAAAATATTTCATCTCGATTTGCAGCAAGAATAACTTTGTATTTATCTCTTTGTGGATTATCAGACAACGACAGAAAAACGATACACATTACGTGGAAAGTTAAGTTGTTAAAATTACAGTTTAAAATTAAAATATCATGCTGATGTTGTCAGTTGATGCTGCACTACGCCACAACTGACTTACGCATTGTGATATGTCACTTCAATGTTTTAGAGATCAGTAATAATACATTCTCTTGATTTGTAAGTTCGCAATTTAAAGTACAGAAAGGGAGAAGTGCCATCTAAAAAGTCATTTCATCTTATGCCGAACTGGAACCACTGGAACCTTCCATAGTAATGTTTATATGCAGTACGTGCTATTAGTAAAATACGCCAGAGTCAGTGCCGGTGTTTTGGGCGTCTTGGGTCAATGGGGTCAAAGTTTTGATATCACTCCAGTTGCTATAATGCGGTCATTCAAAATGCTTCGTGAGCCGTCAAAGATGGCCGCGTCAAGTGCTGTGAAAGAATGGGAAGGTATTTGTATTTTCTTTATTTTTTTATTTACTAAAGACTGAAAAAACAGAAGCAAAAAGATCTTTGTTACTTAATGTGTTGACTTATTGCATTTTTCTTTTTAAATTTATTAAGTTTTGCGTAAGAGAGCTCGACAAATTGAAAATGATCTCGACATGAAACTAGTGTCGTTTAGTAAACTTGGTACGAGCTACATCCACCGAGACTCTAGGTAATTTAGGAGTGGTTGGTAGTATTCTGTATCTATTGTCATTAGTTTTTGCACTTTAAACGACTTAAGGGTTTCTAAAATATTAATTCTTTTTTGTAATTATAATTTATAATCCTTCTAGTTCAGACAAATCACCTCTTTTGAATAATTCGTCCAGTGAGCACATGTTCCAAACAATGTCTTTGGAAATTGGAGATTTGCTGTCCAAGGTACATTTTCTTTCACTTAAAATATCTTTGGTAATCTTCTCAGAATCTGAAAAGTACAAATTGTAATATGACGTCATGTTAGGCTCTAAAATTTTTAAACCTTAGAAGACAGGGCAGAAATAATTAAAATTTGGTGAATCAATGTGTGAGTTCTTGGAGAACAGTATTTCACCTTGATAATCTTTCTATTGTTTCTTTTTCAGTTAACTGAGGTGAATGATAAAATGGCTGAAGTGACTTCTAATTTAAGTTTTTCCCAACCCAGTGCCTCACAGGCACATACTGTTCAAAGACATAGAGACATTCTAAAAGATTATTCACAAGAGTTTACAAAGACAAAGGTTTGTTTTTGTTGGATATGTTTGAAAATTCATTTATTTAAAATCTTGGATCTATTTGAAGTAAACTATTATCATTTCTTGGGTTATAGGCAAATATTGAGACATTCATTGAAAGAGAAGAACTGCTTGGGTAAACAGTGTGTGTATTTTTTGTAATGATAAACTGCCAAAGGAATCTTTGAAAAGTCTGATAATTTATATCATGTTTATCTTTGAAGAAGCACCTTCAAATCATCAGGTGGAAGTTATCGCAAGACTGACTTATATCTTAAAGAAAATGAACACATCCACAAGTATGAATGTATTATTACTTATAGTAGTTGTGGTATTAATTATGATTCATCTCTTTTATTATGTTACACATTTTTCTTTAGCTCTGATCGATTGACTGACGAAGCTATTGGGTAAGTCTTTCCTTGCATTGATCCTACAATTAATTTTAGTGATGGTTTGAGAAAGTATGTTTTGGAAGCTTTTTCTCAGTTCCAGATGTTTTTTGTTGACTGAGTCGTATCTTTTACAGAATTGCTATGGCAACAAAAGAAAACATGTCTCGACAACGTGGTGCCTTATATCACATATCAACAAGAATGGGCGGAATTACAAGTATCTTTTGAATGTTTTATTTTTTCTCTTTTTATCAATGATGCTTGTACACCTTATCTATGAAGAAATAGTTTATTGTGAAAGTTGTATTCCTTAAATTTGCCTCCTAGGTCGCTTTCCTGCCTTGAACAATCTGATGCAAAAAATAAACTTACGGAAACGTAGAGATGCAATCATCATAAGTATTGTAATTTCCATATGTCTTATTTTGCTGATTCTTTATGCAACAAGGTAGTGTTAAGTGATACGTGATAACATAAAGCATGATATTGGTAAGGAGTTTTAGTATTGTATACAATATTGACCATAGTTGCTATAGTAACCCTTGCCAACACATGTTTAACTTCTTAAAAAATACTCGAGATTTAGATGTACGACAAAGTATTGAAAGTTAGCATTCATTATCTTTTTGTCTTCATCTCTGAGCTCATCTCTGTACTAATAATATAAATGAAAATTTCTTTTATCTTGTGAAATTTTATGCTTTGTGCAAACGTTTGTTTTATAAAATATTTTAACGCAACTGGAAGCAATGCTTAAGTCAACACAGCAGTATTCTTAAGATTTCTTAAATTTGACTGGTTATAGGTCAGAATTTTGTGTTCTCTGCAACACCATCTAATTCTTTGCTTTTGCCAAGCTTAACCACCTGATCAAATTGCATTCGGAAATTTTCAGGACTGGCCCATGAATTTGGACGATACTGTAAAAAGAAAAGAAAAATCTGTAGTCCATAACTCGTTGGTAAACCTGTATTTATGTCAGCATTTAAAAACCTGTTGCTTTTGCACTTTAGTTTTCTGTCTTAGCTGAAGTTTTCCATGTGCTCTAATTGGAGAAAAATAAGAAAATACCAACAATAAGCATTTACTTACAAATAAAACATATTGAGGAAGGGGAAATTATCACAGAACTCAACACTGCAATCAATGATAAACTAAACAAAAAAGCAATGTGCACTAATGGCTAATTACTTATGTTGATAATTTAAATAATTCTTGTGTAGCTTACTCATTCAAATTTTGTTTTCCTAATTCTCTTAGAAGTTTTTCAGTAAATGGAGGGCACTATAAATACAAAATCAAATATTTAGCGACAAGCAGACACTTTCCAATGAGCAAAGATAGCTTACATGTTGCGCTTGTACATCTTCAAATGAGATATTTTGATTAAACAGGTGATTTTTATAAGCATCTAATGTGCGCAATCTTTGTTTAGGATCTTTTTCTAGCAACTAAAACAAAATTAACATTGAAGAATCCACTTCAATTTGTGCTTGGATTTTTATGTTTGATGTAGTAGTTAGTGTCTTGCATGTGGAATATATTTAATGTTGACCTTAAGCAACACATCCCCTGCTTCTTCAGAGACTTGTTTAAGTAACTCTTGCTTTTCGTTTTGTTCAACTGGTACAGGATAAGGAAACTTAAAAGCAGAGAAATACGTCTGATAATAATGTAATAGTATTGCTACTTGCTTTTAAAAATTGTTCAAACCTTTGATAATAATGTTGCACATAAGATAGCACCAAGGGCATACCAGTCGATTGCATGATCATATTTCTCAGTCATTAACATTTCTGGTGCTATACATCACAAACACCTCAATAAATACACTATCATGCATGTGGGATGGCATAACTCACATTTTGTCTTACCCATGTATTTCAATGTACCAGTTACTGTTGATGTTTTTTCTCCAGTCATTAAGCATTTTGCAAGACCAAAATCAGTGATGACTATATGACCATGCTTATTAATTAAAATATTCTCCATCTAAAAAGATTTTAAGTAAATTTAGTCAGGTATTCCATATACTTAAACATTTTTTAGATGCAATTTATTTTCGCTTACTTTTAAATCTCTATATATGACACCCTTAGAGTGAAAATAATCTAAAATACAAAACAACACATCACATCTTTTGTCAACCAACTTTTAGAAAGACTTTCAAAACAAGGTTTCGGCTATTCCATTTTACCTAGAGCTAGTGCAACTTCTGCTCCAAGGAGACGCACTGTATTTTCATCAAATTTTTTCTTTACAAGCCAAAATGAGTATAAGTCACCAAATCTAACAAATTCTGTAACTACATAGAAAGAGAAAATGTTAACTACTTAAACATTGGTCTCTACAATTCATAATTTTCAAGGAAAACATAAAGAACCAACCAACATAGAGATTATGTTTAGTTTGCCAGGAGCACTTTAACTTAGTGACAAATGGATTTTCACAGAGCTTTTTCTAATGAGAAAAGGATAAAAAATATTAGGTGATATATAATACATAAATGTATATTATGATAAATATAACATGTGTTAACAAATAAACATTAATATTTTATGCATAATAGCATATTAACAATAGCATGATAAAGATGATTTTCCAATAAATACATAGTAATCATAGAATATTTAAATAGATACCTGTATGTTAATTTCCTCTTTACACTGTTGAACACAGTTATCTCGAACAATATCAGATTTGTTAGAAACCTAAAGAACACGATCAAACTCTTTTTTATGAGTAAAAGTACAAAAGAAATTGTGTCATAAATTGAAATCAATTCAGGTTAGTTCACCTTCATTGCAAATATTTCTTGTGTGTCTTTTCTCTTCACCTTGAGTATCTAAGAAGACAGCAAAACAATTTTGATCATCTTTATTGTATTTAAAATATGACAGTTCAAACTTACATGGCCAAAATTTCCCTTTCCAATATTTTCCATAATCTATTTAATAAAAAAATTGTCATGGTAAAAACTTAAATAATTGATAATTAAAACTTACAGATGACTGTTGGTGTTCATTGGGAAGAATAGGTGGAATTTATTATATTTGTTTAATTGAAAGTTTGGGTAATATTTGGGAATGTAATAAAAATGAATAAATATCATCGAATATTTCTGAAACTATTCGCGCGTTAAGCAAAAGTTTGTTTTCTCAACCAAAATCAGCTTACTTCGCCTTCAAAGATTGTCTATTTATAAAGACAACAGTAAACGTCAAACCAAATGTTATTTACAGTTAATAATCTTTTTAAATCGTATTCACAAAACAAATTTGCATAGATGCACATATTAACGAAGTGTACAGTAAAAATTAGAGACGAGAATTGTGAAGAAACAAGACAATTCGCCAGCAATTTCTTAAAAATTATTCGTGTTTATAAATAACGTTCAAGTGTAGTAATTTGCTTCACTTGACGTATTCAACACTCTTGAACTGTTGATCATTGTTTTGGCAAATGAAGAAATAATTTGACAAGTCCAAGATAATTTTATAAGTTTTCTAGGAAGAATTTTGAAAATGTAAATGTTTAAAAATTATATTAGCTAAAAGTTCATAACTTCATATGACAAACAACGACAGTAAGTGATACATGTTTTGATATTATTTATCCAAGAGATTAATCGAGGCGTTTTCACGCTCAATGCGTTTACTAGATGGTATAATTCAGATTTAAAGTGTTTAAATTAACATTTTCCGAAATTATACCTGATATTCGTTAAATTGTACTGCCGATTTATACTCGTACTCCGGTAAAAACAACGAATCACTTTGAGGATGCGGCCATGGTGTTTTGTTAGCCGTGTCATAAGTTGTACTTCTCCTTTTTTCTGGATTGCTTTTTTTCGTGAACGGTCGCGTTCTGAACGAGCGAAATATTCTTGAATCTCTCTCAGATGGGATAACTTCCACTTGAAATCGTACATGTCGAGAACTTTCTTCGTCGTAAAATTGCGCTGTTTCTTGCGCACTGCTTGTTTTGTTTCCCATATTTTGTCAAATTATTGATCTTTCAATGGATGGTATTGTTACATCGGCAACATCAAAATTCGTACGTTTTTACTTTTCTTTGATGGTTTGTTTTCAAAGCAAATAGTCATTTTACTATAAACAGTAAAGCACAATGTTGGTGAAGTCAGCAAGAACCAAGAATGATACAGTTTGATTTTTACTTCATTAAACACACAATACTATTGTGAATACTACAATTATTTTGTTGCACATGCTAAGTACACAACACATCTTGTTCACATATGTTCGCCAAAATGAACTTACCTCAATAAGATCTGATCTCTTCTGCTCTTCAATTATTTGCTACGAATAATTTCGTATCAGATAATACAAAATATTTTAGAAAATTTTAGAGATTCTCCCACGAAATTCCATACGTTATTTTAATATCCATCTGTGATCAATCCTACAGAAGACATATCTCCCTTAAGGATAATGTATGGCTTTGGTCGAATCAAAGTAATTTAATTTGTTCGTCTTCGGAAATTCCCGTAATTTCTGTTTTGATGGTTTTTACTGTTGTGGTTTTTCATGATCAGAATGTCAAAAGTTAATCTCTAATCTCACTGCAATCTATCCATATCCACGAATCTATCACAGTGATCTATCATCGTAGACCACAGTATCCCATGCGGTATATGAGACTCTAAACCTTCTAAACTTGATTGTGGAGATCCGATTGATCCGATGATAACAAAAGTCTAAATATAAATCTGTAATTTTTTGAAAATGGAAACACTTGATCCGGGAATTCATGAAACCCAACATGGACGCTGATTTAGTGGAGTACGGCAGTTCGTCGGACGACGAAAAGAAGCTGATTAAACCGACTGTGGATAAAAAAACGGTCTTTAAAAAGTTGTTATGATTAATTTCACCACCTTTAGCAGTTTGTACTGAAATTAGCTGAGTTATGTTGTCTGAAATTGACTGAGAAATTTTGTCTTCCTTTTTTGACTGTTGTGACTTGTCAATGTCATCAGAGTCATGTTGTGCAGCTTGTCATTTTATTTGTATGAAATTCAAAAATTGTGTGTCGAAAGCGATTGTTTGTGTCTTTGAGAAACGATTTAAATTCAGTTTTAGTATAAATTTTCCACATTCATATTCAAAACATATGAAACTGCTTCAATATGCTGTTTTAACTTTTTAGGAAAGATTGTCAAATAGCCAAACAAATTTTCAAAAGAAATTGCATTCATCATATGAAGAGAATGATCTCTATAATCCTGAGAAACCTTCAAATGACCGAGATGAATCTTGCCACAATGACAATGATTCAAATGATCCTAAATACATGTCTTCTTCCTTACAAACTCTTACTGCCTCTCAGCAACATTTATTGTCATCTGAAATAAAGCAAGGTAGGACTTAACATGGTGTAATGATGTGCTAGTTTAATATATAAAATTAAAAACCTTTTTACCCAACATGGTTTTTGTAGATGAATTTTTAATATGCAAAAAATTGTTTTTATATGGATCATGCAACACAATTTAACAAATTATTTTGGGATAAGTGTTAGTAAACTTTACTTATGAGTAATCAAAAGCTGTTTTCTCAAATTTTATAGAAATAATTTAACTGCCAAGAATACCATAAATGTTTTTAAGATGTCATCATTTCTAGTTGTAAGCCATCTATCAAATTGTTAATTTACTATTTCCAAATTCTATTACAAAACTTTATGATCCTGAAATGGCAGAAAATTTGAATCGGAAGTTGTACATTTTGTAGATGTTTCAATGCTAAATGGAAATTTGTTTTTAAACTGTAGATGTTGATGTAAAGACAAGAAGCAAAAGTTCCTCGCCAATAGTGAGTATTGTGAAAGAAAGTTAGTATGAAATTGTGATGCACGATTAGTACTACAAAGAGCTGTTAACGTTAGAACAGGGTTAACAACTTACTTATCGGAAACTTGTTGCTAGGTTTTAGCAAAATCATTGTTTTGTTTGTCTTTTTAAACATTTTATAATTACTAAACTTTGCACAGCTAAATGTGATCATCTTATGTGTTGACCTGTTACATTACATTGTATATAGACTCATGATTGCATTTCTTTCTTGTACAAAAATACCTTTGACATTCAAATCATTTTAATCCACGACACAAGTTTCATTATTATCAAATACCAAATTTTGTTTGCCATTATTACAAATATAACAGTCAACAAAAGAAAAAATCTCAAAACATGATGAGTTTGGCGTGGAACAAATAACAAAAATAAAGGTAAACAGAACATATTTTTTACAAAGTATGGTTGGTTTTTGAACCAAAATTTTATATGTATTTTAAAATATAAAAGAGTGTGACTTTATTTTTATGAGATTGTTTCAAAGTTTATTTAAGTTTTATAACATTAAAAGCAACTACATATGTAGACTTAGTCTTAGTTCCTTAATGTAGAAAAAAATTCATTTTCTTTGATACTAACTTTTTTTCTCAAGGTTAATCTTTTACCCCGACCTATAGGATGAAGATCTTCATGAACACACTGAGCACAGAAGGTCTTCACAAACTCACATTCGCCGACAATCAAAGAGTCCTGGTAGACATGGAGATAGAAAAAGTATGGATAGGAGTCCACCAAGTGGACGTAGTCCCATAAGGAATTTAAGTCCTGGTCCTAAAGAGAAGATTCCAAGAAAGAAGTATAGAAGTCCTAGAAGAGGAGATAACAGTCCAAGAAAAAATGACAGAAGTCCTAGGAGAGGGAACAAAAGTCCTAGAAGAGGAGACAGAAGCCCTAGGAGAAGAGACAAAAGTCCTAGACAAAGAGACAAAAGTTCTAGACGAGGAGATAGAAGTCCTCTTGGTCGGGATAAAAGTCCAAAGAGAAAAGACAGAAGCCCCAAAAGGCGAGACAGGAGCCCTAGAAACGGAGGGGACAGAACTTCTAGAAGAGAAGGGCGAAACTATAGAGGTCAAGATAGGAGTCCTAGAAGGGATGAAAGAAGTCCTAGAAGGGGGAACAGAAGTCCTAGAAGACGAAGTCCTCAATATAGTAAATCCCCAGATCAAAGGAGGAACGAAAAAAGAATGTACCTTGGAGGACCGTCAAAGCCAATTCCTCCTCGTTAGTATTTTTTGTCGTATTAATAATAAGATTTTTACTAACAAACTAACATAACTTTGTATTTTGTTTTTGTAGAAAAAGAGAAAGAGATAATGTCTTCAGAAGAAGTTATGAAAAAACTTGCTCAACGACAAGAATCATTGAAACACGAGGCTCAAGCTAATGCTGAAACACACAATTTACCCAGTTATTTTAATCCTTCGATTGTCAATCCACAATTATATGCCAAACAACAAGAGAAGAGGAAATTATTATGGAGTGGTAAAAAGAAAGAGGAGGTTTGTACAAAACTTTGGATCATCATAATCTACTTTTACAAGATCCATTTGTCAAATTCGCTCATTTCTTATTTTGAATGCAATTTAGGTCGAAATATAAAAATGGCAAAATTTTTAGATCGTAAATTTAGAAGTTTTAACTTTATTGCTATTTCAACAAATACGATCCTACTTAATGACTTCTATTCTAGTCTGTCTGTTTCAAGTCCAAATTCTCCTACATTAAATGTTGACGTCATAGTTTTTGTCGTTTCCAGACCCCTACTAATAATGCCATGTGGTCTGGAACAAAATTCACCGGTGACCAAGGGGGTGAGATGGGTGCAAAATTCCGTCGACTGATGGGTATCAAAGGTGAAAGTGGTGTTATGGAGGCCAGTGATAAGGGACCAAGTAAAGGAGAGAAAATTCTCACGGATCTTGAAATGGAATTTGAACGATCTCGTGCATTTCAACTTTCACGTGGTGCGGGGGGGAAGAGCGGTATTGGGTTAGGGTACAGCTCTTCAGCTTACCAACCTTAGTTTTACGATAGTAAAAACAATCTTTGAATTGGGTATGTTTGATATCCTGGTGTATAGCAAATATGGATGCTGAAACTATTATCAAGATAACTTGAAACATTTTTATTTATAAGGTAACCTATAACCATATATAATACCGAACATTCCTAAATTTGCGATAGTTTAAGCCAAAAGAGAATATTGGTTTCTTTCTAAAACGTTTTGTCGCAAAATGTTTATGTTAAGAAATCGATTTATCAACGTTCACAACTAAAAAATGATCATAACTAAACACTTTCTTCCTCATGTAAAGTTTGCATTTTAAATTTGACTTACTTTGCATTTGACTTACATTCTCAATCCGCAAATATCATATAAAGTAACGTCACTAACTATAAAACGTACAGTTTCCTAGATAGAATAACAGCTCTTTATGTTTTTGCCAAAATTTGTAACTCATCATTGCCATGAGCAAAACTACATTGATTACTTTCTAAAGGACATCCGTCAGGATGACAACTATGAAACCAACACAACTTGCTTTTCCAATATTTAACTTTATTATGTAGCAGTTTCTTGTTTTGTATTTCCTCTCTCCAATCTTTTAATACAACTGTTCCTCCTTGCACTGTGAATAAAAAAGATAAACATTCATTTATAAGAACTATAGTAATTCACTAAATCCAGTGTAATATTTTGTTAAACGCGAAAAACCTTTGAAAATCTGATGAGAGTTTCTTAAAACAGTTTTTATTCCACCAGCTTCGCATCGCAACTGCTGAAGAAGAGCGTGATCAAATAATTTTGATACTTCACCCAACGCCATGCAGCCTAAACATTAAAAAAAAATAATACAGCACTTTCTTTAACACAAGTTTTTAATAATATATTTCCAACTTTCCTCCTTTATTCCACGTTTTTTTCTTCTCGTGACGATGCACGCCATCATTCAACGAAAGCGTATTACATGCTTCACCTCTTGAGAGTAACTCTGCTGCCACAGTTTTAATTATTTCCTCCAAAATTCCTTTATCCACTTGAGTACAATTTTTACCGTTTCTTCAGTGCGTCTTGGGGTGAAAACTCTGGTGGATGATTGGTTAGCTCGAGTATTATCCTCTTCTTCTCGTCTATGATTGGTTAATGAAATCTCAATTTCATGTGACGAAGATCGTGGTCGACTTCTTTCATCGCTGACAGCTTGAGCTGAAACATGCACAGTATCTTTATCATGTCCACAGTATCTTGAAGTTAAAAGCATTTGTGTAATGTCATCCGTAATTTGTTTTAATTTCTCTGCAGAGTAAGTTCTGCTCTTGCCAATAAGACATACCTGCGTACAAAACATAATCAGGAAATCAATCCCATATTATGTCATCGAAATTCATATTTATTTTTATGACAGTACTTACGCGTTTGGTAGATGGTATTCTTAAAACATCTTCGTTCACCACGAAGCCACATGTTTCGCCAATTTTTATGATGTAATCCAAATAAGAACGATATTGTCTCTTACTGGAGATTGTTCTTTGAAACTATAAATAACGATTTTTTTTACGATAACGTTTCGAAAAACTTTATTTTAGGTTTAAACAAAAAATTTCCTACCTTACAGTAAAAGTCATGAAAACAACACGGTAAAAGAAAATATTTACATTGATAGGAAGACCTAAATAAATAAATTTTGTTCAGCATAAATAATTTCAAAATTTGAGGTATTCACCAATAACTATCACATTTTACCTCGCTGTAATCACTGGTATCCAAGGAGTTAATTCGTCAGAATGGTTTCCAATCAGCCAATCATAGTCAGGATAAGTTAGAGATGACGGATCCAATGTGTCGACCTGGGAATAAAATGACATCACTACACGGTCAATTCTATAATCATCGAATAATATCAAAATAAAATGTACCTCTAAAACAGTTTTACTATCGTAAAATTCCCAAATTTTTCTTGACCGCAGATCAATTCCCTTTCCCTTATGCTGTCAAGAAGATGAATGTATTATAAAACCAACTAGAATAAAGATCTTCCAGTCAACTTAAATACGAGACGTTTTATGTAATATTTTCTTACTCCTTCGTTGTTTAATATGTAAACGAGCAAACCATTCCCACATCCAAGGTCAACAAATTTTTGTGGTTTGCTGCAAGATCCATCTTCTTCGTTCTCCCAAAGAAGCTGTGAAAATAGAATGCATTAACGTTCTGAATCTTTACCGTAAAATACTATGCTTACCAAAAGATAGCTTGCAATTCCTATATCTTCATACACAAACTTATGAGGATCTGTTCGTTCGGGCCACATCTATCAAAGTATAGGAAAACAGTGAGATGTGTTAAAGTGTTTGGTTAACGATCTTTTTTTTCACATTTCCTAATTGCAATATAGAAATATTTCTTTCTCGTCCTACCTTAACAATATGTTTGTACTTCGATTTCAAATGTTCGTATTTTTCATTATATTTTTCAACGGAAACAAGCCTCAATGATTGGCCAAAGGAAGATCCCACGTGATCATTAATCATCCATTTTGAAAGTTTGGGCAAAAGAGTAGATCTCAACCATTCGATAGACGGACAAGTTGTACCATTTCCCATGAAATGCTTCGTGGCCACGGAAAGACGCAATCTACCATACGAACAAATTGTTTGAAACAGATTTTTTTTAAATAGGAAATACAATTTCCTAGATAAACTTAAGAATGCGTTGTTTGAAAGGGAGCTCGTACCTTTGTTTCAGATCAGGATTATCAATAAAGCATATTTTATAAGAGTACTGAATAATACCACGAAGTTTATGGGTAGTTTCTTCCTCTTCAAATGGAACAAATGCTACGGATTGGTTTTGTCCATCTGATTTGTTTAAATGAAAAGAAAACGTTTTTTCTAATTAATGACATCAAATTTCTTCATGTTCAGATATTGAAATTTAGACAAGTTAATTTTTTTTCCTATACCTTCAACAATCACCTCTAACATTTTGTGCTTGTTTGTTTCACGGGGAAAAATTTCTCTTATTATCACCTCCGTAATGGTATTATTATGAAAATTTTTTACTTCACTACTGCAACTTTCTGCTAACCCTATAAGATTGATTTTTGTTATTATCTCGTCTTGAGCGAGTTGGAAGATTTTGACGAAAATTCGGAGGTACTTCCAATTGAAAACGACTGTAAAACAGATGATCCTGTAAGACGACGATTAATAACTTGAGGCCTTTCTACCCATACATTGATAGCATTGAAAAACGCTTCCAGTGTAGATGGTTTCCCCAACATTTCTTCACAAACAAAATCCCACTCCTTCGTGGACGCCATCTTGCATTTTAATATTTGATTTTCGACTGGCTTTCATGGGTGAAGCGTCATGTAAGACAAAATATAGTAAATAAATTGCATGTGGAAAGGTTGGAAGAACTAGAAGTGTCATCGCGAACGAAAGAGCGAAATTTAAAATATTTACAGAAAAAGAAATGAGAAGTTTTGCTTGAAAAAATTTCGTGAAAATGTTATGGTTACTACCTCCCTTAGTTAAGACAATATTTTATTTATTTGGATGTCCAGTTGGTGGCGTTTTCGCAATATTTAGCAGCATATTATATTCGCTGTGCCTATTTTTTGTGATACCATGTTATTTTTTGTACGCGGGTCCTACAGCTGCAATAAAATTTTCTTGCTTCTTTGTGCACATTCTCTTCTGCTTGGAATGTTACCAAGAATTGTTGTATGTAATTTATATTCCATAAAATGTTTCTCTCGTCATATTTTTCTTATTTTCTTCATGTATATTTTAGAAATTGGTCGTACCAATGGTGGAATTGGTTCTTTTTATTGTCTTGTTATTTCTACCTATCAATATCACTCCGCCATTAGCAGTATGGATGTATGAAAAGCTATTGTATATATCTTCTCCGTTTCTGTCTGCATTTGAAGCAATACATGTTGTCTTGCTCATTATGAATACAAGTCAGAAAGTTGTGAATGAGATGGAAGAAAATCCTTTCATCGTCAAGGTACCTTCATATATTAATCTTTCCATGAAAATTATCTTCATAGAAAGGTATCTAACCGAGTGATCCTTGCTATTTTAGTTTTTGTGAAGATTCATGAAATTATTTCTTTCAGTCTTTAATACTTGGTGTTGCTGCATTTTCTACATTACTTGGCTTCATTTTGTCTCATCACATTTGTTCATCCTATCCAAGATACTCAATCATAAAGTAATGATTTTTTTCTTACTTTATACTTTTGTATATTCTACCATTTTCACTGTTGGTGAAAATGAAAGAAATATGTTAACTTATTTGGTCACATGTATTGAAAAAGTTTGACAAAAGTTTATTTCTTTGAATGAATAAGTCAAGATGAAAGAATGGCTAGATGAACATTGTAATTTTACAATTTATAGGATTGTTGAACTTCTTGTCATTGTGAGTGTCATTTTGTTTGTTCTAACACTTTTCAAGGATGAAGGTAAACCATATATGTAATATTTTGGACCACATTATGTGATGCAAAAACTATTTAGAATCAGAAAGTCTTTACATTTTTTATTCATTTGTTCACTATTCTAGGCATAATTAATGAAGTTCCATGTCTTTTTTTTGTTATGATGTGCATTGTTTGGGCATTGGCTAATGAGAGTTCTTTGAGTAAAACAAAAATAAAGCTACATACATTATGGCTCAGGTATGGTCAAAATTTGATTGAATGCTTTTTGCATTTGTAAGATTAATTTTCTTCAATTCATGTTAGTGAAATCCCAAATCAGCCATCCATTCTGAATGCCTTTAGAACAGTTGCTTCAAATGGATTAGGTAGGTTGACTCACTTCGGTTTTCAGCATGGAACCATGCAATGGAAATACCTTTGAATACCAGTGACAGGTATAGCAATGTTGGTATGGAAAGGAGAGTCGGCTTCTCCTGCTCTCCATGAAAAGATCCGAGTTTTAAAGATGTTTGGAAGGAAGGGTGGGTAGCACCCCCAAGGAGAGAATACACTGGCAAAGGTGGGGTGCAAGGGAGGATGGGTACCACCCTCTAAGAAGAGATATTAGCTGTCTCACCAACCATCAACCCCAGCCTAGGAATGTGCATTTTTTCTCAACACTGTATTTTTTTATATATATTTGTAAAATCATTGTACGAATAATTGCAGCACGTCCATTTTATCAAATCAAGAGTCTTTTTTTTCATCTGATCTCACCATCTCTTCTTCTCATGACTGGAGTGAGGATTGTAAGTCTTGGATACATTGTGAGTGAAACAGAAAGGAAGGTGGGTTCTTGCTTAAGATATTTATTCCATGCTAGAATGCTAAATGGCGTTGCTTGAAATTCATTCCAATTTTGAGAAATTCTGAAACAAAAAATTCACAAAAAACTTGCATGTCCTCATCAATGCAGCTATTAATTATAAATTTGGTGTGTATCTCTAAGGAATTTTTTTAATGGCCTGTGTTTCATAGTTGAAACAAAGTCCAGATGACAGTGATTTTGATGATCAAGAATATGATTCTGATTTTGATGACGAAGATGAATATTTAAACACGAATAACGTGTACTTCTCGCGCGTCCTCGTCATTTTCGTACTCACTGAATTCTTCCTCCGTGCCATGTTTACCGTGACGTCAGCAAGTTTTACGTCATCGTATCCTAGCAACGAGACATTCACAGCTCTTCGTGAGCTGGAGGACTGGTGGCGGGAAACTGATATAGCGAAGAGTTTCTTGGATTTTCGAATAATTCGCATCGTACAGTTGTGTTTGCTTGTCGTTGTTTACGTATACAAACTTTTCTTTCGTGATGACGTCATTAACGATGATGGATGGTAAGGAGTGATGTGAGTTGCTGGTAGTTCATTGGCTTGTAGTCTTCTTAATTACATATGTTAAAGTAATAACATGAGACACACGCTACTCGCTGATTAAAGACGGAGAATTTCAATCGGCTTAAAATATTCATTATGGTTACAGACATAAACGTTTTCTTGTTAAACCTTTTAGTATATAGCGCAGAACATGAACATATCTACAAGTCTGTATATAGTTAAATTTTTTGGTCCTTAAACCGTCTTGAGGATTTCTCATTTTTCGATGTTTATAAAAACATCTATACTACATAAGAGTTTTTGTGTTTTAACGTTTTAACTCATCACCATCTGAAACAATTATCAAATTAAGATGTTCAGGAAGCTCTTTTTATCTTTAAAATAAGCATTTGAACATACAAGGCAATAATTAAGCTCGCCGACACATTCCGCAATAGCTCAACACTCAATTGCTCAGTTAAAAAATACTCTTTGTATTGAGTTGAGAGGGGCAGTTGCAGAAATATTTTCTTGTGGATTTTTACTCTTGTAAAAATGCATTTCGCTTGTGAATTGTCGATCTTAAGTATTTGTAAGTATTTGTACATCTAGGCTGGTGTTTTGTGATAATAGATGTTTGTGTATGTTTTCTGGCTATTTGTCATTTGGTATTTTTCATACTTGTAGATGTTATCTTGGACATAAAAGTAATCATCTTTTCTTGATCTTTTATAATCATGAATGTCATATTATCTTTTTATTAATCTTGTCAGCTTTATTCTATCGCAAAAAAATTATCTTAATTATGATAAACTGCAGTTTAGCTACAAGAGTTATGTATCACTTTGGTTAAATATTTATTTGTTGTCCTAAAACAAAGTCGATAAAGCAGATGTAATTCAGTATCCCCAACTACGTCAGGAATAAAGTAGCTTTAAACACCACGCTATCTATGAAATGAGAACAGGAAATAACGCATTAATTTTACTAGCAATGAGCTATTGTTATCATTGTTCTTATTTGCTACATTAATTAATTAAGTAAAATATATACAATAAAACTTATAGAGAATCTCAAGCTCCATGAAATAACGTCATCCTTGCCTCCACTGCTTTCATTCTTTTCGGCTTGTGGTGAGCCCTCGCTACCGTATAACGCGATAAGCGGTATCCACATTCTATGTACGCCAGTATGGAACGTGTGATATTCTCCATTCCAAATGTAGAACCATAGATTTACGTTCAGTTCAAAGTACGGAGTACTTGCAAGTATACGTGTGGCATTCCTAGCTGGGCTGATCATTATATACCCTTCGTTACCCCCGACGTCGATATAAATTTTCTGTCTTGGTCTTGCATCTCTGTGTTGCATTAGAGTCTTTCGTACGAACTCGAAGCCAACGTCATCTGGAAAGATTGCGTTTGCAGGCATCGGCCACCAAAACGACGATGACATGCATGCTGCTGATCTAAAAGTTTGTGGGCGCGTCCATATAGCATGACAAGAAAGAAGGCCACTCAGGGAATAACCCATAATGCCAACATTCTCAGCGCCGTTTAAAGCTCGATATTTTGACCTGCATTTGGGGAGTACTTGCCTTTCAATAAAATCTAAATACAACTCTCCTTGGATTTTAGGAATCTTTCTCCAGTTATAACAACGACGATAATCGTTCGACAACACTTCATATGGACAAATACTTGAGTTACATTTTGTACAACCATTGCAGTTTGGTATTGTACCGTTGTTCTTGCAATGTATTTCTGATCCATTGCTAACTGCAAGAAGCCGAGTGCGATTTTTATAAGAATTTGGAATAGCAACGACCAAAATTTCTCTCATCAAAGCCCTTTTCGTCATAAGTGTTTCCAGTTGTGGTATCAACATTTCGAAACGTTGACCATCGTTTACAACCAAAATTTCGTATTTCTTGTACTTGTTTTCATTGTAACTCGCCGGTAATTTTATCAATATTTCCCGTTCTTGCTTCAGCTCTGGAGAGAAGATTCTGTCTTTATTAATTATTCCCTCTCGGCTAAAAAACCATGGATACACCCAAAATTCTGGAATCTTGTTCGAGCTTCTGGGATTTGTTGAAAGAGGTAAATTTAGCACAAAGTTTGGGCCCAGCATATCTAAGGAATCGTTTAAATACACTCGAAACTGCAATCGTCTTGAAGGGGTTTTTTTATTTCCTGAAATAGCCAAACCTGGTATGGCAAAGTCTACTTTGTACTTCCAAGTATCTTTAAATCTGGTTTTCGTCATTAACTTACCAACATCCCAACTCAAACCTAACCCGTTTCCACGAAGATACATTTTGGACCTGGTGGCAGACGCATTTAGCGTGTAAATGTTTCGCATTGGGTAGCGAATCATTATCATTAATGGTTGAGTAGTAGGTTTAAACGCCAACACGCAATCTTTATCAACACAAAATCCCTGCTCATTTTCTTTCGTCCTGCAAGATTTACCATAACGTGAAACAATACAATCATCCATATCTTCCATTTTGCCATAAATAGTTACTGAGATTGCCATGATCCAATATAACATGCAATAAGAGACAAACATTTTCATATTTCGATAGAATATTCGACAAGGTTTTGTTTTTATCTACAATCTCAAAGCAAGAGTTGCAGTTATGTTATTTAGGTGTTCTTCCTCAAGTTTATTAGTCGTTTTAAGTTGATTTTAATTGTGCAGTCGTCTCGTTTATGTATAGAGGACTATGCTAATTTTCTAGGCGTTGTTGAATAACTTAATGTTGTGTCGCCATTATGAATGCTGATCACAGACCCGAAACAAGAATTTCAATAACATTTATTTCATATATTATTAAATAGATCATTGAATATTCACACGTTCACATAGAACAGCGTGGTTCATATCTTTATTTCATTAGATTTTTTTGTTCATTGTATCGAGTTTGTGCCGGACTTAATCTCGAGAAAAGCAAATATCTTTGGCAGTATTTGTGGCATGTTATATCCATATTGACCAAATTAAGCTTTTATTTTCATTTTTTGAATGCGAATGCATTAGTTAGTTTTTAACGTCCAAAATTGGCAATTAGGAAAAAATTTGTTTACGCCAACCATATGCTGAGCAAACAGCCATCTTTTTCACATTGACTAGTTACCACAAGTGTTGCGTCACAAAGAAGCGTATATAAAAGTTTGTTTTTGATCTTGTGATGAAAACTTTCGTTGTCCTGACCAACTTAGCTATGTAAATCTTTGAAAGAATAAGGTGAGAGACATCGTCGGAAAGCATATTGACTTAAGAACTTATTTACGTAGCATTTGAAGTGGAAGATTGACAGTTAGAAAGTTTATATTGCCCCGAACAATGCCTAGTGATGGTAATGGTGTTATGGAGATTATAGAACTTTTACAATACCATTATGGATGTGTCTTCTGCGAAAGGTAATGGGAAGATTATTTTAGGTAGAACTATCATCGGAGCTGCATTTCATTTTCTGATTCTTGCCGTAAGCAAGTTCTTCCGGTGTGTAGTAATGTACCAAAAAATGATATCGAACAATTTCGGGAAGAAGAAACGTTTCCCCATAGTGTAACGCGTGAGAAGCTTCAACATCTGTGAAAACGAAAGCTCGTATTTCATTCAACAAGATGCCATTGATAAGGGCCTTATTTAACTTTACATATTTCAAAATTTTACTACGCAATCCAGAGAAAATACGCAATCTTAATCCTTCGTCGCACGTAATTGTTTCACTAGGAATTTTTTTCTTGTTAAATGTTGTCTTTTTGTCCGTGTTTGGTAAAATCGAAATAAAATCTTTAATGTCATTATTGTTACCAAGGCAACTATAACATTTTCCGTGACTAACCGCATTTCACATATGAATCTTTCTACCAGTGAACTATCGGAATGTTCTTCTGCAATTATGAATTTAGTATTGTTGCCCTATATGAGAATTATTATTTAAAAGTAAAATTGCAGAAAGAATAGACACTGAATAATAAAATAACAAAAGAACAGCTTTGGTAGGATGATATAATAACATGAGTTCATTTGACCAATTATTTGTAATATCTCACCTGCAGCGTAAACACGTAATCTTGGAATTTGGCATTAACCTCAAAGACCACATGAACAATGGTATAAACGTCTCGCCGGTAAATACCAGCTAAAATTCATCTTATATATTGAAATGTAAGACGCGATTCTTATGTAAGACATTCAAAATTTTTCATTATCAGCCAAACTGAAGTTTGTCATGATTTTGGTTTCCATACTTTTGATTCATGTCCATATCATACTGGTTTTTGTGATGTGGTTTTGTCTCGATTACCAATTGAAAAATTTGCGCTCGTTTTGCGATTGTGATTAGAAGTTTGAGTAATTTGCAATAAAATTGCAACGTTATCGTTTCCCGCCAAAATGAATGACAGTTCTCGGAATAATCTTCGGCTTGAATGTTGATATTCTCATCTGGGTGCAAAATGCGCAGTTGGAAAGTTAACAGGCTATACAAAGGGGCGGGCAAGCGGAAACATTGGTTAATGGCTGAAAATATATACAATATATGAATGCTATATGCACTCGGCACAGGTGGTAAGCTGTGTCAGCCTATCAGAAAGCATGACGCGGGCTAATTCTCAAGGGTACTTTAGTGGAGCGCGTAAAAACCTGCAGAAAACAAAAGCCTTTATACACGTGTCACTTTCGGGGACGTTTAGTCGCTTTGTAGTTTTATAGTAGTTTATGTAGACTAGAATGGAGGGCAACGATCGTTCACCTGCAGTTACGGCCATACAGGATACTAATGGTGATCCAGGGTAAATATTTTCAATTCATACAAATTTATGATATAAATTATCTGAGCATTAAATATAACTGTTCTTTTATGACATACATACATAAGCGAACAATAAGTTTGGATGACCGTTCATGTTAGCTCTCGAAGTGTCCACGGTTTCATCACGAAACTCTTTGCGAATATTTCTAGGAAAATTTTTGTCGGTGGTCTGAGCAAAGTTACTAACGCAGGTTAGTGGGAAATGTTTCAAATGGTGCTTTAGTGTGTAATGTACATTGTTTTATCGTGTTTCTTGTCTTTGTTTACCTTTATTACTGCCATTGAACATGAATGACTTTAACTTGCATCACGAGACTTCACTTTATGTTTGAAGCGAACCATTTTGCTACAACCTGAGTTTGTCTTAAATTGTTTAGATCGTTTAAAAGAGTATTTTAGTAAGTACGGTGAAATTAAGGAATGTTTGGTTATGCGTGATCCTGTCACGAAAAACTCAAGGTAAATTGTGCCAAGGTGTCAACAACAGACTCTGCTACATAGTTGTTTTGCATGCGCGAATTATTTTAAAATTTTCATTAGATGTTTTGGATTTGTCACATTTCAAGACCCCGCATCCGTGGAAGATGTTGTTGGCTCAGGACCTCATAGTTTAGATGATCAGACGGTGTTGTATTAAGTTTGAATTAACTTGTATTTTGTGGCAATTATACCTTTCAAAGTATTGTGTATATTGTTAACGCGTTGCATTATATGATATCTCGTTCGAGAATTTGTTCATTTGACATGTTCCCTTGCGAAATGTTACAAAATGTCAAACATAGTTTTAACCCAGGGCTTCGTTGTTCTACAAACTTTATGTGAAAACCGTTGTATTTTTGTTTGCCAGCGAGTCTCTTCCGTTCATGCAGACAAAGCATCTGAATTGCTTGATTTATTGTCATTTGTCGTCCATCTTTATCGAATTTCTACTTAAATTGTGACATAACACTCGTTATTTTTACAGATTGATCCAAAAGTCGCTATTCCCAAAAGACCTCAACCTAAAGTAAGTTCAAAATGAACTAATATCGTAATCGAGGAAAGTTTTAGAATTTTTCGCCTTTTAAATGTCGCGCTTGGTTGATATTTAGAAAAACAGGTAGTTGACTCGGTAACTATAAAATAATCCATTTTTAAACTCAGATTATGTTCAATTTGCTGCACAAAAGCGAATAAATTTTATTGTACAATAATTTTTTTACTTTTGAGTATCAATTGTTTATAACGTCGGTGTGCCAACCCTAGCTAGACAGACGACCGACCCCTGCTATTTGGTTTCAAAATAATGTGTACTTCGTGAGACAACATAAACGTTTTAAGTAGCGCGGCTTGTGCTATCATTCCTCATTCAATTTCGTTTTGAGTTAGGTGTTTGAAATAGATACAACACGCGTTCAACGACAGCATATTGACCATAATAATTGCTTGAAAATATGCAAAGTGTGTTAAGTTATTCAAAAAACATCGCGTGTAAATTTATTTGAGACTGACAGGCGAAGATCAATCCCACCAATAACCTCTTCGCTTTGTCAAAGGTACGAAAAGCCGCTTAAATGAGGCCAGTGCTCTGGCAATGTTGTTGCATCGACATTATTCTTAGCATTCCTGTTGAAAGAATGATATTTTCACATAAATTTTCTTTTCACGAGAAGATATAATCACTAGTCGCATGTATTGCTTTACATATTTTTCTATTTGGCCAACTTTTACTTTCGTTCCTATATATAGTTTCTTTACTTCTTGACGCTTAAAAGCCTTTTATTGCATGCTGTCGTGCAGAAATTGATGAAATAATTGCATTGGGTGGGCGAATATTTGTGTCCATTGAGCGCCATTAAATTCGTGGACGAAAAATAATTCAATATTATCGACTTCCGTGATGATTTGTTATGCTAATGTTTTCTGCATTAAATAAGCTTTAATTGAACATTTTACCCAATATGTCACGATTATCGCACGTTAATTCACATATTTGGGTAACATTTTCTGTAACGGGAAAAAACGGTACTGTTCAACAAGTGAAATTATATTTTCAGTTACTTTGTCTTTAGTAAAGTCTATTCGTTGTCGAAAACTTTAAATATATGGATTAAATTTAAACCTCTCGGATGCTAACCGCACTTTAAACTCTGATTCTGATTTGTTTATTTCCAAAATTCTGTTAGTTATATGACGAAAGTTCTTTTGAAAATCTAGCCAATGGTTCATATAGCTCCATTTACGTATGATGTTGTTTGGAAATTTGTTCGTTTTTTGGCGTTTTCAAAACTTCATAGGATGAGTAATTTATATTCTTACTAAGCGTATTTCAAACGAAACGGAAGTTTAGAAATAAAATATTTTATCGTCGATCCCAAACGATGTTTCCGATTTCCTCAGAAATATTTCCTGTAGCAGATTGTGTTTTAGGTTGATTATATATTTTGCCGTCAGAGATTCTTCTACAATAACTTGTCTTCACAAAAGAGCAAGACTAGAAACATGATTCTCTTTATTGTTGTTATTTATAATCCCTCGAAACAAAATAATAAAGTTTCCTTTCATCACTAATTTCTACCAAAAACCTCCGCAATTATCTCATACACTTCACCATAGAAACTGCTTGGAGCTTTGTCTTTTTGTTTCACTTGTTGATTGTTGTATTTTTTTATTTTTCCAAGTTTGTGACGAAAACCAAGAAAGTATTTGTTGGTGGGCTCTCTCCAGAAACGACCGAGGACGATCTTCGCTCATATTTTCAAAATAATTATGGAAAGGTTGGAAACAAAGGATATATGGAAGGGGGATATGTAAATAAACAAAAAACATTCTTTACTTTACCCTGACTTACTTCAAATTGATTATATATCCGGAGGGGTGATCCATTTCACACACGTGCTCACTTCGTGACTTTTTCAAACATTCTTTACTTTACCCTGACTTACTTCAAATTGATCATATTTCCGGAGGGGTGACCATTTCCACACACGTGCTCACTTCGTGACTTTCTCATGAAACATTTTAGGTGTCGCAATGTTTGCTTATGTTTGATACGACAACGAAACGTCATCGTGGTTTTGGATTTGTAACGTTTGAAAATGAAGAAATTGTCGATAAAATATGTGAAGAGCGATTTCACAAGATCAATGAGAAGAGGGTGAGTATAAATATAGAGATTTATTTCGGTTACCAAGTTTTTAATTTACTATTTTATTCTGGCGAATCTTTTTTCTACTTTTGGATATTCATTTTTTAAAACAAGGTTTCTATTAAAATTTCATTCAGCACGAAATACTTTACGTTCCTCAAATGTATTTACGTATTAAAAGCAGAAAATAGAAACTATGTTTTAAAGTTATCTGAATGAAGAACAATTTTATGGTCGTTATTGATAGAGACAAGGGGACAAATTTGTCTGACGAAGATGCTAGATAATGCACATGGTAAAGTATTTTTTTCTGTGTGTTTATTGGAAATTTATTCTTTTTCTGTTAACCCTAGGTGGAAACAAAAAAAGCTCAACCAAGAGAGGTAATGAACCCACAAAATAGAGGAAGAGGAAGAGGAATTTTTGGAAGAGGATATGGGTGTAAGTGGATACACCAGTTTCTTTGCAGATTATTTGTTATTTTCAGTTACTTTTTAGTTTTCATTGTTTTAGATTATTCACCATTTCCTGCGTTTGGTTCTTTTCCTGCACCACTTGGCTATCCTTTGCCTGGTTACCAAGCAGCAGCGGCTGCTAATGCAGCATATACGGCTGCACAGCAACAACAACCTACGCCACCTGGAAAACAACCACGAAGTGCAGAACAACGAACGCGGCCGACATTTACTTATACTTATCCATCGTTACCCAGTATGTACATAATAGCACTATTTGTAACCTAAAAACGAGGCTGTAACTTGGTGCACTAAAATTTAGTTATAATTTGTTACTTGATATTCTTCATCATGTACTTTTTTTATTGTAGATTACTATTCCTCTTTTATCAACCCATCTGCTGATCGACGTCCTCATTACTATGCAGAATACGCCAATCTATCGAGTCCAGGCCTTCCAGCTACACCTGCTAGCACGTCAGCACGTTCTGATGGTCAAACAGCTGTCGAATATTCCGACTATACTGGTAAAATTGAACAGGATATTGGCTGTTTGTATTTGAATGATGCAATTAAGTTAACTTAAAAATGATGTACGGCCGAATAAGAGTGGTTTCCTTTGGATGTTATAAGAAAATAAGTTTGAGCTAGTCTCAACAACTTCGTTAACTTTCTGATTATATTTAAAGATGGATATTTTCTTTATTGAAATTGTTTTTATCTTTGAAAAGGTGTTCAAGTCAATGGATACTCACCTCAAAGTTTTGCTGCGCCCCCATCTCCGCTATCTCGATTTGCCCCAACATCAAGTCCTGGACCCATGATACCAGATCTTGCTAACTACATTTCATCTGCCACCGAGAATGCGTTAGGTTACTCTGCTTCAAGTCCCCAAACCACAACATTCGCTCACCCAATGGCGGTAAGTGTTTGAAAACATATTAATTGTCTTTATCAACAAAAACTTTTACGATCATGGAACTTTTAACATAACTCTGAATAATTCCTGTGATAAGATTTCAAGTTCCTCTGTTTCGTTTTACAAATTGAAAATTTAACTTTTCTTACACACAAGATTTCATAGTTCATCCAAAATAGAGGTAATCCAATAATTTCTCATATTTTCATCATTGCAGATTTCTCTGCGGCAATAGATGTTGAAATGAAGTAAAATAGTAAGTCAACGTCACAGATTGCTGAGAGGTGCAACCTTATGGAAATTTATCCAACTACTTTATGTAATTTAATTTTTTTGATGGCAGTTGCATAGGTGTATTTTATGAAATGAAAAGTTACCATAACATATATAGTGGCAAATAACCTTTTATCCAAACTTTGAAAGATTATATGTTTCTTTAACAGACATTACTAAGTGCTTGTACCAGCCAATTACTAGACGTACCATGGGGGAGAGTAAATCCCATTTTAACCTTGAATATAACTTTTCTTTTGTAGAATCGATGTTTCGATGAACTTACCTTCACGGTAAGTGGCAATTTCGAGAATAATGTTGACAAGAAAGATTTAAAAAGCAGATATGAAGCCAATGTGCCAATATTTTGATTTGCAAACAACGTTTAAGTTATTCTTGAAGTTGTCAGTTTCCAGAACAAGAATGCCACGGCCTACCTCACTTGAGAAGGAAAAAGTGGTTTTGTGGCTTTACGTTTATATAAAATATCATCAATTATAGTTTCACATTTTATCTATATTAGCGTAGGTTTTACTATTCAATCTTCATTTAAAGTCCTTACATTTTAAGAGTTTTATTTAATTTTTCTAACATGCGATACCGTCCTTAAAAATTGTCGCTATTTCATTCTTTTGTTAGCGAAAACATATAAACAATAAGGGCACTGCGCATGCCCATGAAAATCGTTCTTTGCGCAGTATGTCGTGAAATGTTTATTAAATTATGGTTGTAGTTTACGACGTAAAATATTTGATGTATTATGTTTATGAGTAAAGATGTACATGATGAAACATTAAAAATAACCTAAATGTATGTTACCTGACTTAATGTAATCGATATTTAAAGGCTGGTTTGAGAAAAACCACAATAGAGTAGACATTTTGACATCTAATGTCATGGATATATTAATAATTTAAACGCTACAGTACTTAGGTCAGGTATAAAGAAATAGGTTGAGGTGAGGGTTTTGTGTCGAATTTGAAAAGAATTACTCATTAGAGCACATTTTAAAGTAGAGAAATTTTTAAGGAAAATTGGCTGTTTCAGCTGTTATAAAATCATATTTATTGTTTCATATGCCGTCTTGTTGATAATGCTACTTGTAGGGCGAGTAATTTCTTTCATCTTCAACGGGTATTATTCGTATTTAAAATAAGTTATACAGCATTATCAGTAATATCTGTTCACTAACTAATGTAAAATAAATTTTATCTCATTTACAATGTAAATCAAATTTTGTCAAAAATTTTGTTTTGCTGCTGTTTCGTTGTCTTCATTTGTACAAAATGTGATTGATTTACCTTATACCAATGACAGTTAAATCTACCCGGGTACTAAAATGATTGTATGTGATCTTCCATGGATATTTTATGGCAGTTTTCAATTCAGATTAACTCACAGTTGTCCCACTCAACGTTAACCTCAAGGCTAAATGAATATGTGGAGTACTGCGTTCAGCTTATTTTGAAGTGACATATAAATAAATAATTTGTCGTTTACGTGTACGCAACTAGACAAAATATGTATTGAAACTCAAACTTTACAATTCATTAATACTACTAAATTCAATTCCACTGTCAGTGACTTCAACATTCAATACTTAAATGGATTATCTGACGGTTAAACGATCAGATTGAATGATGTTCTATGACACCTTAAATTTTATTTACATTGACAACAAGTGACAACTTTTTATGTCATTCATGGCGAATACGAAAATCGAAAGTGATGCATCTTTGGTTGCCTCGAACGCTTGCCTCTTCATTTGTGACATCATTTTCATCAACCAGTCAATTTCACTTCCTCAGTTTACCAACCAATGACGTTCAGTCGTCTGCCACAAACACAAGAGTACTCTTCTGTCTTCCGTTGATATTTCAGAATTACATGTTGCCAATATCTCTTTAGTAAAGTGTTGGAAACAGCTCAGGAAATGATTCCTCCCACCACATATTTTCATTCATACTTGGACCAGCTGCGTAATTTTCTATCACTTTGTCAAGTTCAACAGTCGTCATAAACTCTCCGCCGGCGGATTCCAAGCATTTTGCTCCCTTCCCCACTTCTCCTGAGAGTTTTTCATTGTCTCGTTCTTGTCCGCTGTCTGCAGGCTTGCCGGCGCAAACGACGAGGATGTCATTTGGCTCGGCCTTGATGGAAATGAAGTCTTCTGCGTCGTCGGACTTAATGTCTTCAAGAAAGCCAAGTAGCTCGTCAGACTAAAAATTACATTGAAGATAGTAATATCAAGGTTTAGTTGCTGCAATGAAGCAGTATTTTAATGAAGCACAAAACAAACTCATTCCTGTAATCTGAAACAATTATATGGCTAGAATTGTGACAGTCTGTACTGGCTCACGTGCATGCAGTCAACTGATTTTAGGTTAAAGTTCGCCATCATAAAAACAAATATGTAATATTGAATTTATTTCGTTGATTTCGGGTCATTTGTGAAAATAATTCCTAGAAAGATCCTACAATTGATATGTACACAAACCTTAGGAGATTGAATGTGACAGTAAGTGCGAGTAGAGAAAGAAATGGAATCTGGTAGAGTTTCTTCTGCTGAGAAACGCCGAGTTCTGCATACTCAGGTGATTCAATTTCTTGCTTCACTCCAACTGTGACGGGTTCATCGTCCAAAGGAGAGCGTGGTGGCGATGGAAGGGAAGAAGTTGCTGATTCTTCGCTGCATGTTGGTGAAGAAGGTGGAGTTAGACCCAAACGTGACTTAAGCTCACTATTTTCAACCTCCAGCTTTGAAGTACGTTTTCTTAAAGTCTCGTTTTCCATTGTCAGCTTTTTGTTCTACGCAAAGAAATTGGCTAGAGCATTTAGTTGAAGAGTTCTCATTAAGAGTCATAAGACAAACAACTTTGCCCAAGATCTCATATATTACATTAAATGGATGTATGCAAACCACGTTAAAACAAAACGCCCTACACTGACATTTAATTACTGTACTCTTTTAAATAACTCCGCTGAGGCTAAAGCGCATGCTTAGAAAATAGTGACTTCATAAAAGAATTCGTTGCTATAGGAGGAAAAACAGTAGACAGAGTTATTCAACAACACTCGATAAGCCAGCCCACATATCTTGGTAACCTAGGTAAGCGGAAAAGTTACTTGAAATGTTTGTGTTCGTATCAGTTCGTATGTATTCATTTGAAACGCAGCTGGATCTAACTGAATAGAGCTATTCATGTTACAGGTCCCAATTGTTTTCTTTCAGGTTATAGATAAGCTTAATCTGATCAAAAAAATTTGAAAGGGGTTTCTTGACAGAGAAATCCAAGTAGCCTTCTTCTTAAGTGATGTGTAGATGAATATAAAGAGCTGTCTGATGCAAGACTTTAGTTATATTACATGATGAAATAAAGCTTTGTTTCAAGATGTGAAACTTTGTTGCATAAATTGTTCGGGTTGATTTAAAAAAGATACCTTTTAAAAACCTAGTAAATATCTGGCTTTTCAAAATTTGAAAGGAAATTGAATAAGAATCCGTCACTTGTTTGATGTCTCGTTTCTTATTAACCAGACATTTTATGAAACAGATTATTGTTTTCAATTGCTTGTGTTTTATCGAAAGTTATTAAGTCAAAAATACGAATCTTTTTAACGCAAATACTGAAGAATAACGCTATGAATTTTGGCAAAAATATTGTAGGATAAATATTCCAGTAGCACGATTAAACAAACCTCTTCCTCAAACAGTGCAAGCGATTCTTCCAATTCGGTCATGCGAGCCTTCTTTCGATCCCTAGCCGTTTGAGCTGCAACGCGATTTTTTAATTTTCTACAAATAAAATCACAAAATTCTCAATTCATTTTTGCTGCCTGTTACAGGACTAATTAGAATGCACGTACACAGTACAAATTGTTTCCAAAAGCGATCAATAATAAACTTTTGCGACAATTTAACAAACCTACGAAGCGCACGTTGCTCAGGAGTCAGATTGTCTAATCTTCTTCTTTTTCGAGGACAGCCTGGCTCGCATGGCGGATCTAAAAGAACTGCAGGATTTATCAAAGCCATTGTTGTTGTATAAAAAGGAAGAGTATTTCTCAAATAGCAATCTTCCTGCGTTAAAATATTTCACTATAATGATTACGAAATTGCGACACCGCTGATTATATTTACGATGCAACACACACAAAGAACTCCACAAAAGACTGATACGTCAATGACAACACCATTTTTGGTCATTATAACCATATATAGTTGTATATAGAATTACTGCAGCCAATCAGATCTTGCCACGATTTTCTCAAAGACAGGAACTCTTTGTTAGAAATGTTTTTAAAATACCACCTACTCTTAACTCATAATACTTCCTTTACAGCTCGTTGCTTTCAAACAATTAATTAAGAAATATGTGATAGTTCTTCTATCAAGAAACCTGTTGCCAAAATGTTTTTGCCATTTATTATGATTCGAAATTTATATTGCTCTTTCGAAGAAATTGTAAATTTCCAACAATAATTTCAGTAATTTCACATATATTTATAAACGTGACTTCCGGTTCAACTTATTGTAATTATGAAGGATGCAAGATCCGCTCCTTTGTAAATAAACGATACAATTTATTCGATACAAAAGACCATTGAAAATGCTTTAAAGCGTCTGTTGATATTAAAAATGTAGAAGGAGAGTAGTTCTAAGGTGTTGCATTGAATTAACCTTTATTCACCTCAATTGGAGATGATTTTTGTTCATTTCGACGATATTTTCTAATTTATTTTCATGTCCATAAGTTTTTTAATTGCCTTTATCTTTTAATGGATTTGATAATATTAAATAATATCGTTTACTAAAAATATTTATGACAAATTACCATGAATTACCATCTACGGAGACCTATAAATTGTACATGAGTGTACTACAATGTACGGTTGTTTACTGTAAAAATGGTAGTTGGTCAGCGGTCAACAAACATCAGAGAAAACGACCAATTAACGAGCGTATTTCTTCTCTTATTCCATAATTTCCAATATGATTTGATGCAGAGCCCTCTTGTATTTCGAATAGAAGGCTATGATTTGATGGATTTGATATTTGATTGACTTCCACGAGTTTAAAGATGGACGATGCAATTGTCAAGAATCATTTCCTTTTTTTATTTTAATGATACGTCAAACTACCTAACAATTGGACTTTACGGCTGCTAGACATGCTTACAAATGAAGCAAATTTATAGGAATTTGGAAAAAGATAGTTCAGGGTTTGTACATATTTAAAATGACTTTTCATTATTGACTAATCTAGCTGTTTAAAATTAAGATTTTAATTATATAAAATTTCAACAAATTTTAACAGAGTGATAGGATTGATACCAGATGAAGCTGAGGATATGTGGCATGCATACAATCTTATTGCTGTTGGTGATGAATTACGAGCACCTACTATACGGTAATAAATTTTTTATTTGTGGTTGCAGCTTATATAGCATACCCCAGACTTGAAATTTTGTAAACTGTGCATTCAGGATTCAAAATTTGTGTGTATAAAGCCTAACTAGTTTCTTCAAAATTGTGTACCTAAGATCTATGATGCATAGTACAAAGTTTCCAGTCTAGATTATACCATTTTGAAGAAATTGTTTTCTCCTTGACTACTTGCTAAAGTTGCTGCAATATTGCACAGTATTTTTACAATTGTACTAGTCCTGAAATTTTTCTTTGCTTTTTGCTTCTTTTTGTACATTCTACATTCTTACCAAACATCTGGGCAGAAAATTCCATCTCAATCTGACTGACCAATAACACAACATTAATTATAGTTAAAACTTTTTTAAAGTTATAATTGAAATTTTAGGAGAGTGCAAACTGAATCGTCAACAGGTTCAGTAAGTAGCAACAAGGTTAGGACTACGTTGACAATAAAGGTTGAGGGTGTGGAATATGATACACAGGCATGTGTTCTGAGGATCAAAGGGAGGAATGTGGAAGAGAATCAATATGTTAAGGTGACCGTAGCTTTGTTATTCATCTTACTGTTTATAAGTTGTTAAATTACTGATATGATTTTTTTATAAAAATTTTCACTGAAACATTGTAATTAAAGTTGAATTTGTGTCAGCATTTAATACAGATAAATATATATTTTATCAACTTTAATTTAAAATGATAAAGTCTAACAAAATTTGATAGGTTTTCTTTTACTCTAATTTATTAAAATGATATTTAATATTTAATGTTAAATACAGATGGGTGCTTATCATACCATTGACTTGGAACTTAACAGAAAATTTACATTGTCAAAAGATCACTGGGATTTTGTGGCTCTTGAAAGAATAGGTTGATTTGATTTTATATCATTTTTTATCTTGTTAAAAGATCTTGTGTTGTTTAACTTTTTATGCTTATAGATCTTGCATGTGATCCAACACAACATGCAGATTTGGGAGCTGTTATCATGCATGAAGGTCTGTGTCATGTATGTTTAATCACAGCCAGTATGACTTTAATCCGAGCAAAAATAGACATGAATATTCCAAGAAAACGTAAAGGATACTGTGGTCAGCATGACAAGGTATTATGTACAATGCTTCTAAGCTTTTCATGTGTTTAAAATTGTCCAAATTATGTCACAAATCATCCAAAACATTTTTGTGACTTTATTTCACAATTTTTAGTTTTGATAGTCTTCAATATTCAACTCAATGACAATTCAAGTCATTCAATGATCATTGAAATATTTTTTATGTCATTTTTAATGTTCAGGGTATCATGAAATTCTATGATGCTGTGATTCAAGCTATAGTCAGGCATATAAAGTTTGATAGTACGTGTTTTTTATATCAAAATATTATAATTTATTGATCAATTGACATCTGTTTAACTCATATACCTGGAAATAACACGAGTTGTTAAATTTTAACTTTATATAGTTGTCAAATGTGTTCTCTTGGGAAGTCCAGGATTTGTTAAGGTCAGAATTGCTACTAAACATGAATTTTTGTCTTCCTTGGGTTGGGAAACTATGTAGATTTCTTTACCTCAGTGTTAACAAACCTTCTAATTTTAATCAGGGCCAGTGCTGGGGTGTGAATATTCAAGTGTTGATTAGCTTTAAAAAAAATCATTCAATCACAACTAAATTTATAAATGTACATCCCCAGTTATTGCTCTAGTGCATACCATGATTCAACTGGATAGGTTTTGACAAATTTTTAGTCTTACATTACATGCTATGAAATGTTTCTGCACAGGATCAGTTTTATGAATATATGTTCAATCAAGCAACAAAGAATGATATGAAAGTTCTTTTGGAGAACAAGTCTAAATTTTTATTGGTAAGTGAACAATTTTTGTATTCATTTTGTGTAGGATATTATTGAACATCAAGTTTTTTTCTTAATGAACATTGTTTCAGGTACATTCATCGTCAGGTCATAAACATGTTATTAAAGGTATTTTTTTCAAATATACTGCCTGCGAAGAATATCTTTTTATTGTATTTTCTTAAATCAAAAAAATATTTTAAGTTGAGAGTTATAGGCAATGTGGTGTGGTGTAAGTTTTATTAAATATGTGTGTATGGTATTTTCAAACATTGCATTGAACACATTATAATTTGTAAAGATGACATCTCTTTGAGATGACTGGGGTGCTTAAAGATAAAAATTGATCTTCGACTATGGGGATATTTGAAAATGTTTTTTACTCTTTTGTAGAGATCATCTCTGATGCAGCTGTTAGCAATAAAATTTCTGACACAAAAGCTAGTGGAGAGGTGAAAGCATTGGATAATTTTTATCAAGTTTTGCAAACTGACCAAGATCGTGCATATTATGGGTAAGTTCTAGCATTTGACATATTTGAAAGTTTTGTGGTAAAAATAAGTAACTTCGTGGTAAACATAAGTAACTTCGTGGTAAAAATAAGTAACTTCGTGGTAAATATAAGTAACTTCGTGGTAAAAATAAGTAACTTTGGTAAAAATAAGTAACTTCGTGGTAAATATAAGTAACTTCGTGGTAAATATAATTAACTTCGTGGTAAACATAAGTAACTTCGTGGTAAAAATAAGTAACTTCGTGGTAAAATAAGTAACTTCGTGGTAAAAATAAGTAACTCGTGGTAAATATAAGTAACTTGTGGTAAATATAAGTAACTTTGGTAAAATATAAGTAACTGTGTGAAATATAAGTAACTCTGTGGTAAAAATAAGTAACTCTGTGGTAAAATAAGTAACTCGTGGTAAATATAAGTAACTTCGTGGTAAATATAAGTAACTTGTGGTAAAAATAAGTAACTTCGTGGTAAATATAAGTAACTCGTGGTAAATATAATTAACTTCGTGGTAAAGTAACTCGTGGTAAAATAAGTAACTTCGTGGTAAATATAAGTAACTTCGTGGTAAACATAAGTAACTTTGTGGTAAATATAAGTAACTTCGTGGTAAATATAAGTAACTTCGTGGTAAATATAAGTAACTTGTGGTAAATAAGTAACTGTGGTAAAATAAGTAACTTGTAAATAAAATAAGTAACGTAAAATAAGTAACTCGTGGTAAAATAAGTAACTGTGGTAAATATAAGTAACTCGTGGTAAATATAAGTAACTCTGTGGTAAATATAAGTAACTTGTGGTAAAAATAAGTAACTTGTGGTAAATATAAGTAACTCGTGGTAAATATAATTAACTCGTGGTAAAATAAGTAACTCGTGGTAAAAATAAGTAACTCGTGGTAAATATAAGTAACTTGTGGTAAACATAAGTAACTTGTGGTAAATATAAGTAACTCGTGGTAAAAATAAGTAACTTGTGGTAAATATAAGTAACTCGTGGTAAAAATAAGTAACTTAAATAAAGTAACTTGGTAAAATAAGTAACTTGGTAAATATAAGTAACTTCGTGGTAAACATAAGTAACTTTGTGGTAAATATAAGTAACTTCGTGGTAAAAATAAGTAACTTCGTGGTAAATATAAGTAACTTCGTGGTAAAAATAAGTAACTTCTTGGTAAATATAAGTAACTTCGTGGTAAATATAAGTAACTTCGTGGTAAATATCATCAGTCAACATCAACACCAACAGTCCTTCTCAGGACTCTACTAACCTGGACGATCAACATCTACAAACATGTACTCTATGTTGTGATACGTTAGTACCAGTAATTAAAATTGCTCTTTTCATCTTTGTTGGTTAACCAATTTTAAGTTCATTCTGTTAGTTATTGGGGCTAGAAAATGAACACAACTTCACATAACGTATTTTGGTCACTATTGTCTAATGTCGTTGAATATTATGCTTGAACAGCATACTTTAGCTTGGTCAGCGTCTCTACGAAAATTAATCTTAATAATCACATTTATAACATGAATAAATTATAAATAGATACCATTGTTACCAATATTTTCTTAGAAACTATTGTTACCAATTTTTCTCATAAATATAAACGCTTGTTTCTTAGAAAAGTTTTTGATCATGTTTATGTAGCTAAAAAAAACGTGTTTGTTTATAAATATGCATGATCTTTTACAGAATGAAACATGTGGAGAAAGCAAACGACGTTTTAGCTATTGAAACTTTATTGGTGTCTGATGAATTATTTAGGTATGATGATTAAGTATTTCCACTGAAAGAAAGAAACATTGGATTGATAAACTTTATTTTTAGAGCGACAGATATTGCTGTGCGAAAGAAATATGTTAATCTTGTAGAAAGTGTCAAAGAAAATGGAGGCGAAGTAAAGTAAGATGTGTATTTAAGGCAATTGCATTATATTTTTGAGCAAGGTCTGAAAAAAAAAGATTATTTTAATAAAGAAAAATCGTCATTTTTTATCATTGCCATCATGTTGGTGGTCAAAATCAAAAGAATATTTTGTATACGCTATTGTGAGCATGCGCTGTCATAGGTGAATCATATTGTTTGATTATTTCGTGGAGGTTGGTTACAATCCAATAATTTACTAGACTCTCAACTGCTGTAATAAACTTCAACCTTTTCTAGTTCTTATGTGTTATATCTTGTCGTAACTCAAGAGTTATTAATAAAAGTATTTGATTTTGAGAAAATTTTCAAATTTTTAATGTTAAAAAATCAAAAATAATGGAAGAAAAAGAAAATGGAGTTTTAGCCGTAACATAATTATTTTTATTATAAAAGAAAAAAATTGCTACACCTCCTTTCAAGAGATTTTATGTTTAAAATTTAATCATTCTTATGTGCTTCCTGTGTTGTTTTATTTTCAGGATATTTTCAAGTCTTCACGTGTCTGGCGAACGTAAGTTTTCATAACATTTTTTACTTTTTTAATGTGTATAAATATGTGTGTAAACTCTTTTCATTAAAGAACTTGGACAGCTGTCAGGGGTGGCGGCCATATTGAGATTTCCTGTACCGGATATAGAAGATGACGAAGATGACGAGGATGACGACGACAGTGAGTTGGATTAGAAGCACCGTAAACAAGGTCAGAAGCACTTGAAAATAAATTACTTCACTGCTTGAAACTGTTAAATAATAAATATGTAAAAATTTACATTTTGCTCTCAGCAGCGAAGTAGAATGATCTTCTACATGGTGGCAGGGTGTATAAAAAGAGAAGAGCTTTAGAAATTTGTGCCAATATAACTGAAATTTCAATGTCCACGGGTGCATTATTGTACATACATTAGATTAATTTCTTCTAATTTTTTATACGCCCTGTTACCTGTAATATAGACCAGAAAACGTAATTGTGAGTCTTTACAATTACATCACGTGATATAAAAGTTCTGGTTATACAGGGGGGTAGGGAAATGACAGCGGACTACGCGCATACAGAGCAATTAATTTATGTAAACATTGCCATTAATGGAAGTTGTCCCACTTGTCAAATTAATATGACGAAGAATGACATGTTAGTTATATTAAATACCCTTTCATGAGCATGTTTCAACTTAAAATGTTTAAATAAATACTTTGAAGTATTTTATACAAATTTGTACGAGCTTTTTTAATCGGATTACGTTAATATACACGAATCACGATGAGTTGCATTGTTCAACTTTTCGACACAAATGGACACTTGCTCCCTCAAGAAAATTCAACAATTAAACCTCTTGAAACGGTAACAAAATACCGAGCGAAAGGTCATTCGCGTCGCTCGCCTACGAGAAAACCTTTCGAGGTTCAAGTACATGAATCGAAGTTGCCGCGTTTTGTGCAGGAAGTAACTCCTAACTCACACGAAATTGATATCCGACTCGCAAGTCCTTTACCTGTAAATGGCATTGCTATAGAACGCGAACGATTTCAACTTCAAGTAAATACGATAGATGGTGTTGGGAACTATTTAATTCACAATCAATCTGAAAATATATTGAAGAAAAATAGCATTAAAAGGTAAGAATTCATATACTATCTAAACATGATTTTATGAAATGTTTTTGTTTTTGTGTCTGTGATATTGCAATTAGCAATTCCTATTTAAGAAAAAACTGCGAGTGAAAATATGCGAGCTATTTTTTATTGTATAAATAAAGACAAAAGTAAGGAATGTTATTCAATTTAATTGCCACAAATTCCTTTGATTTTGTTTCAGTGAACCTTATCAATCTCATGAAAAAGGATATATCATGGAAGGAGACGATGTTAACGAAGTAGTTTCGAACTTCGAGGTACTTTTAATTCGTTCCCTTTATTGTTTATTTTACTACATTAGTCTTGCCTAATTCGCTATTGTATATTTTATATAATTATCTTAAAATATAAGTTGACTGCTGTTGTAACTGGGAAGTTAATAGTTGTTTAATGTGCTGCTTCCTCGTTGGTGTTCGCTATAAGGCCAATATTTCATGGATTATTTGTGAGTTTTACATATTTGCATCTTATTTTGTTTGCATTATGTCAAAGTGTTGAGTTTCATAAAGCTTGTTTTTTCATTTTTGTTTTTGTAAACAAAGGTCATATTTCTGACTTCAAATATGCACAGTGAGTGAGCAAATAATAAAGACTAAATATCTTAAAAGAGTAAATTACTTATTGACATGATGAGTAAATGTATTATTTATGATGTATGACGAGCTCGATCTTGCCATTTCTTGTCATTGTAAATGATTGGACTAACATTTCTTCATCAAACGATGATTTGTGATGATAAGCCTTGTTTTTGTCTTTATCTCCAGTCAACACAAGTTTCAACATGGACAAGTGAAGATGTTGCTGGTTGGCTTGACAAAATCAAGTTGAGCCAGTTTAAGGAGAAGTTTCTAAGTATGTTGGACGTTTCTAAACAGTTTTTACAATGTCAAACAAGTTTTAATCATCAATATCTTGTTCTAATATCTTAGGTCAAGGGTTAGATGGAAATGCTTTGCTCAAAGTTGATTATCAGACTTTAGGTGAGAATTAATTTATTTATTTTGTAATTTGTAGACTAATTTCATTGTATTTTCATTTTAAATTTGGAATGATCATGATTTTGAACTTTTGTTAACACTTTTTGATATCAGAGAAATTAAATCTTTCTGAGTCAAGCAAGGAAAGAGAGCATTTCCTAGCAGAACTTTATAACCTGAAAGAAAAAAGTCATTTTGTTGAGGGAGAGGAACAAATGATGAATAAAGATTATAAAAGTAAGACAGTGTTTATGTGATATGTTTTTTACCTGCCTTTCACCTTCATAAAATCTACTATTTTATTATGACCAAAATCTTAATTTATTTATCTCCATGTATTCTATAGATACTCTACCAGAGAGCAACAATGAACCAACACATTTACAAATGAATTTTGCAAATGGTCACACCGAGCTAAAACATGAATCTGTAAATAGCAAAAGTTCATCAACATCTACAGCAAACACATCAAAACAGGTTGGGCAAAAGCAAATTGTTGATTATTCTTCATCGTCGACAAAGGATAATTTTGCTCAACGTAACATCAATTCCAATGGGCAGGTACATAAAGATTAGTTGAAAATATGTATTCATAAATATAGGAAGTTTTGTTTATTTGATTTACTGTAAATACAGTGCTCGATCCTTAAGAGCAGAGCATAAATATTGATAATAAGAAGAAAATATACAAAAACTACAATTTCATCCCGACAAGCCTGTTTCGTGATTTCTCACTCTTCAGGGGATAATAAAAAATGAATACGAAAGCACATGCTTGATTAAATATACAAGAGGAAGTTAGGGTAAAAATTAAGGTAGAATTACATAGGGTAAAAATTATTACGTAATTCTACCTTAATTTTTACCCTAACTTCCTCTTGTATATTTAATCAAGCACATGCTTTTGTATTCATTTTTATTATCCCCTAAAGAGTGAGAAATCACGAAACAGGCTTGTCGAGATGAAACTGTGGTTTTGTGTATTTTCTTATTATTATCAATATTCATAAATATATGTTTTTATTTTTCACTCTAATTATGTCCGCGTAGAACTCCTTGGCAAAAAACAAGACAAAAGTTTCTGTTAAGAAGACCAAGTCAAAAGGGAAAAAGTAATTTTGAGTCTGAATGCATTCATGATGATTATCTACAATAAGACACAAATATAACTTTTCAAACAATTTTTAGGATTTCCCGTATTTTCAATTCCAAGGATAATAAGGATCCTTCGTTACTCATTACTCCTCCTCCAATCTACAAGAATGCCTTTCACAACTTAATGAACACAGGTCCTCAGGGTGTGATAAAAATTTGGACAGAGATGTTTTTAAGTGATATGCAATATGTAAGCCTTTTGGTAAAACATGAGTCTAACGTGGAAGAGGTGATCAAAATGGTTTTAGAAAAGTCAAATAAACAAGAAAGATGGGAGAATTATTGCATTTGTGAGATTAATGAAAAACATGATGGTAAGAATTCTTGAGCAATAAAATTACGTGAAAAGATGAAAACATCTTTTTTTCTTGTGTTTCATGTGTGACATATTTATGTATCACATTCTTAGAATATTTTCTGGATAATAATGAATGTCCATTGCAACGAGAGAGACAATGGCTTGATCCAGATCATTGTCGTTTTGAGCTGAGGTGGAAAAATGAACGTTTGATTGAATGGAAGAATTCCTCAACCTCAATTGCACAAGATATTGTTAATGAACAGGTACCAGAATATAGGATAATCCAATATTTTGTCATAACACAACTTCTGCTTAGATTTCTGACGATTTAAAATCTAAAATACATTTCCTATTGCAGATTGCAGTAGACCTTGCACAGCATAATTCTCTATGACTAATTACCGAAAAACATTTCCTTTCAGTTTGATCATAGGATAGCATCCATTTGTTAAATTTATATGTGTAACGTATTTTTTTCTGAACATATTTTTTTAAGGATCTGTCCCACCAAACTAACGAAAATACTGGCCAACAAGACCTCGCTGTCTCGCCCTTATCCAGTTCCTCAACTTCAGATGGAAGCTCACCCCAGTCTACTGAGGTATTAGAAACTAAGTTTGCTTATGTCGTGGATGTTGAACCCTCCAAAGGAAGTGACGAAAAGAAAGACTTTTCATCAAACATTACAATTGAAGCCCGTAATGATGAAATTGAAAAAACTGCTTTTGTTGACAGTGCTTTAGTGAGACATGTATCATCTTGCCCTGATCTTTCACAGAAAGATTTACTTAAGAACGAAGAATCTCAAAATTATGGTAATCTTTTGGTTTCTAAGAATTTCGGTCTCTTAAATTCCGAAGATAATCTTGCAGAAATTGGTGGGCTATCCACAATGAACACGACAAATCTTGATAGTTCAAATGAAGATCTCGAGGAGAACGCAAATGTTGAAGAATTTAATTACTCACAGCAGCTTCGAAGGTCTTCGAAACGTCTATCCGACCGTTTAAGGCTTCAAAATAAGCCAAGAATTGAAGGAAAAGCTGTCGAGATTAGTGTGAATGAAGAACAGTCAGAAACTGAGAAAGAAAACGTTGATGTTGTGAAAAGTGAATCTTTTAATGTCGAAAGTAGTTTATCAATGAATATCCCTTTGGATCTCCAATCAGAAGTGTGCGTTGATTTGTCGTCAAGCAAAAGTGAGCCTGATGACATTGAGATTAATAAAAATAAGATTGTGGCTGACTCTAGAGTTGAAATGAAGGTAATGTTGGAACAAATAAGCGAACTACAGGATGAAAATATCCAGCTGGCCGAGGAAAACCGGGAGTTAAAGAAACAAAGTCGAACGTTTGAAGGAAAAAGTCGTTTTAAACAGCGTGAACTAGAGGAAATGATCGCTGAAAAAAATGACTTGGCCAATCAGGTTCATGACATGGTCACGGAACTTCACGAGTTGAGAGCGACAGAACTACACAAGGAGATAAGTGAGGCAAATACAAAGCTAAACGATATTGATGGTTGGGTGACGAGAGACGTGTTCGAGGATATTCGAGGGCAGCTTTCACTTAGTGAAGAAAAATGCGACAAGAAAGAGGAGGAAATAAGGGAAATTGAAAAAAAATGTAAAGTTCTAGAAGCGGAAAATAAGAAAATGCTCGATCTGCAAACGGAAGTTGAGAATCTTAATATAAAAATAAAGGAGGATAATGAAGGGTTGAAAGAGGTAAAAAGGGATGTATGGCGTAAAGAAAAGAGAATATCTGAGCTGGAAACAGAAAGTAATAAGTTTGAAAATTCTTTGAAAGAAAAAGATGATGAAAAACAGGAAATGAGAAGCAAAATGGAAGAGAAAGAAAATTGAGAAGCTGAAAATGAATCATGTGATTGAAAAAAAAAATTTTAAAAAAAATATTTCAGATAAAGAGTACGAAATTTTGATTATGAAGGAGGAAAAAAAGGAATTATGTGTAAAGATGAATGGTTTTGAAGGCAATATGGAAGCATTACGTGAAGAAATGAAAAAGAAAGAAAATGAACATAAAGCAATTATTGCTGAAATGGAAAAGCAAAACGCCATTAAAGACGAGGTAAGAATATTACTGTCGTCAGCGAATTTTGTAATTACGCGAAAAATTGTTTTAGGTTCACTTTCAATCATCGCTTCGTTTGAAAAATAGTGTGATTTGCCTAGAACGAGCTGTTCTAATTCCAGTTAATTCTTTAATTGCTTTTGTTATGTTGGAAATAAAGGGTTTTTTAGTTGTTTATTTTTTTTTTTATCTTTACAGAGTCTATCAGTGATGGTGTCTAATCTTCAACAACTCGTTACGGAGAGAGATATGAGAATACAACAGTTAAAGAAACAGATCGCTCCTTCTGTATGCTTCTTTTTTAAAATCACTTGTGTACACTTTATGTTTTGATTACAAGAATCGTCGTTAAAGTTTATTTATTTTCCAGAATGCTCCTGAAAGTGAATTGCTTGCCAAAGAACACGAATATGAGCAAAATAAAGTGTATCTCAAACATCTTATAACTTTAGTTCGAGAAAGAGATCCTTCGATATTAGATGCGCTCAATAAGAAGTTGAGTTCAAGGTATGAACTGTTAAGAAACACTTTCATTTATTGATGGATGAAAAAGTTAAAACGAGTAGAAAACGTTTTGTCGTTGAACAGTTTAGTTCAGTTTTTTTGTTGCTTATAAATAGTTCAAATTTTGCCATATTAAAGTAACTTTTACTTTCGTTGAAATTTTTCTTTAAAATTCGTATGTTTTTGCTAGGGATGCAGAGGACTGGTGCTAGTTTACCTTCATGGTAGTTCTGATTGGCCATCTTTTTCCGTCATATTATCATTTATAGCTTAATCGTCAAGCCATGTGCTGCAACGATAATCTTACACAAAGTACATACACTAATGATTAGTTTTAAAATGCAAAAAAATTTCCTGCTGTCGAAGGGGGAGAATTAATATTTAATCACGACCCGACATTTGCTGTTCATATTACAATCAATACTGATAAAAATATAAAACAAACTCATCCTTGGTTAACCCAATCAAGGTATGTGATTGTTGTCATTAATACTTCATACATACGTATTATTCATATTAAAGTTGATATTGTTTAAACAATACCGTGTTAACGCTATTACTTGCTTAAAATTTATTTAAACTGTTTACGAATCTTCAAAAGTGTTATATCCCGAACGGGAGCGGTTGGCGTTTATTGACGGACTTTGTCGACGACGAAACTTGAAGATCAGAATAATTAAGATTCCTGCAAACAACGTGGCCCCGATAGTTATTCCTACTGTAGCACCAGCACTCAAGCCATGGCTTTTTTTGCTGGAGTCCCCTGTGTATTGATTCTCCTCTTTTTTCATTTCTTCCACTTCGCGCATTAAAACTTCAACGGCACTTTTTTCTGGTATTTCATTTCTTAGTGGCATATTTATGGCCATTCTAAAAGCAATGATAGGAAAATTTAGTTCTCTTTTTATCGATTTTATTTGCATTATAGCAAAGATATTTGTAGAAGTTATATGTCCAGATTATTGAAGTCCTGATTGGCACTTTCAGGTGAAAACCATTCAGTAAAATTAAAGAAGTGCTGATGTCTATTAAGTTCATTGTATTATGTGTGTAAGTTGCGATCTTAGAAACTATTTTCATGAAACACCCTAACTTCAGTACAAAGTTGAGTAGTATGAAATTATAACAAGTAAGGAGTGTATGGGAAAAAATAAATGTGTTTGAAATAAAGAGTTAATAAGTCCACTTACTTAGGTGTGAGTTCAATCCATCTTTCACTTTTTCTTCAAGACGTATGTATACTTTGTTTGTATCATTGTTTTCGATGATCAATGGAATCATGATATTGGTGTTGAATTTCGGTTTGCTGTGGAACGGTGGTCGTTTGATTGTGGGCAAGCCCTTTGCAGTCAGGAAGTTAGCTTTAGTACAGTAATTTATCTCGCAGTCTTCGTCAATGACAACTAAATGTTGTGTGAAACCATGGGGACAACGTTTCGGCATTGAAATTTTTCGTTTGTTGTATCCGATGACGTCGAACCTAGAGAAAATGAAAGTCTTCCAATTATAAACAATTGACATTCAATGGTCGATATCTTTGCTTGCAGTTCTCAAAATAAAACACAACAACTGTAGTTGGCGTGCCAGTCTTCAGATGGCAGCTTTTCTGCAGAAAATTTTTTCATTTTATTGAAACTCCTAGTGAAGCCTTCAATAATATATTATCGTTGTTCTTATCTGTACACAAATAAGCATCCACATACCTTGGTGTTGGGTCCCAGCCAATGGATTTCCAGTCATGCAGCTTATAAAACCACCAAAGGGTATTCTGTATTGAGCTCCGAGCTCGTAATCATCGCTAATGCATACATAGACGTCTTTGGGTCCAAATCTTTGTGGGTAAAACTTTTAGGACATTTCTTGGCGTTTGTAATCACGTTATTAACCGAATCACTGTACATCCCACCGAACATATAACCTACAATGTCACATTTATGTTAAACTGAATAAAAAATTAGGAGCAGTTTTATGGTTAAGTGAAAATAAAATCAACGCAGGGTGACGTCACTTAAACCAATGTAGTATGACGTTGTATATGAGCCCACCTGAGTCCTGATGGACACTACCGTTAGCTGCACACCAGTATGTACTGTATACACCCCCTCCACAATGAGTGTGACACCTTTTAAATATCCACCTTCCGTGGCAAGACCTTTTACATTGCGTAGCCAACGTTCCTTGATGCAAGTGGATTTGTCTGTATTCTTTAGGACAACTACGATAAAAATTGATCTAGATGTACTCAGGGATACATTATTCTATGCAAATTGCATTTCATTCAGATGTATACCTGTATGTCTGGGTTTTGGGATTTTTTTGTCTATAACCAACACATGGGTCGTTGGGAGGTGAGCCTTTAGATTTGCAGGTTTGAAAAACACCCCAAATGTAAAATTGGTTTGTAATGCTTTGCATGAATGATCATCCACGTTCGCTTGAAAATTGAAGTTTGGTGATTCAGCATCCGTACAACCTGTGGGAAATAAAATCAACTTTTGGTTAATTCCTGCAATGATTAGAAATAAATTATGTGTTAAAAGCTTTACCTGTGATAGCATTGTTTTTATAATATAGCTGAAGTGACTTCAAAACAATGGAACTTAACTGGAACGTTGTCTCCTCGGGAAGTTCCGGTAATACATCGGGTGTAATTATAAAATTCAAGGGGTCTCCTTCACGGTCAATGGAAACGAGATTGTTGAGAAGATTATCTTCCCAATATTCGATGGTTAAGTTATTTCTGACGGGAGGGCCACCATAAGTGAATGCTTTAGAATCCATGACATTCTTTGTATAAGATGTACTGACTTTATGCTTATGCAAAATGGATTCACTCGTCCCAAAAAGGCCAAAGAAAGAAGCACTGGTTGATTCTAAAATGAAAATTGATTTTTATGAAAATTACGTCATTTTTTCAATAATACGATTACTTTTAATAAATGCATCATGCGATTTGTTTTTTCTTTATTAGGAATACTTAAAAAAAGTCCTCAAGTTTTAGACCTTTGATCTCTTTTTGTGCTTGATTTAACGTAAGATTTGAGAATATGATCCAGTTTCGCAAGGATTCCACCAGCATCAAGACGAGTGATGTAATGTGTACCATAATCACGTATTAACATATCTGCAAGGAATCTTGCTACAGGCATATTCTTGCTCAACAGATGTGCACCAATATCTAGTAACCTTGCTTTAAATTTTGGATGGAGTTGAGCGTGGGGTTGTAAATGTGCCGCATACACACGATAACGTAACATAACACGTGACGTAATGGATGAATCTTCAACCTAGAGGGATTTGAGATTTTAGGATTTTAAAATGTGTCAACGATTCTTCGTTTTGTACATCTGTCTATATTTTGATTTGTGTAGAATAGAGTAGATGCTTCTGCCCAAATGCAAGTGTTTCTTTATATTTTGTGCAATATTAATCCAAGTCAAACAACAATAAATCAGATTTGCATTTCAAGTAAACTGTTTTTTACGCGAGCACAACACTTTTGAATATCCGAGGTGGAAAAGCTTTTGAAACTGTACTAAACGGTTGGGTACATAGAAAAGCGCATAATAAATATTTGACGTATTCTTTCTTTTTGTTCACAGATGGGAAATCCCCAAGAGTGACCATTTAATACAGAATTGGGCTGTATATTTCATTGCTGAAAATGTTTAAAGGAACCATTTGTGAGTCAAATAATGTTCGTCAATCTCCGGCAATGATTGGAATATTGAGAAAAAGCCTGGGACTAGAAGGAGAATGACACAACACGACTGATATCACATGACTAACATCACATGACTAACATCACATGACTGATATCACATGGCCGACATTGACATTTATTCTTACCTGATGTTTCTTCACATATTTATATTCAAACGAAAATTTTCCACTAATGACGCCATATTCCGTGAGCACATGGCCTTCACGATTAATGGTTGTTGATGTCATTGAGCTGTAATTTGACCAATGGTCGATAAGTTCCGAGAACAATGATGCTACACTTTCCTTTAACGGTGTTACAAACACATCATTAGGAATAAGATATCTACCATCTTCCGTTGTACGACATTGCGAGTAATTGAAGAATGCAACTTCTCCTGAAACGCGGTTTCGCAAATTATCCCATCCTATGCCGGGAAGCGTTTCTAGTCTGGGCGCAAAAAAATCATTGACAAAACAATTTCTGTAGTCTCCGAAAGGAAAGTCTTGCTTTAAGTGAGCATTTTGTTCCTCTGATCTTCCATCCGTTTTTGAAGCTTCGACATAAACCAAGAAAGAGCAAAAATTATGGCGAGGTGTCGTTGTTGTTTCATTGTTGCAATCGTGTTTGATAATAAATCACCCAAGTGTTTTTTGTTCCTTTTTATTATGAAGATCAAGTCACAAGGTCAGATTTTTGCTTTGTGAGCATCCACGTTACATGATCTCAAGGTTAAATAGTTGGAATGTTATTAAACACAAAGAATGATAGCACAACGCTATAACCAACAACTACAAACAATAACGACCTTATCTAACAACATTTCAGAAATTAACCTTCCACTCCTCTTCTTCCACTCCTCTTGTGACCGGTATAGCAGAGTTAAAAGGTGAAAGGTTTATCATAGATTAATCAACTGAATATTCCTGCTCATTTTTGTTTGGAAGCATGCTGAACAGTTCATATGGACAAAGCTCGAATTCCATATTAAATATCAGTAACATAATCCGGTGTTAATGTTAGACAATACATCATTGCCTTTCAGTGAAAGCATCCCGCTTTCCACTGGAAAAGAATGTATCTAATATCGACGTTAAACATAGATTGTTACAAGCATCCCGCTTGCCGATATTTATAAGTATAATCACAAGGTTAAACATTTGGAATGTTATTAGAATGATAGCATATAACCATACAAACAAGACAAACATTTGAGAATTTTTAAACTCCTCTTCCTTGTAAACGAAACAAGTCTACTCAAGGTGAAGGTTAATTTCTCAAATGTTGAGATAAGGTCGTCATGTTTTTATCATGATCTCCTAAGCAGAGATGGGATCCCGCTGTCACAGTGATATGAGGATCCCGTACTTAAATCATTTGTGTTTTGGGCATCCCCAACAAATATGGTGGCCGTGTTTTAAATATCCCTAACCGACCACCCAACGCTCACTAATCACAAGTAATAAAGGTTTCCATACTCTTGCTCCCCATTACCACGCTGATTTCAGGGGTTTCCCTACAATGGATTTCTACTGACTTACCTGGAACAACAATCATGTTGTATTTTCAGAGGCGTAAATGAGTCTGAGAAAAATTGACTAATATTATAAGTAAATATATTATAAAAAGGTTTTGCAAAATTTGACAAGTTTAGCAAAAATTAATTATAGATATCCGTATAAATGCTAATTTTAATCAACCTTTATAAATAATCAAGTTGTAATATTTACCCTGTGGATCAGCTTCCAAATATTTGATATAAGCTATGTTTGGATGAATTAACACGAGAGCTTTAAAACTTAATTAAATTACTTCGCTATATTGTCGTACACGATCGAAATGTGGTAATCGCGTCAACAAAATCATTTTTCAGTGAAAGTTTCTTCGAAGCAATTCATATGTAATTTAAAAAAGATGGCATATGAAACACTAGTTAAGACAAAAAATTTAGAAAGTAACAGTTGCTCGTCAAATTACATTTTGATAATTTTATCAGACTATCACCATATATTGCACATTTCTGTATGAAAAATATCGATTTTCGGTTAAAACTGCTGCGCAAGCTCTAATGTTCTCGGGATGCCCAAACACATCCCACAGAGGATGCCCAAAACACTAGTGATTTGATTACGGAAATACCCAAAACACGGGGATCCTTATATCACTGTGACAGCGCTTCTGTTTTTACATTTTACATCCGTACATTAACTATTTTCTTATTTTAATATTTTCAAACCAAGGAATTTCGAAGGAAAATAAAACTCGCAAACCGTATTCCATTTTATTTTTCATTTCAACTATTTACAATTTCGATACGAAAAATGTCTTAATGATTATTAACATATCTAGTATTTCTAATTCAACCGTGGAGTTAGCGGTTTTTTTTTCATTTAAATAGTTCGACATTTTTGTGTTGTATGATTTAGATAGTGAAGTCGTTTTGACCTGATGTACTTGTGTGTCGTGGATGAATGTGGGAGATTGAACCGTAACATTGATATAGTTGTATACCAATAAGTTTGGTATATTACTTATTTCACATTCAATGTTGGTTGTGAAGCATTCGATGATAATTTGCCAGTCCCAAATAGAACATTCATTTAAACTTTATCGCCTAAATGGTTAAAAACAATAAAACATGTTTTATATTGTCAAGAATTAAGAGCTGAAATATTTTTCTGTTTTAAAAAGTTAGTTTTTGGCGTTTCTTGACTTAGAGAATGAGTAAAGTCTTATAAGCTCTACAGAGAAACAAGTACAGTCTTACATAAGGTTTTACTCAAAAACATTAAAGACGTACCGTCATCATATAATTCGAGCATACTTTTTCTTTTTCCCGTATCTAATAGCTGCATGCTTTTTGTGATTGCGCTCTCTTTCTTTGACTCACGATCTTGTGAATTGAGATTTACAAGCTGTCTGTCAGACATGTTCTCGAAAATATCTTCGTTGCTCATAAGAGCAACCTTTCTAGTATGTGTCTTAGAGTCTTCATTCTTCCCACAGGTCTCTTTGCATTGTTCTTTACATATATTATCAATAGTGGTTGGTAAATCGCAGTCACCAGTCTCTACAATATCGCTTGTTGCCAGCGATACACCCTCTTCTGTTGATTCATCAAGCGTTACACTATAAACCATACTAGATGAAGAGAGAGGACTGGGTCTAAAGCAACATCGCAATGCTGTTGGGATTGATGGCGTGCAGCAGGTGTCAGATTTGATACCATTCCCCTCGCGCTCTTTAAATACATAAAGTAAAAAATATGTTTCAACATATTAAAACCCACGAACAAATTGAATACATTCACACTATGTACAATTGATGATCAGATAAGGTTAAAAAATTCTCAAGTATTTTTACACACCAACAATATTCAACATACACAATGGACATGTGTAATTGGTCAAAAGCCAGGGATCTACACATTTGAGATGAAATTCATGGCCACATGAAACGACTCGAACATCCTTAACAAAAAAAAACAAACAATTGTTGGCAAACATAATGTATCATGCTGTGAATTTCGAGTCATATGATTCTCCTAACCTCTCCTTCTTTAAATTCCTCTAAGCAAATGACACAAAAAGCTCCAATATTTAAAGTAGATTGCTCATTAAATGCATGCTCTAAATTCTGCTCGTTTCTCATCGTTGTTTCTGTCTCATGTTCTTTATATTTTCTAGATTCCATTTTGTCCACTGCGTCAAAAGCCATTTTTGATAGAGAAGACTAAAAATCAATAATTTCAGAAATGAGCTTTGAAAAAGAAAAGACAGTGTTGCTTAATATACATCCTCGACGCAATACCTCCTTTTTGTTTTGCCTCCATTTTATCTGATTAAACAAAAGAGATAAAGATTAAACGAGAAATTATTCTCGAATTGTGGATTAAACGATGTAACAAATTACTTAGAAGTATCTTGAAACTAGTGAAGTTTCACGGAAATTTTCTCACCTTTATTAAAAGAATAAAGCAAGTTATAGTGACGAGAATAAAACAAGTCATAAAAATAACCATATCCACATATTCCCCGCGACTATCCTAATGAAGAAAAAAAATTTATTAGATGAGTAACGATATGGTTTATATAATTTGGAAATGATATACACGATTCACTTATTCAAAGCTTAAAAATATTTTGGGTCTAGTGTGTTATGAACGAGAATCTTTAAATCATGAATAAAAATATGAAATAGTGCGCTCACAATTTGATGCAAAAATTTGCATCGCAATATTCTGTCTAACTTGTCCCTTAATCTGCATTCTTCATTTCGTGTTAATTACACATAGATTTATTAACTGCTGTACAGTAGAACTGTAAACTCTTGTGAAAAATCAAATTATAGTATTTACAAGAATTTCTTTTATAAAGTGAAATGTTTTATGAACATAAAATGTACAAGAAATGTTGACTCACTTGCGTTTCTCGAATCAAAGGTTTTGTTGAAATCCTGGCTTTCAAGTTGTATTGTCTAAATTACATAATTAGGTTATTTTTGAACTGCTCTGCTACAGCTTTGACTATAAATCAAATCTGTCGACTACCTTTTGACAATATTCATCAATTTTTTAGCGTGTTCACCACTTAGGATTAAAACTGGACGTTCAACCAACATGTACTGTGAATCAAGCTGAGGTAGGTATAAATGATGATATTATGGTCAGTAAAAACAAGAATTTTTACCATTTCTATAAATATTACACTGTTAATGTTGTAAATAGTTAATTGAGTAAAATGATTTCACTTTTTCTTCATAGTTGGTTCATGGAGAAAAATTTTACTTTGAAAAGACAGTTATTTCTTTCACATATTAAATACATATATAAAATGAATAACTCTTTACATATGTACCATAAGAAAACTTATGTTTTTGCCTTAGAAATACAACTTTACCTCTTTTGCCGCTTGTGGACTGTCTGTGACATCAAATATGACTGCATTTGCACCATTTTTCACAGCACCAATTGCCTAACATGTACAAAGTTTAAAGTTTTGTTATATATGACAGAAGAAGAAAACATTTCTCGATAACTCGAAGCTATATATAATAATATTTAGATTACCTTTTTTACTGTGTTGTTGCATGATTGAGATTCATGTGCTGGTGTGGTCAGTTTTATGACACCAACCCATTCATCAGAATAGTAATGACTTCCTCTGGATATATTACACAGAGCAAATGGATGGATCTAAATTAATGAAAGTTTGAACAATAAGTATTAGGTGTTTTTGTTTACTGTGACTGTACAAAATTTACTAAAATGCTTAAATTCTGTTTTTAGTATTTTTATGCGTGACGTTCTTGCCTTGTGGTAAATTTTGATGGACACAAGTGAAGGTCATGTTGGTGAGTTTTTATAACAATTTTATTGATCTTATGTCCATTGACTGAGGTATTTTGAAGCAATCGTTATTAATATCTAAAGTTGAACACAAGAAATGCAATATTGTTGTGATTATTTTTAGTGAAAGAGGTTAAAATTTGTATGCATTAAATTCCACAACACAAAGCATCATATTTCAGCTAATTTATCGTGGCATAAACAACGTTCGTGCCTTTTTGATGATTGTAATTAAATCGCTTTTGAAATTCTCACATTTCTATCAATCTTATCTTCGTAACACAACATGCTTCTCATTGAAATTGTAAACATCAAAAAGAAAATATGTGTTGAATTTGTTGAATTAACGCGATAAATGGAAACCATATGCGAACGCTTAAAGTATTTTGAAATGTTGCAGATTTTTTTCTTCTGCGTTTGCCATTACGTGGAAAACCGTTTTTTTGTTTCTTTTGATATTTTTAACAATACGTAGAGAACGCCAAGTGTTAAATGATAATTTACATAGCCACGGTAAAGTTTTTGCTGTTTTTCACTGAAGGTTTGCTAAATAAAGTGAATTCTATCTGAAACTTTTTTCTGTTAAAATAATTCTACGTAGAATTATTTTATTGCATCGTGCTTGAGAATTTACCAATGACATAGTTATCTTTCGTTTTAGTTTATTAATTTAAATTTCGCTGCCTCTGTTATTTTGGAATTCTACGCGGACTGTTTTTCTTCATTGCTCGTAAAGTGAATGTTAAATAATTAATACATTTTTTTGTTAAAGTTACAATAAATCACAGACACATAAAAAGCAAGTTAAACACAAACACATTATCGACCATGATGTCTACTTTTTACTGTAATACACCAAGATCGAGATCATTATTTTTGCCTGCCTGTTCGACTCACTTTTTTATAGTACTTTGCAAGTGAAGTGAAAAAATACTTTAAGTCATTTAATTTAACTATTTATTATTGGATGTGAATTACTACTTTAAAAGAAATTGAATCAAGTAGTTTTTTAATTAATTCATAGTTAATGTTCTTCCGTGCTTTTAAAATTAACTCTGAAATATATTTGAAATTGATTGCAATATTCATTAGAAACGTAAACAATCTTAATCTCAAATGTATTTATTGTATAAACATGTCACGTTATTTCATAAATTTCAACTCACGGCGATACTGATTTTGTTAAATTTTGCAGATAACGATCGTATTTCTCAAATTGATCATTTTTTCAACGTACATCAAAGGAACGCCTATATTCGTACGCTGGACGTATCTATTTTTTATCATGCCTGACGCATTTCAGTCCAGTGTGTTTTAATCGATAATCCAGGCATATGCCATATTGATTTAAAAAGAAGTATATAGCAAACATGTACAAGAATGTAGGTATAATATTTCCATATGATCTCAATAACGCACAAGATTAATAAGTGGGTAATGTGCAATTATAATGAAACCTACGAGTATTTTGAAGTCATTTTTGATAAGCCTTAACAATCAATGGTACAACAATTTTTTATGAATGTTTATATTAAACATTTGGCATAAGTGAAATCGAATCAAAAATCTTAATATCTTTGTATAGGAAAGTTGTATTATCTACTCAAAAGTAAAGGATCATAAAAAAATGCAGGTCTAAAGCATGGTCCTCGCACTATAAAAAAATAGCCTTAATTACAGAAAACAATTTCATGGCTGAAAATCGTTTTTGCCGTCACCAAATATTCTACATTTTGATATTTTTCACTCTCTTAAAACAATTATAAATGTAAAGATTTTTAAATTGCTTACTTTCTGCACCCGAAATGATGAAAATATCCTTTGCTTGAAATAAACAAGCAGATTTTATGATATTCACAAGCAATACATAGTACGGTAAAAGCTGACAAAATAATTATTGCCTTCATAAGTTTTACGTAAATTTATTCAATTGTTTTTTGGTATGAATTGACGATTTTAACTTAAAATATTTTACGGGCTCCAACAATCCTTGCCACATTAATGTCAATATAAATACGCAGATGCTATCTATATCAATTTTGTCTTTATTTACTATTTTTTCGTCAAAATGCCATACTGTTCGAGGAAACTCTTTCAATCCAGAATTCGGCAGGTGTATTTGTTGCCAAAGCTACGCGCATTTCTTTAAACAAAATATCTCAAGCGAGCTGAGCGTTTTTGCAGCTTTTATGAATAATTACCGTCTGCTGCCGTGCTATATAAGTCGACGAACATTTTGAACATGTTTGACAAATGTTATTTTAAAAGTTTTGATCTGCTATTCTCGGTTTGACGAGAAAGCTCATTTGTTCAAGCGTTCTTGAAACAAATATTCATCGAGAAAAATTTTCACTTCATGCTGTTTCGAATTAATTCTAACAGAGCTATCATACTGAGTGGTTATAGCTTGCAGGAAATAATGCTATCCAATACTGACAGAAGTGAAGACAGATTTTCCTAAGTAGGTCGACAAGTGTATTTGTCAATAATAATAGAATTACTCGATCATATAGTGATAGTTTTCTTACATTTTTCACATGTCTCAATTGTCACCAACATTAGGTATTGAATTTGTGTTATTTTGTAAATTTGGTGAAAACCTATTTACTCTTGCGAAATACAGGCGCTTTTTTATTAATGATTCAATACAATTCCATCCTTGTGTGATAGTCACACAAATGCCACACATACAAATGTTTGCGAAATGTGTAATGTATTTATTTATAAAATATACTGCCATTTTACAAGTTGTACATTACGTTCCTCGCAATTTTGGTTAACCTACATCATTTTTATTATGAAATAACAGCACCGTGTTCCCTTTATTTACGTATCTTTCTCTTTTTGTCATTGAGTTTGCTTGATAAAATTATCATTCGCCTATCATGTCAATTACGGGACCAACTACAAACAAGTTGGCTTTGTAAAACACGAGAAAATATTCAATAATCGGTCATCATGAGAATCTTTATACTCCCCCTTAATTCCTCCGGCCTCCACAAGGGGTTCAAGCGTATTTGTAAAGCTGCTGAATACTTAGCCATGTGCATGATAGTTATTGTTAAAGTTTATTATTTTACAATACAAACATTGAATTTCACTTTTTTGACGAAAAACAGTAATATCTACACACGTAGCTTTTTGATTTAAACGTGCATGTTCTGCGTTGGAGCATTTTCAAAAATAAATTTCTACTAAGTATCAAATGTGTAAAAAGTAATTTTTGATTAGTCTCGACTTTTTGTATGAAACGAAAATGATAAGAATTTCATATTTTTCACTTTTCAATGCAATATTGAATAGATGTTAAAAGCTCAGTGTTAATGTTTGAATTTAGTTCAAGTTGTTAGAAGTTTTGGAACTCTTTAACTTCATTTTATCAATAAACGTATGTCACAACTTCCTCGATCGTTCGAAGTGTGTAATTATTACTGCATATAATTGATACATTTTGGCATTCTAATTGTCAGAAAGAATTCCGAATGAATTCGATTTGCACGAAATTTTCAAATAAACGAAACATCAATATTGTATTAATATGAGTGTAAACGGTTCCTTAAATGTAAATAGCTTGCCCGTATTTAAACTGTCGCATCTTACGATTCAATTTTGCTTCTAATGCTTTCCATTTAATGATGTGATAAAACTCGTTTTAAATTACGTTTAATTACTACATTTACAAGGGCGAATACAAACACTAAATGATGTTTTCATCCGACTCTTGACAAAACAATGTCGGCATTTTGTTATTGCGCCTGCCGACAGAAGGGAAGGCGCTTGTCTAAGCTAACACACGAATGTTTCTTCCGTATCTCTCATCTCTCCCGCGGTTTTTCCATATCATATGCGCAGAAAGCAATCGGCTTAATATACTTGACGAACAGCCGGCTACTCTGGTTAAACCTTAAGCATAATCTGACATCTCGTAAGAGGAATCAAATTATATTTCAAGTGCTTGACGGGAGACAACACTCATTGAAGGTTGAAACATTATTTGGGTTATTTAAGGTCCTGGGCCGTCTGGAAAATGCTGCATCATTTTAAAGTCTTTCGCGTGAAGCGCGTTGTATATTTCTTTTAATGAGTATCGCAGTCAGTATCAGTCACGAAATATCAGAGGAATTTTTTTTCGAAGTCAGTATTGTCACATGTTTTAAGTGTTACAATTCACTGACATAATTTTCACGTTAGAAAACACCATTGACTTTCATGCAATTTTAATCAAAAGGATGGCAAAGTTACATGCTAGCTTTTGGAATGCATCACAAGAAAGCCATGTTAGATCTAGTTGTTTCACTAACTGGTCACATTAGCCTTGCTGACCTATTACTTTGTAATTCATGTCAAGAAAAGAAGTCTTATGTGAAACAAAACAAAAAACTATATTTAATGCATCATATGTTTCAAATAGTAATACAATCGATGTGGCCTCACAAGTATTATCTAAGCTTTTGTTAATACTGCATTGTGTTTACACTGTTTCTTACATATATTCTATTCTGTTCAATTATTTCTAGAACACACCAGTTATCATGTGTTAAACACTTACCTGCAAAATATCCCCCTTTGCTTCAGTATAGCTTCCAATGTTCGCAAATATTCCTTCAAATTTATCCCTATACCTAGAATTCTCATCAGGACTATCTCGTACCACAATCTCAACAAAAGCAGTTTTTATGGCCAGTGAATGGGACAATACAAATTTGAAGTAAAGTAAAACTACAAGTACGAACGACGACGTTGCCATTGCAGTAATAGATTCGTTGTCAAACCAACAATCCAAATATAAACAACACTTGACTATGAGATTTGATAACAAAGTTACTGTGTCGATTTCTGCTGTTTCAAATGACCGGAAAATCTTCTGAACACTCAACTTTAAAAAATTGCCCTAAAGTGTAGTATTTCAATTGCTGCTCGTCTAATTCACACGATCCACTTCTGCACACGTTTGTTCGTTTAAGACTGCGCAGTCCGTTTCCCTCTCTTGGCTTCGCAATGCCTAGGTTGATCAACCGATCAATTATGCACGCCAGCTGTCATATGTTCGTAATTAAAAAATTATTAATTTGTTTGATTATTAACCGCTGCAAGAAACTTTGCGTCGGCGCTCTCTTTTACACGCTGTGGCGAGAGGCATTAAGATTGTGGCAATTACTATCACGAAGCATTAGGATTCTGCGACACGAACTCCAGTTCAAGTCAAGGTGTCGTAAAGTTGCCTACTAGATTACAACATTAATGCACGATTTCTTTCGATCAAATAAATGCGAAAATTGTGCTATCACCTCGACATCATAACGGAAATCAACAACCGATGTCGACTTTTTAGCACAACTAAGCACCCTGTGGACGCTGACGCGTTTCGTTCGGCATGCTTTTGTGAGTTTCCCGTATCATTGTCTAAAATGCCGCCTTTGTCTGATATTCGAACAGACAAGAATAGTGTTATCATCTTGTATTGTGTTCACTTGCGACTTATGTGAAAATTTATGCAGCTTTCTTTGGCCGCATGTTAAAAAGGCTTTCCATCAAAATCACACATCTAGAATCTTGATAACGAGTGGAGCCCTCTTTACCACGCTATGTTCTCAGGCAAGCAAGATGTATATTTGACTCGTTCATTTTTAAACAAATTCTTTTTTTTTTGGAAGAATTTCTGTAAAAACTTGTTTTATATTACAACATTATTCCTGTAACACGAAGAATGATGAGCATCTTAATGAACTCCTTAATATCTAAGTATACAACATTAAGCATGTCCATACTTAGTGATGTGCTTAGATAAGATGAATATTGAACTATTTACGTTCATTATTGGCTTCAGAGTCAGTTTTTCAAACTTTATTTCTGCGCTAAAATAGCTCACGATTTTTTTCGTCCGTGTTTTTTATCTGTTTTGTGCTTTCCACGTAAATCTTTTTTCATCCTTGGATCGACCATTTTATATGGCCCCTTCAAACCAGTCGGTCGTTTGCTTCTCTTACCTAAAGAAATGAGTCATACGCAGCACTATATTGTTGTTCACTGAGGGGGGTGGGGGGTGGGGAGGGAGGGCATGTAGAGTAAAGCTTCCCTTCCGCCAAGACCAACACGAAGGCTGATTATGAAAGAATGCTGGGTTTTTTTTGTATTATGATTTTTTACATTTTGAAATAAAAATAATTTTTCTTTCCTTGTTTTAACTTACCCGTGCTTTTCTTGGCAACGACGTATTTCACTTCTGGCTTTTTGTTTTTAATTCCAGCTTTCTTGTATAAACTAAATATAACATGAAAACATATATCCCTTGTTTATCCTTTTTCATCCTTTTTTATCCTCATTTGCCATTTTAGACAACACATCATTCCTAAAAAATAGCTCTCTGTATCCATGTATCCCTAACGATCCTAGTCTGTGTCACACAAAACTATCTTATTTTACAAGAATTCTATACACACTTTTTGAGTTGCTGCGCTTTTTCTTTATCTGTCACATTATCATTTTCACAAATCGTTTCGGCTTTCTTCCTTGCTCTTTCCAGTCGTTTCATCGTCTTCTGTTTCTTCCTGGCTTTCGCCTCGGCAATTTTCTTTATAGGTCTAGCGTTGATTTCTCGTAATTTATTCTTATATTCCAACATTTCTTCCTTCGTGACTGGTAGATTGCGTTGATAATGTTTAGCTTCGTCTTCAACAAACCATTGAGGTAAATGATCATCGTTGAAAGTCCACCTAGAGTTGGTGGTGTAATCAAGTCAATTAACTATTCTCACCATACCACATTCTTTTGACTTACCTGTGATAGGCTTCGTCTTCTATTTCGCGTTTTCGTTTTTTTGACATGACCATCTGTGCTCCTAGTGCAAGTCCCTCGGGAGTCATCGTACTCATTTGGTCTAAATTTCAACAAATTAATCGGTTGCTTTTCCTTTTCTCAATTTAAAACTAATGGAACCTTACAATTTGTGCCACTATTTGAAACCCATTCTCTGAGTTTTCATTTGGTCCTTCTATTTCAACCTCAGCATTATTGTCGGAACTAGTCGATTCATCTCCGGAATCCGACTCCACCTCGTTTGCACCAGATTCGGCATTCAAAAAATCAGGCTTTGATTTACCTAAATCTTCGTTGGAAAAATGTTATTGGTTGAGTTTTATGTGAACGATAAGTTAGTTTTATATGATAGCTCGTACCATTCCCCTGTAGCACACCACCACAAGCCTTCTCATGTCTCTTTATCATTTCATCAACCTCAAAATCTTCATCTTCTGCAGTCTCGACACCTTTAAAGATATCCTAAAAAAACGAAAGTTCATCTGATTGAATGATTTATGTTCTCCCTAACTCATTGTTGTTCACAATGATTATCTCGCACTTTTTCAAACCAAAGTTGCGCTTTTGTCTCTGGATAATTTTCTTTATCAGGATTGAACAACAACGGATTGGCATTGTCTCCAAAGTCGTCGATATCTTCTTCACTGGATTCCTCGTTATCACAACTTTCTTCATCAAATTCATCTTCCCTGACATGTCCTTCGTGTATTTTTTCAAGATTCTAAAACAATTTAACGTTGATTAAAAATTTTTTATTTTTTTTCAGATAATTCATCTTATGTATGTTTAAATAGGAATTCATTTCGAATTATTGGGAAAAATTTTTTTAATTCAAATACATATTTGTTTAGTCTGTCAAAAACATTAAATTTTTGTGTTAGCAGCCCAGAACCTTTTTACTCTTGATGCTATTTAAACTGAACAATTCCACTTCGTCGTTTCCTTCGCTCGACGTCCCACCGCCAACTTGCATTCTTTCGCGGGATTGTTTTTTCATAGCAAACTGTTTACGTCGTTTTCTGGTAAAATTCGTGCACATTGCAACAGTAACACAGAAATATTCTTGTCTGGTTAAAATACATTACAACAACGATCACATTGTTGTAATGATTTGATACATGCAGTGATAGGTATTGTGACAACAACTGACCTTTTTACACTTGCTGTTTCTTCATCTTTTAAATCCTTGATTAAATCTTCCACTGATACCTGCACAATTTTTCATCACAAATGTCATGAACTGGTTTGGTCATTGTTAAAAAACAGAACATCCATTAAAATATTGATTGATGCAAGCTTGCTAAAAAAGTTTTAAATGTTACCAAATGCCTACATCTACCCTTCTCCAACTACTTTGAAGTAAATTGTAAATTAAAGAAATGAGTACTGCTTTCTAAAGTAAAGGTCTTTCGTGAAACTCGCTTTAATGTCATAACAACAATTTCACCACAAGTAAACATTGCAGTTGTCAGGAATGAAACTTTTACCTCCTGTAGCATTTCCTCTTTTTCTTCTTCTTTTCTGTTGGCAAGAAAAGATATCTTAGTGCTTCAAAACGTAAGAGAAACGGCAAACTGAATGCACAAAATGGATTTACCTTACGTTCACATCATTTTCTAAATCCCGTAGTTTAGCTTGCCAGGTTAAAAGTTGTCTAGAATTTTCATAAAGTCGATTTTAAGAAATAACGATTTTTACTAGAAAGTAATACACTTCAATTTATTTGGAAATGTTATTTTAATCTAACCGAACTTCTCCTTTTCCTAGCACTTTGATGTCTTTACAACATTGGATGATTTCATTTGTAGTCAAATCATGTTTTAAATATCGCTGGTCATTGAAAATAATCTACAAGTAATAACCATCATGATATGTTTAAGACTAAAATAAGTGAAAAATACAAATTTAATCATTGCTCAAACATACTTGGTTGACATTTGTCAAGATGTCCAAAGGTTTATTGCTTTTTACAAATTCTGTGACTGATAATGTTTTAAACAAACTAAGATTGCCTTCTTCATAGCCTTGAGCACGAGCTTGTTTCTGGTATATGACAGATATGTAACATGATGATATGTAAAAAAATGATAAAGCTAATGTGTATGAAGTCTGTTTGTGCAACACATTATTAATCACCTTGTTACTGAGAAGACTTGTTTGTTTTGCAGGCTCTGTATTCACTTCTTCAAAAACGCATTTCCAGTCAAGCAACCTTGGATCTATCTTATCTGGTGCAATATAACCCTAGAAATATTGTTCATCAATATCTACTGGCTGAAAATGTATTCTCATACATGCTTCAATATCAATGTTGGCAGTTAGTATTGCTAATTTGTATTGCTATATAACTATTGCTAATTTGATACAAGACAAGCTTGTGGTCAGATTGCTACAGTTTCTGGGTATTTAGTCCCAGTAGTGATTGCAAATTAAGACTATCATGTAAAGATCATCTCATGTGGTTATATGTTGATTACAAAAGCCATCCAACTACCTGACAAACTACAAATATTTCAGCTGATTCATTTCTAGATGCTTGAGGTTTTGTGGCATGTACTTTCTTGAAAAGTTGATTAAATACCCACATCAAAGGCTGATAATCTTTGGAACGAAACACCTAAAGATATTGAGTATACAATCCTTTACAACAGTAAATTATTTTTTCCTTGAAGTAAATACAAACCTTTGTGACAAACCATCCACCTTTATTTAAAAAGTTGCACGCAAGTTTCAATGCAGCCAGTGTTAAGTGAGCTGAAATTATAATTTGAACCAGTTTAATACTCCATTAATTTATGAATTACAAAAACATTCCAAAAATACAATTTGAAATTACCTTGTGTAAATGCATCATGAGACCATGCAGATCCTACATTTGGTGCACCATCATTTAATACGCAGTCTGCTCTCCATGTTTTTAATTCTTTCTTTATTTCCTAACAAGAAAAAATGTTTTATGCAAAGCAATTGAAACCTGCATGGAGTTTTAGTCATTACCTGTTGACATTTGTGTGTAGTAATATCAGCCTGAATAGTAATAACATTCGAAATGGGCTTAATGGAAACCAGATCAACACCGATAATGACACTAGACATTGGCATAAATCTTGATGCAACTTGCAACCTTTGAATGAAAAGGAATTTATTGACAAATGCCAATTACAAGTGAGGAAATTATGCTGTTTTCTGGTATGCACAATGAAATTATTGTTGTTTTATCATTGTGAATTACCTAGTTGGATAAAAATGTTGAATATTGTAAAAAGAGAATCTCCAGTGTGAAAAATACTTTCCAAAATTGGCAAAACATGTACATTTATTGATTTTTGCAGTACTATCTTGTATCAATGTTTATGTAAGTAAAACATTTTACTTACCAGCCACCAGGTGCCGCACAAAGGTCAATACAAACACGAGACTTTTGTAGAAATTCAAATTTACGGTTTAATTGAATCAGTTTGAAAGCGGAACGAGCTCTGTAACCTACATGAAGGATCATTGAAAAAAGTCTTATTGTATTTTCAAGATTTATGTAAACAATAGAACAAAGTTATAGCATATCTGTAATTCTCTGCTCATACCTGTTTCTTTAGCTAAGTGGTAAAATTTATCTCTTCTCTGCTTTCCAATCTTTCCTTTCTTACCCATTTTACACTTGAGACTCAAATCGTAACAGATTTTCTTGAAAAATACACTTATTATCAAAAAACTATAAAAATTTATAATAAGAAAAGCAGATAAATATTTACAACATGTGCGTTTGTTTATAATTCAAAACATAAAGTATGACATCATTGTTATTCTCTCGTGTCCAGTCTCTCGCAATTGATGTGACGCATCGTTAATTTTCCTCGAGGACTTTTTTCATTTCTTGGTTATTTATACAAGAAAGAATTAAAATGTCTCGTTTTTTTGCTGCTCGATCATCTGGAAGTGAGGATGAATCTAGTGATGAAGCTCCAATTGTTGCACAAAAAGCTACTACCACTGTGGCATCAAGGTTTGTTCAAACTCATCGTTTATACGAATGAACTATTTCTCCATTTGACGATAAGTATTTATCGGCCATATAGTTGAAAAAGCATGTTAATTGTATTTGATAAATTCATTTGGAAAGAACTCCTTAAACGAGGCTTAATTGAGCTAATCTTGATGTTTACTTATGTAGTCGTGCTCAGTTTCTGTTCAGTGACGACGATGATGAAGATACAAAGAGAGTTGTGCGAAGCCAAAAAGACAAAAGGTTTTTTTATATTTTTCCATATGTTGTCTGGTTTTATAATGATTTTATTGTATCTTATGCAACATTTGATGTGTTCAGATTTGATGAGATCTCCAACATTGCCAAACAATTGAAGAATCACAAGAAAATAAAGGATATGTCAAAAATCCTCACAGGTTTTAATCTTATCTACTTTTTCCTCTCCAATTTCTTGAAAATGAACATTTCTTTGGTTTTTTAGAGTTTGAAAATTTGGGTCGTGCTTTCGTGAAGGCCAAAAATGTTGTTGACAAAGAGGGAATTCCAACAACTTTTATTAAGTGTCTTGTGGAATTAGAGAATTTCATTAAAGAGGTTTGAAATGATACTATAAGTAACTTTAAAGCATTCATTGTCATCAAAATGCTACTTGACTTTTACCAAGCAAAACCTTGTGAATGGTAATAATACTTGAAGGAACGTTTTTATTATAGAACTGGGATGATGTTGAAGGTAGAAGGAAACTTAATAAATTGAATGCTAAGGTAATAAGCATTTATTTTGAAACAAAGGACTATTCTTTGCTGACATCTCTGACTTGGTTTTAGGCATTGGGCACATTGAGACAAAAGGTGAAAAAGTACAACAAAACTTTTGAGAATGATATCGAGAAATATCGAGAAAATCCCCTTGATTCTGAGGTGGAAGAAGATGTTGATGATGAATCAGGTATGATTGATGTATGAAGTATGATTGATGTATGAAGTATGGTTGATGTATGAAGTATGGTTGATGTATGAAGTATGATTGATGTATGAAGTATGGTTGATGTATGAAGTATGATTGATGTATGAAGTATGGTTGATGTATGAAGTATGGTTGATGTATGAAGTATGGTTGATGTATGAAGTATGGTTGATGTATGAAGTATGGTTGATGTATGAAGTATGGTTGATGTATGAAGTATGGTTGATGTATGAAGTATGGTTGATGTATGAAGTATGGTTGATGTATGAAGTATGGTTGATATGAAGTATGGTTGATGTATGAAGTATGGTTGATGTATGAAGTATGATTGATGTATGAAGTATGGTTGATGTATGAAGTATGATTGATGTATGAAGTATGGTTGATATATGAAGTATGGTTGATGTATGAAGTATGGTTGATATATGAAGTATGGTTGATGTATGAAGTATGATTGATGTATGAAGTATGGTTGATGTATGAAGTATGATTGATGTATGAAGTATGGTTGATGTATGAAGTATGGTTGATGTATGAAGTATGGTTGATGTATGAAGTATGGTTGATGTATGAAGTATGGTTGATGTATGAAGTATGGTTGATGTATGAAGTATGGTTGATGTATGAAGTATGGTTGATGTATGAAGTATGGTTGATGTATGAAGTATGGTTGATGTATGAAGTATGATTGATGTATGAAGTATGGTTGATGTATGAAGTATGGTTGATGTATGGTTGATGTATGAAGTATGGTTGATGATGAGTATGGTTGATGTATGAAGTATGATTGATGTATGAAGTATGGTTGATGTATGAAGTATGATTGATGTATGAAGTATGGTTGATGTATGAAGTATGGTTGATGTATGGTATGATGTATGATTGATGTATGAAGTATGGTTGATGTATGAAGTATGGTTGATGTATGAAGTATGATTGATGTATGAAGTATGGTTGATGTATGAAGTATGGTTGATGTATGAAGTATGGTTGATGTATGAAGTATGGTTGATGTATGAAGTATGGTTGATGTATGAAGTATGGTTGATGTATGAAGTATGGTTGATGTATGAAGTATGGTTGATGTATGAAGTATGGTTGATGTATGAAGTATGATTGATGTATGAAGTATGGTTGATGTATGAAGTATGGTTGATGTATGAAGTATGATTGATGTATGAAGTATGATATATGAAGTATGGTTGATGTATGAAGTATGGTTGATGTATGAAGTATGGTTGATGTATGATATGATTGATGTATGAAGTATGGTTGATGTATGAAGTATGATTGATGTATGAAGTATGGTTGATGTATGAAGTATGGTTGATGTATGAAGTATGGTTGATGTATGAAGTATGGTTGATGTATGAAGTATGGTTGATGTATGAAGTATGGTTGATGTATGAAGTATGGTTGATGTATGAAGTATGGTTGATGTATGAAGTATGGTTGATGTATGAAGTATGGTTGATGTATGAAGTATGATTGATGTATGAAGTATGGTTGATGTATGAAGTATGGTTGATGTATGAAGTATGGTTGATGTATGAAGTATGGTTGATGTATGAAGTATGATTGATGTATGAAGTATGGTTGATGTATGAAGTATGGTTGATGTATGAAGTATGGTTGATGTATGAAGTATGATTGATGTATGAAGTATGATTGATGTATGAAGTATGGTTGATGTATGAAGTATGATTGATGTATGAAGTATGGTTGATGTATGAAGTATGATTGATGTATGAAGTATGGTTGATGTATGAAGTATGGTTGATGTATGAAGTATGGTTGATGTATGAAGTATGATTGATGTATGAAGTATGATTGATGTATGAAGTATGGTTGATGTATGAAGTATGATTGATGTATGAAGTATGATTGATGTATGAAGTATGGTTGATGTATGAAGTATGATTGATGTATGAAGTATGGTTGATGTATGAAGTATGGTTGATGTATGAAGTATGGTTGATGTATGAAGTATGGTTGATGTATGAAGTATGGTTGATGTATGAAGTATGGTTGATGTATGAAGTATGATTGATGTATGAAGTATGGTTGATGTATGAAGTATGATTGATGTATGAAGTATGGTTGATGTATGAAGTATGATTGATGTATGAAGTATGGTTGATGTATGAAGTATGGTTGATGTATGAAGTATGATTGATGTATGAAGTATGATTGATGTATGAAGTATGGTTGATGTATGAAGTATGGTTGATGTATGAAGTATGGTTGATGTATGAAGTATGGTTGATGTATGAAGTATGGTTGATGTATGAAGTATGGTTGATGTATGAAGTATGGTTGATGTATGAAGTATGGTTGATGTATGAAGTATGGTTGATGTATGAAGTATGGTTGATGTATGAAGTATGGTTGATGTATGAAGTATGGTTGATGTATGAAGTATGGTTGATGTATGAAGTATGGTTGATGTATGAAGTATGGTTGATGTATGAAGTATGGTTGATGTATGAAGTATGGTTGATGTATGAAGTATGATTGATGTATGAAGTATGGTTGATGTATGAAGTATGGTTGATGTATGAAGTATGATTGATGTATGAAGTATGGTTGATGTATGAAGTATGGTTGATGTATGAAGTATGGTTGATGTATGAAGTATGGTTGATGTATGAAGTATGGTTGATGTATGAAGTATGGTTGATGTATGAAGTATGGTTGATGTATGAAGTATGGTTGATGTATGAAGTATGGTTGATGTATGAAGTATGATTGATGTATGAAGTATGGTTGATGTATGAAGTATGGTTGATGTATGAAGTATGGTTGATGTATGAAGTATGGTTGATGTATGAAGTATGGTTGATGTATGAAGTATGGTTGATGTATGAAGTATGGTTGATGTATGAAGTATGATGATATGATTGATGTATGTATGGTTGATGTATGAAGTATGGTTGATGTATGAAGTATGATTGATGTATGAAGTATGGTTGATGTATGAAGTATGGTTGATGTATGAAGTATGGTTGATGTATGAAGTATGGTTGATGTATGAAGTATGGTTGATGTATGAAGTATGGTTGATGTATGAAGTATGATTGATGTATGAAGTATGATTGATGTATGAAGTATGGTTGATGTATGAAGTATGATTGATGTATGAAGTATGATTGATGTATGAAGTATGGTTGATGTATGAATATGGTTGATGTATGAAGTATGGTTGATGTATGAAGTATGGTTGATGTATGAAGTATGGTTGATGTATGAAGTATGGTTGATGTATGAAGTATGGTTGATGTATGAAGTATGGTTGATGTATGAAGTATGGTTGATGTATGAAGTATGGTTGATGTATGAAGTATGGTTGATGTATGAAGTATGGTTGATGTATGAAGTATGATTGATGTATGAAGTATGGTTGATGTATGAAGTATGGTTGATGTATGAAGTATGATTGATGTATGAAGTATGATTGATGTATGAAGTATGATTGATGTATGAAGTATGATGTATGAAGTATGGTTGATGTATGAAGTATGATTGATGTATGAAGTATGGTTGATGTATGTATGATTGATGTATGAAGTATGGTTGATGTATGAAGTATGGTTGATGTATGAAGTATGATTGATGTATGAAGTATGGTTGATGTATGAAGTATGATTGATGTATGAAGTATGGTTGATGTATGAAGTATGGTTGATGTATGAAGTATGGTTGATGTATGAAGTATGATTGATGTATGAAGTATGGTTGATGTATGAAGTATGGTTGATGTATGAAGTATGATTGATGTATGAAGTATGATTGATGTATGAAGTATGATTGATGTATGAAGTATGATTGATGTATGAAGTATGGTTGATGTATGAAGTATGATTGATGTATGAAGTATGGTTGATGTATGAAGTATGATTGATGTATGAAGTATGATTGATGTATGAAGTATGATTGATGTATGAAGTATGATTGATGTATGAAGTATGGTTGATGTATGAAGTATGGTTGATGTATGAAGTATGGTTGATGTATGAAGTATGATTGATGTATGTATGATTGATGTATGAAGTATGATTGATGTATGAAGTATGATTGATGTATGAAGTATGATTGATGTATGAAGTATGATTGATGTATGAAGTATGATTGATGTATGAAGTATGGTTGATGTATGAAGTATGATTGATGTATGAAGTATGGTTGATGTATGAAGTATGGTTGATGTATGAAGTATGGTTGATGTATGAAGTATGGTTGATGTATGAAGTATGGTTGATGTATGAAGTATGATTGATGTATGAAGTATGGTTGATGTATGAAGTATGGTTGATGTATGAAGTATGGTTGATGTATGAAGTATGGTTGATGTATGAAGTATGGTTGATGTATGAAGTATGGTTGATGTATGAAGTATGATTGATGTATGAAGTATGGTTGATGTATGAAGTATGGTTGATGTATGAAGTATGGTTGATGTATGAAGTATGGTTGATGTATGAAGTATGGTTGATGTATGAAGTATGGTTGATGTATGAAGTATGGTTGATGTATGAAGTATGGTTGATGTATGAAGTATGATTGATGTATGAAGTATGATTGATGTATGAAGTATGGTTGATGTATGAAGTATGGTTGATGTATGAAGTATGATTGATGTATGAAGTATGGTTGATGTATGAAGTATGGTTGATGTATGAAGTATGGTTGATGTATGAAGTATGGTTGATGTATGAAGTATGGTTGATGTATGAAGTATGATTGATGTATGAAGTATGGTTGATGTATGAAGTATGGTTGATGTATGAAGTATGATTGATGTATGAAGTATGATTGATGTATGAAGTATGATTGATGTATGAAGTATGGTTGATGTATGAAGTATGGTTGATGTATGAAGTATGGTTGATGTATGAAGTATGGTTGATGTATGAAGTATGATTGATGTATGAAGTATGGTTGATGTATGAAGTATGATTGATGTATGAAGTATGATTGATGTA